GATATCTATTTAGGGGTAACTTCTATAGTCTAGAATTATACTACTTAACTAACTAGCTAGTAGTTAAATAAATAGCTCTAATTAGCTACTAGATAGAAAGTAGAATCTAAGCCTAATATAAGTATCCTTATTAGGAATAGGGAAGATATATATACTAGCCTAAGTAGGAGTGTTAGATAGTATAGTCTAGATAGGTAGGCTAAAATAGATACCTAAAGTATTAATACTAAAAGTTATATAACTAAAAGGAGTTTATCTCTTCTTAGTTCTTCTACTTTCTATAACTAACTAATATAATTACAACTAGGTTAGTTCCTGCTATTATTTATTAATTTAGTTACTTCTACTATATTTAATACCTATATAAACCCTATAGAGTAGTTTTAGCTTAATAGAAATTAAAAATTAGTTATACTAATTAAAAGAACATATAATATAACAATTAAGACTCTATATAGGTTCTTCGAATCTGTTCTCTAGTATAAAGGCCTAAGATACCTACCGTAGGTAGCTATAGAATTAGTCTAACATTAACGCCGAGGTTTTACCGAAGCTGGATCCTTCCATAGTGTCCAAAATGACTTTGTGGTCCGACGTGTTGACCAGCTCACTTCACCTCCCTGTCCAACTCACTTCAGGTTGCATCACTGAGTCCACATGTTACAAGACAGTGGTTTTGAACACCATGCACCGTCACTTCGCTCTCAGCACCGTCATTTCCTTGCTGCAGGAATTCGATTCATCAAGGACAACGACTTCTCTAAGAAGGGAACTTGTTGAACTGAATGCTGACACGAAAACATTACATTTGACATTAGAGCTGCTCACTATCAAGACACTGACAGTCACCCGCTCCACCCGGAGCAAATATACCCATCTGGCCACTCCATAGACTTGGACAGCTTGAGGAGATAGACGGACATCCAAATATCATGCCCCAAAGCCGCTCCAAACTGAATCCGAAAGCATCATTGCCCACGAGCCTCTCCCTAATATGCTCTACCGTGCCGCGATTAATGCGCTCCATGCGTGCTCGAGAAGCAATAAACTGAGCGCGATACGTCAACGAGATCCCCGAGCAATCCTCGTCTGGGTTCGTCTGCTCGAAAATGTCCTTGACGATCGATCCTTCATGCCAGCCGGAGATGTCCCAACATCTGTCACATGCAGAACAGAATGAGCCGGTGTAGGAGAGTGATAGAAAATCAGTGTTCTGGATGAAGTACTGTCGGATCCTAGCGACCAGCCAGTGCAGCTCATGAGGTTCTGCCTGCATGAACAACGTGTGGTCTGCGAAGCTATAGCTTTCATTAAGCAGGTGACTTAAGAAGGTTTCGCCTTCGCGGCCGACATTCTTCCGTGGGCTCACAATAACATCAGAAGCTAGTGGGAACCGCGAGGAGATGTCGATGTCGCTGCCTTTGTTATAGATCAAGACGGTGGTGTTCATGGCCGCAATCTTTGGGATCTGCAAGATTGAATGCACGGCGTCGGCGACGGTTTCAATAGGCTCTTCGTACCGAGCGATCACGATGTCCAGTCGAGGAGGCCTTGAGCTGTTCTGGCTGTACGAGGTATCGAACTTGCGGTTCATCAACGCGGCATGCAGCACAAGAAGCCACACGAGCGCATTAAGCATGCTTTGAAAGGCCAAGGGTAGCCATGTGGAGTAATGTATCGACTCATTTGACTGGGTATGCTCGTCGTGTACCTCTCCGACATGATCCTCATCCTCGTCCTCATGGTCCTCACTAGGAAGTCGAATTTGGCGTACATTGTCGAGCCACGGGTGTCTGATCCAAGGAAGCTTTAGTTGTTCCCACTGAACCAGAGCACTTTCGAAGTCCATTGTCGCCAACAGGGCAACAACGAAGGCCACCCACTGTCCAATGGTGGTCATGGTCGGTCTTGACTGGAACAGGAGATTATCCAGTGCGGTCAGCACAACAAGGCAAACCGCAACGCATATTCGATCGAGGCCAGAGTGTTCTGATATGTGTGTATGTTCGTCCTCATCATCCGCAGCCTGTGACACCGCGGCACCGTCATACAGTACCGCGGCACCAGCAGGCAGGTTCAGAAGCAGCAGACCCAAATGTCCGTACAATGCAAAGTCTCCACTATTCTTCCACTCATTCGGGGCCATGAACGCAAGAATTGGCACGAGACTGACCGCCAAAGCAAAAGTATGCGCACCCCAGCCCGCAAAGCTCACTTCTCTCGCCTCTTCAAACGATCTCTTCGCGATAACCATGCACCCAGCCGCGCCCAAAGTCAAGTATTCAAACTCGTTCGTCATGTGGTGATCTTGCAGGAAGAGAAGAGCCACGCATATGGCAAATGTCGTGTACCGCAAGATCTCCACCAGCCAGGTCGACGAACTCCTTTCAAGCAATGAGCGAGCGTCCTCCGGGAGAAGCGAGTCCCAATGCAAGCTCAGTATCATCATCCATAACGTCGTATTCTTCGTGTGCAACAGAGACTGATACGCGCAGATGAGGGCTCCGGTGATCGATGCGGTATAAACCAACAGCCAGGCAAACGAAGTGAGAGAGTGTTGTCGATGTTCGTTTGGATCTCGTGCCTCATTCTTCGACTGGAAGAGAGCTTTGCAAACCAATGCAATCGTAACATGGGCCAGCGAAAGGAATGTCGGAACGTGAAAGCCATCTTCGAAGAGGTGTCGCGCGGTGATGACCGTGATCGAAAGGCCGAACAGGCGAATTGATGCAGGACCAAGGTACTGTTGCATGTCGAACCTGGACATTATATGGTCGCAAGTAGCGAAACTGCAGCTTCGCAAAAGACTCAGACGCTCATCATTGAATTTTGAGGAAGAATGAACCGGCCACCACAGGCGTACAAGCAACCTTCAACCACGGCGAACGGCATCACAAGCGTGACACAACACCAATTTATGTTCAACGTCAAATGCAGAAACCCACCTCGTAACAACGACCTGATGCCGCCATGTTCATTGCACTGCCTCTGAAAGCATGCCCTAGGCCACGCTAGTAGAGTATCCGCCAGAATGCATGGACAAAATCTCGTTGCCTGAAAAGGAGTTAGAACAAAGGTTACTCTTGCGAAACCCGCACGCCTTGACTTTTTAGATACAGTAGTCCAGTCCGAACGAGGTATTCATTCGCATAAGCATCCTTCGTACTTCGAGACAGTATGAGTCGGATGACTTGTTCAATGAGGTCGGAGAATGCCCGCAGCCAGTCGCAGCAGGAAGATCCGCACCGTTGTGGTTCCATAATATGGACACATGTCGTTGACAACAGGCACCAGCACACACTTTCCCGGAGTCTCATCCTCCAGCGCCAGGAGATTGATTTGAAAGACCATCTTGCGCAGAATTTCTTCTCTGGTGCTGCCTATTCCGGCGATAGAATTCACGTATCTCTCCATGTACTCTTTGCTGAGCGGTGAGGTTTTGATGGGCTTGTCAAAGATCTGTTCAATCAGCTTTGTGACTTGGGCAATATCTGCGCAGGCAAAGGTCTGTTAGCTCTTGTGACTTCCAAAGTCATCGTGGTAGAAGGCTGTTTGACTCACTGATCGTCTCCCAAGCCATGCTCATCACAGGCTGCCACTCTCCATCGGGTAGCTCACATGCTGCGGCGACAAACCGACCCACGTCGCCGATGGTAGTCATGGTAATGTTCGGATAAGTTCCGTCATCGAAAACGGGAGGGTATGCCTCTCCTTTCAAGATATCCCACATATGACGGTATGTACGTCCGCCAGTGCAGGGACCATCGTCTCCGGATCTTCGTAGTCGACGCAGCGGATCGCGGCGCCGTACATCTCAGTTGGCATTTTGTCGACATCTTGCATCCGTGTAAGGATGATAGGCGTGTTGCCTGTCTGACCGATCGCTGAAACAATGGAGCCTGGTTGATTTTCAGTCAGCTGCCTTCATTCAAGTTGAAGCATGTTACAAACGGCCGAGGGTTTTGGAAGTGCCGCCTGCTACTGCAATGATGACCATGCTGTTGGAAGTCTGTCGTGCTGGAATGCTATCAAAAAAGAATGACCAGGTGCGAGGCCTTTTTGGATAACAGCGAAATAATAAGAGATTCGAGCAATGAGGAGGCACTTCCTTGATCAGGTGCCATCGCGGGAAAGCGTGAGGCAGCATCGATTGAGTCACGTCTTCCAGCAATCGCGACACGTCTCTTCTCATCGCCAAGCAGCGGGGACGAAGCAGATCAGCATGGTTTGTAGCAGTACAGTACATATGTATCGGACGCGAATACGACTTGCCTGAAGCGAAACACCCAAGAACAGGGACCACCTCAATTTTCCCGCCGTCGAACCAAGGCGATTCGCCCACCTGCTTTGATCGTCTCTCCCTAAGTATATGAATTAGTAATGAGATTCTCACAGTGAACTCATGAGTCACTCACCGGCTCTATCAAGAGCTTCTCAACAATGCCACCACCTTTGAGGCTTTCTGGAGCGTTGACGTTGATCTCCAGCTTCATCGCCTCTAAGATTGCCACAAGCTGGTTCGGCTTGATCTCATCCTTCTCCTTGACCTCCACCTTCCAAACATTGGCATCCACAGGTGCTTCGATCGAAGTGATCTGCGGATCTTGAAGGAGGTTCTCGATTGTGCTCTCATCAGGCTTGTTCTTGGACTTCTCCGCACGCCAACGTTCCAAGGACTCTTGCTCTGCCTGTATCATCTCTTCTTGTACTTTGCGCTGCTTCGACCTGATGTCACGAACCTCATCAGCAGTGTCGGCGAGCATTTTGTTATGTTCCGCCATGTCGAACTCGGCAGGTTCCCATTCGAACTTGTACTGGCCAGATCTGAACAGACCAAGCATTCGATTGAGCTCATCCTCACTCACTTCGTAGAATGTGAGGATATCGAAGTCTTCAAACAGCCAAGGGCGGTCGGGGGAGAAGCCTTCCTTATAACCGTAATAGTCAAAGCAGGGAATGGTCCGGCCAAGCATTTGATAGCCACCAGGAGAGTCGACAGGATAGATACTGGCGCAAGAGCCACCCCACCCAAAAGTGCCTTCAGGCGTGAACACCCGTGACGGATTCGCTTTCGGGCAAGACATTCGCTGCCTGGGGTCCACGGGTAAAGACACAGTGTTCCCACAGAAAAAGCCCACGGCAACGGACATCAGCTCACCATTGAGCATGTTGTATTTGAGCTGCTCGGCAGAGAAAGCATTGTTCTTTGCCACAAAGTCCAGATTGTCCGGTAGGTAGGGCGCGTGAGGTCTTTGCGTTTCCATGTAGCGCTTCGTTGCATCTGTTTGCTCCTTGCTCTCGAAGGACAGCGGCAACTTGAAGCGGCGACATGGTACTTTTGACTTGCTCAGATCACCGATCTGGTCTTCCAGCGCCTGGAGATGCTCAATCAGCTTGTCTCGCGGTAGCTTGGCGCCATCGTAGCCTGTGACAAACGTTAGCATGGATTGTGTCGCGGCAATACAAGAACTCACAGATCGTGATGCTGGTACAGCATCCTACAGTAGTGATCAAGTTATCTTTCAACCAAGAAGGCGCATCCTTGGAGTTGACAGCCTTCTCCAGTGCTGTGGCCCTGCATCGATAGTTGATATCAAACTGCTCATTGCCGTACTCTACAAGCAGGTAATCGTCACCCGCTTGGCGATACCGAACTTGAGGACTTGTATCCGAAGCAGGTCGTTCCCACAGTACCGCCTTCTGGTAATTGCCAGAGGGAGTGAAGGGCTGGTTGAAAGCTGGCACGCCGTCAAAGCTGCCCTTCTCCACCGCGTATTGTATCGCGTCGAGGTACCCATCGTTACGCTTGCGCAAGTTTAATGCTTCCTCCAAGCTCACCCTCTTATACTGCATGGTATCTCCTGCTTTCAATTGGCCAAGCTTCCACCAGTCCGCTCGAATGGTAGTTGCGGATGAAGCGAAGCCACCAAAGTTGGGGCAGTCAAGCGCAAAAATACAGCCTTCATCACCAGTCCAGTTGAGGGTGCCGCAAGAGTATCCATACTCGACCAAGTTTGAGGGATGGGAACCACCTTCGCCTCCGTCTGACCTCGCCCATTTTGGCACTGGACCTACAAGTCTAATTGCACTTCGGCTGGCGTTGTGCGAGATCTTCCACTCCGTACTGTACAGCATCGCGATGTCTTCGTCTGTCAAGTAGCCTTCCTCGTGTGGACCAGGCAGTGCCATCACTTCCCACTTCTTAGTATATTTTGGTTGAATTGCCTCAGGTATCGCAGGATGACCTGCAAGGCTCTGGGGGGTGTTCTTGACGACGCTGAGTTGATCACCAGGCGCGAGTTGTCGACCTTGATAACCACCAATCGCAACCAGAGGAGATGTCGACTTTGATTCGAAGTATTCTGACACCGCGGGGAACCCGCCATGAATCGCAAGGTAGCTGCGGCACCCACCATCAGTCGTACGTCCGATAGTAAGTTTCTGGCCTGGTTTTATGTGCTTTCTCGACCACATAGGAAACGGCGAATCGTCAAGGGTCGCCTCGATCGGTGCCCCTGTCAGAGCAATAACGGCAGGTCCCAAGAATCGCAGTTCAGGTCCACTGAGAGTGATCTCAAGACCTTCCTTATTGCGTTCGTTCCCTACGAGCAGGTTGCCTACAGCAAGGGCAATGGGGTCCATGGCGCCGCTGCGAGGAATGCCTTTCGCGACTTTTGGTCTTCCTTCGAGATCTTGCACCAGAGTATACGCGCCCGCAGAAATGACTTCGATGACATTCGGCTTGTAGTCAAAGCTCTTAAGAAAGGACGTAAGCGTTGTTCCAGACTTGAAGGTCTCGTCTTCCATGATTGCTGCCAGGAATTCCAGGTTGTTTGGCGGTCCTGCAACAGTTGATCTCGAGAGAAGCATATCCATGCCTTTGATTGCAGCATCGCGCGTCTTTGCATGGTTAACGACTTTCGCGATCAAAGGATCGTAATTGGGTGAAATGCGAAGACCTGTTCGTACCCAAGTATCGATACGGCTGTTGGCGAGCTTCGTCCAGTGTACCTCCGTCAAGAGGCCAGGAGAGGGCGCAAAGTCTCGAAGCACGTTTTCAGCATATACTCGCGCCTCAATGGCTGCTCCAGTAGGGCCCGCTTTCTGCAAAGATTCCAGGTACTCATGAGATAGCCCACCTTTACCTGCTAGCTCCCCGTCGGCCTGCTTTAACATCAGCTCCACCAAATCAACATCGTAGCACATCTCCGTGATCGGGTGTTCGACTTGAAGGCGAGTGTTCATCTCCAGGAAGAAGAAGTCGGCGGACTTATCGTCTACAAGAAATTCAATGGTGCCAGCCGAGGAATACTTTACAGTTTCCGCAAGAGTCACAGCAGCCGTACAAAGCTTCTCTCGCAGACCTGGATGTTTCTCGACAAACGGACTGGGGCACTCCTCGATGACTTTCTGATTCCGGCGCTGAATCGAGCATTCACGCTCGCCAAAGCTGATGGCTTTTTCATTCGAGCCGAAGACCTGCACTTCGATGTGATGGCTCTCTGGGTAGTACTTCTCGATGAAGACGCCGGAATCCTTGAACAAGGCCTCGCCGCGGGATTTGGCTGTCTTGAAGCCAGTCTTCGCTTCGTCGGGATTGTTGCAGACTATCAATCCCGCTCCGCCACCTCCTGCAGTGATCTTGAGCATGACAGGATAGCCAATCTGCTCACTCTGCTTGAGAGCATCATCCTCGCTCTCGACAAGCCCTTTGGTTCCAGGCACGATAGGGACGGAAGCTTCCTGTGCCAGATCTCGAGCGATGTGCTTTATACCGAAGGACTTGATAGCGTCAGGTCCAGGACCGACCCACGCCAATCCGGCATCGATAACAGCCTGTGCGAAGGCGGCATTCTCTGACAGGAACCCGTAACCTGGAATGACCGCATCGCATTTCTTGTCCTTGGCAATTTTCAGGATCTCGTCGACATTGGTGTAGCTGTTGACGTCGGACAAAAGAACAGCCTCATCAGCATTGGAGACGTGGAGAGAGGCGGCATCTGCGGTCGTGTAGATGGACACAGTCTTGATGCCGAGTTTCTTCGCCGTTGTTATGATGCGGACGGCCTGGGAAAGCGTGTCAGTATAGAGTTTTGATGTGTTTCTTCCATCACGAGAGGCGTACAATCTCTCCCCGATTGGCAATTAGGAGGCGCTGCAGCTTCTCCATTGTGGCCTTTTGTCCTCCTCTTCAACAAGTTACACAGCTACAGATCCAAAATCTGTACCTGACATGCGACTTTATGAGCTCGACAGATGTGTCTTCGATGATCTTGACCCCCGGCGCGGCCAGATCGCTGTTGCCGCTGATAAGAGCTCCAAGTGAGGGGCCATTGTCAAGGTCAAGGATACTTACATCACCACAGCACTCCGATAGGCAGCTCCACGCCGCCGTCGGCCAAACCTCATCTCTTGAGCCAAGTAAGAACAAGATCAAGCTAAACAATCTCTTTGTATCACTCTCGTCTTCACTTCTCGTGCATACTCACACATAACGAACGATGCCACCAATTCCACGAAAAGTCCACATCAACGTCGACTTAGGCGAAGGCTATGGCAACTTCAGAGCCAATCCGTCCTGCACAGATGAGGATCTAATCCCACTCATCGACCATGCAAATGTAAGCAAACGCCTTACAAATAAAACATCAACATTCACTAACACATTCCCTAGGTAGCCTGCGGCTTCCACGCCGGCGACCCCCTAATCATGCAAGAAACCGTCCGCGCCTGCAAACGCGCCAACATCAAAGTCGGAGCACATCCTGGCCTGCCTGGTACGTCCTTCCTGCATCTATGATAAATATCAAGCACAAATTTCTGACAGTAACACAGACATCCAAGGCTTCGGCCGTCGCGAGATCAAAATGTCCCCAGAAGAGCTCACGGCAATGGTGCGGTATCAAGTTGGCGCTCTGCAAGGCTTCTTGGACGCGGAGGGCGTCCCTCTGAACCACGTCAAGCCACATGGTGTTCTGTATGGGATGATGTACAGAGACGAAGAAGTGTGTCGAGCGGTGTATGAGGGCGTGCCGATGGGCGTGAGGGTTTTCGGTCTTGCTGGGTAAGAGTCATTCGCTCTTGGTTTAAGGGGGACTGTTTTACTGATGAAAATTGGGCATAGAACGATCCAAGAAAAGGTCGCCAAAGAACTCGGCTTGCCCTTCACCGCCGAGCTCTACGGGGATGTCAAGTACAGTAAAGACGGCAAGCTTGTAATCGACCGCAAGAAGAAGCCTTGGACGGCCGAGGAGACGAAGAAGCATGTCGAATCGCAAGTCATCTCGAGCTCCGTCACAGCTGTCACGGGTGAAGAGATCCAGCTTCCAATCGGGGACCACGAGGTGTCCATGTGCTGTCATAGTGACAGTCCAGGGGCATTGGAGATTGTCAAGGCAGCGAGGCAGATTGTTGACAAGTTTAATCAAGATCAGGGCTACGCATAAAATCGCAATGCTGGAGTCAACCGATTGTTCCATTCAGTGACTCTCGAGTTGCTAGGCTGTTGCTGGACTTAATACCCACACCTCATCGTCCACCATCGTCTGGCGCGCGAAAGCGGTGCACACATGCCAACCCACATCTACTTCCCCTTCATCAACTTCGCAAACTCCTCAACTATCCAATCGTCAGCAAAACCCCACACACAAAACAGAACACAAAACCCACAATCAACCGTCCCACTCCGATCCACATCCGCCTCCTGCATCATCTGCTCAATCTCCGCATCCGAAAGATCCTCGCCCAAAGCCACCATAACCTTCTTCAGCTCGTCGGTCGAAATGGTCCCGCTGCCGTCACGGTCAAACACGCGGAACGCATCGCGCAGCTCCTGGTCATAGTCGGTGTCGGCGAGCTTGTGCGACATCATGGTGACGAATTCGTGGATGTCGATGCTGCCGGTGTTGTCGACGTCGACTTCGCCGATCCTGGTAAGACAGGCATGTCAAATGGTTCGTTCTTGCCGCCTTGAGGTTTGTAACTCACATGTCTTTGAGCTCCGAGTCTGTAGGGTTCAAGCCCAGAGAACGCATTACGTCCCCGAGCTCTTCGGCCGTGATCTCACCTGCAAGTCATCAATATCATGGAAAGCACGCCAATAGGTACGAATTGCCATCTCACATACCATCTCCATTCTTGTCCTACAACCGTCGTCTATTCAGAGCGCAGCCCCCAATGCCACTGAGAAAACCATCGTTACTCACGAATGCCTTGAAGGCTTCCTGGAGTTCCAGTACCACTGAGGAGTTCGCTTGATTGCCACTGCCGGTGCCTTGTGCCTAGATCATCAACTCGTCATTAGTCGAGATGTTTCAAAAACGCCGTCATGAGGACTGCTCCGCTTACCGCCATAGTGGCTGGTCAAATCGCTCGTGGAGGTAGTGAGCTAGCAGGCCAGTGTATACAGTCGGTCGCACGGAATGATGTGAGCTGAGAGAGCACGATACGGTTTCAGTCGTCGAGTTGTCGGTTTGAAGTGAAGTCGAACGACATGTACATGGCGGTGACGACCAGGCAATAGCTTTGAAGCTCAGCTCCTTTCGTTCGCCAATCACAGCGAGCTGCGCGGAGTATACTTCGAGGTGGACGGTAAGGCTACGTATGAAAGTGTACACGCTGAAAATTCAAGTCGCTTTCATTCATCTGGTCATGGCCAATGCTACTTATTGTGTCTCATCTTGTAGGCAATCCAGTCTCATGCCACGTCACCCAAACGCCTTGGATGCCGAGTATGTTACAGCTTTACGCATCATACACTTCATCAGCCGCTGAATAACCGGGCAAATGTCCATCACCCACCACCATATCGTAGCAGAATGACCAGTAACGTATCAACCACCAACGCCAAGGCTAACAGCAGTCATGTCGTCTCATCCCGTCACCAAAATGTTCATTCCCTTGTTATGTGCGGCAAAGAGTCATTTGGCAAGACGACGGATCTCATCGACCTGGCGGTGGAGCTGGCTGATCGTTCTGAGAGCCGGATCACTAGGCTTGGTCTCGGAGATTTGCATGTAGGCGCCCTGCAGCCGCTGCGACAGAACGTCCATGATCTTGGGCGCAACATCTCTAATGTCGTCGTCTCTCACGTCGATCTGGTTGAGCACGTGGCTGAGCCACTCGAGGCGCTGCTCGGCGTTGGTCTCGAAGCTTGAGGTGATGGCCGCAGACACAGTAAGAGCAACCAAGGGCGAGACATGCTGGAGGTAGCTGAGGTTGACGCGAACGAAGAGCTTGTCGAAGATGTCGGCTTGACGATCGGAAGAGATCCACTGCAAAGTAGTTAGTAATGAACACATTCAAAAAGTCAAAGAGGACTCACCTGAATAGTAGCCTCTTCGTAGGCACCATCCACCAACTTCTGCGTCATTTCGGCCACCTCCTTATCCTCGGCCTCGGTTTGAGGATCCGAGCGAGTAGACGGTGTGGCGGATGCGTTGGCAGCATTCTGAGCCTGCTCGCGTTGCATCTTGATGATCTGCTCCTGGAAAGCAGACTGGCTTGAAGCCATGTTCTGAATGGTGTTGGACAAGTTACGGACCATGTTGGAGAGCTCCTCGATCTTGGTGTTGTCGTGCTGGCGTTGCTGCTCGGCCAGCCGCTGCTGCTGTGTAAAGCGCTTCTCAAGATCCGATACCATCTTCTGCGCTGCCTGAGTCGCCGCATTTGGCAAAGACTGCTTCAGGATGTTCGTGACTTGTTCGTGCACCTTGGCGGCCACGTTCGTCGAAGTAACATCCGAGATGGTTCGGTGAACCTCCTTGTCCTTTAAGGCTTGCTGCAGGGCATTGGATAGCGTGGCCCTCATTGCGGATGCAACACTGGTGTTCAGCTGTTGTGGAAGCGTCTCCGCAATCTTGCGGTCAACGACCTTGCTCGTTACTTCGGTGAGAGTCGGGATGACGTCCTTCTCGATGCGATTGGCGATGATGCTGCTCAAGCTGCGGTCTACGTTCTCGGTTAATGTGGAGGACACCAAGCGTAGCAGAGCGTCTTGCTTGGCTCCAGCAGCTGCATCAGAGACGCGCTTGTCAGACTCAATGCGCTGGTAGAGCGAGTCGAACTGCTTGTTAAGCACAGAGCTCATGTCATCTGAACCAGTGATGGACGAGATGTTGGCCTTGGCGTGTGCTGCCTTGGGAGACACCACCACCTTCTTGGCCGAGTCAGAATCGTCAGCCGCCTTGTCCTTGACGGGAGACTTGGCACGTTGAGCGGCATTTGCGTATGAGTCCGGTGTCATGAGCGGCGGATTGGTTGGGATTTGTGGCAGAGGCTTGGATGGTGGCTCGGGCGAAGCCATGCGTGGGAGACCGTTCGCCGATGGTGCGGGCGAGTCTGTCTTCTCCTTCTTGATCTCAGGCTTCGCAGGAGTCGCCGGCTTTGGCGGATCGGCCTTCTTGGATGGCGCTGGCTTTGGTACAGGCTTTGACGTAGCAGCGGTGTCGGCATTGCTTGATTGCTCGCTGGACGCTGGAAGCTTCTGTGGTTGCACCAGCTCGCTCACTTCGATGATGCCTTCCTTCAAAGCGTCCTTGGGATTTACCATCTTGCTCTGAGCATCCCAACCCAGATCCTCGCGCTTGATGCTGATGCCGATGACGCCCTTCGAGTGCATGACGTAGAGCTCAAACAATGTCTCCTCGGGCGTGTTACGCTCGCTGCCGTTGTCGACTGGTGTCTTGAGCATGTCAACACTCCTAAGCTGACCACCCACCTTCGCAAAAGAGAACTCCCTAAGTCCACTCATGATGGCGGTGCTCTCAGGCTTGGGAAGTGCAGGGTCTCCGCTAGCTAGCATGCCGATGTATCTAGCTTGGTCCATCTGCGGGAGGTTGTACTTTGGAGCACTCAGATGGACGAAGTAGATGCTGTTGCGGGTCGGGTGCCCGATCGCAATGATGCCGGTCTTGGGATGATAGCTGATGCTGCAGATACCATCGCTGTCCTTCTCATGAGGCAAACGAATCTCTTGCACAGCTTTGCCCAGGCCAAGATCCCAAAGCTGAAGGATGTGGTTCTGTCTGAAGCCGACGATCACGTAACGGAGGGCAGCACCCTTGCTGGTGGGGCGATCCTTGTCGAGGAACATGATGGACGACACAGAAGGCTTCTCGTCGGGCTTGCTGCCGGACGTGGCGGCGTTGATAGTCCAGATAGGGTCGCGAAGCTCAACGCCATCGTGCTTGCCTTCAGCCATGTCGCCAGTCCGAGTCGTGAGAGGAGCGATACCCCAGAACTTGCATCGTCCGTTCTTATCGAGACTGGCAATCACAGAGTCATCTTCCGAGAAACAGAAGTCTTTGCCGGCTTTGCCAGTGTTGATCTTGAGGCTGTGGTCTTCGAAGAACTTCTCGCTGTTGACCTTGCGAGTCGTGCCGCTGCAGTATGCCTTTTCCTTGGCCATTTCTGGCGCAACGATGAATATCTGCTTGCCTCTGGCCATGGCGAAGTACTCGGGGTGACGGTTGCTGAGCTTTGCTCTAGTCTTGACCGGAGAACCTGACGTGTTCTCGTCCGGCGTCTGCACTGGAGGCATGATGAAGCCCTGGCCCTCGACATCATCGTCTGCGAAGAGGTCACCGCGGGACTTGGCGAGCGAGGTCCAGAAGACGGATCCATTGACGCCAGTGCCGAGAACGGCCTCAACATCGTGGGTCGAGTTGCAAAGCTGTACACTGAAGATGCGCTCGCCGCTGGAACGGAAGACTTGCTTGTGATCACCACTGTCTTGACGAATGATGCGGAAGCCGCCGTTGTCCTTCTTGGTCGCGACTTGGGCATACACGATATGCGTTTGACTGGCAGTGACCAAGCAGCGGTCGATCTGGTCGAACTCCTTCTTCAGTTGTGCTATAACCATGAAGTGGTCCTGACGGATCGGCCGAGCTGTCTTGGTCTGCTTGATCTGCAGAGAAACGAAAGGCTTCATGGGGAAGTTGTAAACCTCGACCTTGAAATCCTCGGCGGTATCATCTTCAGCGCTCTCCCAGCTTGACTCGACCTCGCTGCCTGCAGGCTCTTTCTTGATCAAAATGTCGTCGTCTGCAGCATCACCTGCACGTGCGCTCAATGTCTCCTTTGGCTCACTCTTGGTGTCGGCAGCTGCAAGTGCCTTCTCGACCTGTTTGTCGACTTGTTCACCAACATCCTCCAGAGCTTCAGAAACACTCTGCTGCGCCTTGCTCTCTGATCCTGGCGTGGGCACGTTGTCTGTAGCCTCCATCTTCCTGCTCTTTGACGCTGGCGCACTTGACTCTCCGTTATTTGAAGCATCTCTGTTGTGCTTGAGAATCTCGATCTTCTTCGGCTGGCCAGCCTGTGCAACAGCGGCCTGGGCTTCGGGATTCGGGGTGCGGTTCAATGGCGAAGAGGACGACAATTGATCGAAAGGGTTGACGTAGTTGAACATTTGCGCTTTCGTGGGCTGTGGGGCTTCGAACGGTGTGCTGTCGCCGGCCGGGCTGCCAAATTGGCGGACTGGAGTAGATTCGCGTGGGATTTGAGGTTGTGCAGGCGAGCCGACTGATGCGTTTGCGAAGTTTCTGACGAGCTCGTTGACATCAGAATTGCGCTTATCACCTTGCTCAGTACCCTGAGGTCCCGACTCGGTGACAGGTTGCACAGGGGGTTGCTGAGACTTGGGTTTGGTGAGTAGGTTGAGGAGAAAGTCTTGCTGGTTCGGCGGCTGGTTGTCTGACTTCTCTGCACCTGCCGCTGCCAGTGGAGATGGACTGGCGCCTGAGCCCGTGCGCTTCAGATTCGACATGAGGTCGGCAGCGGAAAGTGGACGTGAGTGTCCGCTGTCTCTAGACTGAAGCGTAGGCATGTGAACGGTCGAGTGTCGGTTGCCGCCGACGTTTTGTAGGTTGGCCATTGGACTCGCACGACCTTGTTGCTGGTCAGACTGTCCATTGAACTTGAGCAGACTGAGGAGCTGGTTCTGTCCGGCAGACTCGGCGCCTGGAGTGCCCACCGCGGAGGATGGGTTGACGGGACTGAGGATGTTGGCCGAGTGGACCGGATTCGGAGTCTGGACTGGCGGCGAGAAGAGGGGCGAGGACACGGATGGTTGCGGCGGTGCCCACAGTGAGGGTTGCTGGTTCTGCGATTGCTGGCCTGGCGACTGTGCGGGCTGGCTCTTCAGACGAGCGAAGAGCTCCTGCAGGTTGTTGTGCGAGTCGACCATGGTGCGTGAGGGGGCGCGAGGCGCCGGTGTTGGTTATATTACAGTCCTCGGGGCGCCAGTATGGTACAGCAGAGTGATGGAAGCAAAAAGTTGGAGGTGTTTGTTGTATGAGCGAGTGTGATTGGGGTGTGGCGGGTCACCAAAAGCTACGATGGTGACAGCTCGTGCGGCCCGCTTCCGAATCGGGCAAGTGCGACGACGATTTACTCTCACTTTGGTGTGCCATTACTCGTGAAAGTGACTTGATGCCTGACAGGAGCTGCGGAAGTGGTTCATGTTCCATGGGAGTGCATCTCATGAGTCGCATCGTGGTCGTTACTACGTCGATGGCTTTCACAGGGCCAACAATTCATCCTGTTCGATCAGATTGGCGTTGAATCACGAAGGCCGCCATCATCATACAAGTCAATCGCTCGTTTACAGATCGCATTAACTACTTTGGTATCATCTCTCCAGCGTACAGGCAAAGCAATCTCCCCAAACCCACCTGGTATGCCTTCTAACTTTTCCACAACGCCAACTGCTGACTCCTGGCTATGCACCCAAGTCCTGCTCAATGGCGCCAATGTCTCTCGTTGCCGCAGCGCGGCAGCTCGCAAACGCAGCCGACGTTCCAACCACCACAATCGGAAATCATATCTCGGCTGATAGTGTTCTACACTGGGAGGTTGAACTTCTTGCCTTGTAGGACCCTAAACCCAGCTGTTAGCGACTGAGCTTCGAATGGCGAGCATTCGTTGGTCATACTTAGTGTAGTAGATCCAGAAGAAGTCGGAGTAAAGAACAGTCTGAACGATGCCTGCAAGAACGGGAATTGGATCCCAGTAGCCATTCTCGGTGAAGAAGCGGTATATCCAGTTGGGAATGTAGAGAGCTCGGTAGGCACCCAGAGCAAAGAGGTAATGCGTGGTGATAGTCTCTGCCTCGCCTGTCCGTTGGAGCATGAATAGCTGTGGGAGGATCGCAACCGATTCTAGCCAGATGGAGAATGCCCAGAGCATCTACACAAATATGTGAGCTTCATCTATCCCGCGTTGGAAAAACGGTGTCCCTGTCGACATACCTCTGCTGGTGTGTATTTCACGGGAAATAATATCCCCAGAACTGCAGCTCCTCCTACAAGATATTCCACCTTGAATGTGTCTTGGTTCGGATCGTGCGTTGGTTTATAATCGTTGAGCATGAGGTAAACCGTGTAGACCTGTGCGCCAATGAAGACAATCTTGAAAGTGGTGTTCCAGAGCGATTTCGTTGGGTCCGTCCAGAGCAGGTCTGTACCCCTGTCAGCTCCCTTTCCAGCAACATTCCCCTCGTCCTCTTCAGAGAACCTACCAAGGTATCTCGTAACATAAACGACCAGATAGAGAAACTGGCTCTTGAACGATATGCCAGACGCCGACTTGATTCACCCAGTTAGCACGTACTCCTACCATTTTCAACTCCATTGGAAGCGCATACACTCGAGGACTTCATCTTCGCAAGCAATATGAAAATCGACGCCAAATGCGACAAGTCGCCTGTATCCCGTGAGCTCCTATCCGCATCTTCCCACACGTTCCTCGCGGTGTTGTACCTAGCATTCGAAAGATATTCATGGTGGGCGGTGAGGGCCGGAGCCGCGTAGATTCGTCTCGATATCGGTCGCGTCGTTCGCTGCAATCGGTGGATGTCGTGAGAGTGGGGAGAGTGGAGAGACAATGCCTTGTTGTGGTGTTGGTCGAGACGGACAGCTTTCATGTATTTTGTCCCTTGGGAGCTGCTCAGCGGCGCTTGGGCCACGATCTGCACGGAGGTTTTGGACCCCTGCGCGAGAGTCGCCGCACCTTCCTTCTGAAACTCACTTTAGATGAGATTGTCAGGCAAGAATTCAGGCATGAATGTGAGAGACGGTCTCTCCCAACGCTGTAGCTGCATTGTTCCATCTAGACAACATCCGCCACACATTTCGTGAAAATTATCATCCCTGGATTCTGAAAAGCCCTTTCTTCTCCTTCGGCTTGATCAAATGAAACCTCTCCTGCCTCCCATAAACCCACTCCCAACTCTCCTTCTCATCATGCCAATAAACATCCTCCTCCAAGAAGAAGTTCAGTGTTGCATTCTTTTCAGGCACATAATGCTCTGCATACAGTTCCACACTATACCACATGTTCTTCAACAGCGGCAAGTCACCCAGAACAGTAACTCCGTCTTGAAGAAACGCCATCCCAATCAGCGTGCCTGCAGCGTGGCCCCAGTCTCCGATCGGGTGAGAGTAGATCTGGCCTTCGAGACCTTCGGCATGGACATTGTCCAGAATATTCTTGAGGATCTCGTTACCGGACAGGCCGATCTTCATGTTTGCTCTGGTCAGGTCTTGCAGGCGATTGCCGGCCTTTAAGCCATCGATAATGCCTTGAGGGATGTCCTTCTCTTTGTCGCCCGGCGGGAGGACATAGGCCAGATGCTGCGTATCCGTGTTCAGGCCCATAGCAGTAACGCCGAAATCGACGTGAAGCAGGTCACCATAGGCAATTGGCCTCGCTCCAGGAGTATTGGGTGGCCCAATGACAGTCTGCGGTCCGAGAATCGAGACAGCAGGTTGAAACCAAGTGGTATAGTTCAACGCCTGGATCTTGTCACGCATCCACCACTCGACATCCTACAGTAACGCGTCAGCCGTCACGAATCCACCAGAAACAAAGTTGCACAAACCTCCGTCGTCGTCTTCCCCGGCGTAATGACCTTCTCACTAAACCCCTCATCAATGATCGCCCACGCCGTCTCCATAATCTTCCTATACCACCCCAACCTCGACTTTGGCATCGTCCCAATATACTCCACCGGCACAATCGGCTTGTTGACCAACTTATCCGCCCAATAAGGCCCCAATTGCCCAACAATCAAATCTCTCTCACCAGCATGCAATCCTGAAGCGAATGCAATCTGCGGATCAGTATCAACGACAATCGATTTTGGGTTGCATGCTTCAAGGACGTGCTCCAGCTCTGTCCAGACGGCCGGAGTAATGTCGATCCAGGATTGGAAAGTGCAGTTCTTGGATTCGACCAGGTGCTCGGCGAAGAAGATGTATGTGGTTCGACGGCGTGCGGAGAACTGGACGGCTTGTTTCATGGACCAGAATGCTTCGACTTGTTAGCATTGCTCGTTAATGGTCTTTGGAAGTTGGAAGTACCGGTGTCTTCGGCGTACTCTTTCTGAGAAAGCTAGACCGACTTGTAAGAACCATGGACATCACGCCTTGATGAGTCTCCTTACAAGCCAAGCATCTACGCCATGCTTCTCCAACAACGCAGGCACACTATCCAATCTTTCCTGCCGCCAGCTATCTTGTATCTTGGCCTGCTCTCTGAGCGGCGGCAAGTGTTGGTATTCAGGCTTCTTCGTAGACACCACACGCGGCGCGAAGAAAGAAAGTATGGCGATGAACTTTCTGAGAAGCATCTTGACGTTTGCTTGCTCAATGGCAACGCGATGTAGTTTGTGTAACAATCGAAGGAGCGAGCTGAGGTGCCGGTAAATGTAGGTGAAAGATTGGTGCCTGAGGCCGCAAATCCTTCGAGCGTCGAAGTTGAATGCCGGTGCTCGGAGTGACAATGGCGTTGAAAGGATCAGAGATGGACTTGAGTGGTTTGAACTCCGCAGAGTGCTTCGTCGCCCCAAAAACCACAATTAGGTCGATCCCGTCAACGCCGAAGTGAAATGCAGTCGAAGCAACCGTGGGCCTCGCGAGAGTCTGAGTTGATGGCAAACAAGACAACACACTCCTTACCTTCTGCAGAGGGCCACTTTCGTTCAAGGTTCAAGACTGACCGACATTCCAGGATCCTCAAGAAGTGGCATTGTATCTTCATATCACCACTTCAACTAAAACACTCCACAATAGGATATATCCCGCTCGCCAGGTCCAAAGCCCCTGTAACACACTGAATCGTCTCATCCGGACAAGTCATCACTCCGGGCCCCTCCGACGTCCCAGTATACGAACACCCATTAACAGTCGACCCCAAAGACTCATTCGCCTCGACTGTGACATCCGGGAACGGCAAATTGTTCACGTCCGTGACTTCAGGCCCCGCGAAAGATCGTCCGACTGAGAAACTTCCCGTCCATGCATTGCCGGTCTGGTCGATCCAGTACCATATATCAGTGTTGCTGCTGTATGCGATGACAACGTATTTGTCGGCGCCTGAGGGGCTGTCTAGTCCCGAGGTTGGGGCTGGGCTGATGGATGTGCCTCCGGTTATGATCACCTGCCCACCATAGCCGCCAACTCCTAGTGTAGGCGCGAGCTCGCTGTCCGCGTCGGTGTACCATGGTGTATACTCTGCCATGGCCTCGCAGCTCAAAGTCGTCGAAGTGTTCGTCGTGGTGGCTTCTTCGTCGCAGGCTGTGGATTGCGAGCAGGATGTATAGCAGCTCGTCGTCGCAGAGCTAGGTGAGGGCATGGCAGTGACCACGCACGCCACCTCGCAGTCTGTAACGATGGCAGTCGGAGTTGCGCCGTCCTCACATTCCTTTGGTTCACTGTTGTCTTCATCTCCGTCGTTACTCGTACCTGGAGGACAAGCTGACCCAACACAGAGGTACTCGATACCGCCGCAACCAGAGCAGATGCCTCCGCAAGTCAAGCCACAGGAGCGGCAGAAGAGAAGACATCCCAAGCCGCAGCCAGAAGTACAAATAGGGCCTGTAGTACCTTTGGTAAAATGAACTGTCTTTGGATTCTCTTGATCATCGTCTTTAGGATCCGGCTTCGAGGTTACCACGACCGTAATTGGACTTTGAGTTGGTGTAATGCCAGGTGGCGGCTCGAGAGTGACAGGGGTAGAGGGAATAATACTTGGAGCGACTTCGTACGTCGCAGTAGCGTCGGAAATCCATTGGAGAGAACGTAGAGCTCCATTGCTGATGTTTCACAGGAGACTTATTCGAACTCGAACGGAGAAGGCGTGAACCACGATACCGTAGACTAGGTGTTTCGATAAAGAGTCCTGATGGCAATTCAAAGCCACACCGTGACAAATCCAATCAATCCAAACCCGGATCCCAGGAGCCATTACATTATTCCGGAAGGTCCAGCTCTGGATCCCACACTCTTCAACAGAGAAGACGACGATACAAAAGTCTTCATCATGACGCCTCTGGACGGAAGTGTGACAACTGCCTCGAAAATGCCTGCCAAACCCCCGTCAGGACTTGCAATGTACCCCAGCAAGATGAGAACCACTACTGACGCTATTAATGAGCTGATCGGTGGCGTCCTCGATGATGTTGTCCAGTGCGATTACTGGCGACTTAACTACGCCAATCCCGCGTATGAGGCTATAATCGACAAGACTGAGCGAGGACTATGCACGTTCCATTACAATCCCAATGCGTTTGGCTCGGGGAAGAAGGGTTGGAGACTGTTCTATGAGGACAGACATTACGTCTCAAACGAGGGTGACGTCGTAGGAGCGTCGTTCAGCGAAAGTCGAGGATGCAGCGTGTGCACAGATCGTGATTCTGTAACTCGCTCTTCCTCCCTAAGACACAGCGAAAACATGAATAATATCGGTTGATGAACGTCTGGTTGTGGTGATGTCGTTGATGGGACGAAGAATGCAAGAAAAGGGGGAAGGAGCTTGTCATAGCGCCCGGCGGAGGCGGGGCTCAGTCTTGGCAACGACAAGGATGCAGCCTTCCCCAACATTAGCGTGTCGTTCAAGTAACACTACATCGTTATAAGTGTTTCCATCTTCCCTTTCGTCTCTCACCGCTTTCTCTGACTCTCAACAAGCCATTCAATCTTCATCGAGAACTCATGAGCGACCGCCATCCACTTCCCCATAATCATGGCTCTGGATGACCTGCCTCTGGAAATCAGAGAACGAATATGTTCATACGTGGATGTCACCTACCAACCCAGTGTCTACAGCTTTGCCTTGACCAGCAAACAATGTCTTGAAGCCGCGACTGCAAGCCTGTTCAAAACCATCAGGATCTCCGTTTCAGAAGCCGACCACCTCGGTGGTCTTATAGAGCGATGCTATCAATTACTTAAACAACGCCACGCCTTCAAGCATGTGCGGCGCCTCGAGATTGTTGTCATGGACAACGTGAAGCCAGGGATACGCAGCCTCGCTGTCGAAGGCGATACGAAGATTGAATCGACTGTCCAAGGATGGGGCTTCAAGCCGGAGAGATATTCAACGGCCAGGGCTCTCGAAGTCATTGCTACATTGGCGAGTCTCACCAGCCTGGTTGCGCAGCTGTCGGGCCTCACATCATTTCGGCATGTCTGTCCAGCGCCCCTCCCGCATTCGATAATAGAGCAACTGCATAGGCGACAACACTGTGAACTGGAGGTCGATACCGTCTTTCCCCCATATACCGGCTGTTGCAGCAGCATATCCGCCGACAGCAGTAGAGACCAGATCATCGCCGACAATGCTTCGATGATGTCCTCTCCCTACATCCGACGAGTTGCGCTCCTTCTGGCTCACCAATGTGCTCCTTCTGTGGTACACTCAAGCTCCTTACGTCGAACCTTGTCTCTGTTGGCACCAGGAACTGAGTCTATTTCGCTGGTGTGTCCACCCGAAATCTCATCTCTTGGAGATCCATCCCCGCCTTCTATGTCAGAAGTCTCTTCCAAGAGAAAGGTGCGAGATCTTGGGCTGATCTATAGTTTCTATGGGAAGTATGATCTGCCAACTTTGGATCAAGTCCTAGACTTCGGCTGCATTGAGAAACTGCACATAGACATGAGGAGCTTGGAGCGTCACCAGGCCTGGCTTACTTCTGCAAGACCGTTTGCCGCATTGAAGAGCCTTTGCGTTCATTCTGGGCGCCCGGCGGACGATACTGTGGCCACATTCCTCGAATGCCTACCTCCTCTGCGCTGCGCATTCTTACCCTGATAATGAACAATCATGAAAGTCTCGTACTCCGAGCAATCGAACGACATGGTCGCTCCTTGGAGGAATTGCACTTGAAGTGGACATCCCTCGTCTCAGAAGAGGTCACCAGGTCCACTATAGGGAGCCTTCATTTCATACAACGCGAGTACACAGGCTTGATCCGCCTATCAGTCAGCTTACAACGCACTTTGGGTGACGGGGTGAAGCTTCTATCTACCGAGCCTTGGGAATCTGCGCTAGTCTGCAAGACGTCAAAATCACACTACTTGTTGGGGAACACACCCGCCCATATGAAATCCAATTCAAATCCAACATTCCCAACGACAAAAATGACAACAAGTTCCTAAACCAGCCCTGGCGTGGGCATGGAGGTTCATACAACTTGAGCAATCGCGATGTGCATAATCACCTCGTCAACTGCGCGATAGACGCCAGACTTGCAGAGTCGATCTTTCGCTGCATTTCAGATGCGAAACCGCGTGGGGCCAAATATCCTTCTCGCCTGAGGCTTCGTGTCGACGGCGCCGGCGACATGGGTCAGCGCGAAGAGATCCAGAGTGTATCTTTTGTTGCAGAACATCTTGCACGCTCATGGCTGGTAATCCCACATCCCAATATTGATCGAGTGGGCGAGCTCCTTGCGGCTGAGATGGATCCTCCTGAGGATGATCTGCTCAGCAACGTGCATGTCATGAACGCGCACAGGTTGCCGAAGGCGGTGGCGCCCATCTTCCGTCGGACATGGCCCAGAGACGAGAAGATAGGTGACTGGAGAAAGGAGTGGCATATTCTGCCGCTGGCAGCGTCATATGCATGATTCAGACGACAAAAGATCTCATCACGAAGAGCAAAATGCTATTCCGAGTAGAATCAACATCAAAAGCTCTTGTATCTTGGCTCCAAAAATTCTCATGGATCTTCCATCTTTTCTACAGTATTTGGCCACTTTTCACTACGCTCTTCCATTGAAGGCACATTTCCTTCCCGTCTAAAACAACGGCAAAAAGATGGCAAAAAGCAGGCAAAAAGCAAAGACATACGACAGCCGCGATTCCCACGTGGTCACCCACCGAAGTACTAGTCAGCCTCTTGACAGTTTGACGATCGGAGAGCGGACGGGATCCAGTATGTTCTGTCAGATATGGTTGTATGTACTGGTGAAGGGTCCTCTGTAAAATATGTAACTTGTCTCCTTTGTCGAGAGACGCACACTGCCAGGTCAGCTTTGCTACCGACCTTGGGAGTCAGCCGGTCGGATTGCTTTCGTTTTGCTGGACACATACTACTAGTGTATAATTCAAGTACGAGGATACCTTGTGCAAACTCAAAAAGTATTCGAGCCGTATAGCTTTTGTAATTGTAGAAAGGAGTGCGACACCAAGGCTGTGAAGGGGGCGTAAATTGTGGCGTGTGGCGCATTGGGTGGCGCATGGCGCGAAACTCTGCGCAACGTCACCATTGTCTCTCTGCTCGGTGCTGGTGAATGAAAGACAACCTCCCCGATCCAGACTCGTACGTGGCGAGTGCATGCCGGGATGGCGCCCGCAATACCACCTCCGGACGTCTTTCCCTCAACTCGACATCCGGGCCGTAAAATCCTCTACCGACGTCTGACCGGTCCGGACGTCAAGCATACGCTCCTATTCTGCTATGGTGCAGGCTCCCATTCGGCCCTTACAACACTCTTTAAACCCTTTCTGGATCAACATCCGGATCTCGAGATCCTCTGTGTCGATCGCTGGGCACTTCCAGTCCCTACGGTGACATCGTCGTCCTCTGTCTCCCGGTCAGGACTTGGTATCTTTGAGGAACTCACCGATATCACGATCGAATTGCTTCAATCTCTGAACATCTCCGAACTTAGCATGGCCGCTCATTCTGCGGGCGTTTACCAAATGCTTCACCTCGCCCAAAGTTGCCAGGAGATTCCGACTCTGAGGGTCACACATCTGTTCCCATTGTGTACCCATATCCCGGCTTCTTTCTGCGGCTCCCAATTCCTGGATTGGATGCGTGTTATGCCGAGCCCCTTGTTCAAAACTTTGACCAGAGTCGACTCCAGCTTCGGTGAATCCTGGCTTGGGACATGGATGGCAGGAGTGAATACCAAATCCATCGCCACAGCACAGTCGCGCAAGCAGCTCTCCAATTATAAAGCCTCTGCGGACGAGACCCGTGCTCGATCGGAACGTCAAGATCTTGATTATCGCATCATCTATGAACATTTTGAGGGCATTGATCACGGGCAACTGGTCAACATCTACCGCGCCTTGACTATGCTCGCTCCGAAAACTAAAGTCGTTTGGTTCACAAGCGATCGCGACGCTTTCTTTGGTCCTTCGAGTGTATCTCGTCTGCTGCTGGAAATACAAGCCGAATCCGATGTCGAGGTATTTGTTGTGGACGGAGCAACTCACGCCGACATCCACGAGAGTAGGGACGTCTGGGAAAACATTATCCAGAGCCTAGGTCTGGCGAAGAAATGCCTGGATTAGATGCAGAGGCGTACAAATCGGCACGTTGGAGACTTTGAATTGGAGATTCTTCGACCGTCTCGCAGGATGATACGATCTGTGTGAGCGCCAGGTCGTTTTTCGCTCACGATTGAGCACTACTCTACTGTGCTATAGTAGACTTGCCATACCTTGCGTCATGAAACACTGTGTCGTCTGTTTGTTGACCACCGCTTAGCAAGCATCGAATCCGGAGGGGTCTACGCAGCCTGTATTCGTCAATCCTTGATTTGATGCGGTGGCGCTAGAAATGCCAGCAATAAACAGAAGGGGGGCCCGTATGGCTCTTTGGCGCTTGGGATGTTGTCGCTTTGCAAAAACCAAGACGTCTGTCACCGCACAACCGGTGAGTCAGGCGCTTTGTCTTTATCATTGCTCCAGCAAGAACTGCCGGTGCTCCGCATTTCGCGTGACAGCTGCTCGTATTACCTGAAGGCAGCAACGTAGGGCGCGCTGAAGTACCATGTCGTTCTGTCAGCAGACATCGTATTGGTGGGAAATTCATGAAGAAATGAGAGGCCTCCGACAGGACCCGATACCAGTGCAAATGAGAAGCTGAGTCCGCAAGTGCAAGAAATTCTAGTGTTACCCATCGCCTACTGATACTGTACATGCATTATCAAGACCTCTGATGGCTTCTTACTAGCTTGGCAAGACTTACATGTCCGGAGCTCGGTACGCATAATGCCTGTCTTCGAGTGCTTTCGTCTAAGCACTGACACTGCCGCAGTTTGTACATGCAACATCAGCTCACACGCAAAAACTTCCACAACCGCCTCCTGGAGCCCTGTATACCTCCACCCACGTCTTCCTGCCGCGTCGCTGACGTCGCGTGCGGCACGGGAGTCTGGTCTCTCGAACTCTCCGAAGAAGTTGGTCCCGTCGGTATCGAAGGGTTGGACATCTCCTTGAAAGATGTTCCATCTGCAGAGTTCACGCCAGCACACGTGTCCTTCCATCAGTTCGACCTCTTGCAAGAGCTGCCAGCAGAAATGACAGGTCGATTCGACATCGTCAACATACAATTCGTAATGCTCTTCATAAAGGACTCCAATTTCTCCAGCGCCCTGCATCGACTTCTCCAAATGCTCAGTAAGCAGACGAAATGCAAGATTCGAATGATATACTGAGAGCAGCGATATGCAGAGCCCGGCGGTTGGCTACAGTGGACCGACAGCAATAGCGCAAACCTGAAGTGGCCTTCGGGAACCCCAGGGAAAGTCGCTGTGCAGATGCCCAAGCTCTTCTCGCTCACTAAAGAGCTATGGGGTCAGTCGAAAAGCCAGTGGATCGCCGAGATAGGCCACCGCTTCTCGGACGCGGGTTTAGAAGAGGTCAAGGTTCTCAAGCCGAGTCCTCAGCCTTCAACGCTAGTGTCAACGCAACTGCAGTCCCTCTGGGGTCTCGAAGATGGCTTTCAGTATCTCCGGGGCAAGCTTCCTGCGGACGCCATTCGCCGCTGGGACGATCAGTATGCTCTTGCGGTGGCTGAGACTCAAGAGCTAAAGTTGGGCTTTGACATGAGTTTGGTGCGAGCTGTTGGTCGGAAACCCCTTTAAAGCAGGGTCCTCTAGATCAGGCTTCGTTAGCCGAGCTTCATTTTTCGGCATGGTGTTTGCATCGAGAGAGAATTGTTTCCACGAAATAGACCAGAAAGCGGTAGCTACTATCTACACTGTGATGCAATTTTAGACCTTGTCCTAACCCTTCCAAGTTTTCCGTTGTCGGCGACTACTGCTTCCCAAGTGTCGTTTTTGGGGAGCTAATCTCGTCTTGCACAAAACAAGACTCAACAGAGATCTCCTCAATAGACCTCAATGTTGAAGAACTGTGTAATAGCCCTAGTTCTTAGGCTAGGAGAGAAGAAATCGTAGCCAATTACAACGCCGCAATCAGTCGTGTAGACAGTGGTAGGCAATTCACCTCCGTAAAGGATATTCCACTACAGTCTACGTTAGTATTGCGTGATGACTGCTGCTGCACTGAGGCTTTACCGAAGCAACTTTGTCATTGAAGAATGGTCGCTGGACGAGCCCGCTAAAGACTGCTTGAGAATCCAACAGGATCCGAGGCTGGAAAATGGGGAAGCCTGGATCGACATATCCAGTCCACACGCTAGGTCGCGTACTATTGGCTTCGTACGTGATCATCACGTTGCTGACCTGCCCATTTGAGGTCTTGTTCGAGAAATCGAAGGCGGACGAGGCGAGATTGCCTTCGAATGCTTCGAGGGCGCGGACGTATTGGTGTTCAGCAGAGAACTGTATCCAGCCGGAAGTGATGTGAGATAAATTGGCATTCCTACGGCTGAGTTAGCGACCTCTTCACGTCTTGTCGAAGAGGCGAAAGCACCATTTATGTTGCACGAAGCTCGCACTGAACTCCGTATGGACCTTTGGAGGCAGTGGCTCTTGAAAATTGGCCGAGAATTCGTTCATAGAGGAAGGGAAAGGGGCGCATCCTTGGGTTTGAGTAGCGATGCTACTAACGCCTAGCGACAGGAAGACTGAAGAGACGCGTAGCAACATGAGAAATGATAAGAGAACAACGAGTTGAGTAGAATGGCTTGGGCGTAGCTGCTACTTATGCGATGAATGATGTGCAGAGTCCCCGTCTCTTTTGTCTGTCTACGACTGTCAGTTCACTCTCACTTACACCGCTCTCGTATACAACGGTTCAGAGATCGGATCGTACCACCAGCGCAGTAACAAGCAAAATCACGTGTCTGGCAAAGACGCGTAATAAGTACGTGGGCCGATAGTCCACGCAACCTCTGTCCGTATTGTCAAACGAGCGACCAAAGTTGTTGCCTACGCTATTTGTCCTAGTATGTGTCAGCGCCATGCTGCTGCCTTGGTTTACGTGCGGCGTACTTTTATACGGCATGGTACGCTAAGCTGTAGAATCGTGGTGCCTAGTGATCGTTTCGTCAACCGCAGATATAGTACCAATGGGAGAAACTACATTCTGGCTTGCAACGCTCGTACTTCTGCATTGTCTCGTACAGTACAGTATCGCGTCCATTGTTTCTTTACTTCCATGTCCTCTAATTTGCCGCTCTTGGGCTCTGCCCCCACGAGCCTTGATTGAAGTAACACACTCGACGGAGAGTGCCTCTAACAGCGGTATGGCAAGTAGCTACTCGACTTGATAATATTTGCGTCCATGAGCACCTTTATAAAAGATATCGACAATGCGCCGCTGTTATATAGCGCGTCCGTCGCCAATGATGAGCGCTCCTACGTGCCTGGTAAGTTTCTGGTCCTACTCCTTTCGTGGACAAGTTAGGAATTGAACTTTTCAGCTGAGAATAAGAAATTGTGTGTGTGTTTGTTTTTTTGTGATCAGAATGCTTTCCAAAGCTATGTACCAACCGGTTTCCCAAAATTCCCATTCTAATGTTACATCCCAAGAGTGTGTGTAAGCCCCAGCCAAGATTCATCCCGAGAGTCCAACCACTGTCAGCTACAATGCCGACCGTAAGCGTGTGGTTCGCGACAGTTTTCAGGATATCTTTTTCCGGCTCTCCGTATTGGTGGTAGTGCATGCGGTAATGACTGTGGTAGTTACCTTACCGTTCAACGGTTGTAGGTGCACTGGGAGAAAGGGGAAGAGTTTGTTGGGGGGGGGGGGGGTGAACTGTTGTTGGCGTCTTGAATCTAGTTCTTGACCGCGCAGCAGCAGTCGCTGATGTTTTGACCGCAGGTACGGCAGGTTTCCCAACCCATCTTGCCAGTTGGCTTTGGGGTGGATGGAGGTGGGGATGGGCGCTGGTTCTTGACAGCACAGCAGCAGTCGCTGATGTTCTGGCGGCAGATTGGGCAGGTTTCCGACATGCTGGTTGTGGTGGGTTGGCTGTTGGCTGTTGGCTGTTGGCTGTTGGTTGTTGGTTGTTGGTTGTTTTGGTGCTGGAGTTCTGGGAGTTGGTGGTTGGTGTGTGAGTGCTGAGAGCTGATAATCCCTCCAAGGACGGACTAGACGTGTGTTTATATAGGAAATGTGCCCTTGGATGGTCCCATTGTACTGTTATGCGTCGGGAGATGCGAAAGCCATTCTCGTGTGAATGACTGCTGACATAATGGGATTGTCTTGTCAACTGCAACAAAGACAGACCATTGAAGAGGGCGTCGACAAAGAGATAGGACTTCTGCTCGCTGAGGGCACAACAACCTGCAGTATGGCATTGGTCAGCAGTGAATGGTTGGACAAGAGGCTTGCTCGCTGACTGCTCTTTGCAAGAGCGCGGCGAAGTCTGTAACAAAGGACGGTCAATAGCATTGAGCGCCTCTAGTACCAAGGAGTATCATCGACCAACAAAGAACACCTTCGGAGCCATGGGGCGTGCGACAAGGGGCGAATCAAGAGCCAGGAACATCAGAAGCCGCCCAATAGATTCAATAGGAGGATCTTGACCCTCGCGAGCATTTCGATCTTCTCAATCCGATGGTCGAAGCTATAAGAGGCCGACATTTGTATTGTAGTGTATGCTAGCGACCTCAGTGCTCATTATAGCCTTGTTGCACGAGGTGGGTAACTGGCTTGGTAGGTGAACATTGGACCTTAAGCCTTGTGGCCCGCAGATACAGGGTCTAAAGTCCCTTTATCTGCACTGGTCCCATATGATTAAGACCTTGTTCCAACAAGTTTCCCAATGGGGTACTAGAGGACCGTTGGAAAGTTGGCATTTAGAACCCAAGCGACCAGTGCTTTTGCACTGAGGCCGGTGTAGAACTAGTTTTCTCCGTTGCCGTAGGAATGCCTGTTTATTGATCTCTTCCAGTTGCCAAAGACAGAATCGCATTGTTTTGAGCCACTCAAGCACCAAATGCCTCAACGAGGACATCGTAGAAGATCGGAAATGCCTCTGACCCGAGTCCACAAGGCCACAACTACCGGATTCGTTCCACCTGGACGAAAATCCAGTCTACTCTGCTAGATTGCTTGAGATCAGTTTTTGAAGTTCCGGATCCTGTTGTAAGTGCAAAGTCGCGAAAAGTTACCGCATTTCTAGATCTTGCACAGAGGAAGAACGAGCATTGTTACACCCTCCCTGAGTTCCTTCACCAAAGGACGACCGCATCTTCGAAGAAATCCGTACCTATGAATCCGGGCATTTCTGGTCGCTATACAAGACAAGTAACGAACGTAGCAAAAAGTCCACCAGGCACCGGCGGGGATCATCAACAAGCACGACATGCCAACAACATCGGCCTCTCGCGGAAACACTAGGAAGCAGGCCTGTCCATTACCAACGTCCAAAGCGAAAAAGTATACGCTGACTGTACAACCGACCGAACGGGTAGTAGCTAATCCTCGGCGTGTAGATGTCACCAGTCTGACACCGGATCGCAGAGGAGTCCGAAGCCGAGTTGAATCTGAGGACCAATCGGGCGAGCATTTCGGATGACACTCCGTCACACAAAGTGTGTGTATGTGATCGGAACTAATAATCAGGCGGCGTACATGCTTATGGCATTCTTCGAAGCTTTTGCTTGCTTGCTTGCCTTGCCGGGGCCTGAACTAAACCCAATCAAATCTCCAACCCCTTCCGAAGCGAGACCCTTTAAAGTTCCCCCGAATCGCGCGTGGGAACGCAGCTGAAGCGCAGCTCCTGCCTTTTGCTCCAAACCTTAGCGGCTACTTTTACATCCTCTCAGTTCCTACATCCTCCTCCTCGTTCGCATTCGCCTCGAAACGTCTCCTACATAATAATAACAAGCAGCACACGCGATCTCTCTCTGCTTCGAAATCCGCCGTTCTCAATCACTCCCACGAGGCCACCGAGCCTCCTGCACAACCCTTCGAATCCCCACGGGGCGCGACGAACGCATTCACAACCACAATCAAGTAACAACCATGAGCTTCTTCTCCGACTCCACGACCGCCTACGCATTTGGCACCTGCCTCCTCATAATCGTCGCCGCCTTCCTCCTCGTCCAGCCCACCGGCCTGGTCAAATGGCTGCAAAAGAAAAACTACCAATACGAAGTCACCTTCGCCCTGTACATGCTCACGCCCACGGAGAAGTTCATCTTCAGTGCGTCCCTCTCACAATCCTGCAATCCCTCCCGTCCAAACCCTACCATGCTAACAAACTTCCTCCTACCTATAGACTCCATCCTCTTCCTCACCCTCTCGATGTTCCTCCTCGCCTCCATCCTCTACCTCCCCGACCACCTCGTCACCATGACCCGCCGCGCCTACTACTACTGCGCCGGCGACTACAACGGCCCGCGCCACGCCGCCGAATCGCTCTACGGCACCGCGACGCGCGCGGGTGATGCCATGTACGACGCTGCTACGGCGTGGGCGCACAATGCGTATCAGGCGACCCTGAATAAGTCTGCGACCGCGACGGCCGCTGCTGAGGCGGCGAGCCAGGCGGCGGAGACGATTGTGGGGCAGTTGGGCGTGGAGTGATGTATGGATGTAAGTTTTGTTGAAGGTTTAGCGATGGTGTTATGGCGTTCTTGAACGGGGGCAGTCGCAGAAGCTGGAAGTGAGCGAGGAAAGTCTGCTTCAGAGGCGGCATGTGTGGAATATGGGGCACGGCCAACAGAGGGGAGATGCGGCCACTATGCGATACTCCAGAACTGCAAGCACAAAGCCAGCCATCCAGGTTGGTGTGGAAGAGCGAAGCTGTGATCTGGTGGTGATAGTACACACTTTGTTTCTCTTTTCGTAGCAGGATACCCTATCAGCGTCTGAACAAAAGCAATGCATCAGTCGATTGGAAAACAAAAGAGCATATAACATATCATGAAGAAGTGGGCTTTCATTTGATTCCGCTTATACTACGACATCCTGAATACTAACCCCTGAATCACGCATCCGCCTTCGACGGACCTCATAGCTGAGAACCGTATGATCATAATACATCAGCATCAAGCGCCAACGTTTCTGTTCATCAGGCAGGTGCTCGGTGCCCTGCATAGGCCCTGTGGCAATTCCAGCCAAAGGCTCGAACGGCCTGTGACCATCTGCCTCTTGCGATGCAAAGGGCAAGATCCGCTCAATTCGCATCGTGTAAACCGTGTTGGGAGGACACTTGGATTTGCTGTATTTGAGAGCGGGAAAGTCGGAATGCCGTGAGAGTTTGGTCAGGGACATGACCACGACTCTGCCTTTCTGCGATGCCAGCACGACGACGCCGATGGCGGGAATGTATGCGGTCATGTTGAGTCTTTCGATGCTGTTGATCCAGGAGTATTGCGAGGGGATGAGTTGGCGCAGAGCATTGGTGAAGCCGACTGTCGGTGGCGTGATCGCCGATTCGGATATGGCCTTTTCTGAAGCTGGGCAGTGGGGTGGTTGTACGAGGTAGACGCTCCGTACCGAGGAGTGAAGTATCGGGCAAGGGAGGTCATCGCAGATGCTTTTGTTGTTGAATTGGAAGGCTCGAGGTTCGTTGCCGAAGATTCGTCGTCCACCGTACATGGCGTTGAATGAGAAAGAGTCTTCTGTACCTTCATCCTCAGAGTCAATGTCGACGTAATAGGTGTCGTCTTCGCTGAGTTCGTCGTCGTCCTGGTCTGGGTCTGCCATGGTCACATCTTCGTTGGCGGCACTCTCTGACACCTCTTCGTCGGGAGATCCATCAAGTCCAGTGTCTGTGCTACTGCGGGATGTCGACGGCCTGTCGAATCGTGACTGACGTCTCGGCATACCAAATCGTTCAGATGCATCCGGTACATGATCGATAGAGCCTCCAATATCCCACAGATTCTGTTCGCTTTTGACCCCGGAGTCTATTTCGCCCTCCTCGAAGCCTAGAGCTGCACGGAAGTCATCTTCAGGCAGGAAAGATCTCTTGTCCAGGAACATGATTGTCCAGCCGCTGTTGAAGCGATCGTGGTCATGGGCTGAAACGTAGGACTGACCGCCAAAACGAAATGTTTGAGCTGTTGCCATCTCCCACAGGTCAATTGACCGGCAAAAGCCGCCAATGTCGGTGGTGAGTAGCCATCGAGCCTCGGGATCATCACCAGTATTGCAAAAGGCAATGTGTGGGATGTTTGAGGTTCCATTAAGAACTTGCTCGGTTACATCGGTTTTACGATGCCGTTCGGGCTTGGTTCCACTCTCGTCCAGCTCCTCACCTTCTTGCGGCTCATCTTGCCCATCCGCATCTACCAGCCCAAACTTGAAGATGGTGATGCTGTGGGTGTTGGCGCTAGTGGCCAAGATTCGAGCTTCTGAGTGAATAGCCAGGCCCCAGGCGCTCATCCCAACGTTACTTTGGAAGAATGGCTTGACCTCATCCGCGTCTACTCCCACGCTGCTTCCAGGCTCGGCTCTTCTTTCGATTGCGTGGATGATTTGTCGCACAAAGAAAGCGTCGACATCGCCATCATCACGCACCGTAGCGATGATCTCCTCGCTGCCGAGACATTGCACAACGAGATTGTTTATCGCATGCGGACGCCGTGCGTCGATGTACCCCGGCCTCGCAGGCGTCGATGGCTGCGAGGTAACAATCAAGGCAGGCTCCTGGGACAGAGCTTGTGTATGATATCGCGGCCGGTAGACGAAGATCCGGTCTGCATAGGCCACGAAGTACAAGTTGGCGTGTTGCGAGAGGGCCGTCTTGAAGAGTTAGCGGTGTGCCTCACAAGCAGGCGATATGTGAGATGTGGTGACAGACTAGGTTGCATCGCCACGGACAGATGGGCGTACTCAAGTCGTCGCGGTGCCTGGAGTCGCCGCCAAACCGCGCGGCCGATGTTTGTGCGCCAATGGCGACTACAGCGGCCTCGCTGAAACTCTTCCTGGGCATGCTGGTGCTGTGCTACGGCGGCGGTGGAGTAACGATGGAGTCCTCCTGCCGGGGGCAGAGCATGGCGATTGGCGAGCTGTCACGAGGTTGTGGTACGGCAGCACAGCTCTGAAGCAACGCCCGTGTGTGCGAGCAGTGTCAGTGGGTGGTGGTGTTGATGTGGGATGGATGGGGACATGGAAGGATGGAACTGTAGCGCGACTTTACGGCGAAAGGCTGGAGACGTGCGTCGGGCCTGCGGGAAGATCCGAGCGTTTCGAGAGCTGCGCTTTCCCGCTCGCAGGCGGTTGATTCTATTTCAACTTCACGTCCTCAATTCGATGGGAGTGCCGACAGAAAATGGACACGTAACCTGCCAGCACGCCCTTTTGGGAGCCCTGGCCGGGCGATAACCCTGCGGCCCGTGACGCTCCCTCCAGACGCGGCCATGCTCGCAAGTTCGGCGAGACAATGGAGCACAATGGGTGTCGTTCTGTCGACATGACGCGCGAGCTCCCTGTTGTGCGACCGCCAAATTCGCTGCTACTGGACACAGCCCGCGCCACATCAGTCTCGAGGTCCGCTATGCGGCGCACTCGCAGCCCGTCACACGACGACCGGTCGCGTCGCTACGACCTCGTCCCCAGCGCCGATGCCACTCGCCCAGCACGCCAGCGCTCAACCTGTGTCGATCCGCCGTCTGGTGCTGGCCTCTCCTCCTCCTCCCGCTCGCCAACGCGCATTCGCAGCAACTGCCGGACGCAGGATACGACGCCGACTCCCTCACTTGGGTCCTGTCTGTTACGAGGCTGCCTGCCGCAGGGCCGGCGGCGGTCCTGATTCCGTCATCGCCGTCGTTCCCTCCCTCCTAGTGGACTGTGCGACACACAACGCAAGCCGACGGCGTCTGGTAAGAACCGCTTCTCCTCGCTCATTCATGCACATGCTTGCTAGCTCTGCGTGTCTCATCCCGCATGTCCGTCGTCTGTTCCTCGCCAATATAATTGTGCGACAATTCTGCTGTACGACCAACCATATCTTATCATTTTTCCATTGTTAAGCGAACCTCCGAGCCCATCCACTTCATGCCAACTACTGTGCCACGCTCCGAACCCTCGCACTACGGTCACTCCGGCTTACTGCTGCCGCTATCGACATGCACCCACTCCTGCCAGGATCAAGTTGCTGCTACTCTCGTGTAGACATCCTACTGGTCTCCAATGCGGCTCAACACTGGGCAAACCCTCCTCACCACTCGTACCGATCTCTTCTCCAGTTCTGCAGAAAGCCTAAAAAGGCCTTTTTATCACTCTCGTGTCTCACAAACTAGCGCGCATACTGGCGGCTTTTGGTCACAATCGGCCGGTGGACAAGCAGTGCGAAAGACTTGAAGCGTGGGTACCATCCCCTCTTAAGGCCCTCGAGTGCAGGTTTCAAGGAACATCCATTCACACTCTTCACCTTCGTCCACTGAGTATGAAGGATCGTTGTCATCCAGTACCTACAGCAAACACTTCACTAGCACTTCGAATCAAGCTTGACGAAGTACCGTCTACAAGACCATCACCTATCCAATCGACGCTGGCTGCATCCAACAGCGAACCACCCGTCAACGATCTTGAACAGTGCAAAATGGTTCGCTCGTCAGAACGAAGTCTAGCCAGTCTGGCAAGCGCGAGCACGCTACTTCTGTTCACTCCCGCGATTACACCTGCGGGTAAGGCAACCAATAAAAGCGGAGAGAAGAATGTCGACCCCTTCGAAACGCTTGGACGAGCACTGAGCCGCTACCATAAGCGTATCCGCCACGTGCCATACGTACCCAAGATCGGTTTCACAGAAACACACGAGGCATTCCTCGGTCAGGCCGATGCCCTCGTGGTCGTCATCTGCGAACCTGAGCACGCCAAGCACGAGTGTCTTGGCAACCAGGGCGACTTCGCTGGTGCGGCTCACGAGGCCATGGACAACATCTCGTTCAGTGGACATCTACCAATATTCCTCGTCCGCTGCGGCGATTCCAAAGGCAACTTCTGGCCGGACTTGACCAATTTCGACAATGTCATGAAGTGCAGCACCTATGACCCTGAGATGGCCAAACAGGTTGCGCGGAAGCTCTTCGAAGCGAAGTAGTGAACAATGGGAACTCGCCGTCCCTACGACGACTTGACTCCTTACTCAGTATACTGGTAATAACGACCTGCAAATCGGTTTCCAAGAAAGAGGACAGTATTAATCGAGGCAAAGGCGGCACGACGTTCATTCACTTCATTCATTCGGGATTCCGGTGCAAGGATGACCCCTGTTATCTAGCGTTCAGTGCTGTTCCAGCTTCAACTACCTACACCGCATATTTCTGGAAGGACTTTTGAGGCTACTGCATACATACATTCTTGCTTTGGAGGACGTGGAGAGCTTTTTGAGGATACCCTAGGAGTTTGCCTTTTGGCGCTCAGCGTGGCACACGATCGTTTTTGTTAGTTCGTTGGTTGATGCTTGTTGGCTTCGTTGTTTGCGCTGCTTGGGATTCTGATGACGGATTTACGGTATTGGGTCTGTTGTTACGTAGACGATGCTTCACATACTTATAAAGGACCGATTTACAAATCGTTGATGGAGACATGGTGATGACTAGGTATCTTGAACGACACCATGATTTCCTCGCCTATGAAAAGCTGCCTGCTCAAAAGGGGGTATCTCGTGCACTCGATCAATCTCTATCCTCTATCCAGGACTCCACAAAATATCGACTTCTCAGGAGCCCGCAGTACCATTCTACCCCAAACTCACATACGAAACATCCGACTCCCCGCCCTCCACCTTCGGCTCCCTGGCTTCACCAACAAATCCATTCCCACTACTCGAATCAGTCTGCGTCCCGGCTACACGCATGTTAGCCCTCCGCTTCGCATCAAGTTCCTGCTCATGCACGGCGTTACTATAAAGCTTCAACGAGCCAATCACCATGATAATCACAAGGCCCAAAGCCAATATCACCCGCCTCGTCATGACCCATCGCAGGCCTTCGACTTCCGATTTGGCGTCGGCTTGCAGGTCGACGGTGATTTGGTAGTTCAGGCGTTGGATCTTGGATTCCATCTCGCGCTGTTCGTTGCGCACGGCCATCTTGCGGTCGTCGAACATGCCTTTTAGTTCGTCTTTGAGCGCGCCGCTTTCTTGCCCGAGTCTCTGCGAGAGGATCTCGACTTCGTGTTGGAGGTGGGTGCGTTCGGTGCGCATCTTTTCTTGCTCGGATTTCCGTCTGGCGGTTACCTCTGTTTTGAGCTCGGCGCAAGCGGCACGGAAGAGGTATGTTTCGTTTTCAACTTGGGATTTGTTGACGAGGGCTTCCTGCGCCATGTTCATGTTGTCGGAGAGCAGGACCCGCATGCCCTTCATGATGGTGATGGCCTGGGATTCGGTCCAGCCGGAGTCCATGAGGCGTTGGACAAGGCCAAAGGTGTCGAAGTGATGGACGTGGCGGGGGGCGTTGATGTGAGGGGCTTTAACAGGTGGGGTGTGCTCGTCGAAGGATACGTCCGGGTGTGCGTCCTCAGGTGCTTCCTGAGTCTGAGCCTGCTGCTCCTCGCTATGCTGAGCAGGGTCTGGGACCGTATTCAGTAAAGACTCCAGCGGTTTATCTGGCGGCATGTCCGGAGACCCGGGTGGTTTCGCCTCCGGCCTTCCATCTTCCGCGTCCAACATAGGGTCTGTTTGTATCTTCGAAGCCTCCTTCGCTTCGACAGTAGTCGGCTCTATGTTTTCTTCCGTACTCTTCTTCTCCTCCGGCTCTGCCTGCTCAGCTTTGATCTCCGCTTCTCCATCACGTTGTAGCTTCTCCCCGATTTTCGGCAACTTCGTTTGCTCTGGCGTGTCCATTCTCGTCGGTGGCGGCATCCCTTTTCCGCCGCCGAGGTGAGGAGGAGGCTGATTGGCGGTGCCATAGCGAGTCTGTCTCGGGGCTGCCTCTGCTGGTCTCCTTCGTGGTGGACAGGAGTGAAAGGCTCTCATACGGGCAGCAGCCTTCGTCGACCGAACTGCCGGGGTTGCGGCTTCGAAGCCCTTGGCCAGCATAGGCCATAGGAATGGGAGCCGCGGGGCAGCCATGGTGGTGAAATGGGATCACCAAGGGAGTGGACGTGTGCGGTGTTGAGAAAGGTGAGTGGACTTGTTCATCTAAATCGCTCTTCCCAAGATCTAAATCTTGCGCCGATCGCCACGTGAAGACGGGAGTGGCCGCGCTCGGCCCGAGGATCCGAACCTCCCTCTCACTCACATGCAAATGTTTCTTGCATTCTTCAACAATCACTTCTGCTGTGTATTTTCAGACCTGAGAACCCGCCAAACCGAAGATCGACTATCTCGAATATACACACAGACATAGTGGCTCTCCACCAAGGAGTACCATATAGGAGCCACGACTCGTACGCCTCGATAAACATCCAGTCATGCGTACTCCTGTACGCTGGCCGAACCTTTATCTTGTCAAGTATATGCGTTCCATACTTCAATCAGGGCCGATTCATCAGTATTGCCACAATTTGGAAAATACACTCATGCATTTATTTCAATGTCAAGTCCAAGGTGACGGATCGCAAGCGCTTGCCCTAGAGCCGAGAATTGTCCTCGGCTCTGGGGAGCTTTCTCCACGCAGCTGTCGACATCATCCTGCCGAATCGCTACACGCGAGATGAACATTCGCAATACTATTACTGTAGATTGCCCATTGTAAGTCATCTTCTAGTCCTTATCTCTCTACATTCTTACGACACACCATGCCTTACGCCCTCGTCATCGACAAAGCCGAAGGTAAACCTGGCAAGGTCTACCATCCTCTCAAGAACATCGAGCAACCCGAGCCACAGCCCAAGGACAACGAAGTCGTCGTCAAAATCACCGCTGCAGCGCTCAATCATCGCGACTTGTTCATTCGACAAGGCCTATACGGTGCCATCGGTTTCGGCGTCCCTCTCCTCGCAGATGGCTGTGGTGTTGTCGTGAAGACTGGCTCTTCGCCCGAGGCAAAGAGATGGCAGGATAAGCGGGTGGTGCTCAACCCAGGTCATGGGTGGAAAGACGATCCAGACGGACCTGAATCTTCAAAGGGATATGCCATTCTTGGCGGCACGAAGCTCAATCCGTTGGGCACGGCCGTCGAGTATCTCAGCATTGATCCAGCGGAGCTTGAGGAGGCGCCGAAGCACTTGACGAGTGCTGAGGCTGCTGCTCTGCCCTTGGCTGGATTGACCGCATGGAGGGCGACGATATCCAAGAGCCAGAATGCAAAGCCTGGAAGGAACATTTTGGTGACGGGCATTGGAGGCGGTGTTGCCGTCATGTCGCTGTTGTTCGCAGTCGCGGCTGGCGCGAACGTCTACGTGAGCAGTGGAAGTCAGGCCAAGATCGATAAGGCCATCTTGCTCGGTGCGAAGGGTGGAGTGAACTACAAAGAGCAAGGCTGGGAGAAGAAGCTGCAGGCTTTGCTGCCTAAGGACAGGAAGAAATTGGATGCGATCATCGATGGTGCGGGCGGCGACGTTGCTGAGAAGGGTGCAAAGCTGCTGCGGGTGAGTCGACACTATCTCATTCATGCTACAATAACGCGACTGACTATTCTCTAGGACGGCGGCATCATCTCACAATACGGCATGACAGTAGGACCAAAGATGTCTTGGATCATGCCCGACGTGCTCAAGAACATCGAACTTCGCGGCAGCACAATGGGCTCACGGAAAGAGTTCGCAGAAATGGCAAAGTTCGTCAACGACAAAGGACTCAAGCCACTCGTTAGTAGGACCGTCCAAGGCATCACGAATCTCAAGGACATCGACAGCTTGTTTGACGATATGAACAAGGGCACGCAGCTGGGAAAATTGGTGATTGAGATCTCGCCGGATTCGAGCAAGAGCAAGTTGTAAATTATGAAGATTGTAACGAATATCTAGTATTATTGAATGGTTTGACACCGATCGTCTCCTCGCTTTTGACTCGGCAATGTTGTTGACATGGAGACAGAATGGCCGCTGCTGGTGGTATGAATCACATAATCACATTTCGCTCTACAAGACCACCAAAGCGGACTCTGGTACCTAAACCTCTCAAACTTCGCCGACTCTCCATGTTCGAATGTTATTGGCTGCTCGAGCAGTAAAAGCGACATAGCGACCAATGGTAAACAATCACGAAATCGCAAACAAGCTGAAGTTCGGTCAGGCTGCCGTTGAGAACCACAAATTGCCCAAAACGGGTATTGCGAGGTACCAGTGGTATAGACGGTCGCCCAGTGAGGTTGCTACGCAAGACTTGAAGACAGAACAACGACGCTGAAGGTATGCAAAGGCTCATATACGAGGTGTTGGTAGCCGTGCGCGATGGAGAGTCTTTGCCTGCTTTATCTACTCGATCGTACACTTTGACCATATACAGTCTCGACGAAATGATCTCACTACGAGTACGTACACTCAAGACGAAGAATCAAAGTTATCGTACTGACGTATCATTCAGCTCGCCATCCTCGCGCAACTCGCCTGTGTAGCAGATCTAGCTCTAGGCCTACACGAAGCCGTAGGCAGCTATCTAGAAGAATCAGCGACAGCATCGCCGACAGTTGCTGCTACTACTGAGGCTCCTGTTGCTACCATCGCCTCTGATGCTACCCCCACAGCTACCTCAGCATCAGAGTCGGCAGAATCATCACAACCGTCCTCAACCCAAGCCTACGAAAACGGCGCCCACAACCGCTACCTCAACTCCTTCCTCACGCCCATGACAGGCGACGTCTCCTACGAAGCCTACAAAGGCGACGGCTCCGTCTCAGCCGGCTGGCCGGACCAAACCGACTGGATCGACTTCCGCAACATGTGGTTCATCAATCAAAACACCCTCATCAACAAACTCTGCGACAACACCCCCGCCGAAACCACAAACCTCTACAAGGCCATTCTCCAAGTCTCCACCTCCACCTCCGTCGACCCGCGCTTCATCCTCGCCGTCATCATGGAGGAATCGCACGGCTGCGTCCGCGTGCAGTCGACCTCCTTGTCCGTGACCAACCCAGGCCTGATGCAGTCCTACCAGGGCAAAGGCTCCTGTGCGTCCCCGACGCTGCTGAACCCGTGTCCGTGGAGCGAGATCGTGCAGATGATTAATGATGGCACGGCGCCGAATGCCGCCGGCGTGGATTTGAAGGATTTGTTGGGGGAGAGTAATAAGACGGATGTGAGTATGTATTATATTGCCAGTCGGATGTATAATAGTGGCAAGTTGAGTGTGGGCGCGGATGGGGAGTTGAGTGTTGGTGGGGCGAATGCTTGGTGAGTTTGAGTCGATGTTTGGCTTGGATGGTGCTGACGATGACGATAGTTATGCAGCGGATATTGCGAATCGGTTGAGGGGATATGTCGGTGGTAGCTGTGGTGACTCGACGGGATAAGTGAAAGTAGGGCTGGAAGGGTAGAGGAATAATGATGTGTCGAAATCTTTCATGAAGACTATAGCCCTGGTGGCTCGACGTAGTAATGGGTATGTAGGTCGAAGACTCGTATCGTAGATATCGTAATAACATGCAATCATGCAAAAAGGGGTATCTCCTTACAGAACCATTCATCCAAACAGCCAATAGTTCTCAGCATCTATGTCTTCGCATTTATCCTCGAACGGCCTGCAAAGAGGCTCGCAGACCGTCCCTGGAGGAGGAAGCTTGCCTTCCACCATGTATTTCTTCACGTGCTGCCACATACATTCTGACGCCGGCCAAAGAGCTCCGTGGCCAGCACTGTTCTGCTCCAAGAATACACTGCCATTAAAGCTGGCTGCCATCTTCTTCGCATTCTTGGCTGGAGTTGCTGGATCCAGCCTGTTGTTGACGAAAAGAATTGGCACTGATGAGTTGAAGGGTCCGTCGTATCGCCACTTCGTTCGTAACGAAGCAGGCCATGTCCAGCAAGAAATCTTGTAGTCAGCTTGGATGGCACCGCCCCATCCAAATCTTTCAGTCAAATTGGTGAGGTAGGTCTTGAACCCTTCAAGTTGCTCGTCGTACAGATAAGGTCCATCACTACAATGAACAGCAGGGCCGACTTCGCCTCCCATGTACCTGTTGATGAGAAGTTCATCGTTGAAGGACTCCTGAGTAGGTATAGGAAGCTGCCAAAAAGGCGGACCAGGGTTGACGTCGGTCATCAAATCGTTTAGGTACTTGGCAATCTTCTTGAAGAAGAACAGGGGTTGGTAGGTAGCGATAAAGAAGCCGTGTCGAACATCGTCCAAAGTAATTGGGGTAGCTCGTCCTTTTCCAGTCACATACGTAGGCGCACGTTGAAGTGCTTCGCTTGAGCTCTCCCATCGCGCTCTGATATCGTCTGAGCTCTTGTCGTATTCACGATAGAATGCACACTTCGACCCAGCAGCGAAGCAGGTTTCGAAGAAGATTTCTCGAATCTGAGCATGATCGTCAATACTGGCCTCGTACCGATTTTGCCAGTTGTCAGGATCCAAATTGGCGTCCAGTAGCATGCGTCCGACGTGTTCTGGATACATCGCAGCAAATGTCTGTCCCAAGAATGTGCCGTAAGACGTGCCTACGTACTGAAGCTTCGGGGTAGACTTAGAAAAGTCCGCTTTCACAGGAAATTGGTTGTCACGGCGGAAGATCGCAGTCCTACGCTGATCAACTTTCTTGACAATCTCCAGCATATCACGCGCTACGTAAGCGGTCGATACATGCTGGCGAATGTTCTCGCCGTCTTCAAACCTGCCGTTCTCGGTATTCGCGCAAAGCTGGCCACGTGCTTGCTCTGCAGCCCAGTTGTACTTCAGTGGATACTCCCCATCGGCCAGGCCACCAGCCGCTCGCTTCTGCTCATACCAGATCTCGCTCTCAACCGCCGAGTCGAAGCAATATGCGTTCGGCTTGCTGTGGAAAATGCCCCTAGGATCGAAAGATAGAATCTCATAGTGCTTGGGGCCATCCAGAAGATTCTGAAGGCGCTGTGAGATCTGAAGAGCCTGTTGAACTCCCGACCCGCCAGGACCTCCTGGGTTCGTGATGATGGTGCCGCCGTGGTCAGGGTGGGATTCTGGGACTTTTGCCGGTAACCGCACGATCGCCAGGGAAATGTTGTGCGGACTTGAGGAGTTGTTCCAGTCCAAAGGAACGGTTAAACGACTACAATCGAATTTTTCGTAGCATTTCTCGTAGTTGAGGTCGTTGGCTGAAGATATCGTGGTCCAATCAAATGTGGAGAATTCTTCAGCAGTCGGCGTCAACGGCGGCAATATTTCACGGGGCAGAAGTGCGGCGGCGAGGGGAATGCATAGTGATGCTGCTGCTGGAAGTAAGGTCTTCATTGTCGCATCGACTAGTTGGTCGTGGGCGTGATCCAAGAGTGAGGTGGAGGGGACAGAAGATTGCTGGATAGGTGATCTTTGAAGGTCACGGCGGCCGAAGCCAAGCGACTTCTGCCGATGTGTGGGATGCCTGCTTTGCTTTTGCTGCCATCTCTGCGACTGACCACTTCTTCATCCATGTCGGCGACAGACTTGACAAAATTGATGGCATGTGTCTCCAAGAGCACAGCCTGATGGAAGAAGTAAAGTTAAGACAGGGGCCCGACTCACGCAATGATGTTGACGTCGTGGACATGATTCGGACCGGCCGAGTGGTTAAATTTGCGGTGGCTGGGAGCTCAACGGGAAAGCCACCTCATGTCAACAACGACGATTACCTACAGAGTGTAACTGCGACTTCAATCTTGACCCGATGTCGATAGAAGCAACGCAAGTATTGGAACTGCGACAAGAAGGCATGACGCTTGAACTGGCATACCTTCTGTCACTCGAAGCCGCGACCAGAGCCATAGTCATCATCTTCAAGGCCAGAAAGAGTGTTGAGTACCCAAGACAATCGACTAGAGAGAATGACTCTGAGGAAAGTCCCATTTCGTGGACGCCTCCTTCCATTATCACAATTTCTAGATGTCCGTTTTCTTCATCTCGGCCCTAGCAACCCTCCACGCTCCCAAAATCTGCCTGAACAATGATCCGTCCAGCAGAACAGCTACTTCATCAAGTCTCACCTTGCGTCAACCACGCGAAAAGGCGACGGTCTCGCTGGGCATGCTTACTGCTCCTCCCAGACCCACATCAGGACAGATTGACCAGATCTAGAAGCTCCAAGAAGCTCTCCGCAAGTTTCCTGATAAACCATCACGATCGAGCGGAGTGAGATAGCGCAGTACGACATGGAGAACGAATGCGGTGCTGTCGAGGACATGCATACGAGTGTCATGGGCTGGCTTCGTTATGACACTAGAGCCCAAGAGTACATCGACATTCTACCGGCTTCATATTGGACGCTTGAACGAACATACTCAGAGAAGAATATCAAACGATCAATATGGCCAACTCTCTTCCACGAACCCTCCCAGCGTCCTGGTACTGCAGTAAACCGCTCTACTCCCTCGAGCAACGTGCCGTCTTTCTCAAGTCCTGGTATCTCCTGGGCCCTGTAACCAAGTTCAAAGAGAACGAGCCTGTGGTCTACGAATATGCCGGTGTAACTCTCACAGCAACTCGAGCAACGCCAGACGACTCTTCCATCGCGGTTGTTGATGACAAGGGCAACCGCCCCAAGACTCACCTCACACCTACCGGCCTGCTATTCAGTACAATCTCAGAAGCAGCGCCTTCGTTCCATGACTTCTTCCCAGGCCTGGAAGACGTCCTATCAACAGTCGACTTCCGTGTCCGGCCATACCGCCGTTCGATCTCATATCATGGCGACTTCAACTGGAAGACCATGGTCGATGGATACCAAGAGTGCCTCCACTGCGCATACACGCACCCTTCATTCAGCGTGTTGTACCCACCAACCTCCTACGCCGTGATCAATCACCACAACTGGTGCCGCCACATTGCCGATCCGGAGAAGCCAGACGATGGAGTTTTCCTGTATCTTTTCCCTATCGGCACTTTGAACGTCTACGGCGGAGGTATTTCTCAGTTCAGAGTGTGTCCGACCGAGGAGCCGGGAGGCACGAGGATGGAATTCGACTATTACAACGTGGAGGAAGGGGAGAAATTCGAGGAGTACTACAAGTTCGTCAGGCAGGTCGCCATTGAGGACTACGGATTGTGCGAGAAGGCGCAGAGCAATCTCGAGAGAGGAATCTACGCAGAAGGGATCTTGAACCCCGTGAAGGAGACAGGCGTTGCCTGTAAGTCTTCCCATCCCATCGACCAACAACCACAACACTACTGACATGACCACGCAGACTACCAACAACGCGTCCTCGAAATGGTCCTCTCCCAACACCACGAAGACAAGCAGAACAAGAAGAACCTCCAACACCGCCCAGCTGACGGAGCGTCGACCGATGCGACTGCAAGCTCCCAATCCGAGCTGGATAGCAGCTCCTATTCAGGTAATTTTAACTTCACGACACGCGCGGGTGCAGGGATTGCGGTCTCAACGTAGATATCGCTGCTTGGTGGGTTTGATGCAGAGCTGATGTGGAGATGGCTTGGGGTGCTACTGCGTATGTGGTTGTTGTAGCATGATTCTGTTGTCAGTTGGATGCGGAGTGGATGGGGCAATGATGCTATTGCAAGCTGGTGCTGATGATAAATGTTTCTAATCTTACGTTGTTCACGAGGAATAAGGAGCTGTTTTTCTGATTGTTTCGATCTTTCCCCGTTGCAACACTCCATCATCGCCTTCCATTACTGTCCCAAGCACCATGGTCACTCACTCCCTCCACGAAACAATGGACGCAGCCTCGCCCTACCTCACCGCGGCGGCATCCCTCCTCCTCGCCACCCTCCTAACCCTCTACCTCCCCTCCCTCCTCACCACCATCCCCGCCAAACTCCTCTCCCTCAAAACCTCCCTCCTCACCAAACCAACCACCAAACCAACACCCCCTCCCTCCCCACCCCTCGCCGTAACAAAAGAACCCGACTTCCCACCCAACTGGTACACATCCCCAGCCCTCTACGGTAATTCCCAACTCCACAAACCTCCCTCAGAGCCACAGCTGATCAATGCCTTTTCGAAATCACAGCCCTCGAACAACGCTCCATCCTCTCCAAAACCTGGCTCCACATCTGCCACACCTCGCTCTTCACCCACCCAGGCGACTACCGCACCTTCACGCTCGCGAACTTCAGCTTCATCCTCATCCTGGGCAAAGACCACAAACTGCGCGCCTTCCACAACGTCTGTCGGCATCGGGCGTATACAGTCTGCACGAGGCCCGAAGGGCGGAGCACGTTGTTGCGGTGCAAGTATCATGGCTGGACGTACGATTCGATGGGGAGGTTGGTCAAGGCGCCCAAGTTTGATGATATTGAAGGTGAAGTGGAGGGGTTTAGGAAGGATGAGAATGGGTTGTTTGAGATTAGGAGTTGGGTGGATAGTAGTGGTTTCCTCTATGTGAACTTCGACGTGCTCGGTAGTGATGGATTAACTATAAGGGTGGGTGTTCCGATGAGGGCGAGTTTGAGTTTGGTGCATAGTTGGGTGGTGGAGAGTGGGTTCAATTGGAAGATCGCGATTCCCTCTGGATCGTTTCGCGTCAAGGCGTTGGCGACGAAGAGCAGGATGCCTGAGTTGCTCGGGCGTGTGGCGAACAGTCTTGGATCATGGAAGTGGCCGGCCGAATTTGAGCTCGCTCCATTGACCAGGCTGTTGCGGTCCGCTAAAGGAGATGTCTTCCTGACGGTATCGATCATTCCGACTGGAAGCCAATCTTGCAATCTCGCATGCCATCTGTACTCTGCGAGGGCTGATGCAAAGATCGAGACTCCGGTACCCATCATCAAGCAGGAGATTGCGGCGCGTGTCGACAAGTTGCAGAACATCTTCGATGAAGTCAAGGAGACCGGAGAGATTCCAGACGCACAGTCTCAGGAAGCTCTGCTCGCCGAGATCAAAGCACATTCGAGGCTCGAACGCTTGATGGGCGAAGAGGTGTTTCCGGCTAGTCGGTTGCGAGAAAGCAGTCAGGCCTGCAAGGTTGCCGACGACTTGTGCAGACAACTGGAAGCCGAAGCCGCGACCGAATCCGCTGTCAAGAATAAGGGCGGTGATGCTCTAGCTTGGTGAAAACAAAGGTCGACCGTTTTCACTTAATCACTCCCTGATCATCCTGATAAGCCGATGCAAAGTCCATCCCCGCAAGCTGGCTCTGTATCTGATCGATCTCCTTCGACAAGTCCTCGACATTTTGCGACAGGGCGGACACTTCATCAAACTTCCGGCGTTTGTTGGCGTCTGCGATCATCTCGGACACGAAGAACTTCTGCTCTTCCAACACGATCAAGCGCTCTTTCAAGCTCTTCTCTTCTGCCTCCAGGGCAGTGACTGCGGCGGAGCTTTCGCTGCTGGTTCGGCTACTGCTTGGTCTCGGTCCATGTCCGTTGACTATCGAGTTGTATCGAATGGAAGACAGCGCACTCTGCGGCTTGCCATTGCTAGCAAGTGGTGGGCTGCGCATGCCATTTGGTGTTGCATGTTTCATAATCTTCGGTAACGATTTCAAGGGCAACATATGAATATGGAGAAAGCTTAGAGCCTTCTGGTAGATGGCCCTCTGCAGTTGCTCCTGCGCGGGATTGTTCGTTGGCATGTCTCGTATCCGTCTGGAGGCCACATCATACTGAGTGAACGCATCCATGAGCCGCTTTCGTACTTTCGAGGCTTCTGCTAGCTGTGCGGGTGTAGGTGGATTGTCAGGATCCTGCAGTGGGGCCAGTAGCCGTTGGAACTTGGGTAGGAGTAGTCGAATGCCATGTTCGAATTGAACAAGATTTTGATACGCGCGCTGATCCGGTGTTTGCTTGTTGAGCTCCCTCGCAAAGTCGGCTTTGCTGAAGATAGTTCGTTGGCAGTCTTTGCACATGCGAACATCGACAGCTACCTTGGCGCCATTCTTCTCTGAAAGCAAGTCAGCAGCTGGTCGATATTAGTGTTTGACAAGATGGGGACATGATCCGACTTACGAGCATCGACATCAAGTCCAATCTCGTTCGAACAACCGGTGTTTGGGTCGCCGCATACGACTCGCCCGCAAATGCGACAATGATGCCGGCGCAGGCTGTACTGCGAAAAGGGTTGCTGGCAGAAAGGACATTCAGCCACAGTGGCATCGTCTTGCCAAGGAACGACAGTCTGCTCAAGAGCTCTGATTTGAGGCTTGTTGCCCGATATCGACGACCACAGCAAGCTTCCCGTACTTTGCTCCTGTTCTAGCGGTGGAGGATTGGCAAGTAGTTGGGTCAGTCTCGTAAGTCTAGTCTCGAGTCGGGTGGTTTCAAGGTTTCGCTTGTCGACTGTCTTCCGCCGCACACTCTTGAAGAAGTCGGTATGATTGCGCTCGAGCCCAGTGTGGTCATTGTAGCCCTCTCGACTCTTGTAGCACGTCTCACAGACTCGGCACCATAGCCCACGAGCAGGTTCATGCTTGGCAGATCTTGATAGCTTCATCTGGTACATAGTATGCTCATCGCAGAAGAGCTTGCCACAGTGTCGACAGTTGACCTGTCCATTTGCAGTTCCCAACTTCTTTCCACACAGCGGATCTGAACAGTCGTCATATCCTCGAGGACGCTGCCAATGCGCTCGTGTAACGACCTCATCCGGATCTGGAGTCGCAGGCTCTTTGGGTGCAGGAGCTGGAGAAGAGTCCCGACCAACTGTAGCCGCAACCGCCTGAATCGCCTGGACCGGAGCCGGCGCATCATTATTCGACTCAAACACCTCCAATCCCCTCAGTTTCTGGTTGATGAGTGCCAGCGGCTGGAACTTCTTTGCCTTTGTCATCTGTTGTTTGAACCAAGTCTTCGCCTCGTCCTGTTCGATCTCCTCCAAGTTGGCGTGGTTATCGTCGATATGTCTATGCCAGTCAGGGATGCTCTGCCGCCAACGACGGTACATATGGTATGCATACCTACCTGTTCAGCTGAAGAAGCGTCAACTGCTTCCGTTAGCTATGCTTGCTTTATCCTTCTATTGCAGGTATTGTATCCTACCATCTCTTCATTGCATATCGGACAGACCAGCCGGGAGCTGGCGGCGGCTGCCGCTTGGGCAGAGCCATGCTCGTCAAGAGCCACCCGGGAGGTGAGATCCTCATTCTCGGTGGAGATGGGCGTGCTCGAAGTCTGCGAACTCAACGAGACGGAGCTCTCGGAGGGTGATAGGAGGCCGATCTGTCTGGGCTGGGGTGGTTGCGCTGGAGGAGGCGCTGCGAGGCCCTTCCCGTTGCCGAGTACTCGTCCGCCCCCGAGGCTTCTGCGGGCAGCCATAGCAGTCGATTATTATTTCCCAGTTCTCCAGCTTCGATCGGGTTCCATGTTGCGCTGGGTGCGGCACGGCGGCGACGTCAGCTACTGCTTGCTGGACGTGCACTGCAGCTCGAGTGAAGTCGCGAAGGATCCCCAAGCCTCAGGCACGACATTGCGGGGCCGCTTTGACTTTCACATGCCAATGAAGCATGATATCTTTGTCTTTTCTCCGCAACCCGTCACACACCTGCATCGACAACCACCACAATGGCAGAATCATTTCCTGAAGTCCAAGGCGGAGGGTCATTGATCCTTGCCTGGCAGGTCAAGAACAAGAAAGTCCTAGTCGTCGGCGGCGGAGAGGTACGCTCACTATCAAAACCTTGATACTTAGCAGAGTATTGACATTAACACTCACAGCACAGGTCGCCGCCGGCCGCATCCTCAACCTCCTCAACGCCGATGCCTCCGTAACCGTAATCTCACCAACCTCAGGCCTAAACCCGGAAGTCGCCCATCGAGTCCAAAACAACCAAGTCACGCATCTAGATAAGAAATTCGAACCCTCCGATCTCGACGACCCAGACATCACAATGGTCCTGACGGCCATCGACGACCCAGAAGCATCGTCCCAGATCTGGAAACTGTGCAAAGAGAAGCGTTTACCCGCGAATATCGCAGACGTGCCTCCGGAATGCGACTTTTACTTTGGAAGTGTACATCGCGATGGACCGTTGCAGATTATGGTGTCGACGAATGGGAATGGACCGAAGATGGCCAATATCGTGCGGAGAAGGATCGCGAGCAATCTACCGCCGAACATGGGTGATGCGATCAAGAAGGTGGGGAAATTGAGGAAGAAGTTGAGAGAGGTTGCGCCGCAGCCTGAGGAGGGACCCAAGAGGATGCAGTGGATGAGCAAGGTGTGCGTGCAGTGGAGTTTGGAGGATCTCTGTGATATGAGTGAGGAGGATATGGAGATGTTACTGCAGTCTTATGCCCCGGATCAGGTGCCTAGCCTGGTGGATGTACGAGGGCCGTGGGAGTTTGATGGGAGCTTTGGGTGGGCTTGTGTGGTTTGAAGTGAAAACCGAGAGATACCACTGTACGATGTGCGATGAGAGAGTATGGCGTTGGAAACGGCTGGCCATGTGAGATGATTGAACGTTTTCGCCCTTTTTGTCCGTATCTATACAAGCGGTACAAGAAGGAACGCTGTACATTGAGCAGAGAGTGAGAGCTCTTCATTCTTACCCGACCTCGAGACCGATCCAGTTGCCCAGACGCCAGGGTATCGGGTACATCATAACTTACATCAACATCGCGACCGTCTGTCGACCAGCCTTATCGAACCACCGTTTGGCCTCTCTTCACACAAAGCCAACGCCGGTTCGTCTTCCCTCCGTTTGCCGTTGAACCTCCCCAGCAACCAATCCGTCACAGACACCACTCTCGTCATCCGGTCATAGTGTCCTCCCTCCTCAGTATGCTCGATCGTATGCTTGACCACCCTCCCCTTATCATCAAACTCAAAGATGAAAATCCCCTGGAACTCCTCCGCATCTTTCCCTCCATTCGACTCTTCATCTTTCGTCCCCGCAATAAACCCCCTAATCTTCTCGACAGGGTCCTTCGCAACCGCAAGTCCCATCCCACGATAGATGCCTCCCGTTCCATCGCGATGTGTGGTTTTCCCGCAGGTTTTCCATTTTACGATTAACTTCTCTTCTCGGTTTTCGAGGGCTACTGCGCTCCCGCCATTGCGCACCATCCGCTCGGAGAGAATCACAAGGTGGACGTTCCCAACCAGTGGCATTCGGCCCCAGGCTACTGGAGCTGTCCATAGCGCTGCGATGTACGCGAGCCGGCCAGAGACGGTAGGGAGGTGTGGATGCGTGGAGGGGAAGAGATGCAGAGTGATATTCGGCGACAGGATCTCCGAAGGTAGAGGCTCTTTCAACAGCGTAGGCAATCTCTCATGCAAGACCCTCACAGTCTTTCCCAGCTTGATCGTTCGCTCGTCGGGCGGTTTGTGGTCACTGCCAACCCCCTGCTGTTGACGAGAGGCCGCAGCGCTGAACCAGAAGTCACGGTCGATGTCGTTGACTTGTGCGAAACATCGGCAGTTCTGAAGACATGATCGTGGATCGCTGCAAGGTCGGACGGAGGCCGCGAGTCTGGTCGTTTTGGTCACGGCATTGTTGGTTGTTGTTATCGCGCGGAGGCGTGCTGGCAGAAGCGTTCGCATCAGCCGGCCGGTTGGCGTCATCTGATGTCGAGCTGGGGGTGTTGTTCCATTGCAGAGTTGGAGAGTATTTTGATGCCGGTCGTTGCGAGTTCGTTCGTTGTTTGTGGAGAGAAATCTGGAGCTTTGGAGAATTTGCGCACGGGCCAGTTTCGAGTGAATGACGTAGATATCCAATGAAACGGCACTTGAAGATCATAGACAAGGTATATCAATTCCATCGCTGCCAAGATGGATTCTGCGTTTGAGCTGCTCTCTCAGACGAGGGTAGAGCTATCTTCGAGTTGCAGACACTTTATACCGCCATAACCGACACGACACTACTTGAGAAACTACGACGATGTCGTCAGGAGGCAAGAGGATCGTATTTACTGGCGGCTCAGGGAAGGCTGGCCGCCATGCCATTCCAGAACTGTTGAAGAAGGGTCACAAGGTAGTCTGTGAGATCGTAAGCTTTATGGCTGGAGACTGACTTCCTCAGGTCCTCAATCTGGATCTCGTCGACTTCCCAGACCCCAATGCCGGAGTATTCACTCTCAAATGCGATTTGACAGATGAAGGTCAGGTCTTCAATGCCCTAACAACTCACTATAATATGGGCGAAGGATACGAGCAAGGTCCGAAGACCCTCACCGAGATGCTTAAGTGTCCATGTTTTGACATTGCGTTGCAGGCTATCCAGAGCCGCCTCCGGATGCAGTCATCCACTTCGGTGCCTATGCTCGCAACATGATTGTTCCGGATAATGAGTGCTTCAAGGCGAATGTCACCTCGACATACAACGTGATCGAAGCGGCGTGTAAATTGGGGGTCAAGAAAATAGTCATTGCCAGCTCAGAGACGACCTACGGCGTTTGCTTCTCTGAAGGCGATTCTGACTATCACTCGTTCCCGCTCGAAGAAGACTACGACTGTGACCCAGCTGATTCGTATGCCCTGTCGAAGCTTTGCGGTGAGCAGACCGCAAGGACCTTTGCGCGCCGTTTCAAGAACGATATCTACGCTTTAGTATTACCTTCCCACGATCGAATATTATTCTCAAGTGCTAACATCTGCCAGAAAATTGGCAACGTAATCGAGCCCCACGAGTATTCCAACTTCGAAAAATACGTCAACGAGCCCATGACGAGAAAACGCAATGCCTGGTCATACATCGACGCGAGAGATCTTGGGCAAATTTGCAACCTCTGCATCGAGAAGTCCGGTCTGGGCTTCCAGCTCTTCAATGCCACCAACACAACGATCACGACCAAGATCCCTACCGAGCAGTTCTTGAAAGAGAACTGCCCGAATGTTCCCATTACCAGGAAGATGGACGAATGGGAGGCGCCTCTTAGCAACCGTAAGATCCGGGAGGTCTTGGGGTTTGTTGAAGAGCACAATTGGAGGAAGTACTATCAGCCTTCGTAGGGCTTCACCAGGCATCACAAACAATCAATGCATCGGGCTTCAGCCAAAACCTTTGCTGTGTGATCTCAGCTACATCATCTGTGCATTCATCCATCGACCTCCGCCATGCCGGATGTTGCGGGCTTGGGGAACATGCTCGAGAGCAGCGAATGCCAACATTAACGTGCGATGAGTATCCAGCCACGATGAAATCATGAGGGAAAATCATTCTATTTGTCAATTCGACTTTTACCAACAACATGCCGAGAGCCTGCCCCTTGTTATTAGTCGAAGTTCAGACTGTGAGGTCATACTCACTTGATTCTCAGTAGGGCAAGCAGCTTGCATATCAAGGATGAACGACATTCTGGAGCACGACACACAGGCCTCACAGCTCTCGGGCAGCCCTTGCAGAGCCTAGGCTGCACGTCGATCTCAAGACGAGGGCCACCACGTGGTGCCGTGCCTCTCAGCAACATCTCACCGCCGAAGATGTCATTGACAGCGCCGAGATCTTGTGCAGCTCTTCTATACCACTGAAACAGCGTCGATCATGCAAGGATAAGCTCCTGTCAAAGGCAAGTCCCTGTCTGAAACTTCCAAAACCGTTCCCTGGCCCCCTGCTAGGTGTGCATCCCCAGTCAATGGCAACTCTATTGCTAACCTTAAGTACACTGCCATACTCTTGGACGAACCATTCAAGTCAGTGTCTTGATTGACAGCTCAAGCCATTGGCGCCAAACGGCCAAGATGGTGAAGCAGGTTGTATACCACAGATTTCAGCCTTTTCCTTGAGCTCATCATTCCGCCGAATCCGAATGATGGACGTCAATGTCGACTACGAAAAGATATATAAAGCGATAGGTGATGCTGTCTTCCTCCATCATCAAGCAGAGCATCAACACTCTTCAGATCACCTCGACAACCACCTCATAGAACTTCTGCGACTCTTCTTGGAGCTCCAAAGCCAACAGCCAACACCAACATGCAATTCAAGTACATCGCCGCCTTCATCGCTTCCCTTGCCGTCAACGGCGCTCTGGCTATTCCAGTGTCTGATGCTGAGGTTAGTCTAAGCACCGTGATACAGCTCTATTGTCTGCTTCCACTGACGCCCCACAGGCCATGAATGCAGCTCTTGAGGACGCTGCCTTGCAGGCCCGCGCCGAGCAGATCGAACAAGCCGATCAATTTTGGGACGACGACTTCTTGGATTGGGTGAGCCCAGCCGATGACAAGTTTCAACGACACCATGCTGATGCCTACGCTAGGATAAAGCCAAGGTCATGAGACGTGCTGAGCAGATCGAACAAGCTGGTCAATTCTGGGACGATGACTTCGTAAGCTGAGTTCATCATCAAGTTCAGTGACTATTGCTGATGCCTCCGGCAGGATAAGGCCAAGGTCATGAAGCGTGCCGAGCAGGCTCAACAGGCTCAGCAGGCCCGGCAAGGCAAGTCTCCTACTCCATCGAACCATTATAACAGCAATGATTGACATTTCCTATAGGAAACCAATGGTTCGGTTGGCCGAATGTCGGCTTCCGAGCCGGGTTCAACTTCAACAACCGGTTCTTGTTCCAGCAGCAGAACCCATGGCTCTGGCAGAACCAACTCTGGGGCAGGCGAGGCTGGTGGGGATGGTAAATGCTGAGTTTACGGGTAGGTGGCGATAGATAACTCGACTTCTTGGACACCCAGCTGACACCGAACAGCATCGAAGTTGAACACGATTGTCACGAGTATGAACTGATGAAGGCGTAACAGCGGTGGATCGGTCGCTTTAGTCAATGGTTAGTTGGCAATTGTCAGACAGTGCTTAATGAATGATTGATCGATTGCTTCCCTATCATAACCCATACCACTCTCTTCTCACCTAAAAGCATTCCACACGTGCGAAAGACGTCGCAGACCGAGGCTGAAGGATTTGGAACAAAGACAACGGTCTGGCTCGAAGTCTGTCTCGCGGTTGCCACGCGGCATTCCTTCTTGATCCTACTGCGTGCGCCGATCTTGCTTCATCAGGCTGCGACAGACACCGATATCTCACGCTACGATTTTGGGTCCGGGTTCAAGCTACACCGGCGCGAGGACAAACCCTGAATCGTTAGAGGGACGAAGTTCATCCCAAGAGATTTCGAATGGCTTTTGGAGTTCGAATCTTTCTTCGTCAGCCTACTGCATCCTCTGTACACAATTGCACATCACAACTGACTCTCCTACCATCCCTCCCAAACCTTGTCAACAACCAAACACAACCCGCCCCCCAACGCCACCGAAATCGAATCCCACATCCACTCCATCGTCACCGACCTCTGCGCCGCCGTTAACGTCCGCAACTTCTCCGCCACCGCCTCACCCTGGAACATCATGTCCGCCTCCTTCTCTGGCCTCGCCGCCGTCAGCGGCGACCCCCTCGGCAAACCCTCCGGCGCCATGAACCTCTCCGAATACCTCGACGGCCTCTCGCGGCTCTGCGAGTTCTTCCCGGATTTCCGCGTCATGCCTGTCAGCATCAATCCGGAGGCTACGTCGAGGAAGCGGGCGAGCTGTTTGTTGAGTATGGAGTATAGTGGGATGGGGGAGGGGATTGTGAGACCTTGTGTTGCAACGTTGGACTTTCGACTCGTGGAGGGGGAGGGCTGGGTTTGTACGAAGATGGTTAGTTTTGAGGGGTTGTTGGGGGATGGATTTGAGTTTCGTGAGTATGGTCTTGGAGTTGGGTGGGTGTTTTGGTTGCTGACTTTTCTTTTGCAGCTGGTATGGCGTGAGGCCGTGAGGGAGGGCACGAGGTTATTTCACGTATGTTCACCAACAAGGAGGGGTCTCTGCATCGAAGTCGACGCGGGAAGACAGCAAGGCTCCTACGATAGGCCACGGATCGGAGACAACAGAAACGAGAACATCGGCCTCCATGTCAACAGGCTCCTCATTACATGTCCTTACCATCGGGTTGGAGGATCAGACACGATGGCACCAGAGCCGATCAGCGGACAGAAGACAGGAAACAGTTCGACGAGGAGTCGATGAGCAAGCACGTACAACTAAGGTGTCACGAAAGATCCTGGATAGAGGACATGATGATCCGGAAGATTTCACGACAACCTATTCTGTCTTCATAGCGACAACCTCCGCCTCAAGCTCCTTCTCCACGACCGGAACATCGAGCACTACTTTGCCACGACGCACAGCCTCAACATCTGGTACATCAGAGTGCTTGTGGCCCACAAAGATGGCATCAATCTCTTCGAGCGTTTTGCCTTTCGTCTCGACCCAGAAAACGGCGATGAGCACGAGGGTGATAATGTCCCAGCCTCCGTTGACCATGTACATCTTCCAGCCAATGTTGTTCAGACCGATTGGCATGACGAAGACGAGGACAATGCTGCGGGGCCGTCAGTATTCGAAAGTTCCACATGCACACGAAGGGACTTACGCAGCTGCATTCAACATGAACGAAGAGAACGCCAACCCGTTTGCTCGGATCGAATAATTCATGACCTCCGGCGGGTACAGATAGAGTAGCGGTGTCCAGGCAACCGAATAGAACCCCTGGAAGAGGAACATGACAGCCACATTGCCATAAATCAGGCTGCTGGAGGCTCCATCGGGGTTGTCAGCGTACAATTTCGAGAGACCTCCTATTATAAACAGGCAGGCGATCAGCAGACTCTGCGAGACGAGTGCGGTCGACTTTCGTCCCCAGACGGCGCAGCCAAACGTCCCGACGAGACAGCATGCCAGCGACCAAACGTTGAGTACGACGTTCGCTTTCAGTTGGTCGGTGCTGTTGGTGATTCCTGCGGTGTCGAGTTCGGCGCCGAGATAGTAGGAAGCAATGATGTTGCCTGTAGCACAGAATTAGATCAACAGTAGTTCATATGCATATGAAAAATTACCGCGCCTTACCTGCAATAGCACTAAATGGCCCAGCCGACATCCCAATGAGCAAGCGCTTTCTGGCGATTGGGTCTTTCGCAATCTGAATGGGAGTCATAGTTCGCTGCTCTTCCTTCTCCCACTTCAATGTGTCGACAATCTCCTTGTAGACAGTCAAGACGACCTGATCGTTCAAATCACCGTTCGCGTTCGTCTGGGCGACAGCGAGACGGGCAGCCTCGAAATGACCTTGATTGACCAGCCACCTTGGACTCTCAGGGATGAACGGCAAGATGAGGATACATAGTACACTGAAAATGGCCTGGAACAAGGTGGGTGCTCTCCACGCCCAGGTAGATTGCCACTCTCCCGTTCCGAGCGTGATGCCAGCGGCGATCAGAGCGCCGATGTAATAGAAATCGTTAAGCAGACCAACACCCCACGCACGCCATCGACTGGCGAACGTCTCGGAGAGGTACACTCCGCCAGCAATTCCGCTGACGGCGGAGCCGAAACCCAGGACAATGCGAGCGACGACGAACATGGCGATGTTTTGAGCTGCGGTTTGGAGAACAATGCCGACGATCGTGATGAGGGAGCCCCAGAAGATTGCAGGTCGTCGGCCTAGCTTGTCTGCCATGATGCCGGAGAAGATGGGTCCTAGGAATCCTCCGATGAAGACGGATGCGGTGTTGAGGCCTGTCGTGGCGGAGTTCAGCTTGAAGTAGTCTGTGTAGGAAGGCAAGATGTTGAGGCCGTTGAGCATGGAGCCATCGTAGCCGCCGGTCTATGAGACTGATCAGTGAATGCCGGTGAACGGCACATGCCTGGACTCACTGTCGACTGCACGATCGAGCAGATGATGAGGAGGAAAGATAGCGTGAAGGACGACTCTGGCACCCAGGCAGGTAGCCAAGTGCCGGTTGGCGTCTTGTGCATCTTGGGCCGATCAGCGACACGACACTCACACAGGCAGAGGTGAGTTCAGAACAAGAAGAGCGGCACAAGGTCAAGGTTCACCAAGTTCATCATGTAGTTCCCATTTCCCTCTGGCACCGGACCCTGGCATGTCGATCACCCTCGTGGCCACCACCCCGCGTCTCCAATCGACGCAGTCGCTATCAAACGATGTGTAGATAGAGTTGCCCGTGGTTCGGAAAAACCTCATCAGTAAGCATTGAGATAGCGTGCCGTTAACCGCCCTCCGTGTGGCGTAGAAGGTAAGCAGCGTGTTCAGAATCAGAGAGAGATAGTGTGGTGGCACCGAGGTGGAAGTGCTACGTCTTACTTTGGGAGGAATACGACCTCAACGTGGTACGCCGGCAGGCAGGACGCCTTTGGACAGATAGGCCAAAAGATATACGTGTATGGCCGCGTGCATGTTGTTGCACGCTGGGGTTGTCCAAGGTTTGCGGATAAATGGACGTGGTTGGTAAGGAGTGCCGTGGTGTATCGGCTCAATGTTGCATCGCCCAAGTTTCTTGAGAGCTTCTCCACTTTCACACGTGACCTTTACTCAATTAAGTAGGAGTTGAGAGATGTGCAGAAACAGCTTTTGAGTCGTCGACCTCAGCTCTTCGCGACGACATGCGCACTCAAAGACAAGCCCGACATCGACCGACATCGACCTATAATCTCGCAATTTCTTTGCCGCCCAGCCAGTCCAAACCCCAATAGATCATGATCATGAACTTACGTCTCCAGCTCCTCGTCCACAAGAGATTCTTGCTCCTCCAAGCCGCCCAAGCTCTTGGACCGGACCAGTCAGGCCTTCCATGAACAACACCATCGTGGCCGCCAATGTAAGCGACGAGAGGCTTTTGGGAGTACTCGAAGAGCTTCTGGCCGTCTGTCCCCTTATTGAGGGTGTCCGCGAGGTATTCGGCCTTTTGCACGGCTACTTCAGCCGTCGTAGGCAAGAAGTACTTCTTGATGTCTGCGGCGTCGCCCAGAGCGTAGATGTTCCTCAAGGGTTCCTTGTTCTTGTTGAGGACATGCAGATACTGATCCGTCACGATGCGAGGCAACTTGTCCGTGTTGCACACATCCAATTGATCGACCAGGGCGCACTGCTTGTTTCCAGCGGTCCACAAAACCATCCCGCAGCCAATGCGGCCCTCGGCTTCGGTCGTAATGCTGTCGGCCTCGACTTTCTTGATCTTAGAGTCTGTGTACACCGTGACCCCCCGTTTGGAGAAGCTCCGGATAGAATGTTGGCGAAGAGCATCTTCGAAAGCTCCCAAGATGAACGGCGCGGCGTCGTGGATGGAAATGGACATTTTCCCCTTGAGGTGAGGATACAGCTTCGTCATGTCTTCGTTCAAGAGGTCTGACATTTCGGCAGAGATCTTGACGCCGGTCGGACCGCCGCCAACCACAACGATGTGCAACAGCTCGCGCTGGTGTTCTTCGCTGACTCCAGGAAGAGACGCCATTTCCAGGAGCTGTTTAAGCCGATACTGAACCCTCTTCGCGTCATTGACATTTCGAACAAAGAACGCATGTTCGCCAGCTCCTGGCGTGTGGAATGTATTCGTGATGCAGCTGGAAGAGTGTCAGAACATCTGGCGAAGTACGCATGGAGACTCACCTATCCAGGGGCGAGTATCAAGCGATCGTAGGGAACATCAAACTCCTTGTTCTCGGTAACCCCATCCGTATCGCAAGTTGAATGACATTTGCACACACTCAGGTTGAAGTCAATTCGCTCGACCAGCCCTTTGTAATACGTGATCCGTTTGCTCTTATGTCGAATTGGCTCCTCAGCGAGCGAGAAGTCGAAAAGCCCGCATGCTGCGCTTGCCTGTGGTCGATGTGTTAGCGTATCTGGAGAAAGATGCGTAGAGTTGATCATACCAGCAGAGGCGTGTATGGACTCGTGTCTTCCGGACTAATGACCGTAATGTTGAACTTCTTGTCGTCCAACTTTTGGGAGACGTTGTAGCCTGCCCATCCCGTCCCTATGATCACTATGCGCTCACGTCCATCTGGCGAGCTGGCTTTCGTAGTTCTGTTCTGAGTCGTCATGATTCTGGAGCGTTTTTGATACGAAGAGACTGAATGAGAGAGGTGAGGTTGGTATTTGTGCGACCCCGCGACCGTGAGCTGGGCAGCCTCTCAAACATGGACTGGGTTGGTGAACTCTTTTGTACCAGGTTCTTGGTTCGCGCTTTGACGCGTTCATGTTGCAGAGAGGCTTTTGTTCATTACGTACGCATTGCATTGCGGCCACATCGCGGACGAATATGGCCTTTTGTGGTTTCTCATAAGAGCATTAACCGCACGAGTATGGGCTTTCTCGGTAGATGCAGGAAGATGCCACTTGCTTTTCGCGCGAGATCAGGGCTGACCTTGCCTAGTCGAGGACTGACGGGCGACAACCTTCGCACTTACATAATGCGTGCTCATGTTGAATGCCGAAGGGTTCCGACGAAGACAACATCATAGCATGGACAGGTATATGAAGAAGACGATGGGCGTGCCTGCGGTACCATCACGGTTCGAACTTGGCAGTTGGCGGCATCGGCGATTCGTCAACGTCCGTCATCATCTGCACGTCGTCATGTGCCTGCCGCGATACAGCTCATCACTTTCCTTTATCTTATCTCACTATTGCCCCCTATTGCCGGCGCGTTCGATTTACCGACACACGAGACCCAGACTCGTACATCACCGTGATGTCCTGCTCCCTCCATTCCTAGTTGCTGTCTTCTTCTCACTCTGTACATACTCAACTCCTCGGCCGGCCTTGCTTCAACAGCAACCATGCCTACAACGAAGGCGGCCCTCTTGACGATTCCTTGCGAACTTCGAAATGCTATCTACATGTATATCTTCGACCCTGACCTATCAGAGCAACCGCGAATCGTCCCAACTCGTCCGAACGAGCTCGCAGCCGCGTTGAAGCTCCACGATGCCAGCTTCTACCTCAATGAACGCGATAAGCTTCCTGCGCGGAAGCTCGCGGTGCTCCAGACATGCAAACAGATCCATAATGAAGCCAATCTCCTCGCGCTCTCGATGACGCCCTTCATCGTCGAAGGCGAATGCTCATACCCCGACGTTTTCGACCTCCGCTCGCGCCCTCTCTCCCTCACGAAGTTGGGGGCCATCCGACACATCGTTCTATCTGCTCGAATCAGCAACCTACGCGCGTTGAATGAGGCCTGGTGCGGCCTCCCGTTCGGCCACCCAAGCCTTCAACTGGATACATTGACCGTTATCCCAAGTCGTCCTGAATGTCACTCAAGAGCATTCGCTGAGATTGCGGATCTCTCGCAGACCCATACTCTCGCCTATGTCTTTTGCGAGACCCTCAAGACACTACGGAAGGTCAAGTGTGTCGAGATCAGAAACAATGGCTGCTTCAATGAGGTGGTATGGCGGCTGTTCTATCGCAGCTTGGTATACAGGCTGTGGAGATGGGGAGGCAGCATTTGTGGAATCAAGTTTGAAAGTGGAGAGCTGCAGCCTGGTGGCAGTGCCGTGAAACAGAATCAGTGGTTCAAGGCATACCTGTCTGATAGTGAGAGCAGGGGCACGGAATGCGGCGAGGAGGTGTGCCGTCTGGTCGGCCAGACTGGTGAATATCCAGACCAAACAACAGCAGGCGTCGGCCCATGAGAGGGATAGACACAGCCCAACAGGACAGACCGATAGACAGATTGAAGACTTTGAGGCCTCGCTGCCAACATCATAGGTAGCCTGTGGTGGCCTGGCCGTTTGCACTTTTGTCGAAGTTACACAGCATTGAATACACAAGCACATATCTTACGGTCTGTCAATATTAGCACAATTTTATGTTCACTGACCCATGGTTTCAGATCTTAGTGCTCAAATACATGTACGGTTGGACATTGACCAAGCAAGTAACGAACGTGAATGACACGACTCAGGTGCGGATAGACGACCCTGCCAATGTCTTCGCCTTCCGTGGAATGTACTCATGCTGCAATACAAGATAAGACGTAACAAGATTTCAAGAAGCCAGACGATCCATGATGCCAGGAAGCAAGACATAAGAGCTCTCTTGGTACCAATCGATCCACAAAGCAATGTTCATGAGAGAGAGTGTCGGGCAGTATGTACTATCCATCGAGAATTGGCAAGCTCACAAAGTTCTAGACCCGATGGACCACAGCACTGCCCAGCTGGGGTGGGAACATTCAATTCAGCACTGCTTGTTCTCATTCGCCGATCTCACTACACCACGTATGGGGCCGGCGGATTTTCCGTCAGCGTTAAGTGCAAAGAAGAACTTGCTACTACGTACTGCTCTCCCTACGTGGGAGCGGAAGCTTCCAAGCTGCATCACAGGCCAAGCTGAAGCCCGCCGGAACACGCACCCTGATGAGATAGGTGGCTGAGACGGCCTCGACAGAGACCGTACCATGGCGTTGTGGCAAGTACCCTCGGAAATCCCAATGGCAGAGGACTACTTGTTGGCGTTTGGCTGGTCAACGTCGATTAAGCTTATCTTCGACTGACTTGCAGTCCAGCGTTACTCAATGGAGAAGGTCTAGCACGGCGAGAAACTGTCACTTTCGCTGCGGCGTCTCCGTGCTCACACGGATCTTTCTGCAGAACCCATCAAGCTACTATGGAGGCCCAAAATTAAGCACGACAGGCCAGGCTTCAAATCTTTGAAGAGAGAGGTTGAAGAAGAACCAGTTTGCTCCGGGAAGAACAAGGACTCCGAGCCAACCTCTTCTCTAACCCTTCCACTTTATTTTAACCTAATGAATAAAACAAAGCAGAATTACCACAACGCCATGGTCGAACTCATCCTGGAACAAGAACGCCGTGAGAAGCCCTCAAAATCGGAACATGAAGCGGACCCCAAGAAGGAGAAGCCCAAGAACCAACCCACGGCTAGAGACGATACGATAGCTCCCAAGAGATCCTCGAAGACCTTTCAACTCTTTATCGCGCATACGCAAACCAAGACGAAACCGCCGCTACGTGTTCAGCTTCTGAGACGCCTTTATAAACGGCGGAAGAGATCGGAGTCGAGTGTGTTCAAGACGGCTCGCATGCGTCCATCGAGGGTGTGGAGTGTTGTTTGAGACACGCAATCGACCATTTCGATTGACCCACGCTTCTACATGGATTACGTTGAAATCAGACTCGAACACGAAGTCGTTCAATCGATAGCGAATCATGGCGAAACATGAGGACCGATCAACGAATGTTCATCTCCACATCGCGAAAGATGGCTCGCGATGCTGACCGAGCGCCTGCGATGGAAGTTCAAATCTCGTGCATGACATCGATCAAAGCTCCTTCTTCCAGAGACCGGCAATTTTGTTCAAAGCCTGATGGATGATGGGCGGATTGCCCGCAACCCAAGACTCGACCGGACCCTCCTTGATCGTGGCCTTATAGATATGCTTCTTGCCCGTCAGGAGCCAGAACCCTTTACCGCGAGCAGGTTCGAGGTTGAAGATGATATCGTCTGGAGTATTGATTCTGCCCACCAACGCCCCCGTGTTGGGGTCAACGCAATCGGCGCCTCCAGCAATTGCGATGACCAACAGTCCACTCACCGTCACTCTCAGTCCATCTGGCCAGCCTGATTCGACTTGGTAAATTAGCCTCGGGCTATCCAGCAGACCGCCTTGCCGGATGTCGAAGGCAAAGACAGCTCGTTGGCTAGAGAGCTCTAGGCTGGACGAGTTGGAGTCAGCGACGTAGAGAGTTTTCTCGTCGGCGGATAAGGCGAGCCCATTCGGCATCATAACCGCAGAGTTGGAAAGAGCTTGCAATGCTTTCGTGTGAGGGTGGAATCGATAGATGGCATTGGGAAGCTCAGGGGCTTGCACGCCGGGCCAGTTCTGCGCCAGGCCATATGTCGGGTCCGTGAAATACATATTCGACCTTGAATCGAAGATCAAATCGTTTGGACTGTTGAGATGTCGGCCGCGGTAGTTGTTGACGATGGCTTCTGTACGACCGGTCGTTACGTTGAGTTCGAAAACCCCTCGCACCGTGCCCCCATTCGTGGCGACGTAGACCTTTCCTCTGTGATATGTTCCTCCATTAACGTTTTGCAATGGTGGGTCCGAAGGAACCTGTCGGACCTCATGAGTATCAATGTTAATGGCATACAGAAGCCCTGCTAGGGAAGTATCGGAATAGAGCAGCTCGTTGCTCTCGGGCAGGTAGACGGGCGCTTCGTTAACGTGCCACTGATCAGGGGAAAACGATTCTATACGCTCGAGCTTTGCCCCTGGTCCCAGCACGTCCAAGAAGGCGTCGTCGAAAGCAATGAAGTCGGAGTTCTTGATCTCAGCAAATGCCGCTGCTACGCAAGGTTCTGTTGGGGTGACATCGTAGAAAGAGGAAGCTGTTAGGCCCTTAGCCCATTGTCTGTATCATTTCGCCATGTCCAAACACTCACTTATATCTCCACTTTGCCAATCGCCAGGAATCACTGCGAGATTTTGGTTGACGGAGACTGCGTTCAATCCTGAATGGGAAGCTGGTAGGGCATTGAGAATGGCACCGTGGGACTCGAGACAAGTGCTGGCAGGTTGAAGACTCGGTTGGAACGAGCCGGGAAACAAGTTCGCGATAAACTCCATTTCTGGCTACCCGGACAGATGTCAAGCTGGGGATGTTTGTCTTTGTAATAACATATAGAAGAGAGATTTCCTCACCAGAGTGTTCAAATGCCGAAGCTGATGCTTTCAGGCGTGCAACCGGCCACCGGCTGTTTCCGAAATATAGCCAGTTTTCTTCAAACAAGACCACTAAAACTACTATTTAGTCGCTAGAGAGTCTCGGTCAGAGCAGACCGAGTGTATGTCTGTAATTTTACGTCTTTTCTAAGCAACAATAGTCGAAGTTGCACTATTGAGAGAGAATCTGATTTTAAATCACTTGCTGTTTTGCGTGGTCGAGGTGGGGTCTTGCTCGACTCCACCGATGTCGTCCCTCTCGCCGGGGAAGGAAGATCTTTCTACCTCTGAATATATCTCCAAGATCAACCTGTCTCCCAACTCACTCGAATTCGCATACCGAACTTCCAAACGGTGGCAAACATGACCGTCTACCACATCGGTAAGACTTGGCTCTCTGAAATGAATTGCGTACTCACTCAGGCAACATAGTGCTGTTCAAGCTCAAGAAAGGCACACCAGACGAGACCATTTCTCAGCTGAAGGAGGCTGCAACAGCGATGGTCGGCCAGGTTCCAGGTATGGATTCTGCTAGCCATGAAGACGGATGATAGTAACGACTTTTCCAGGTCTCCAGAAGATCGATTTGGGTCCACCTGTTCCCGCAACTGCAGCCCGGGCCAAAGGCTTCGATTATGGATTGGTTGCAATCCTAGACAAAGCCGAGAACCTAAAGGGCTATGCTGAACATCCAGCTCATCTTAAGTATGTTCCTCAGCCTTCGCAGCGGCTGTCGCATTGCTTACAAGCCCAGGGTGCAAGACATTCGCTTGCCTATCTGTGAAGATACTTTGGCGTACGACTTTGAGTTTTGAGGAATCGGAGGCACAGAAGTGATATTGATTCTTCCATGGCAAGAGCCAGGGGTATTGCGTCCTCGTATAGATCAGTCTCAGGAGTTAGCCATCTCGATGAATGGAAGCCGTCATTGAAATCCTGACACCAGAATGCTGCCAGCACCAAAGGATCGATGCTTCTTCAGAACGGCCAGCTGCGATGTCTTTGCAGAGCTGTACAGCTTGGAGCAATCACGCGATGTCGGCGCGATCCACCGGCTCCCCTCCTGTACCTATCACGAATCGGTGACGCACTTTTTGCTTTGTGCGTACAGTATCGTTCTTCATGATCCATCAAGGTTGTCAAGTCCAATCCGAGTTTCCAAAATGGCCGAAGAGAAGTCAGCATCGGCCCCAGAAGTCCAGTTCAAAGGAAGCTGTGCATGCGGAAGAGTCACATACACATGCACTAGTCCTCCCAGAGAGGGATTCACGACAGCATGCCACTGCGTTACGTGCAGGAAAATATCCGGCGGTCCATTCCAGGCTTTTGCCCACGTGTTTGCGGCGAATCTGACTAACTTCGACAAGGAAAAGAACTCCCGCCATGAAGGACTGCCGAAGGACGACACGGGCGGCATCGTCTTTCGTCGCCTCTCGCCAGTCGGTGAGAGGGCATTCTGCGGATCTTGCAGCACGTCTTTGGCAATGCGATACAAGCACGAGCCTGACAATATTGGGGTCACACTGGGAACGATTGATGAAGACTCAATCGGAAGTCCAAAAGTCAAGGAGCTGTTGCAGCCCAATCAGCACATTTTCATGAGCCAGAGTGTATCATGGCTCCACATCGATAATGACGGTGTGCCCAAATATGCTCGGTTTACTTCCGGGGACTTTGAAGAGAACATGGCGTCTTGGATCAGCCACAACAAGGGCAAGGAATGAGGGAGCCGATCTGACAGCAATCTCGCACATCGGGATTTGATCCTTGATCCTGTTCGATATGCTGGCGAAGTAGATTCGCGGTGTGTCGTGGATACCATGAATACATTCGATTGTGGTCGGGACCGACGATGAGGCTTTCGATACCGTGCTGAAAGCTGGAGTCGTGTAGCGGTGTGAGTGGATGGCGAAGTCAAATTGTCCGAAGGAGTGACATGTGCATGCAGTGTCGAAGGCAATTACTGTAGTGTGTTAGCTCTAGATACAGCGGTAAGGCTACAAGCCGATTTTCTGAATGCTTGTGACTGTCCGACAGCTTGCAGAAATCGGTACCGAGAGCTGACTGCACCGAATAGCTCACAACCATCACCAGGTTCGTACGGTAACGATGTGCTGCTGTCAGAGTGAGCATTCGGCGCATGAGGTGAGGTTCCGTCAGCCGTTCGGTGTCACTTTGGCACGGTGCGCTCGTTGCCCAGCCGGAAAGGACGTTTGCATCGGCGAGCTTTCGAGGAGTCTTCGTTGCTGTGCCATGCCCAGACACAGCGGTCGACGGATCGACACATGGTGAGAGGGATCAGGAATGCGCTCCTGCACCCTTTTGCGCCCTTGAAGACGCATGAAGGACTGCTCCTCGTCAGGTACCTTTTGGCGAGATCTCAACAAATGCGAAAAGTGAGCAGAGGAGAGTCTGTTGTCAGTGGTTTCACGGATCGACCCCTGCCAGCCTTTCTCCAGATCCGTCGGCTGCAGATCCTGGCGGAACGATGGAGCTTTCGGGGGGCCGCATCGCAGTCCCTCCCCTCTTCCTGCGTCGTTCGCAAGTCCACCTGCGGCACACAACCACCTGGCCACCTGCATAACCGCTGCTGAGCCGCTGGTGTTGGTTGACCTGAGGTAAGCCATGAGCCGAGTGCATGGCGGATGATCTGCAATATGGTATGCGGGTTTTTTGTGTGCGCCGCACACCGCTGCAGCTGTACTTTCGAAATACGTCCTTGTCCTCGCTCAAGATTGCCGCGAAGTCAGCCTATCCTGGTGCGAGTCGAGGACTTCAAGCTGTGACCGAGCGGTTCTGATCAAGCATTTCCCCAACGTGTCGCGCAAAGCTTCGAGCAGTTCACGCGGACAGACGCATTGAAAATATTTTGACTCTGGTAGCAGACGCCGTGACTGTCGATCAGCGCGCTATCCACCGACCGGCTTGCATATCAGGGGCTGCCGTAAGCACTTCTACGGCTATGTTTCACAGCAGACCACCTGGAACTGGACCCTGCTCCTCGCGCGGATCAGAGCACGTCCTGGAGCTTTTTCCATCACGGCAAACTTGACAACACTTTGGAACGCCATCACCGTTGTATCCTGCGTCATGCCGGTTCAGCTCCTCGATCATTGGAAACGTTTCTTCCCTGTGAGCAGCGAGGGACGAAGATGGCATGGTTTGCTGACGGACTGTGCATTCAGCATTTGCCCTGAAGCTGTCGTATGGATCTTGGGGGGATTCAATGGCTTTCACATCAATCCTCAAACCAATCCTACGCGCCACGGTCGACGTCGTCTGAGTCGAATCCGCGACGGACTTTCAGGGGTGTTCGCCGGTTGTGGCAGATCAACCTCCAGATAGTGCCAAAGTCTAGAGCCTCGTGGGAGTGATGAGCACTGATGAACCTTCTTGGTGATGAGGTAGGCTCGTCTATATCTAGGCCGAGGGCACACCTGTTTGTCGGCATCCATCTGCACCTCTCCTGCAGTCAGGTACGGTACATATATCCTCGTACCCTTTACCGCCAGACAGTTTCCGTTGCTGGGACCGAACACTTATTTCTATCCCTCGTTGTCCTCTCGACCTACCACTCCTCCTCTCTACCTCCTCCATACCGTTATCGTCACACCTGGGACCTCACACAAACACCATGTCTACCGACGCAGTGGAATCGTCCGAGCAGAGGGCGGCAGAACAGCTCGACGTCGAGATCCTTCCCGGCACTGAGGTGATGAAAGATGTTGGCGATGTTCACTTTGCACATGCCAATGGCGCCGACAGAGGATCAGTGTAAGCATTGCAACGCGGACGATATGTTTCCTTGCTGATCAACTGCAGCCTCGTACCTCAGCCATCGAACAACCCCAATGATCCTCTGAACTGGAGCACGCCGTGGAAGCTCGTGGTAGCATTTTCGCAGCTGCTCTATGTCTGGGTCCTCGTGTGCTCAGCGCTATCGCTCGCGCCTCTATTCCCGTTCTTGGGAATGGAATTCCACTTGAATCAGCAGCAGTTGTCGCTTCTCACTGGCCTGAATGTCATCACTCTTGGATTCGCCAACATCTTCATCGTGCCAATCTCGAACATCTTCGGCCGTCGCCCAACCTCGATCTTCTTCGGCGTCTTGGTTATTTTGACCAACGTATGGCAAGCACTGGCGTCCAGCCATGAGAGTTTGCTCGCTGCTCGTGCCTGCAACGGCATCGTTGCTGCAACCAGCGAAACGATCATGGTGCAGACCATTGCCGACATGTTCTTCTTGCACGAGCGTGGCACGTGGATGGCGATGTACTTCACCTTCTACTTCTCAGGTGCCTTCCTGGGCCCGATCATGGCTGGTAGCGTTGGCAGCCGTCACGGATGGCGCAGCTTCTTCTGGCTGTCAACCGCATTGGCTGGATTTGTCACTATTCTCCTCATCTTCTGCTACCCAGAGACGAAGTTCCACCGCGACTCTACCAACCACGCTGGGACCAAATCGAACAGCAAGAACCACAGTGAGGTGCAAGAGAAGACCGTGGACAGCGAGGCAAACAGCAACAGCGATGCTGTTGACGGACAATGGGTGCGCAAGGGTCGTCCAAGCAAGGCTCAGTACGCTCCAATGATGAAGCCAGACCGCCGATGGATGAGCTTCGTCATTCGCGATCTCACCACTCCGATTATCGTCTTCTTCAACCCAATTGTGTTCTGGTCTGCGCTCATGCTTGCTGGTCCCGCTGATTTGCTACTGCTCTTCAACTTGACCGAGTCTGGTCTGCTCAGCTCTCCTGCATACGGCTGGTCTCCACAGGCTGTTGGATACTCCAACTTCGCCTTCTTCGTCGGTGGCATCTTTGGCGTCCTGACTGCTGGTCCCCTCTCCGACTGGTGGGCTCGCCGCAAGACCATCCAAAACAACGGCATTCGCGAGGCCGAGATGCGTCTCCCGGCTCTCCTCCCCTACGTTTGCTTCTTCATCGTCTCCCACGTGGTTGGTGCCGTCGGCTACCAGCGATTGTGGCCATGGCAGGCGATCATTGTCTGCGGTTTCGGTTTCTCTGGTCTCGCGGTCACTTCCATCCCAGCCATCTCCATCGCCTACGCCATCGACTGCTACAAGCCCATCTCTGGCGAGATCATGATCATCGGCACTGTCCTCAAGAACGTGCTCGGGTTCTGTCTCAGCTACTGGGTCTTCGACATTATGGCTCGCGACGGTTGGGTCACCGTCTATATGATCCAGTTCGCCGTCTCGATGTTCCCCGTCGTCCTTACCATCCCACTCTACTTCTACGGAAAGAATTTGCGACGATGGACGAAGAATTCTGACCTCCATCGCATGGAGGCTATGATCTAGATTGATCAATAAGGAAATAAGAAAAAAAGAGGAATACAACATACTCGGCAGGAACTTGGGAGGGCTTGTCAAGAGGTGTTTTCACGATGCATATGATTTTAAGATACCACGCTTTGCAAAGGTTTCGGCTTGGGCTCATGTACGGAATAGAAGACGTGTATATGAGTAGAAAATGCAATGCGATGACGGTCGCTTCTGATGATAATGTCCCTCAGCCTCGTTGCAACCATCTCAGTTAGTCAAGACTTCGTTCAGGAATTGATGCCGTGAGGTCACTAACACGCCAGCATCGACGGCGCTCGGTTGTTTGTTCGATTGTCGAGGCCGACGGATGTGTGCAGATGGAACATGCTGGCAGCCGGCAGGCACGCCAGCGACCCGTTCAACCTCACCTCCTCACGACTTATTATTCCTATGAACAACACACTCCATTCCCTGATGATGCTGTACAAATGTCTTGCCGTCTTTTCGATGGCCTGGAAGTAGTCACCGCATCGGCGATAATTTTCCGAATTCATCACCGAAAAATTTCGTTTGTTCCTCTGCACTCCAGACCTCCAGATGTTCCACAGACAATCTCTCTGGATCTTGAAACGTTTTTCTTCGCTTGCAATAGGTTTTCGTCCGTCGTCGAACCATCTCCAACGTCTGCGGGGTTGGTAATTGCAGTGGATTTGCCTGTTTCGGCTTCGACGACCATTCCTCGGTACAGGACATGACACTACTCCATCAATTTTGCACGTCTTTATATGCTAATCGTTTCTATCGTCGGACTAGGTGTTGGACATGAGAGATATCGATTATTCTGACTCGTTGTGGGGCCCGTTCTCCAACTTTGGTCGTCGAAACTCGACGAAAGCCAAAACGTTCCAACAGACCAAAAGATATTGTTTCTGCGGACAAAGTACAATGCGTATGCTACCAAATACGCTTCCTGTTCCAATCTCAATCTTACGGTGGTCCGACTGCTGCCTGCTACCGTCTGGAACCGGAAAAACTTGGTACTTCGTCCAAACGCCACAGTATGGGATTTATCTAAGAGACGACCTACGCATGCTCGCAAAAGTCAATTCTGGGGATTGAACTGGCTCTAGGCAAAAGATAGGAGCTGGTTTGGGTGTGTTATATCGGTCTTATGGTCACAACGCGAGTTGGAGCCCCCGATGTGAACCTCCAAGCCACCCCCAAGCCTTCCCATCGATGGCTATTGTTTAAAGCAGTTTAAAGAGCAAAACGTTCGTGCCGCCACCCAGAATTGAACTAGGGATCTTCGCATGACAGTAATTGTACAAGTGCGACGCGTCTTTTTCAGGTGTCAGCGTTGCATTGTTGTCGTTTGGTTAAGACATATCTTACTACCACTGCGCCATAGCGGCTTCGGTATAGCTGAGCTACACAATGGGTTGACACCAAACTGTGATTGGCTGAGATGTTTAATCTAAATAAGTATGCTAACATGGATTGCAAGGGCAAAGTCGCTAATACATCCAATCAATAGTGCTCCAATTAGCTGGGTCGAAGCCAGGTCGAAATTTGGGCCCACTGTCTACGAGCTTCGCTCAACCCGCCAACCCGCGAACGAACGACATTTCCAGACCGCTCCTAACACACAGCATGCCCTGAAAATAGTTCACGCAGTGCTGCGTTGACAATCCCACATTCTCATCGATCAGGTCAAGACGCTCAGCTGGCTAGCGCGAGGCTTGGCACTCCACAAGGCTGTCGCTCAACACGCAACAATACAAACCATTGTATTTATGATAGTACTGCATCGATATGACCTTTTGATGTTACAGAGTCGTGGTATTTGTGCTGCCTTCAAAACGCTGAAAATCTTCGCACGCCAAGAAAGATCGTTCAGTGCTTGGTCGGGACAACGCCTTTGATCAATGAGACCTTTCAAACACTTTGACCATGCTACTGGGACTTTCGTATGTCAGATAATGGTTGTCTCCCACCCCAAACTTGTCAATTCTGGCGACTGATTCCTCACACGAAACTTCATGTTCATCTCACCGCCCAGGAACAACTCTCCCAAAAGCGGGGCTGTTCTGAGCCACTCGAACCTTAAAAGGGGGCTCTTTGCGAGGCCACCTTCCTCTGAACCAAAAACTCCTCATCCACAGCCAAAATCGGCTTATCACATTGTAGATCAATCCAAGCCATCGTGCTCGCCTGTTCAGGAGACTCGAAGCATTGCTCGCGGGATGCTGGAAATTGGAAGACTTCAAAGCGAACCATGAAGTATTTGCATTGGCCTCAGTTAGCGACAATGAAAACGATGGCCAAGCCCAAAGTTACCTTCCTTCTGCTGCGAAATTATGCACCTGTGACTCTCGCGGGTAGCTGCAGTAGCCAACCCATACAAAGAAACGCCGCACTCCTCTTGCATATGAAGGAGTCGTGAGCTCGCGGCTCTGGCGGGCTCATTTGCGTTGCCTGCATCCGGGTGTCAGCCGCAGAAGTGCACAGCACGAGACCATTCTAGCGTGACTGTATTCGCAATCAGAGAACAGGAAACGGACTTCAGACCTGGCACTTTCGACTTACGAGACTTGACCAGGCCTATTGTGCCAGCAGCGGCCCTGCGGGTCAATGGCGGCGAAGTTTGGCCTCAATCCGGGCGAAAAGCAAAGGCTCAGAGACACAGTCATAACCACAAACTTCAAGCCACCAGGCAGGCTGGGAGACCCGAATCTGAAGTTCTTCCAGGAACCGAGAGCCCATCCCAAGATCGTGGAAACGTTCACGGCGTTTGGCATCGATGGCAGCCAACCGAATCCGTTCGCCGGCATGAGATGGGACGACCTCTCCTCTACCAGGCAAATGGCCCAGAACCATGCTACAATGGCGAAGCTATACGACATGCTACCGAATGATTTACCAGAGGACTCCTTTGAGCCGGAGGTGCGGGAGATCACAACGACGTTCAAAAGCTTCGACGGCACAGAACGAACACTGTACATCTTTCGACGCAAAGATCTCAATAGAGAGATGCCGGCTGTTATGTATACCCATGGTGGTATGACCATTCTTGACGCTGGCAACAAAGTCCACTCCCGCTGGTGTCGCTCCCTGGCTGTTCAAGGCGTTGTCGCTGTCGCGATTGACTTCAGAAATGCGTGGACACCTCAAGGAAACAACCCCTTTCCCATTGGACTGAAAGACTGCACTTCGGCCTTCCAGTACATCGTTCAACATAAGGCTGAGCTAGGAATTGACAAGATCATCCTCCACGGCGATAACGGCGGAGCTAATCTGGCACTCGCCACGGCCTTGAAAGCAAAGAAGGAAGGTTGGGTGAGCCAGATAGCTGGAGTATACGGCCTAGTGCCCTACATCAGCAATGCGTACGGCTGGGGTGAGGCTCGAAAGCTGAAAGAACTGCCCAGCCTTTACGAGTGTGAAGGATATTGGCTCTACACGGCGATGCTAGCTGGCATGGGTTACTATTACAGCGGAGACGAGGCCGAGCACCCGTTGGCATGGCCATATTTCGCGACCGTCGAGGATTGTAGAGGTCTACCGCCCCACGTTTTATCCATGGATGAATTAGATCCTTTGCGAGACGAGGGACTGGCATACTACCGGACGCTTCTTGCAGCTGGTGTGGAAGTCACGGCGCAAGTGAACTTGGGTGTTGTGCATGGTTCGGCTGTACTGTTTCGAAAGCTGTTACCGGAAGTGCATAACAAGGCTATCAAGGATGTGGCTGCGTTCGCGAGGAGTCTCTGAGGTTGTTGTAATGCCGCTTGGGCATGCTACTAGGCTTGCGACTAGGAACTTCATGGATCAATGAAAACGGCGCATCTTGGGTATTGGCGGAATGTAATTGAACTTTTTCAGATGACCGCGACGTGCGGCATCTTTAGCTGAGATTGCAAAATGATATTGTAGTTACATCATCGTCTTAAATCATACATCTTACAGATTGTGAACACTCGAGTTTTGGTCGGGACTTTTAGGGCGTCTAGGAAATCTGTCAGGGTCTCCTTTACCAACTCGTATCGCTCAGGAGCATGTCAGAACGCCGTTCTCGAAGCTGCAAGGACCTGCTTGGATGGCGATCTACAAACAATCATCAGCATCGGCTGCCACATCAGAGACATCTTATAACATTGCACTTACGTTGATGGGCAGGTTGTCAACGGTCAGGGTGAGATTTGCTGGGCCGCCGAGGAAGAAGCAGTCGTAGCTAACATTCATCAGTACAGCTCACATCACACGTAGAATGGACGGATCAAGCTTACTCTTGCTTCTTGGCACCATCAGATAGCTCCACCGTGGAAAGCTCACGTTGGTGGGATTCATCGTCGAGTTCGAAGCCACCGTGCAAAGCGCAGACAGCGGCCTCCTCAGGGGCAGGGTCGAGCTCCTTCATGCCGTCAACGATGTATTGAGCAACATCTCCACGGGCCTGCTTGCTGGTCAGCATGAATTGAAGGGTTAAGAAAAAGGTCATGGGTAACGAACGGCCCAGGCTGCGGCGCTTCTCTTTCCAAAAGTGTTGATGATGGTCTGAGCAACTGTGCCTCCTACAAGACCGCTGACGACCTTGGGGGCCAGAGCTGCAATAATAGCCCCCCATTGACGCTTCTCCATGACCTGAACATCCCTCTCCTGCGCGGGAGCTGCAGGGGCCGCGGCGGCAAAGCCAGCAAGGACAACGGTGACGAGAGCGAGCTTCATGGTCGTGGAAGACGGGCTGGAAGTGTGGGGAGGAAAGGCGTTGTAGCTTGGTGACTTGCTGCGGTTGGTGAAGACTCCAATGTATCTGTTCCTACAACGTTACATACTTATACTGCAGGACCGGCATATTCTGCTTCAACTCTGCCTGATCGAAGTCGACCACGTGCTCAACCTCGAATGTCACGTCGTGTTCATATTGGACTGAGCGCAAGCAGCAGCGTGACCACATCGTCGCTTCAAGTCTATAACGTGCTTCTGTTAATGCCAACCATTCGTCAAGCTCGTCTCGGCGTTTCTTCATACATGTTCTCGCAATCGGGAAATCAGTTCGCCAAGCGGGCTGGACGAGACTTGGCTCGACGGTTTCGGCGTTTTGCTCTTCTTTCAAGAGTCTTCACCCAGTCGGCGAGACAAATTGGCATACTTTTAGCAAACTGATTGAATTGGAACCCACGTGCGCGTTGGCGAGGCAAACACATGTTTGGAAGATGTCTCAGACTGAACGCAATCCCAGGATGGTTCCATGTCGTTTGGAACTTCTCAGTTGACGTGAGCGTGGTCCAGAAGCGTAGACGCAGAAAGCGGGCACTTCTAGGCCTTCTTTTCCATCTCCATGTTCTATCCTCTTTCTTGCCACATCTTTCTCGGGGTCAATACGACTTTGCGGGCATGCTCTACTTGCGTCACAACAGCATAGCGTCCTGCTGGGAAAGGCCAAGCAGACTCGGATCCGTATGCTGCGAACATGTCATCAGACCGCGCATACTTTTCACCCTGCGAGGAATCGAATTGGATTTGGTCTTTGCTGTTGATGTTGGAGAGGAGAAGAAGTCTGAGTCTGACAGATGCTTCGAAGCTTCCAAAACATGCAGCTCGTTTGCGCTAGATTCTTTCGGGTATCCTTTTCCAGCCCCCTGATATCCTTCTTGGCTCTCCCACTTGCTTCCTTACACCTTCATCAACACTTTCGGTCTCATACGTCCGGCTACGTTCCACAGCGTCAGACTGCAAACGACAGATGCGTCACTTCGAAGGAGATAGGACTTCTAATCACCGTGGACGGTAGGTTTGACGCTGGCTATAAAAAGCCTGCTCGAGGCACCCCGATCTTGCGAGCACGTCAATCCCCTATCTTTGAAAATCTGCAGCATTAAACAGAAGAGAACTTCGTGACCATGACAGCACCAGCCGCATTGCCACCAAAGAGCTTGCTCGGACGGCACCGCATCCTTGCCCCGACTGCTGGAGTCCACGTATCACCAATATGCCTTGGAGGCATGTCGTTCGGTGACGCTTGGTACGTTGTTGCTTAGCTGTCTCACAAATCATGTCTGACTTCAATGTAGGAAGGAATTCATGGGCGAATGCAGTAAAGAAACGACCTTCGAGATCTTGGACTTCTTCTACGAGATGGGAGGCAACTTTATCGACACGGCCAACGCCTACCAAAACGGAGAGTCTGAAGAATGGATCGGTGAGTGGATGGCAAGTAGGGATCGACGCAACGAGATCGTTCTTGCGACCAAGTACACGAATGCTTGGAACTCGCACTTGAAGGATGGTATACAGCAGAGCAACTTTGGCGGCAATTCGAGGAAGAGCCTTCACGTCAGCATTGAAGCAAGTCTGAAAAAGTTGCAGACGGACTATATCGACTTGGTTAGTACGGCATGGTTCAAGTAGACGGCTACGCTGACGACGTACAGCTTTATGTACACTATTTCGATTTTGCGACTGGAATTCCGGAGGTGAGAGAGCCACACACTTCTTGTCATCGGAACTGACAATTTTGGGAAGATGATGCAGTCACTCAATCATTTGGTGGCTCAGAACAAAGTGCTGTATCTTGGGATCAGCGACACGCCCGCGTACGCATATTATCGAGTTCGCGACCAGCCCTTCGCTGACCTCGCCTTGTAGATGGATCGTGGCAAAGGCCAATTGCTATGCTCGTGAACACGGGCTCACTCAATTCTCTGTCTATCAAGGACGGTGGAGCGCTGCCGAGCGCGACTTTGAACGAGAGATAATACCAATGTGTAAAGACGAAGGCATGGCACTACTGCCTTGGGGCGCGCTTGGCGGAGGTTTGTTCCCCAATGCACAAGCGCTACTTTGTACTAACTTATGGCTTGCAAAGGATATTTCAAATCGCCTGAACAAGGCGAAAAGGAGGAGGGGCGATCACTCAATGTCAGGACTGGTAAAGAGGCCGAAGTCTCGATTGTGCTCGACCGTATTGCGAAAGAGAAAGGCACTCTCATAACCAGTGTTGCGCTTGCATACGTCCTACACAAGTGTAAGTCCACTGACAACTTTTCCGAGTACCTTGCTCACAGAGCAAGCGCCCTATGTCTTTCCCATCCTGGGCGGTCGAAAAGTCTCACATCTAAAGAGCAATATCGAAGCCTTGAGCTTGCGCCTCTCGCCAGAAGACATTGACGCGATTGAATCTGCATACGATTTCCAGATCGGCTTCCCTCACAACTTTACGGCAGGAGAGAATAAAGCGCCCCAAGGCCCACAAGACATCGTCTTCAGGAAGCGCCTTGGTCATTTCGACTATGTCCAGCCGGCGCGAGCGATTATGCCACACGAAGGGCAACCTGGCGACGAGGATGATAAGCTGCTGTGAAAATTACGACTTAATTGCTGCAACACCTCTCATTGAACTCGAAAGTCCGATTCAACCTGTTCATGCCAAACGTCAAACCGCTGAAGGTGCTCAAGACGTACAAGGTTGATGAGGACCATGTACTTACTATCGCCCAAATCAACTACGTACCCGTTGTGAAGCAAGACAGCAGGCTGCCCTACGCGAGAAAATTTCACCTCCTGCGACCATTTAGCAATGAGAACATGATGCTGGGTGTGGTCGACATCTCTAGATCATAGCGCGCTTTTCATGGATCCTTTCAAGCGTACTGATTTAACACGACCAGAATCTCACTGACCCTACAGGCTACCATGCTCAAGGTCGATGCATCCCGCATCTGGCACGCCAGTCCTCGATCGAGATGAGTCTTCCTTTTTACATTGCGGAGAACTTTCACCTGACACCTCGCCGCCGCGCTCTATCGGGCCTTGCGCGAGCAGGCAAGGAGTGTAAAAGGCCAACGCGGAAATAGTGGAAAAGAGTCGGTCATCCCCAAGAAAATCAGACCGATCAAGCCATGGAAAGACATCATCGAACATCGTTATCTTCTTTAATGCGCGCGACACTGTGCTGATGCGAACACTACTGGCATCAATCATCACGTCCTCAGGTTCATGCCTCGACACACATCGGAAGATGCTGACTTGTGGAACCGGCTGCTGAGCTTCCCGATCCCCTTCTCCGATCTTGAGCTGAAGCAGTATCGGACCTCAAGCGATCAGACAGCTACAAAGCAGCACCCCTGAATTGCGAGACGATTTACTACCTTCGCACCTTCACCACGACGATCACACCGCTTCACGAACTCAAGACGGAGCTTCAAGATGTCGGGCACACCTCGAAGCCGCGACGCTGGCTTGCAATGTCAGAGTACGTGGCCAACATGGGCGAGAACTTGCATATACCGGTACGTAGGCACATCAAGCAGTGTGTCAGCGAGGTTGGCCCGTCAATCGTCACAAACTGCACTATCCACAAAATCAAGAGAGAAAAAGCGAAGCCTCTTAGTCGATCCCACGCTGTTCGAACCGATGTCACGTACACCGATGTGAGAGAGTGTGCCCTCATTGCTCTTTTTGGGCGCGATACATTCCTGAATCGGCGGGAAGGCGGAAACTTCACGTCCTACCGCCCACGTCGAGAGGACGAGACGGTATTCCACAAATCCAAGACCAGCGCCCTTGAGGCCTTCACTCTGAGAAGTTTCCCTGTAGCCTACACTCACGGTGGTGCCTCTCTCTGGAAACTTGCAAACGACTAAACCGCGGACTGCTAGGCGACTCGAGTAGTCCGTGAGGTGATCACGGGGATACTCGTTCAACTTCCGCCGAGAGAAAAATTCGTTCTGACTCTGGACTTCACTCGTTCTCGCCCCAAACCTCTATCCTATGCATTCGGGCCCGGATTCACTCCAGACCTCACTTCTAGCTTCTTCTTTCATTCCATTTCCCAGCTGCAGTTCAAGTATCTTTTCCCGTGATGCAATCGTGCAGAAACATCCTACATAGTAACGCGCAGTGCAAGCGCTATAAGCGCAACCCGTCCACTTGGAGTGATACCAGCCTCGTGGAGAAGTGACCAGAACAGACTGCAACTAATGCAATGTTACAATCTCCAGATCTCGGGAACGAATTGATAGTAAGAACATCAAAAGCATTTTCGCCATCATTGGCAGAGACCCCCAAGACCCCCACAAGGAATCCCATCTCTTGGACGCCAAGACTTTGGCCCATCTCAACACTCCACCCGCCGATTGCGCCATACACCTTTGTGAGAAAGAAAAATGCGGGCTTCTTTTTGGCCACCTCGACGCGCTAATGCATATATTCTCATGCTTCCATCAGTGGCAATCTTTCCTCGTGCTATATTCTTGCTTCTACCTTGCCAAAGTCTAATCTGAAAAGGCCAGTCGTCATGTTCGGCTTCAAGCAGCCCGACAAGACGACAGCCTACGATGGCGGCTTCGAATCGCATGAAGTCGAGCCTGGTGTCGACGACAATGTCAGGCAGGAAATCGATCCGGACAGCGGTGTGAAACGCGGACTGAAGAATCGACATTTGTCGATGATGGCGTTGGCCGGGATTATTGGACCTGGTCTTCTTGTGGGATCTGGAGGCGCGTTGGAGAACGGCGGGCCAGCTTCTTTGCTCATCGGATTCGGTGTCATTGGCATCATTGCATTCAGCATAATGCAATCCTTGGGCGAGGTCACAACGTTGTATCCTGGAGGCGGCGCTTTCGTGTCGTTGGCCGAGAGATTCGTTGACAAGGGATTTGCTGTTGCTGTTGGATGGGTAAGAGGAATGTGAAGTTCAAAGAGACGCCGAACTAACTTTTGAAGAATTATTTTATCATTTGGGCAGCAGTCTTGTCCAACGAGTACAACGTCATCACGAGCATCTTTGTCTTCTGGAGCGACAAAGTGCCGCTTTGGGGCTACTTCCTAATCTTCTGGTCCGCGTTCATGGCCTTCCAACTCATCGGCGTGGAAGCGTTCGGTGAGGCAGAGTTCTGGTTGGCCTTGATCAAGTTGCTAGGCCTGACTGCTTACTTCATATTCGCCATCATCTACGCCTCCGGGGGCCTGATCGGACAACAACACGCAATTGGCTTCCAATACTGGCACAACCCGGGACCGTGGAATGGCAATGGCTTCAGAGGTGTTGCTGCTGTGTTCGTGTTCTGCTCAACGTTCTATGCTGGCGTTGAGTCTGTGGCGGTCGCAGCGACAGAGACCAGGAATCCTGGAGTGGCAGTACCCCAAGCCATTCGACAGGTCTTCTGGCGCATCATTGTAAGTAACCCTGTCAAGGCATCTCGAAGACCAGACAAGACTGACCAAACGATAGTTCATATACATGGGGTCAGCCTTCTTCTTTGGCCTCACATGTCCTGCCAATGCTCCTCAGCTCGTGGATGGTGCGAGTCGTTCGCTGCAAAGTCCAATGACAGTGGCCATTCAGAACGCAGGCTGGGAGGGCGGCGTCCATCTGGTAAGGCATCATACTACGGAAATTGATTGTTCGACTGACATGAGCAGATCAACGCTTTCATCTTCGTGACTTGCCTCAGCGCCGTCAACTCCTCTATCTACATTGGATCTCGAACACTGCTCTACATGGCCCACCGTGGTCTCGCACCCCGGTTCCTCAGCTGGACGAACGGCCGAGGAGTTCCAGTCTTTGCTCTTGTTCTGACCAACGCAGTCGGCGCCATATCAATGATGAACGTCAGCACCGGTGCTAGCAAAGCCTATCAGTACATCGTCAACCTCAGTGGTGTCTCTACGTTCCTGGTCTGGGGCTCGATCTCGTTCATCCACATACGTTTCCGGTCAGCCTGGAAAGTCCAGGGACGCTCGCCTGACGAGTTGCCATACAAGTCTTTGCTCTACCCTTGGAATGCGTACTTCGGGCTTGGTGCCAATCTTTTCCTCGCTCTTGTGCAGGGCTGGACGACACTGTCGCCATTCAAAGCTGGCAATTTTGTGGACGCATACATCTTACTCCCGTTGTTCCCAATCATCTGGATCGTGTTCAAACTCTTCAATCGGACCAATTTCTGGAGATCTTGGGAGGTTGATTTGGACCAAGGGAGGAGAGTCGATCTGGATAGAGCGAAGGCAGAGACTGCACTGGCCACAGGGGCGAAGCAGAAATGGTGGCAGAAAGTTACCAAAGCGTTTTTATAATTTGAAGACATTTGTTCTTGACAAGGCATTGATATCGATCGGCCGCATGTCTCGCTGAAGAGAACATCCCGGCATTGCTCCTATACAGTAAGTTCAGATCATTGAGACCTGGATGAAAAAGTTGGCAGAGGTGAGACTTGGTGTTGATCCAAGTCTCATTGTCTCGCTGATGTTGTGGGCGAAATACTAGCGGAAGGACTAAGCAACCAGAGTAAATGGCGCCACGACGGAGGATCCTTGGGAGACTCAACATTGCCAAGGGACAAAACGCCGTCTGCAATAGCGTCCTGGATCAGGGGAGAAAAAAAGTTGAAGTCCGTCCCGTCTCCAAAGTCGAAAGTAACAAATATCAATCTGACATCGCCTGACTTCTTCCACCAGCTCGCCCAAGACTCGATCGATATGCATCAATCCATCATCGCCATCACCGCGATCCTCGCCGCTGCCTTTGCGCTGGACGACTGCGAGGTCACCTACAACCAATGCGTCACTTCCGGCCAGGCTGAGGTCAAATGCTCCTGCGACCGCACTGCTTGCTATGGGGAAGATGCGGCTCGGATACGAGAATGGTGTGCCAGTGCAATCGCCAACCTGACCACCTCAACAACAACCACTCCAACATCGACCTCCACAACCTCCCAGATCATCATCATCACTGGCACCCCAGGAAGCCAACCCCAAGGCCAGCCACCCATCACCGCAGCAGAAGGCTCTCTCCTACTCGGCGAAACCTGCTCTGACGACCGCCAATGTGCCAATGGAGTCGAATGCTGGGGAAGCCACTCGGGTATCATCAGACGGTGTGGAAACTTCAACGCTGGCTGTTCCAACAATACGCAGTGTGCCTACAATACCTGCAACAATGGGCTTTGCAATGGGTTTCTGGAGTCTTCTGCTATGCCGGCCTTGACGCAGTCTCAGACCTTGTCAAACGCTACTTGGACGAGCTATCCAAGCGCGTCGATCTCTCAGAGTGCCAATGGGACATTGCCAGTGCTGCCTACGAGCTCCTAGGTTGGAGGTACGTCCAGTCGGGACAAGACTGTGCTCAAGGCCTCTAATGGTTGGGCTGAATGCTGCCCAAGGCGCTAGCAATGAAGTGGGTGGCCAAATCGTTCCCACCATGGCTCTCAAGCCCATTGCGGAGGCATATGGGAGATATGTATGGCTGCTCCCTCTCTCTGAAGGCCAGCACGAAGCGTCACTAGAAGTTCAGACAATAGTGAAAGTCGGATTTTGCGTCAGAACATGCACATTGCACTCACCAGCACTCGTTTCTCTTCGTCATGAATAGCCAAGCCGAGAATTATGGCGTCAGTCGATGCTAGAACTTATTTGAGGCATTCATTTGGGCCATGCCACGGTTTTTAAGGCTCTGATGATCCCGAAGAAGACGCTGAAGAGACAATGATGACGAAGAAAGCTCAGCCATCAAGACCGTCGATCTTGGAGTCGAGTGCTATCCAGGTTCTCGACTCCGGCTCCATAAAACCCCAGTGCTAATCCATGCCGTCCACGAGTTCTGCGGCTTCCGGCACCAGGATCCCCAGTCTCCGGCACCGAGTAATTTCGGTGGACGAGAGATTGGATTCTGGGCCGGAAGTCAACGGAGTTTGGCAACGTCGTGATGGTGCTCGATTTATTATATACTTTCGTACCTTTGGTTGTTCGCTCGTTGAAGACAGACAGATCCACTGTTTTCGTATCTCACGCTCGTTTTAATTTCAGTATTCAGTCACTCCTTTACAAAATCGATCCACACGGCCTTACCTTGCAACCGAATCCACGACAGTCGACCCATCATGTTTTCTCAAATCATCGGCGTCCTCGCCCTCGCAGGTGCATCCACCGCAGCTAGCCTCCAGCGCCATGACTTCCCAGCCAGCAACGTTACCGTGCTCTCCCTGGACAAGAACTACAACTCGACCGGCGGCGAAGGCCATGTGGCAATCGGAGGAGTTCTGAGCCCCTTTGGCAGCATTGGCGCTGGATGCGGTGTGAACTGGGATAATGGAGTTGCATACGGCGGTAAGAGATATTGATCAGGGGACAGAGAGAGGTATGTACTGACGATGATGTTTTTGAGGTGGTCTCCAAGCAGGTTCAGACGCCTTTGGTCTCGGCGGCGGTTTCAAGATCACTCCTACGACCTTGGAAGTTGGTACTGGATTCGGCATCAACCCATCCAACTCGAGTGCAGACGTCACCTTCACCGGCCATACGAATGGAACGTTCCAGTTGAGATTCTCTTCCTCTAGCCCCTTTGCCTGCGTGCCGTCGAATGAGGAGGGAAGTAACGTTGTTGTGTGCACCACGTCCTAGTTGAGGGTGATGTTGGATGGAAGTCAGTGAAGCATGCATGTATTGGGCGGGATAGAGGTAATTGACTGTACAGCGACATTGTGGCGGAAGAATGATCTGGAAGCACGATTCCCAGGTTTACAACAAATGTAGCTCCAAGACCAGCGGAAAATCGGTCATAACTCAATACAGTTCAAAGAATTTGCCGATACTGGCTGAATAGTCAGTCACCATGCCGCATGTATGATCGAATATCTCATCTCTTACTCCACTAATCGTCCCGTCCACCTACTGACGAGTAGGCACAAACGAAATGGGCACAAATATACCGCCCCAATGTCCAGGTGGACATCCATCGTACTTGACCAGGAGACGATTGTCATCCTGCACTGGTGAAGTCCTATAACATACAGATCAGCTCCAATACATCGTCTGGAAAACATGTGACGCACCAGATCTCAACTTTGCCCGGCTTTTGGCCCGCCGAGAAGCTCCCTGGAATCGGGTCTGTCTTGACAAGCCATTCTCGAATCTCCTTGATCATTTGATCTTTCTGCGAGTGGTTCTTCAGTCCGAAGACCAGATCGATCTGAGTGGTTGCCATTTTGTCGGAGGAATCGAGTGAGCCGCTGAGCTTTCGCGGATGGTTGCTGAGTGCGGTGAATCAAATTGGGACATGGGCGGCCGTGGTCATACTTATGTCGTTCTCTCCAGCTCTTTTGCAGACGTTTCTGGGTGTTCCTCCATGTCTAGGCCCCAGCCACGCGGGCAATCCGATTCTTGAGGGGAGCGTACGGACAGGGGCTTGCAGAAGCGTCTTTGGTAGCGAACCAAATGCTTGTCAACGCGCTTCCAACGCTCTGGCTGAAGTAGGGCGATCTTGCTCTAGACGGGGTCATAATATCGAACTCTTCAGCTCAAAGACATTCACGGAGGGAGCGAGAGGCGAGCAGGCGTGTCGGATGGGACGAGTCATTGCAAGTCTTGCCTCTTGCTAGCCGTTAGTAGGAGTCTCTTGAGAAAGTAAATCCGCGTCCAAAGTATCATCATACGTCTCTTCAGTCTGCTCCATCGTGCATCCGAATCTTTTGAGGGCTCTCAATAGCATCGAGGTCCAGATGCACCTGCCTCTCAAAGCTGCCGAAACTCTGGGCGTCAGCCTCGCTGTTCACCCTGGCCAAAAACTCTTCTCCATCCGTATTGGCAGTGCTCTCAACATGTACGACAGTCTCAGCCTTGATTCTGCCGCCCACGCTGAATAATCGTTCGACGCTGTCGTTCTTGATGTGCACTGTCTCCGGGTTCCTGACCCCGTCGACACCACTTGGCCCCGCTTCAATCGTCGTGACCGTACGACATCGATGGTCTGCACGTCCACGTGTACGATTCCAAGTTGAGAAGGTTTCCAGTCCATGAACTTCACCACTCGGCATCGCTGGTCCAAAGATGAGGGATTTGCGGGTGATCGAGTAGACCAGAACGTCGAGCCATCCATTGGAACAGAGCATCACGCCAATGACGCTGAACTCTGTAAAGCCGACCTTCTCGCCGGCGATGATCCTCAGTCGTCCAATGACAGCTGGAAGTGTGCATACAACGTAGATGAGTGGGTAGGCGATGACACTTCGAGCCGCCGACTCTGCCCTGATCTGTGTTATGTCTGAGTCCGCGTAGAAGAAGCCCCGTACTCTCCGCCAGAGTACCACGAACATGAGGGAGTAGAGCAAGAGTGTCGCGAACTCGACTGCAAGAATCCAGAGATAGTGAAACCATATCCTCTCGTCCATGTACTTCTCCTGAATCCAGCACCACGGTCCTGCTCGCATGTAGAAATCGCCGGGATGTAGAATGATACCGATTGTGGCCAGGAAGTAGTTGAAGATCCAAAGAACAACTATGCTGATCAAGAAAGGGGTGTGTCCCAGTCGCCAGTCGAAGACGATGTCAGCGAACAGGTGTACCGCCATGGCGAACGTGAACACGGCACCGCCAACATCTCCCGCGTTGAGGAACCAGCCTTGTGTCCAGCACGTGGGAGTCAGTACTGTGATGCTGTCGTTCCTGACCCACTCCACATTGAGCGAGAATCCAATGGCTTGTTGTAGGTCAGCCAACACCAGGTTCAAAAGTAGTGCCACGTATTGATTGATCCGGGCGTGTCCTCGATGTTTCCAGGTGATGAATCGCCATGACAGGTGTGCGAACAAGACCGCGGTGGTGACGAGGGAGAGGAAAGCCAGGACAGTGACGGCTGTCAATCCACGGTATAGCTCTGTAGGCAAAGGCGAAAGGGTACCAGCGGAGTCGGCCGGCTGTATTGAACGCTTCATTGACGTGTGTCGACCAATAAGATCGATCATTGTCGGTTTTCGAGTTGAAGGGCAGATCTCACAGGAGGCTGGACAAACCAGACATCTGAGGGCAACAACGCTCCATGAAGGCGTGCTCGCATTCGGAATGGAGGTGGCGGATGGTGTCCTCGGCGTGCTCAGGTCACAAGACGCTCAGGTAGTAACACCACTCGCTTCGCCAAAGGCTCAACCCCAGAGCAGCATGTTGACCCAGAAAGGTTTCTTCACAGCGACTGAACTTCAATAAAAGTCGCAGCAGATTCCGAGTTTGGGAGTTCTGCCAATTCCAAGCAGTCCTTTGAATTGTAGGGAGGCAGCGTCTCGCAGGGATTTGCTAGATCCAGCGAAGTAAGATCGAAGTCAAAAGGATTAGTCGAAGATCTACCGACGTTCTTCGAAGGCACGATGATCAACCTTGCTCACCCTTGTTAGGTCTCACTTGTCTGCGGGACTGTCGGAGTTCCGCGAGAGAAAGGGCGTGCTGAAGTGCATGTGGTAGTTGTTACTCGAGATGGAACGATTGACCCGATCTGAGAGCCAGCGAAGAAGTTGTTGTCGACCATGTTCTACACTCTCATGATTATCGCTGATCAAGAATTCGGGCGTTGTCAGATGCAGGTAGGGCTTCTCTCAGAGTTGACAAGGAACCGATAACAGCACCCTGAATGTTTCGAAGCCTGCTCGTTGTGTCCTGGTATGCGTGGCATGGTCCAGCGCTGGTTCCATTTGCGCAATTTCTCTTATGCAAAGAGCGATAATGGAGATTGTGCGTACATGCGTCCTTGAATAATGAGCCGTTGAAAGACTTTCGCTGCCAATTTCAGAGGCTATTTAGCCAGTGTGAATGGCCCCCTCCTCACCGATGAATGAGACGCCCCAAGCCTGGATAGAAGAGGGCGGACAAGTGCGTGTACTCCCATTCGATTGTGCATCTCGGATCCGGCAGGCTGTTCATCAGATCCAGGATTCGAGATGGTACCGAGAGATTCGGTCTGCAAAGAGAAGCAATGTCTTTGTTTCTAGAACGGGTCTACTGTCAAAGCATGCCCCATCAGGGAGCAAGATGCCCTAGATGCGGACCATTCCCTGGTCGCGAGAAGTGAGAGTTTATTTGCAGCCTCATGTAACTTGGAAGTCTCGCTTCTGCACGTGGTCTGGTGAGCAAAGGGCTGGCCAACAGTAAGTCACCAACTCCGCGGTCGTCATGTTCTAGAAGCGACCGTGCGTGGATGTCGTTCCGGCAGGAGATAGTCGTCGCGTTCCTCATTGAGGCTCCCAAATTCTTGGCTATCGTTGAAGATGCGGTACGCAACCACGTATTCGATGAAAAAAGGCCATGTTTCGATGGAAGTCGATGAGAAGTGCAAGCACACAAATCTTTTGCGGAGCATTCACTTACCTCCGGGTACACCCGTCGACAAGCGTCGCACAGACCATCGGAACGACATCTGTCACACGAGTAAACTCTGTTTACAATTGCCTGCTAAGCCTGCATTCAATACGTTTGTTGAGTTACAGATGCTACACGGATGAGAATGGTAGGTCTAAGCATCAGTCGTGAAAGGGGCTTTCGGACGGTTGCAAAGGCCCAGCTGGACCAAGACTAACCGTGCTCGAGTGCCCCATTCCATCCTTCCGAAAATTTGGAAGATATCGTCGGACTTTCCAGCGTATATGACAGAAGTGATTGAATGGGAGCTATGTAATCTGCGGACAGGAAGTCATCAAAACGTCTAACGTAGACTCACGAAGAGATCACTTAAGCACATTTCTCTCGCGCCATGGTTATGATATCCATGGACCGACAATATTTGAAACGACCATGTTGTCGAGCCCACTAGATTCCCTCCCTAACCCCAAACTTCGACCTCCCTTAACAGAACCCATTCGAATCGCACTCACAGCTCGTGGCATAAAGCGTAATCTCCGGAATGAACCAATTCGTCCCATCATCCGTACTCGCAAAACTGTTCGGGCTCGAGTTGTCAGCATTCAAAGACGTATTGAAGCTCAGATTCGGCGAGCTCAATTGAATCCTCGTGTTGGTGTAGGTATGCTGCGGGACATTGTCGATCGCTGCGTGGCACTCGATAGAGTCGACGAGAGAGACCCCGGGGCCGCAGCCAAAGGTGTAGTTCAGGAGGGTCTGGCCGGTCTGGCCGAGGACGGTGGTTTGTTGCATAGTGCCCACGTATGGGTTGTATTGGTAGGTGATTTCGAGCTGGTCGCCTTCTTTCACGAGGGTCGCGGGTCCGACGCCGTTGTCTTTGGAGCCGCTGTATTGATAGGCTTGGACGCACCAGCCGTTGGCGCCCCCGGTGTCGCAGCCGCCGCTAGGGATTGTCAGAGGAATGGGTCGAGTTTTGTTCACGTGGTCGATTCTTACTTTAGATATTGTCCGTCGTTGGTGAGGATCGTCTGGACAAGCCAGTCTCCCTCCGCGTATAGGCCAGGCCACAAGAACAAGCCCTTGGAGCTCTGTTAGCGCTATGTGTTGATTATCGAAGAGATTTTTCCGACACCCACCTGCTGAGAAGGAAGCGCAGGAACCGTCAAAGTCGTCTGTAGATTCTGGATCGTCGAGGCTGAGTTGTCAGGGGTGGATGTATCCCAAACAGTGGCAGACTATGAGTTCATTGGCGTCAGGCCTTGTCCATGCATGAATGCAAGCAATCTGGTACACACAAATGCATCTGGCCTAGGTGGTCTGACTCTTGCATAGGCCGAACTTGCGGCCACGATCAGGGCGAGGATGTACTTCATCGTGTAAGAGCTGCAATGCTTTGAGAAGGTGCAAATGCTTGATGCCCAAGTCAAGCAGTCTGAAAAGACTCCTTACCAATTCTTATACATTATTGAGAGAGGTGTCGGGGGGCCGTTGGTCCTGCTGGACCGGATGTGCTCCTCGAATGCAACCGCCCTGATGCTGTCGACTGGTCCACATACCGTCTTGTAACTTTCTTGAACTCTTTCTGCCGGCACGGACACGACTGCATCCATTCCGCCCCGACTGACTGCAGTGCAGAAACTCAAGCGACCATGTCCAATGAATCGGCCGTCTACACTCAATGGTCGTGAGCCGCGGCAGCTCGGGCAGCGAACACATGGTTGGAGCCGTAGTACCAGGCTGCGGCTTGTCGATCATGTCCTGTAGCATTTTACTGGCTTCCCTTATTGGAAGGAAGCTCCTGAGAACTGGCAACAAGTCTGCAACTACGCAAGGCACAGCTGATACCAGCGCCAAACTATAGTCCTGTGTAGGCAAATCTCGTTTCTGTAATGTCCTGATGCACTCGAGCTCTTGTGGCCAGCTGGGAGTGTGGAGCGGACCACGGGATGAGGAATGCAGTCGCAAATCCTTTCAGAAACAGGTAATCTTTTGCATCTCATGTGAGATACTTTGACTTGCAGCAGGACGTCGAGTGCATCGTGCCTTTTGTCCGCCTTGACTGATCATCCTAAGGGTGCCGCTTCGGTGGATGAAGGCCAGCAAGCCCAGCGACTACTGGTATTGATGTCTTCTGCGGAACTTCATGTTGGTAGCTGAGAAACAAGGTTCGAAGTGCAGAACCGATGGATCGAGCTCCTGCAAAGAAACAGGTGAAGTCGAGCACACCTGCCAAGCTCCTGCCTAAGCTCACAGTAGCGCGAACCGAAAGCTCGCACGTGTGAACCATTTCAGCTAGATGACCGCTTTGCGTGGTTCTAACTTGGGTTCATCGAAGATGATTTTGTTCTTTGTGAGCGTCGATTTGAGGTTGAGAAAGTAGCAGGTGAGGCTAGAGAATGTGGCAGCCTCATACGGTGGGAGAAAGACAAGGAAACACTTACGTGACCGTAGGGACAATGCAAAATCTGATGTAGTCTTCTCCAGTGTATGGAGGAAAGGTGTTCTCGATCGTGGAGTGTCGTCGGAACATTCACATGACATTCTGCGCTAAGTGGGTCTTGGCCCGCAAAGGCAAAGACTATTGACGGACTCGCAAATACCAATCTTGTTGTCGAGGGATGGTATCGATTTCACCTCCTTCGACGTTTGGAGGCTTGATCAGACGGCTCTGCAGCATTTTGGGAGACATCGCCGTGTTAATCAACGCTTCCGAGACACATCGCACTTACTTGTTCACCCCTTAACAACATCCGTACAATCCACCAACGCCCCCTTTGCCTCCTCCGGCACCCCAAGCAAACTCATCTTCTCCATCGCCCTCACAAAAGCCTCATCCCATGACCCCTTATTTGCCGCGAACTGTTCAAAGTACCCCTTCGTCTCATTGCCCCTCGCAAGATTCACATCACTATCGAACTGAAACGCCCTCGGCCGCGCCCCCTTTCCCGCGACAGCCTCCTGATAGAATACGACATCCCACTTCGTCGGGGTCGTGTCCTGCTGTCCGCCCACGGGGATGTGGTTCGCTTGCTGCGCGAAGGATTGCGAGACGGTGTGGGCGCCGACCAGCGCGGAGAGGTCTTGAGGAGAGAAGCCTTTGTCCGCGAAGAGGGAGAGGAGGACGTCTGCGTCCGCGCCAGGGCCAAATGCAGAGGGGAGGAGGTTCGGCGGCGCGGCGGCGGCGCTATCTTTCCTCCCCACGACGGTCTTGATCAGAGGTCCCCCAGAGCAGGCATATATGCCCAGACTCCCCGCGAACTGAACGAGGTCCGCGGCGCCGATGTGTGGTTTGTAGGCGTCGTAGATGGCGGAGAGGTTGGAGCGGAAAGCTTGGAGGGGGTTGTTCTCTGAGCGGGCGGATTCTTCATCGGAGAGGAGCAGGCTACCGTCGGCGCCCCCGGACGCTGGGGCGTAATAGGGAGTTTGGAGGGAGGTAGTGGCGGCGTCGTGGAAGGCGAAGCGGATGGCGAAGGAGGCGCCGCGGGTGCAGCCCTGGAAGCGAGTCCAGAGTTCGGAGCGGATGTCTTTCCAGACTGAGGGGCAGACTCCGTCGATGTTCTGAGTGTTGTTGGGTTGGTCGAATGAGACTTGAAGTACCGACGTCGTGGGCGATGTCTCGAGGTTGAGCGATGTAGGTTGAGTTGGCTAAGGCGAGAAGCTGTAGGCCGGCTAGGAGCAGAGAAGAGCACCGTCTCGCCATGTTTGATGTCAGTCCTGCCGATGGAAAGTAAGGACGGATATTGGTAAGTAGAGGCTCAGCGGAGATCGAATCGTATTGTACAGCGCGAAGCAACGTTATGATTCTTACACTTATCCACGGTGGCTTTGTCTGATTTTAAGTAGGCCTTGCGAATCGATGTAGCGGCTGATCTCAAAGCCATAATACTACCGACCCCTGAAAACAGGCTCGCATGCTTCAAATCAGATCGCGACATTTGTGTGTTAGTCTCTTGATGAGTTCATCTATGTGTGCTTGCAGCTGAGACGAGCGTAAGGCCCTCCTACCGCGGGGCCCTATATCTCCGTCATGTCGTACATGACTGTGCTCGGGAGACCTTGTCGTTCTATTAGAGTCGCCAGAGCAGAGCACGCAGTTCTGCGGTTGTCTGCTACTGTAGCTCTGGTCATGAAGTCGCAAAGTTCCTTCCTCAGATCGCCCTCCTGGGGCAAGTAGGCGTCCAACTGCAGCACCAGAGGTCCCATGCCACACCAGTATTAAGGCCTTAGGTATATCGACTTGAAGTAAGGTCCTATTCTGGTAGTCTTGCTGATTTTCCCTCTTCGTGATTGGTCAGATGTCGAACAGAGCCGCAGCAGGAGTACATGTGGTAAGGCCTGAAGGATAGACCCCTGTTGATGGTGTGTATAGATGAGGTGAGGGTCGGTGGTACGGTGAAGTTGAGATCCAACCAGATCTGTTGGCTATATATGTCTTTCGTCCGTTGACAGCAGCTTTCGATGTTGTGTGGACGTCTCACTTCCAGTCATGGGTAAAGTCATGAGAGGGGGCTAGTTCGAAAAGGTCTTTTTCTTCAAGCTGTACAGAGTAGGTAGGAGATTTGTCTATACGTACATGTCTGCGCTTTCTGATCTCAGCGCAATCCCTGTCAAGTCTTAGCCAAGACTGCTGATGGCCGCCAACCCAAGCCTCGGCAGTAATCGATAGAACGCCTTGCAATGCAACACCCAGCCCACCGCCCTCATGACCACCCTCGCAGGCCATCTTCCTCGTCTATCTTCACAAGTGGATTTGCGTCGAAGAACCGCAGGAGCTTTTGATAAACCACCAGCATTGTCCCACTTTGCACGCTCGTCCAGACTGCTCGGGGGCCTACACCCCTGAACCACCCGGCAAAGCCTTCTGTACGGTAGATGATGCGTAATGCCTTGACAACAGACTCCGTGTCGAGCGAGACTTGGCCGTGATGCTTGAGTGCTGTGCCTGATCCAGATGTTGAGATTGATCGTGATGATGGTGTTGATGTTGGAGCCGGAGAAGGTCGATGCGTCGTTTGTGAAGTCGGCGCAGTGGCAGTGGCTGTGGCTGTCGACTTGGATGTCCCTTTTCTCGCGGCAGCGACCACGTCTGGATCGAGCTCGGTCTGGATGCGTGTCTTTACCACGTCCATCGGACAGGTCAGAACACCCGCCATACCTCCGGCACTCGCTCCTGTGAGTATCTCCAGCGGCAAACCAATCTCTTTACCCGGGCCAACCCATTCCTTTGCGATCTTCTGCTCTTGCTCGTAGAACGCGAACTGTAATGCCGAGAAAGGCAAGTCTCTGAACAGCGTCGCCTTGTAGCCCGAGAACAGCTCTCCAAAACCTTCCACTCGATATATCGTCCGTAGTGCGTGCATGGTCGAGCGGTAGTTGTACCCTGATGTGAAGAACGGGTTGTTGAATCTTCCTTGCAGTTGTAACCTCGTCTTCAGCACTTCTGTCGGCACATACAGCGGACTTGCGGCCAGATCGGCCACAAAGCCAGATGTAAGGTACGCCAACCCAGGTGTGACACCATTATCAATCATCATCCTCTTGCTGCTTTCATAGCACCCAAAGAAAATCACCGTCCCAACAAAAGAACCCACAAACGCTGGCGTGACTCCTCCATACAACCCCCTCGCGAAACCCTCCTGCCTGAAAATGGTGTAATACGTATTGCCCATGCTGGTGTATTTCGGCGGCATATGCGGATCACCCTGCTGTCTCGTCTTGACCGTATCCAGACTATGCATCAGCATGTCGCCCATCGTTCCTCCCAGCCCACCCGCCAGCATGGCATGGAGATACGGCGGCCGGTAGGATTCATGGTCGACGTCTACGGCTTTGGCTGAGGAGACGCGGGCGGAGGTATTCTGGCCAGATCCTTCTGCCTTCCGTCTCGTATCCGGCACTGAGGCCCCATTGTCGATGTAGTTGAGCGGGGGCGGGTGTTGGGATTGTTGGTTTCCTAGAAGGTATTCGGCCACGCGGGCTAATACCATGAAGGGTGGGTGTGCGCTCCTGGTAGCGGCAGCATGCGAGGGGAATTGAAAGCGTCGATGCAGTGTGTGGAGAGGCGGGCTGGCAGTAGTGTAGATGTCGTAGTTGAGCGGATGGAGGCGTGGTTGAGATTAAGGAGCTTCTTCTTCCTCAAAGCACTCTCTCTCACTCGGGCTTGCAAAAGGGAATGCCCGATGTCCGACCTGTGCCATGACGTCGCGGGAGGGACAACAACCACGCCTGTTTACACCACCACGACCACCACTAATTCAGTCAATCAACAACTAGTCAAATCCGAATCAATCCAGTACAATCCTCAGCCAGTCTCTACAAAACCTGGCCGCAACAGCGACGTCCCAGCTGCCTCGCAGAACGTGAAAGGCTGCGCCAAGCATCAGCAGCGAATCAGGCTTCGAGCTCTCTATTTACATCCGACCGCTCGTTTGTTGTTGTGGCCCTCCCTCCACGCCCACCACCCACGCGACATTCACATCAACATTCCCCAACGCGCCGCTGCATATGCTCGTTATGGTCGCATAGCTTCCACGACTACAATCATCCCATTTTGACCCCGCAACACCCATCCCTCGCCGACTTATCCACCATGTCGCATTCGTGGCTCCAACGCCAGCGCAAGCAGGCCCTGCTCGATCTTTGCGGCGAGGCTGGTCTGCCCCAGTATGCAGCGCGTTCTGTATGGTATGCGCGCATGGCTGACGTGGTTGCAGGAACGACGAACTGCTCAAGGACGACCTCGTCGCGTTGCTGGAAACCACCCTCACTCAGAACCCGGACCGTTTGTCGCGCGTGCCCGCGTTTGAAGACTACTACGGCAAACGCGCGCGTACTCCAGGACGACCACCAAAGGAAAGAGAGTCGGTGTTTGTCCCCAGTGGTGAGGACGAGATTGATGTCAAGAGTGCTGTGAAGCCCAAAGCACGTCGTGCGACAAAGGTTAAGCAGGAGCAAGAGTGAGTACAACAACGATCTATACATTGCGCGCGTGTGTTGATGCATTGAAAAGGGAACCGGATCCGATCTCGTCCCCCATCGCAGCGGCTTCATCCTCTGCGCGCAAAGCGATTGCTACAGTCTCATCTACCGTCTCTTCAGCCCTCTCCCCCTCAGGCCAACTCGTCTCGCGCACCCCAGCACCGCGACCCAGCACGCGTCGTCGATCGGAACTCCCAGGCCCACCATCCCCATCCGACGTCGCTGATGTTGTTGAATACGAATCCACCAAGTTTGCCTCTGGTGTTCGCGACCTGTACGCCAGATCTGGCATCACGGAGAACATCGAAAACCTCCGCGAGTTGCTCTCCTCGGTAAACGCCATCCAGCTGTCTTTCCTCCTGCTCGAAGCGTTCGCCTTGCAACGACGTGTCCTGCCATGGAGGTACATGTTCGACATTCCCGCAACTGGACTCACCCCATCGATCGCCGTCTTCCTGCCGGATTTGTTCGTCCTCCTGACAGGCTTCTACTGGAGCACGACCCTCCTCTGGTCGGCGACATCAATCTTCGTCCCAGTCCTGTTCGCCTACTTCTACAACCTGACCTTCCGCGATGTGAAGCGTGGCAACGCCCGCGTCACAGTCGCGAGGTACGCCGCTGACCCGTTCACGTACAACATCGTCAAAGCCCTGGCCACGTGGCTGGTATATGTCAAGGGCGTCAACTTCGGCTTCATCGATCCCGAGGTCGCTGATCGGGTTGATCTTGCTGTTTATGGTGGCTCTACTGCTAGTAAGTCTCCCAATAACATCTATCCCAACTTCACAGACTCTAACATCTGCATAGTGCTCGTTGGCTCAGCCGTCGGCGCCCTAGCAGCACTCTACGAAGCAGCGCAGAAGAAGACCGTCGCTGCATAAGCAACTCCGCCCAGAGAGGAACGATGCTAACGGGGATTACTGGCGCAACTTGGCGCACTGGGAGTTTCAAATAGTCGGGTTTGGCGGAGATGGGTCAGGTTGATGTGGTTGAGTTTTACCGTGTACACTCTTGAACGACGAATTGATGAAGAACAAGAACAAGGGAAAGGGGAAGAGAAGGGTTAGGCTCTGTGGGCTTTCACATGCTGCTTGCTTGTGTCGACTGTTTGGGTCGTTATTTTTTCTTGTTTTCAGCAGCCGGATACCTCGAGATGCTATTGTTGATCGTTTTGTTGTTTTCTCTGAATGAAATGTTAATGTCAGAACGAATCGCTCCCCCCACCGTTCCACCTTTTCTACTCTTGGTAATGCGTGAAGAAGATGGAATTTGAAGTAGAGTTCGGTGTCATTCACTCCTCTGCTCTGCGACCCATACATAAAACTTATTGGGTTGATTTGGTTGTATTTGTACATAATGAACAACGAACATTTCGTCTTGTTCAACGCGTTTCTCCTTTCACCCATGCAAATGCCCACTTCTTTCCTTTTCCCGTCCGCTCATGCAGTACTAGCAATACAGGTGTTTCGCGAAAGTCGCCTCTTTGATCATCTTACCTCAGGTGACGATCTCCCCCATGTCAATCAGTTGCGGCTTCCACTTCTTGTTCGTCTCCCCCTCGACATCACTCGGCACGATGATATCCTCTTCTCGTGGGCTGTACAAGTACCAGCTCCTCAATGCCGCCGCGGCAGCTCGGACTCTCGCCTCGTTCAGGGATACACCCGCTCCCTCGCCGAGTTTGTCATCTCCGCTGAACACACCCACGACGAACACAGGCGTCCCTGAAAGTCGACCCGTCTCGCTGATCAGTCGGGCGACTGGTGGCTCAAAACCTTCTCGTGCACAGAGACGGGAGAGATCGCGAGTAGGGTGGGTGAAGTGGAATAGTTCGTGCAGTTGGAGGTGTCGGCTGAGGATGTGTGCTCGGTGGAAGGCTTTGGCGGCGGACGTGCCTGCGTGGAGATAAATGGCTCCTGTCAGAGCGCGGACGAAACCTGCGCTGGCGGCTTCGACGGTGGTGGGGTCGGTGTCCATCGTTACGGGGTGGTCTTGTGGAGTGAAGGGTGGCAGTTCTTCGCCGCCTTCCGATGCTTCTGCTTGCGGCGCGCCGGCGTATGGAGGTAACTCGTCGAGCGTCTTGAGGCCTGAGTGTAGGTCTCCGAACTGATCATCATAGACTACCCGGCTACTGAAGCCTCGTCGATAGTTATATTGATCATTTCTCCTCCCACTTCCCAGCTTCCTCGCGAGAGGCAAGTCTTTCACGAGCTGTGTCCCATCTTCTGCCATTGCGTTGCCGGCCTCCATCCTCTTCAGTTGTAAAAGTCCAGGATCAACTTCTGGACCTGGAGCGGCCACGTGCTCTACTCCCCATTCTAATCGCATCGCCGCAAGTGTTGGAGGTCCCACGTATGCGTATTGTGCGGCGAATAGCACTGGCATCGGTAGCCGTGGATAATGACATATGATATGTTCTGAGGTATAGTATCCCAACAGCTCCTGGCCCAGTATTGCCAATGGCGCGTTGCTGTACCCCGGCCGGGGATCTACTGACGGATCGATCAGACATCGCGCCAATGTCTGTAAGGGAAGTTTTGTCGGCAGCGACAATCTCGCGTGTAATGCTGATAGCTTCGCCGAACCGGTCGCACGTTTGTGGGTAGGAAAGTTGGGTCGTGTCTGCGAGGGCGATTCTCGATATTCCACATCATCTTCTGGAACCTGTGCTGCCGCAGCGCTCGACGCCTGCCTCCGACTGGTGATATCTCGTCTCGGCGGCTGCCATTGGGTCTGTATGTGATGCTGTCGCCGCTGCAACTCGCCTCGCTTCGGTGCGGCCGACTCGCGTGTGGAAAAGGGACACCTCTGGGAGAGCAGATATAACCGCGGGTTGCGAGGAGGCTGTAACTGCGATGCCCAGCGGTCCAGGCGTAGGGTCTTCATGTGTCAGAGCATCAATGCGCGATGGGTGCGGTGAAGGAAAGTCGGTCGTGGTTGATGTCGTGTGCCTCTCCCTTGAAACTTTTCCGCGTTGTCGATGAGGGCTTGGCTTGAGCGCAATCGACTTGGGCTGGCCGCTGCTCTCTCCCGAGCTCCGCAGCGACCGCACCTCAAATCTCGACGTTGACCTCGATACATCCCTCACCACCGCACACAATGAGGGTAACGCAAATACTACGAAGCGGAGGCGGCAAGATCCCGTATGGCGATATCACTGTCCCTTTTGCGCGACTTCAATGGCTGATCTGAGCGTCCTACAGCTACCCAAAACACGTCTGGTCGCCAGCCGGAGGCTGGTACTCCCAACCCGACAACTGGAAGACCAACACCGCCATCATGGGTGCCGTGATGACTGGGATTGTCGCCATGGCTTGGAGCTACAGCGCAGAGAACGAGTTCAGGAATGAGATGCCAAGAGTACGTATAGCAGAAGAGGAAGGAGGGACAGAAGTTGACCACGTAATAGTCCGACCGGTTCTTCCCTTCGAGATGGTGGAGCAAGCAGATCATCGAGCACGAGCGAGCACAGAAGGCCAATGCTTTGAGGGAGTCATGAGATGGGAGATGGGATACCGGCGTTTTGAAGGGAGGCTCAAATGGAGAAAGAGCTGTGTATATATTCAAGACAAGACAATGCATTTCCTGATGTCACTGAGCCCCAGCTCTGGCACGAGCGACTGGTACTGTCGACCATATTCACTCACATGTGCAATGGTGCTTAAGCCTTACGTGTGACTAATGCGGCAGCGCTCATTGGTTGTTTCGCAAGAAGTAGGTACCGCGGCGAGGCTTTCCAGTCTGGTATCCAGCCAAAGCTTCCGCGCTTCTGAAGATCTTCAACGCAGTCGGACTCACTTGCGAAGTGCGTTGTTCTACAATTCGAGCGCAGAGCTGGCATTGTTATCGGTTGCGAACCCTTGCGAGCATCGCAGCTCCACAACAACCCCTTCGAAGCGATCCACTTCTCACGGCGACAACCACTCAGACTTATATCAGCTGCCATTACTTTCGCGTTCACATGCACCCTGCCACCGTGCACAACAGCGACACCCCAGACGAATTTCTTTCCATGACCCACTCGTTGGCAACAGCACCATCATCTCATACTCAACCAACGTCACTGATTACGAACGACATGCATTCAGAAGGCGTCGACGTGTACATTACCGGTCCGGATGGCAATGCTATCACAGAGCACGAGAACAAGTTCCTCAAGGACAATGCTGCCTACAGTGGACGTGTATTCAGCAAACTCATTTGTGAAGAGCCTGCGAGAGAGACTGTCATTCATCTCAAATTTGACTGCAACTTCCAGCTTTATGAGGCCGACGGGGTCGCCATTCAAATTTGTGCAAACGACATCTATCCCGATAAGTCAAAATGGGACTTCAAACAGCTATTCTGGATTGACAAAGCCGATATCGGGCTCATTTTCGTCTTCGACCAAGTCAAGCTCTTCCACAGGACGAGTATCACTCGATGGGAAATTCAGATGCCAGCGGAGACGAGTAGGGAGACCTAAATGTGACAAGGCGATCTGCGATACTGACCGTTGACAGACCCACACAATGCGCGCACTGCGGAGACTGCGTGGATTGAAGACATTGACACAAACTCTGGATGCATCACAGTCTTCGTTCGCCGTGGCACATTCTCGAATCGAACGGGGTTTATGCAAGCACGAGAGGACAGCGAACCAACCTGGGAGCAGTATGTTGAACGACCCCCTGAAACTACATCGCACCCTTGTCTTACTAAGTCAATTGGCAGATATCAGAACATGGATAAACCCAAAGTGATCCGCAACGCTTGGTTCACGCCCTTGGAAGGCGAGCGAGGGGAGCACACAGCGTTCCAATTCAAGAACATGAGTAAGCATGCACTTCTATCCTTGAACGGAGAACATTCTCAGATACATGATCTGGGCAACGAAACGCAGTCATTGACAGTCTCCAGGAGTCGAAGACATCGGTCCGTCTCTTGCCAGGTCTACAAATCCCACGGCCTCGGATTCGAGACTGATGAGCACTTCTTCCCACAACCGCTTAGCAGCTACGCACGCATCGAAGCGGCTCTCGCGAGGGTCCCCGAAGAGGAGCATCAAGCGATCATGCCCGGGGTCGTCGAAAGATCGAAATATCGGGCACTCGGCAAGAGACGTGATCTTCAAAGCCAAGGAGAAGATCGGATGGCCAATCGACGACGACGACGAGGACGATGAAGAGGTACATCTTCCAGCCCCTATCCAAGACGTGGAAGCAGCGATCAAACAAGAAGAAGATGCCATCACCACATGTGCAGCGCCGAGCGCGCCACTTCGGGACCGCGAGTCACCAGGAACCCTAGAACGGCGAGCACAGTACATAGAGCAGTTGTTTAGGCGTCCAAGCAGCGAGACCGACGGCATGAGCACACCAGCTCCTGCTGCGTTGGGTGTCGAGGCGGATGACGAACTGCTCCGCCTGCGTCTTGAGGAGAACCTCATCAGACAGCAGCTGAGGAAGAATGAGCTGCAGCGTGCCGCGAAGAAATGAGATCCGTCGAAACTCGCTGAGACTCAAGCCGACATGGGCATGCAACAAGGCGGAGGGAGACTGGACAGGCGATTTCGACTGGCATATTTCCAACTCAAGGAACAGTCGGACAGGCATTCGTGGGACATAGCAGGGTCAGCTCAATGGCCTTTGAGGTTGCATGTAGTGAATAACACCATTTCTTTTGCTTCAGTTGTGCGCCATACCGATGCATCCCACCACACGTCACCGCTATGCGCTAAAAGTTCCAGAGATACCCACCACTCCCTCAACTCCATGTCTTGTGCCTACCCAGTCACATCAATGCGGATTATCCTCACTCTGATCAAAGTGCTCCCTATAAGGTAAGTCAGCCAAAAGCCCCTTCAAGAAGCCAGTTTACTGAAGAACAAGATAGAACATACCTCGCCCAAGGACTCCTCAACCGCAGCCTCTCCCCCCTCCAAAACCACCAAATCGGCAACGGCACAAACAACAAACTCAAACACGCCACAAACGTCCCCGCCCACTCATACCCCATAGCATTGTACATCTGATCCGTAAAAAGCGGAAACACCGCGCCGAGTGCGTTCCGTACAACGTTCGCCCCGGCTAACGCACTGGCGCTGTAGGTCTGGTAACTGTCAACGAGGTAGTTCAGCATAGCCAGCGTAACGATGAAGATTCCCGCGCCCCAGAACGCGGAGGCGATGATAGGGACGATCCAAGGGACGGATTTAAATGATGTCCAAGCAAACCAGAAGAGGCTAGATTATCACATGGTTAGCCTGGACCAGCCATCCGTTGCTTATAAGCTAGGACCGACTCACCTAATGGGCATGAAAAAGGCTCCAACGCAAGCAGTCCACATCCTCGCCTCCGGGACGCCTTTGCCGTCGTTTTGGGCGACTCGTTTCCGATAGTAGTGTTCTTGCAGAGGGTGGCAGCAGGCCGCGAGGACGGCACCCACGACGACGCCGAGGAAGGAGAGCCCGCTCTCGCCTGTGTTGAAATTGTGGTTGTTGCCGAAGACGAGGGAGAAGGATTCGTTGAACATGAACAGCATCGCGTAGATGAAGCCCAGATACGCTGCGGCCCCGATGGTGATGGGCTCTGTGAAGAGGAACTTGAACGGCCGGGTTAGGTTCCTGGCAAACAGCCTGTGGAGACTGCGTTTCCGTCCGTGGTTATGGGCGTCCGAGATCTGTTCTAGGACCGCTGCATCGCCGAAGCCTTCTTTCGCCAGCATCTTTCGTACGCGTCTGGCTTTCCTCTCCAGCACGCTGCTGTGTCTCGTCTCGGGCATGTAGATGAGTGTGATCAACCAGGACACACCAAAGACGATCATCTGCCACCAGAACACCCAGCGCCACCCTAGATCTTGTGAGATGTATCCCGTCATGGCCAGCGAGAGCGGCTGAGACGCCACGGAAAACAATGCGTAGTACATCATGGCGTATCCATTCTCATCCCTCGTCCAGATATCCGAAATCGACCCGCCGGCGTTCGTTAACGCCACAGAGCCGCCGATGCCTCCCAGCAATCTGCATATCAGGATGGTGCCGATGTTAGGCGCCAGGGCGATGGGGAGCTGGAAGATGAAGAGCACGAACAGCGATACGACGTAGATCGGTCGTCGGCCGTAGTACTCGCTCAAGGGCGCCAGCAGCAGCGGTCCCAGAGCGAATCCAAACACGAACATCGACATTCCCAGGGTCGACACCTCCCTACTGACATGATATGTCTGCGAGATCCCCGCCGAAGCATTCGTATACCCCGACGCACCCGTCGAAGCCAGGAAATTGTAGTAGCTGACCAAGGCGGTGATGTACCATTTCTTCCAACGAGGGAAGTTTCGGGGGTTGTCTCGATCGTCGACGCTGAAGGTGATCCAGATGGGGTTCGAGGAGTCGGGCTGGGCTCTTGCTCGGGCGAGGGCTTCTTCTTCGTTGACGAGCTCGCTTTGGCAGTCTTCTTTCTTCTCCTCTAGACGGGTGGGTGTCTCATCCCGGGAGGCAGGGAAGGACGAATCATCCTTCTTCTCGTCGCTGGGGGACGGTGGGTGTAGTTGAGCGGACATGATTGCTGTTGGCTTGGTCAGTTGCAGCAAACGAAAGGATATCGGGGTCAGAAAGTCGATTTACTGTCGCTAGAGGCCTCTGTCTCATTCATCTACTTCACGCAAGACGTCCAATCCGTTTCTTCCTCTCCCCTCACAGACGAAAGGGAAGGAGAAAGTTGTTTTATTGCGAGAATAACGGTAAACCGGCACCCTGGGGTAAGGAAAGCAGTGGATGCATCCGCGTCCGTCGTCTCCACGTCTGATGCGCAGGCCCGCACCAAGGCTCTGACGAAGCCTCTCCGACTCTATGCTTATCTCACATTCTGGTCGCAGTCCCTGTGATGCTTGGTAAGGTTTTGACGGCTTGTGCGAAACGTTTGTATCACGTGGCCAAAAATGCCACAGGCGCAACGCAAGCCCCGAAGAAGCTGTTCGCATGCTCGAAGAGATCCATGTTCTTCTTCATCATCTTGTCTTTGCTTGCCGCGTGCGGTATTTGGATCGAATCCCTATGGAGACGACACGCCATACCACACGATCCTCCTTGGGTCGGGTTGCCGGATCCGGGCTTTCGTGTTCTCGGTCGTACTCTTTCCACGGAGCATCACCGAAAGGCGTGTCCAGTCCAGTGATGATGGCATGTCTGTGGCAATGAGAACACGACGCTTCAGATCCCTTCATCATCCAGAGAGTCGCTGACTTTTCTTCACCGCAATCCGATATGTCCCGTTCCGTGGATGTTGACGGGCCGTTTGCGCGTCGGGAAATTCGAACGAGAGAGGTTGGCCGTCAAGGTTTGGAGATCGGCAAATGGGGAGAGATTGGAGTCTGGAGAGGCTCAAGATAAAGTCTCCTTGCTTTGACCAGCTGCGAATGCTTTCTCGTCTTGTCTCGAGAGCACGCAGCCCGCTGAGGAACGAACGAGGATGGCGGAAGCTCAGCCTGCTGGTAGTCATCGACAGCGTTCAGTGGCTGGGTTTAACCGAGCTACGAAGACCCTCTTTTCGCTCAAACTAGAACATCTAAAAATCCCGGTCGTTAGCAGACCGTCTAGGGAGCTGGAGCGGCACCGAAACGGTTGATCTCTTCTGAACATCGAGAGAGAACGGCTGTGCGACTTTGAGCGTGAAGACGAGATCACACAAGATGCCTTATGTAAACGTGAGCTCAAGCATGCCGGTTGGTCAAGAAGAGGTGTGAGATTGGAAGTCACATACCTTCGGCACGGAAGGAGGAGCTGATATTATACCATCGTCGTCTCGCTCAAAGTGGAGCCCATGGCATTGCCATTCCCCTGGTTTTTGCAGCAACCAAGCTTCTAATCGTGTGTCAGAATGCTTGGACAGTTCGAGAGTGTTGGGGATAAAAGTTCCACTTCGTGCGTAATAAGGAGGGCCACACCTTCTTGCCGGCCGTAAAGACACTGCGACTCTCACGCATCAGCCCTCGGAGAAGACATGCACATAAGATAGGACAGAATATGCTGGAGCAATTCGAAGATCCCAAAGACACGCTCTGCGGCCGGCAACTTTTCGTCTTCCTGGTCAGGGCGGGTTGGTAGAGCCATCGAGGTTGGACGGCTATCGACACTGCCGGGATCTGAATACCTGGAGCCATCGGCGGCGTGAGTCTTGGCAGTGTGCTGTTTCATTGGTGCAGGCAACGAGGATGCGACTGCAGTTGGTGTGATGGTGGGCGACATGTTCAGCCGATGACGCTTGATAGGTCGCTCTGCGTTTTGTAGCGAGGGCACTACTTGAAGTGAATGGACCCATTTATCATGTGATTGCCAAGCTGGGCACTATAAGAGACTGGCTGCTTCTACTCCTTAGACAACACACAATGAATAACTCTTTGACTTGACTTACCTTCAACTGCACTATTGCCACATGACGCCGCCTTGTCATCAGTGTGACTCCTCCACACGACGCATCAACAATAATCATGGATCTCTGTTGGGTGCTGAGAACCGACGCTGTACCAGTGACAGTATCTTTTTCAGACGAGCAGATCGTAGACTACTAAGCGGTCTCCCAAAGAGAGCATCTGCTTGACTACTATGCGATGTTCGCAACTCGGAAGCTTGATAAGTGGTCGGATCTGGTTGCGTGTTCCTCGAATGCTCCGCGATCTCGTTCATGGGATTCCTGCGTTTCGCGTTAGTGTGAAGCAAGGGGCTTGTATACATAACGATTGTGTATACCGTCCACTGCTGTTGCGATATTGACGCATGGCGTAGACAGCTCGCCGTCCAATGTCGCCCTGGTCAGGAGGCAGCATCGTCAATATCAAAGTCGAATGGCAGTTGCACATGCGTCCGGTCCACTCACATAAAAGATTGCGGTGACCGCATTAGGTCCATAGGCTCGTACATTGAAAGACGCAAGACCGTAGCTCACTCCAGCGTGTGTATTCGCTCGCTCGCTGGTGCGAATACCTTGGTCGCGGTTGGAAGCATGACTTTATCCCCGCTCATATGCATCAGCCCTCGAGCCGGACAAGCACGTAGGATCTGTAAACAAGGCAAAACAATGAGAATAAGAAAAGAAGCATCACAAGAGGACACCAAGCACTGAGGCTTCCTCATCCTTCGTATCCCCAGAAACGAAACAAGGCTAGCGCCTGAAACCCAATCGTTCCTTCGCATCCTTCCAGCCTCAAGTCTCCCCGCCAGCACCTAGGTTTCCTCTCTGTTACTCCTCCAGAGATCGGACGCGAGGAGCGAGCGCAACGCTGTTCATAATCACTTCGATGGAAGTATGCTCCACCAACACCGTTAACGCCGTGGACCCTCCGCCTGCTTCGCATGGATGACGAAGCATTTCGTGCTGTGAAGTGCCCGTGAGGGCATGCTTTGTGAGTACGTTCAGATTGCCTGTTCAGGTAAAAATAGCGCATTCGCATGCTGCAGAGGACAACGATGTGAAAGCGTGCATGAAGACAACGTGCTTGAAGGCCGCTAAGGGCATCGAGTATGGCCGACAATGGATAGGGTAGAAGATCGACGAAACCCGCAGTCCGAAACGTACATTAAGAGTAGGCCTCGCACTGGTGATGGGTTAGTTTAGCAGCTTCTTGCAGCGATCACAGGTACTTGATCAGTCACCTCGAGCAAAATGCTGTTTCTCGCCGAATCTTGTCTCATCTTTCTCCTTACCTCGCTCACCGAAGCAGCCTCCCTACAGCCAGTTCCTCGACAAGTCTCGCCAGGCATCCCCATACCCCCACGGCAAGACCCGTGGTATACAGCACCCTCAGACTGGGAATACCGCCAGCCCGGCGAAGTCCTCCGCATCCGTCGCGCACCAGGAAACCTCACATCAGTATTCAACGCCTCCGAGGCCTTCAACATCCTCTACCGCAGCACCGACACCAACTACCGTCCCGCGTGGGCCGTGACAACTCTCTTCATCCCCAAGACCGGCAACCATAGCGCTCTCCTCTCGTACCAAATTCCCTACAACACCCCAGACGTCGACGCCAGCCCCAGCTATGCCTTCTACGCCCCTCCCTCCACCCAAGGCCTAGTCTACACAGACATCACAGGCGCCCTCTCCCGCGGCTGGTACGTCAACGTGCCGGACCATGAAGGCCCACTCGCCTCCTTCGCCTGCTGCGTGCAAGAAGGCCACGCAACGCTCGACTCGATCCGTGCCGTCAAGAATCAATTCCAAGGCTGGAGTCTATCCAACAACACCAGGATCGCTCTCTGGGGGTATAGTGGCGGCTCCATAGCCTCCGAATGGGCCGCCGAACTCCAAGTCCAATATGCCCCTGAGCTGAAAATCGATGGCGCTGCTCTCGGCGGTCTCGTGCCTAATCTCACTGCTGCTCTCCCCAATCTCTACGACGGCTCATACTTTGCGGCTCTCATCCCCTCCGCCTTGCTCGGTCTAGCAACGCAACAGCCCTTCATTAGGCAATACGTGGATTCTGAGCTGAAACCCTCAGGCCAGTACAACGCCACGACCTTCGACTCCATCCGCAACATGGACATCCTCTCCGCCTTCAACTTCTTCGCAAATCAAACCATGACCAACTACTTCCGCTCCGGCATCCAATTCTTCAGCAACCCAACTTTCCTCGACATCCTCGCCCGAGACTCCAATATGGGCGAACACGGCGTCCCTCAAATGCCGCTGTTCGTGTACAAAGCAATTCAGGATGAGATTACCGTCGTGGCGGATTCGGATGCGATCGTGGAGCGGTATTGTCAAGCGCGGGTGAGTATTCTGTACGAGAGGAATACGGTTGGAGGGCATCTCGCGGAAGAGACGAATGGCGATGCGAGGGCTTTTGAGTGGCTTGCGCAGGTGTTGAGTGGGATGTTGGAGCAGAGCGGGTGCACGGTGAGGAATGTGAGTCTGAATGTGACGGATTCGTTGTTGTAGGTAGTCGTGGAGAACGAGCGGGCGGGACATTGATATCGGACTTCGCAAATGCATTTTATAGCATTACCACCCGTACGTCTCGGTATACAGCATGATTCCTTGTGCGCCTGTTCCCTTGTGCACCGCCCGCTCATCTGACAGAGCGGCGACATATGTCCGACTCTGCGCGGTGATAGATTGGCCGCCGCATACGACAATGGCAGTTTCGCCCAGCGCCGACTCAACCGACGGCCGTATCATCGAATCCAGTGTAGGCCTTCCAGCATATTTCCTGCTCAGAGATGGCTCTCTCCGCCTATTATGCTGCAATAGTGAAGGATGAGCCTCTTTCTCTGTGGACCCCGCCTTGCGAAGACTGGAGCCAGCTTCTGATGAAGAGTCCACCATGAACGTCTCAACTTCAGGACCAGGCTTGGTCTCAGCCGCAGCAGACGCAATGACATCGCTAGGCGACCCGTCAGATCTCGTGATGTGGACGCTGATCTGCAACGATGTTGTCGACTTCTTGTATAGCTCCGCCAGGCCGGACAGTTCGTCGCCGAACCACGAGAAGTGGTTGTCTTCTTTGATGATCCAATGTAATGTTATCGCGCGAACACATCCTCGCCTTCGCATGACATCTTGCAATAAAGGCATGATGAAAGATGCCCCAGATGAGCATGCAATGAGGACGAGAGTGTCGTATTGTAATAGATCAGGGGGCATGCCCCATGGCCCCAGGATAAAGGTTCGATATTGCTGATCGGTGCCCTCACTCTTCAAAGCGGCTTTGTGCAAGCTCCGCGAGAAGCCTGACCGAGCTTGAATCAGCATAGTCAAGCGTCGTTGGCTCGAGTCTTTGCTGCTCGGGGCGTTTGCGATGGTAAAAGGATGTGTCTCGAAGGGACGGAAGAGACCGGGAATGGTGATGTATGCGTGCTGACCTGCTTTCCAGGAGAAGTCTGCTTCGTCGATGGTCAGGCGGACAACGTCACCAGGTAAAGGCTCCAGCCTTGCTGCGTATCCAGGAAGCCTCCGGCCTACCCGGCCGAGGATATGTGTATTGCGCAAAAGAGCCCAAATGATTCGAGCACCCCAGTCAAAAGTGATGAATGCGACGGACATCCAGATGTTGTATTGAGCGTACGTGGGTACGTGAACGAACAGCACCCACAGCAACACAGCCGCAGCAGCGATATGTTGCAAGACAAAAATCTCGTAATTTATATTGCGGAAGAACCCAAATCCAGAGAGAACCATCCAGCCAATGATTGCCCAAGCTCCAAAGCCGTACTTGACCATGGGCATGAGTTCGAACTCGTAGCTTACGATCTTCGCGATATCCCACTCCGTGAAGAAAAAGCTCCAGTGGACGATCGCAGTCAGAAAGACTGTCCTCGCAGCCCATCGGTGAAGCCAGTTGAATCGTTCATACGAGATACCCGTTAGAAGACTGATGGGATTGAACTTGCATGAAAGCAAGTAGATGAAGGGGATTTGCGAGACCGTGACCCAGGCTGCTCGAAAGCCGACCTTCTCCCACTTGTAGGCGTACATTGGGTTGTTGGGTTTGAGGATCGTGTTGCTCCAGAGAAAGCACAGCAGGACGACCCAGTAGAATGTAAGGAGGAGCCATTTACCGACAGATAGTGGCGTGAAGTATTTGCTGAAGCGGCCAGTGAAATGGACAGGCTGAGGATACAAGCCTTCTCGTACAGTCGCAGTGGTGGTAGCAAACGCTTGTGATAGCCATCCTTTCGGTCTTGAAGATATCGAATGTGGCTCTCGTTGCTGTCGCTTTAGACGCTGTCTGGTCTCCAGCGCAGTCGCGATTCTGATGATTGTGAGGAGTCCGACGCATCCGGCAATGCCGTACCAGAAGTCTCGTGCGATGAGCTCGTCTCCAGGCGTAAAGATCCCACCGCTCATGGTCATGCCGCTCATATCATGGCCGCTATGGCCTCCATCCATACCACCCATATCCATCCCGCCCATGTCCATTTTGGCTGATGAAGGCGCAATGTGTCGATTCTCAGAGTCTCGTATTCTTCCACTGAGGGTAGTCCGGAACCAGCTCCTTTTGGCCTGGAGTGCTCCTGTAAACCGGGAGAAGGATTCAGCGAGTGCAGGCAAATTCAACGGACATTCATTGGGACCTCTCCTTCAGTAACATCTCATGCACGCATTGAAAGAGTAACCAGGGCAGTCGCACGAAGTGCTGCACAGGTTCCTGCAGTGGTAGTGGTGTCCAGCAACAAGTAAGCGTTGCCTCAAGGTCAAGGTTCGTTCAGGGTCCGGGGTCTTTCGATGGTCTCCTGACACGGTGCTTCGAATAGCAACAACAACCAGCGCAGAGGCGAGCAAATTGATAGCAACCTTGAAGATGTGTTTGACGAATGCACGAATCTGCGAGACGTTGGTGCGTTGCACTGACACGGCTTGGAAACTTGCTCAAGATAAAATACTTGCTCACGGGAGTGGCGTTCTGGCGTGGAGCTAATTGGCTTCAGGCTATACCAACAAGTCTAGAAGCACCGTCTGTCCAGAAGATCGTTGTCGAGGCGTCCGTGGATCGTGAAGAGGCCAATGGTATCTCGAGTTCCTGATTCACATCCCATAATCTGCAGTCTTCTCCGGAGGATGCGGCGTGGAATCGATCGACTGCACGTGCGAATGCTTGAATTTGGGCCCTTGACTTTGGTTCCTGGCCCCGGTCCATGTCAGTTGCAACCTTCATTTAAATCACTCGCGTGTCCCTGTCTTGCACCTCACCTCGTCTCATCGTTTTCCAACTCGAGTTCTCGCCACCATTACTCTAAGCAGAACCCAAGACAAAGACCACAAGTCCGAGATCAATAGACAGACATTATATCGCATTCTTCAGATACCAGCAACCAACAATATGGCTCGCTTGCTGTTCCTCACCTTGGCCGCTGCCACTCTGAGCGCCGCTCACTTCCGCCTCGATTGGCCTCCGACTGCTGGCTTCATCGACGACGATGAGCCAAACTCGCCATGCGGTGGAGCTACTGTGACTGTCAACGACACCGCGCCAGAAGTTCAAGTCGATCAATTCGCGGTCGAGATCTTCTCCTCTCATCCGGCTGGCTCCTGGTCGTTCCATGCCACCACCGACACCCAGGCCCCCTACAACTTTACCGAGATTGTTCCGGTCGTGAATAGCACCGGCATTGGCGAGTTCTGCTTGACCAACATTCGGGCACCGAGTGATTTTGCTGGAAAGTCCGGCGTTTTGCAAGTCATCGACCACTCGGTAGATGGCGTTCTCTACCAGGTATGGTTGGCTGGAGACATCATTACGTCCATCCACTGACATGAAACCAGTGCGCTCCCGTCCGATTCGTCTCTGGCTCCAACAGCACCGCCGGTCCAGCTTGCACCAATGCTACCGGCTTTAGTGCTGAATGGACTTCTACAGAGGCATCGAGCTCCTCCAGCTCTCCATCGTCCTCAGGTACAGTTCATCCGCAGAGGAAGATTTTCGAAATCGTATTGACACATCACAGGCACGTCGCCTTCGTCCAGCGGTTCGGCTACCGCTCAGGCATCGTCGACCTCCAGCGCTGCCGCCGCTATGGTCACGGGCATGGGAAGTGTCGTGGGATTGGGTCTGCTTGCCGCTGGTCTTGTGTTCTAGGCTGGCGACTTGGATGTTTTGACTGTTATGACTTCGGATGATATGCCACGATGCGAGCGAGTGTTAGCGATGTACTAGGTGTACTGTTTGGCCAAATTACTCTTTCCCACTGTCAATGTCATCAATGAATGGGTAGAGATGTGATGTGAGATGTATTTCCTGTTGACCTTCCAGATCCTTCAAAATGCGGACAATTGCCGAGGCGAAAGGGACCGTGCGCAGAGCTTCGTCCTCTGGACTGACCTTGTCTCCTGCAACAACCTCTCGATTCCATCCGCCATCATTCGATTCTCATCAAAAGCCCATAACGATTCTCACTGGACACACGAAGATTAATTGCAAGTTGATGAGATGGCTGAATTAACCATCGAATGCCTGATTTACCCCAATCTACCCACGAATATGAGAAAGGGGCAATGGCTCAGATCCATGTACTGTCGTGGTCCTGGCCATGCTTCACGCAATCTCAATCACGATCTTCTTCGCAGACACTCCGCTAGCAACTTGGTCCAGTCCGGCTTGTACACTCTCCAGGCCCTTTCCCACAACCTCTGGATCTGGCTTACATTTCATGCTTCCGTTCGCGAGAGCTGGGGTCAACCATTTGTCCCAGATCGCAGGCCCGACTTCGTTATACTTTAAGCTGTCGCCCCAAGCTTAAGATATGTTAGCACTTATCTGTCTGCATTTATCGACCCGAACTCACTATAGCCGATGCTCACGCCGTCCGGAAGAGGTCCTTGATAATTCATTCCTGGAGCCAGTACTGTGCCGACGAACTTGTTCTTTGGGTTGTCACCGAGCTGATCTGCAATTCGAGCACAAGCTGCGATGATGTCCATAGACATGATGAAGCATGCCACACCAGCGAATGACTTTTCTTTCAGAGTCTCGATGATCTCCTTCTCGACATCTGCCGACTTGTGATCAAACACATAGTCAGCGCCGAGATCTTTGCAGTACTGGTGGTTGCGATTTCCAGCAACAGCAGCAACATCGTAGCCTGCTGCCTTCAGCAATTGGATTCCATTGGTTCCAACGGCAGACGCACCGCCCCAAGCCAGGACCACTTTGCCATTTGGCCTCGCATCAAGTCGGGGTAGATCGAGGGCCAGCGTATCTTTCTGGAACAATGTAACCGCTGCTGTGCACAGAGCAAGGGGTAATACGCATGCTTCTGTGTCCTTGACATTCTGGGGTATCTTGGTCACAAGACTTTGGTCAACGGTGTTGAACTTCTGAAAGCAGCCTCTTTCTGCACAGGCAAGAACTCGATCGCCAGGCTTGACTTTCGCCACGGACGAGCCAACGGCAACGACCTCTCCAGCAACATCGCAGCCAAGAATGTATGGGTACGCCTCAGGTGGAACGATCATGCCAGTTTGTTGGATCATTGCGTCCATGGGATTGACAGCGATCGCTTTGGCCTTGATGATGAGCTGATTAGACGATGGAGGCGCCGGCTCTGGGGCGTCCTTGACTGCGAGAGGGCTCGATCTCGCGGCATCCAGGTAGGCAGCTTCATTTTGTGACGACATGTTGCTCAGGAACGACAGGCTGCAATTTGCACACAAAACGAGGCAGTGGAAATAACAGGGTGGAGGGCATCTTGAGGAAATGCATGATACATCAAACTCTTGCCCGCCGCCGCCAAAGCTTCGCGCCGCGCCAAAGCTCCGCGCCGCCGTTGACTGTGCCACGAGCTGAAATCTGGTAGCTCTCTCACAACTTGTATGCCGAAACCAACTCGGAAGGAAATTAACCGTGGAAAGTATTCCACCAAGCACAAAGCTGCATCAGAGTCCCCCTCTTCGCATGAGATTCCGAAAGGGAAGTACATTGCTTTCCTTATAGGGGCTAGCACGTATGATTGACCAGCAGACGAATCCTTCGACACATTCGAGCCAATCAACAAGAACGGCATCCGCGTGGTCCACGCTCTAAATATCACCAGTACATGCTTACACATGTGTTGCAGACGATCCATCTCTCGCATTCGCGGGCAGGCAGAAATGCATTTCGTATGATTCATCATGTGGCGCAGCCGGGCTGCTACTCCATCGGTTTTTTGTGTCAGGGCTCGAAGAAAGCCAGCAGCCTGATTGCGTCGTCTAGATGAGGACCATTGTCCGACTTTTCAGCTCGACCGTAGCATGGACTCTACGGCCGTGATGATCGTAGTAGTTTCCATATATCAGCGCCATGAGCCTGCCTTGAGCCAGTGAGGCTAACTAGTAACACTTCAAACAGACTCTCACAACGAACACTATACTTTGCGATCCGAAAGACACCTCTAAATTTCTCATCGCTGCAATCCAGGACGATTCTCAAAAATGGTCCTACAGCATTGCGACGTCAAACATGGCAAGCTTGCTGTCGAAATCAAAGGTAACGGCCCTCTCGTCCTCTGCGCACCAGCCATGGGGGACTTACGCTCAGCATATGCTCCTCTTTCATCTCAACTCGCGGCCAATGGCTTCACAGTAGCAGTCATGGACATCCGCGGCCACGGCGACAGTTCCACCGACTTTCAAAAATACGGCGACGAGGCCATCGCAACTGATTTCATCGCCCTCATCGAGACGCTCAACAAAGGACCCGTCGTCCTAGCTGGCGCCTCGTTATCCGCCGGCGGAGCAGCAATAGCAGCAGGACGACGCCCTGATCTCGTCAGAGGCCTCATACTCATCGGCCCATTCCTCCGCAATCCCCAAGGCGTGATGGGCATAATCGGCCCTACCTTGATGAAGACTCTCGTCATGAAACCCTGGGGTCCCTCTGTATGGAAATCCTACAGCAAGACCCTCTGGCCAGGTCTCGGAGACGAAGGCGCTACGAAACGTGCAGCAGACAACATGGATTCCCTCACACGACCGAAGCGATGGGCGGCTTTCCAGGCTACGGTCAAGGGAGCGGACCATAGCACTGTCACACCGTATTTGAGCAAGATTAAGAATGTACCGGCGTTGGTTGTTATGGGTGAGAAAGATCCGGATTGGTCGAAACCTGTTGAAGAGGCGGAGTGGGTGGCTTCGAATTTTAGGGATTCGAGGCTGCTTGCTGTGCCTGGGGCGGGACATGCGCCGCATTTGGAGAGTCCGGAGATGGTTGGGAAGGAGGTCCTGCAGTTTTTGAAGAAGCTGGATGGGTAGGAATGGATCAGGGGGACGTGATGGAAGGTGAGGAGTCAAGATAATGCGAAGGGCGATATGTCCAGGAGGTGGTAATGCTTTGGATCACAGAAGTCGTCGTCCTCATTGTGCACCACAGCGTTATGTACTGATATAAGCTTGCGACGCTACGAAGAAGTGTGAACCTCTTGTCAATTCGATGCTTCTATTCCAGTTCTCCTTTGTCTTGAGACTATCAGATAGCTCCGTACGCGTCGACCACGAACCCCATGCGAATTCCACATTGCATCGCCACAAAATTCACTCCCATGAACTGCTTGCCCAGTTTAGCGTAGTGGGTCGAAGGATCGCATGGCCTTCCACGTCCAGCCTAGCTTGACGAAGATCGTCCTCAGCCTCATGATGCTACTCCCTGCGAGGATGCCAGTCTCTGCTGAGGTGTAGTCGGTGGCAGAGATGGGTGATCTTGCTGTTCTACGGTAAGACTGAGATGCCGTAGCCGGTGTAAGGGGCGTGGATGAAAGGCTTAGGCACGAGGGATATATAGCGATCGCGTTTGCACCTTGACATATACCGTTCATCTCCGTCACAAACATTCATCCAACACTAATCGCAACTATGCTGCTCTCCCACTACATCCTCCGCGCTCTCGGCAGCGCGGCCACCGCCCAAGCAACCACCCTCCTCCCAGTCCACAACATAACCCACGCTCCAGTTCGTTTCGAAAACCTCGCCGTCCGTTCCAACGGCCAGATACTCACCACTACCACCTCCCCCAATGCAAGCGTCTATCTTGTCGACCCGCTAGGCATCCTCCCCACGACACTCATCCACACCGTGCCCAATGTCAGCAGTGCGACGGGCATCGCGGAGGGGAAAATCGAGGACGTGTTCTACTTCGTATCCGGCACGATCAACATAACGACTCCGAATGTGACGTTCCCAGAGACATACTCCATCACTGAGATCGATGTGCGCGGTGTATCCATTCTTCCAAATGGCACATTGACAAACAATCCTCGAGTCAAGCGTGTCGCAAGTCTGCCTGGAGCGTCCCTTCCCAACGGTGTCGCCTTCGCCGGTCCAGATTCCGATCACATCCTCACGGCCGACTCCTTCCACGGTCTCATCTGGAACATCGACGTCTGCAGTGGCGAGTTAGGCGTTACGTTGAACGACTCCTCCACTAAAGGCGTCGCATTGTCTGGTCAGGCTTTCACGGGGATCAATGGCCTCAAGGTCCAAGATGGCATCATGTACTGGACCAACACCGGCGCCAGTAAAATGTACAAAGTCGCCGTTGATGACGTTGGGCGCGTGAGAGACGGTCAGACACCAACATTGGTCACATCCGACCTAACGTGCGACGATCTCGTGATCGATTGCAAGGGTAATGCGTATGTTGCAGGTCCAAGGGATGTGCTCACGAGAGTGTATCCGAACGGCGAGAAAGAGATTGTCGCAGGGACGTACAATTCGACGACGAGTTCGTTGGTGGGGCCTACGGCAGTGAGGTTTGGTAGGCTGGAGTCGGATCGTTGGAGTTTGTATATTACGACGAATGGAGGTGTCGGACAGAATGTTGTGGGAACGGAGGGGATATATAGGGTAGATCTGGGAGCGGTGGCTTGATCGATTTGTGAGGACGGATGCTGACTTGACGAGCCTGTGTAATATGTTAAAAGTAGATATGTGTGAAGACTTTTTTGTAACGCTTCTTCGTCTGCTCACTTCTTCAGATTGAGCAAGCTCGGGTAGCTGAGGGAGACATCGAAGTTACGCTGGCCTGCTTTCAGCTTGTCGGCCATAGTACTGGCTCGGATATTGCCAGTCATTTGGTGGACTCGCTCGAAGAACTGAATGACCCACTGTGTCAACTCAGACGGTGCTTCTCGCATACTGCCGACGACATCCAGTGGCCAAAAAATCCAGTATATTCTTCCAAGTGGAGGGGGAATGCCGGTATCAGGTGAACAGGTTGGCCGGAAGCAAGGCGGTCCACTGGAGCAGATGTCGATGACCAGCTGCTGCACCTTGGGCTCTAGAAGAGACGCAGCTCCTTGGCCTCCGTGGAGGCGTTGCTCCATTTCAGTGGCAAGGTCATGAACAATAATCAATGCTGCTCGAACCTTGTTCCAAGTGTGTTCTAAAATCGGGCTCGCATATGTATGCAGATGCACATCCCACCATGGTCCAGATGGGCGATTAATACTTTGTGTTGACCATCTCCAGAAATGAGGCAGGGATGCGGCCCACTGATCCAACGCTGACTCTGACGCCTTCAATTCTGCAAGGAGTGAGTGTGAAGGCGGTGCTGTCCGACATCGTGCTTGAAGGTCGGCCAGATGTACCAACAAGATGTCAGCCTCGAACATCTCCTTCAGCTGAGGTGGTACCGCACGCAGAACTCGTGGGTTCGGCTTTGCAAATGTTTCCGCGACTGGTGTCTTGGTCTGCAAAGCAATAAGTATCATCTGACTTCGTGCGTGGAAGAACATGCGAGCACCGAATGGGGTGCCGCAGTAGTAGTCCTCATTATTTCTGAACAACACGCTCACACCCCCTAGGTGCGCGATCCAGGATTTCCGCGCCGACGGACCATAACTGGCCAGTACTTCAAAGAACCCAAGAAGTAGGACCACAAAAAAGATCATGTCTTTCTGGGCATTGCTGATAGTTCGACGCCACTCACTGGCTAGACTAAGCAATGCTTGACTGTACTTCTTCTGCGCTGCTTCCACACAGCGCGGAGATTTTTGCAGGCGAGCAATAGCCATGGCCCCGACGGATTGGACGCTAAACCTGACGCTGTCGTTACTTAGCATATAGTGGAAGTTTGAAGGAATCCAGAACATATTGGATTTCGAGTCGGTGGTGCCACTGCAGGTATATTGATTGACGAAGAAGTCGATCCAAACAGTCTCTTGGTCCAGGGCGCGTGAGTGAGGCACAGCTGGCACAGGGTTGATCTGGCCACTGCTCCCTGCGGCAACAACGCTATGAGGAGGCTGTAGATCATACGCACTCGCTGCGCCTGTACTGAGGCTATGTGAGTGAATATGGGCCCTTGCAATCACATGTTGTGACTGGTCGTGAAACATGGTGTCTGTTGCATCTCGATAACCGCGGCACTCTCGTTTGGAGCTTTGACATTGACCGCATACCGGCCGCTCGCGATCGCACTGCATGGATGATCAACGTGACGGTCTTGGTGTGCCACCGAGGGAGCAGACTCACACGAATCTTTCTTTTGATGCATGTTAGACAGCCTTTGCTGGGACCGCCGACGTTCACCATGACTATGACTCCATCCACGAAGATGTTGTGTCGTCGCGGCCATGGACAGGATAATTCAGTCTCCTGCTCGCCCTAAGCTCAGCCTTGTAGGGTCTTGATAGGAGCATGCTGGGCGTCTTGAGGTTGTGAAGAAAAGGAGGCCAGCAAGAGACCACGGCAGCTGCGGCTGAGGTGAAGTCGGAAATCCCGGCGCTAGTGCCTAAGTTGGTAAAGCGTATGTCCTGAGAGCACGTGCCAACGCGTCACCTCACCTCTTCTGCGCGTCGGCTTCGAACAGTCGATCCAAAAACATCGACACATAAAATGAAACACCAGCGATGGACGACCCCATAGACCGCGGCTTGCCATTTGATATCATCGACCTCTGGGGGCCGTCTTTGACGAGCGACAACGCCAGCCAACATGACAGTCTTTTCGGATCTTTAGACTTGCCGCCACTGGATCTGCTCAAGGACGAGGGCCTGCCCCAATATGAGCTGGACTCCATCGTGCTTGAATTGGAAGACCATGGCGAGGGTTTACTTCCAGGAAATGACACAATCGAGGGCAATGGGCTTTCAGCAGAAGCAACGTTTGAAGAGGACACTGCAGATCCCTGGAACGTTGCAGAATTTCTACACGAGGACGAGACTCCCCGACTTTGCACTTGGGAGAGTCTGGAGAAGAGAAATCTCTCAGATACAGAGAGAGTCCCGTTGATCTCGGAAGCCGGTCCAGCTGCGTTCGATGCAGCAATCAATCTCCTGCCTCAGTTGCGAAACGATGTGGGCGTACTGCCGCAAGACTACGCACTCCGTGCATTATGCAATCTTGCGCTAGGGCGATCCTCTACTATCTTCCAGTGGAATGCAAAGATCTTACGCTTCGAGCAAACTCTCAAAGGCGCCTCAATCACGGGAGTCAGCCGAGCTTGCTTGGACAGCCTCGCTGAAGAGATAATCGATACTGGAAGCACGATTGCCAAGCTTCGTACTGTCGCCGAGCGCCAGCGCTACGCAAAGATTCCATCTGCCACTCTGGCTTTGAACAGCTGCGTGAGAAGCATTCTGAATGCTATAGACGAGTGCATGTCTGAACAGCTCAGCAGTGTTCGATCTGTGTTACAGTTACAGAATTTGCTAGCTGCACCAAAACGCCTGCTCTCTGTTTTGGAGGCCTTGGTTGAGGCGACGAAACAGTGCGAGTCGGATGAAAGTGTCATCTCTGCGGTCTCAGACCACATATACGATCAGGTGCAAACGCAATACGATCTCTGCGCAGTGCTCCGAGCACTTCTTGCTAGAGTGAGTGTGCCCTGGCTGGAGCGTCTAGCTACAGATATTGGTTTCTGCAGCACTGAAACAGCACTGGCATCCGGATACTCGATCGACAGTGACAACATGTCAGGCCTGGAACAAGCGATCACATTTGTTGATGCAGATTACAAGGACCTGATCCGCGAAACGAAACGTGCAGTCAAGATTCTACGGACCCAGGATGAATACCACTACTTGCTCAGAGGTGATGAGCAAGCTTTCAATGCCCTTGTCAATCCTACTCTGGACCGGACGGAGTTATTGAACATAAGCAAGACATATGAACAGATGATGGCCAACCGCCTTCGAAGTGATCCGGCAGCAATCACCTCGAACACCCTCGACAAGCTTGGCCAACCAACTGGAAGGGCCAGTACGTGGAGCGATGAGCTGTATCAGCTGGCTTCGTTCGAGGAGACCGCAGATTTGATGGCCAGCCAAAGCATTGTCGGGCTTGATCATCCCAGCGATCTTCTATACGAAGAAGTCATGTCACTCTGCTCTATTGACAGACTTGTTCCAGGGCCAGAAAATATCGAACTGGCGACAGATTTGAGCACAACTCCCCTCGAACGCATCAGGCCTCTTGTCCAGACACAGCAGCGCCTTGTCAATGGCATCCTCCTTCGACGCCTCTTTAGGGAGCACAATCTCAGACATCACCTGGAAGTTCAGAAATCGTATCAGCTTTTGGGGAATGCAGATTTCGTCCTTCGTCTCTCCACGGCTCTGTTCAGTCAAGAGACGCAATCGGCAGAAAGAAGGCGCGGCGCAACGCTCACAGGAGAAGTCATGGGCCTACGCCTAGGTGCTACTCACGAAGAGCGCTGGCCACCAGCCAGCTCAGAACTTCAACTTACTCTGATGGGTATCTTGAACGAGACATATGGGAAGATTTCAGAAAAGAAATCTGCAAACGGCGCCGCACTGCCAGGTGGCCTCAGCTTCTCCATCCGACAACTTCCTGAGTCAGAGATAGATCGTGTGTTGGATCCGAACTCTGTCTATGCCCTGGACTTTCTTCGACTACAGTACACCACTACACCACCTTTAGACGCTGTCATCACTTCAGATACTCTAGACAAGTACGACGGCACATTTCGCTTCCTCCTGCGACTTCTAAGAGTTGGCCACGTTACTTCGACCTTGAAAAAGGTACTGTCGTCGCATTGGAAACCAGGACACCCTGACGTGGAAGCATGCAAATTCGTCCAGGAAGCTAATCAGGTCGTATGCGTTCTGATGTCCCATGCGATGGAATTGGGCATTATCCAGCCTTGGCGATCTTTCCAGAGATCTATCGATGGCTTGGTTCAGGTGCTCGCACGGGAAGATGAGGCGGGAGAGATCGGGACTAAAGTGACCTTGGGCGTGGAAGGGCTGCGATGCCTGCACGAGCAGTGCTTGGAGAGCATCAGGGGCAGACTCTTTTTGAAGAGACGGCAGGCCAAGTTGCGTCAAGCTATCGAGGATGCGTTGAACGCTATCCTGAAGGCGACCTTTGCGCTGCAGCGTGACGACAAACAAGTACGGGCCATCTTCAAAGATAATAAGAGCTCGTTCACGCAGTCGACAAAGGAGATTGTCAAGCTGCTGCAAGAGATTGTGGACAAGCCGCTCAAGACCATAAGTGCGGCGGAGGCCGAAGATATGGAGGTGAGCAGGATCCTGCTGTCACGGCTGAATTGGAACGAGTACTATACCTGAAGTGAGAACCGTTACCATCTCGATCTGCCTAGTCAAGCTCCAACTTGACACCATTTGTGTCCGCCATAGGCCTCGTCCAGCTGCCATCTCCTTCAGCCAACTTTGCGTGAGATTCGAGAACCAGGTTCAGCTGGTCTCGCTGCAGGCACTCATCAAAATGGAAACTCTTCGCACACTCATCCAGCTCCTCAAAGCTCATGTCTTTGAACAGCTCCGCAAATTCGTCCGACAAACACCCTGCCATCCACAGCTGGTTGACCAATCTCACGATTTGCCTCTCAGTCGCCCAAGGCGTCGGATACTGCATCTTAGACTGAGGAATATGCTTGTCAATAAACTCCACCAAAGGATTGATCACATCTTCTACTTCCTTGCTTGGGCGTCTCCCCCAAGCATCAAGCTGCAACGCACGCTTCTTCTCGAGGAATGGCGCAATCGTTTTCATCCATTTGCTCTCCGGATTCGCATGCAGCATGCCTTGCAGGCCGATGTCCTTGTACAGCCAGATGTTCCAGTGGATCTTGTACTTGTCGTAGATTTTGAGCTGCTGGCCTAGAAGGTTGATGCGCGCGGCGTTGACCTCTTCATGGTCCTTGTCGAGTGCCGGATCCGCATACACCGGCCCGAACTCGCCGTTCCAAACGGGTGCATCGTATTTGGTCATGAACTCTGCTTTTCGGAGGAACTGTCTTTCGAGCTGGGAGTTTTGTTCCTCCGTGCCTGCATATCGTTCGCCTTTGGGGAAGCCCATCATCTGCGAACTGTCAGCACCACCAGCACGAACCAACGTGCCCTCGACTCACCGAATAATCATGCAACCCATAAACCGTATTCGGCAACACCTCCTCAGACCCCCTCCACTCCATCGAGAAAGTATTCCCATCCAACCACAAAACATGCTCCGGATCCACACTCCTCACCTCCCTCTCAATCCGCTCATAAAACCTCACCAACCTCACATGCTCCGCATCACAAGGCTCGTTCAACAAATTATACCCCGCCACCCACGCATTGCCTTTATACCTCCCCGCGATGGCCTTCCACAACCACACCACCCGGTCCTGGAAATCCTTGTGCGTCCAGAACGACGCCACGTTGGTCGTGTTGTCGGAATGCCAGTCCGGGTTCTGGCCACCTGGCACAGCGTGCAAATCTAGGATCGTGTAGATCCCGTGCTGGGCGCAGAGGTCGATCACTCGGTCCAAATACTTGAATCCATTGTCGTCCTTTAGGACTCTTGGATTCATATCATCCTCGAAATGGTGATAGTTGAACGGCACGCGGAGGCAATTCAGACCCTTGGAGGCGATGAACGCGGCGTCTTGTTCGGTGAAGAAGTAGGTGAGGAGTTTGTCGAAGAAGAAGTTGGACTTTTCTGCGCCGAGGGTTTTGAGCATGGAGGCGCGGTGTTGGGATTCTTGTGCTGGGTAGCCGGTTATGAACTATCGAGGCATTGTTGGTACGACATTTCAGGAGTGATGTGTGTCGTGGCTTACATTCTCCATGTTCATCCATCCTCCTAGTGCAGTTCCTCGGAGGATGATGGGTCTGTTGTCGTTGCCAATTAGTTGGGAGCCTTGGACGCGGAGGATGCCTGTGGACATTTTGTCGCGGCTGGATGTAATGTGATGGTAACTCTGGAAGCAAGACAGCAAAAGGGAGACGAGGGAGATGGGAGACGGCAATGGCTTTCATATAGCATCATGCGTTTCATGCGATGGAGGCAACACAACATCACACGGCGTAATAACCTCTCGCCTATCGCTTGAATGCAGTCCGCAATGTGGTGGAGTTGGCATATGCGGGATTTAGGCTAAACTCAAAAGCTTCCGTCACATGTCGCCCTATGAACGAATCCTCGAGCCAACCTACGACCTTTCCAGTGTTGGACACGAGGCAACTCGAGTGAGATCCTCACAATCCCACCTCGACTACAGCTTACTCCCCACCCCGCCCTTCCACTCCCTCCCGCCCACCAACCTCTGCTTCCCCAACACCCTCCACCCCTCCGGTCCCTCCTCCAACCCATTCCGCTTCCCAGACGGAACATCCCTCCACGAAAACAACCTCGTGTACTCTGTGTCCCTCCCCTCCACCACATCCACCACACACTCCCCCAACACCGGCAGAAACTTAAACCCATGTCCCGACCCGCCACTCGCCACCACAAGATTCGCTACATCAGGCACATAATCAATCAGAAAGGAATTATCCACCGAATCCGTATACCAACACAGCCGAATCGTCGACAACGGCAACTCCAATAAATCCGGGAGGTTTTCCTCGCAGAACGAGCGCAGCACGCGCATCGCCTCCGCGGGGACTTTGTCGAGATCCGTGCGCGGGTACGAGAGGGCGGTTTTCCCGTCTGAAGTTTTGCGAGTGTAGTTCGTCCATTTCGCGCCGCGGAACGCGACTTTGACGACGCCCTCGGGGGTGACGGGGAGGCCGTAGAGGCCGCCGATGTGGTCAGCGGAGTGTGGAGTGTACGAGGCCATGTTCCAGGACCAGACGGGGAAGTTGTCTTCGCTGTATTTGGACCAGAGGTCCGGGCGGGAGGTTTTCGGGGGGAGTTGCACGGCGAGGACGCTGCCGGAGGTGGTTTCGAGAAGGGGTTCGGTGGAGGGGATGAGGGAGGGCGTCCAGCCGCCGCAGGCTACGATGACGAGGTCGGCGGGGTGGGTGGAGCCGGAGCTGGTGGTTATGCTGGTGATTTTATCGCCGGTCTGAGTGAGGGATTCCAATCCATTCCCCTCGCCAAAGTACGTCGTCACAGATCCAGTCTTCTTCAAAAGATGCAACACCCACGTACAAGCCCGACTCGCCAACGCAAACCCCGCCGTCATATCCAACACCCCATCAACCGGCAAACCCCTCTCCCCGCGTCGAAAAGGATCAATCTTCGTCTTCGGAATCCCCTCCCTCACCGCATCCCGCACTCTCTGCGCATCACTCACCCGAAACTGCGTATGCCGAATCCCCTCCGGAAACCCCTCCTGCGTCTCCCTCTCCTTCCGCTCCAACCCATCCCGCGAAAGCCTCAAAAACCCACAATTATGCCACAGCTTGATCTCCGGATCCAACGCCTCCGGTAAATCTGCCTTCTCGGATCGGGCCAGTTCGTCGTTCCATTGCGTCCAGACGGGCATCGCTTTGAAGGCTAGGTCTTGGTAGAGTTTCTCGCCGCCGTAGCTCGCGCGGATGATTTTGTTCAGGTCGCAGGAGGCGCCGTGGGCGCCGAGGTCTTCGGCGTAGTGGTTTTTGTCGAAGGGTTGGCGGTCGAAGATGTGGATGTTTTTGTAGCCGCGTTTGGTGAGGTGTAAGGCGGTGGAGAGGCCGAAGATGCCGGCGCCGACGATGATGATCTTGGAGTCTGGTGAGAGGTTTGGTTTGTTCGCCATGGTGTTTTGTCTTGTGGTGTGGCGAGAGTTGTGAGATTTGTTGAAGGATTCGGATACAGATGATCTCTTCCTCGTGTCTTTCCCTCGAGTCTTGAGAATGGCGAGATCAATGATGCTTGCCTCCAACGACAATGGGGTAAAGGTTGAAGTATCAGGCAGTTGAATCTTGTCAGAAGTGATTCAATGCAACCACGGCCTGAGGTCGTCGGTATAGTGGAGACCTTGATGATAGCCTTGCCCACCAATCAAAATCCAGCAAACCGCTCTCACGAATGCCTTTTCGATTACGACCTTCCTCTCGAGGGCAATCTTTCAAATCCTGCTTCATCTGGAAGATCCAGCCTGCCCTTCGTCTCCCTTCTCCTTGAACCACGCTGTCGCAAGTTCTGCTGCGGATTCGCCTCTTGACCTTTTCGATACGCGATCAATACCTTCTCGACTGCGTCGTCCAGTGCTTTGCCCTCCAGCTGATGTTTGTCTCTGAGATGGTCCATGAATTCTTCCGAGTCGCTCCAGCAAGGATCGCTTTGACTCTGATGCCGGAGCGCGCATCGGAACTCGGTGCCTGTAGAGAAGCGTGCCCATCGGGAGCGATTGTGGACTCGTAGACGACGACGGCCAACAAGCGATTGGGCGCACTCGGTGAAGTAGTTCTGAACGTCGGGATTCTCGAGCCAGCGGTTGAAGACAGCCTCGATCTGTGCCCGTGTCTTCCACCCAGCCTTGCCGTTCGCCTGCGAGCTCGCTGGTTCCCACTCGTCAGGAGCCATGTTGGAGACGTGGTAGGCGGTCTCTTCAGGGTCGGGATCGATACGATAGTACTCAAAGCCGTCCTGTTTGGCTGCGCCGTCGACGGCCGTATGAACTCGTTCTGGCTCGAAGGATCGGGCGAGGATATTTCTGCTCTCTGCTCCTTTGACAGTCGTGCCGACGCTGACAATCGTGCCAGCCGAGGCGACTCCTGCTGCTGTGTCGATCTCACGCATGCCGAACAAGGTAGGGTTGAAATGGAAGCCGAAGCCGCCATGCTCAAACATGACTCTGTAGTTTGTGCCTTTGAGTGTTAGGGGCTCGAAGTATCCCGGCGAGACGGTTGTGGCACGGGCAACCAATCCGATGTCCAGCCTTGCTGCATTCATCGCTGTTCCAACAAGTGGCAAGTGATGACTGCTTTCAAGCAATGCCAAGGGCTTGTCAAACACAAGCATCTGTGATGTTTGTGAACCTTGTGCGGCACCTTGTCCCGGACTGGGAGATCTGTCTGCAAGGCTGTCTCTGTAAGATCGCAAGACGCGGACCTTACGAAAGCTACGGTCATGCTCAGCGCTCTCGATGGCAGTGACAAAACTGTGTACTCTTGTTAGCCCAGACTCACATGTACTTTTGGAGTCATCAATACTTACGTTCTGCAAGTCCGGGATTTGGAGTTGAACTTGAGTGTTCCATTTCTGTACCAATTCCACGACGACTTTTCTGCAACATTCTCCATGAAATCCTCCAATTTCGAGGCGTCGTACTTGGGCTTACCGCGTAGGTATGTGGTGATGGCTCCAGCCTCCTGAAAGACTTCTTCTCCCAGCGTCTCGAATTCAGTCATGCAGTCGCATATTGCCATGTGCAGTCGACCGAGCATAATTGCGATCAGGCTACATCATCAGCTTCAGCACACGTTTGGTTCTGGAATGGAATAGCACTCACCCGCCAAAACTGGCACCTCCAATGTAGTCGAAATAGTGGCAGAGAAGGAAGCGCTTGCTGGCTTTGAGAGCTTTGAAGCTGTCGTCGTCCTGCTCACCGTAGTGCGATTGTAGCGCCAATTCTGTTGGACTGGATGGACGAGCGGTGTCGCTGGGATAAGGCTCGGGATGGAAGCTATGGTAGTGAGGCTCCGCGTGATTTTCTTCCTCTTCGGCGATGCATTCGACCAATTTGTTCAATGCTAGCAGCGTCCAGTACGAACGCAGATCGCTGCCATCTGCCTTTCGTTAGCTGTGATTGGTGTATGCAATCAATAGACCTACCCAGAGTGAGCAAGTTGCACTTCTCCCACGACTCTTCGATAGAAGCTTGCAAATCAGCATCTTGACCACCAGATGTACCTCCCAGACGAAGCTTGCTCGAGTATGGCTCCCACGTATCGGCCAAGACGTATACAAGTCGATATGAGACAGGATGTGAGGTCTTCGATGTAGCTTGACGCAAATCGGCCGTGCTAGACTCGGTGGAATTTTCCTTGCCCACGCCTAAGAGAAAGTCGTTGCAGTTGATTCGCCGCCATGATGCACCATGCCGCTTGAGAAGAATGCGAATTACCCGATCTCTCCATTTCCAGCCCGTATGATTGGAATCTTCTCCAGGCTTCTTGCTTTTCCAACAAGTCAGTGTGAAAGTCTCCACGTCTCGTCCAAAGAGAGTGTCCTGGGGAGGCTCGCTTCGTTGGCCGAATGAAGGTCGTCGCCTGTCTGTTACTGGAGCTGATTTGGTCTCGAAATCGGGTATCCAGAGCTCTAAGCCCAGGTTCGTCCAAGTCCAAGGCCGTTGATGTCGTTGATGGGGTCGCGCGAAGGTCCTGATATCACCCGAACTCGCAAATGCGCTGGGCCAAGGCGCAAGCATCCCAGATACAGGAAGTTCGTCGTCAGTCCAGGCGAATATGGAATCATCGTTTGAGCTTTTGATGATCTCCAGTTGGAGACGGAAGAAAGCCTTCTTGCCACCCTCGCCATACAAGAGTGCCATGTGAACATCGAAAATACCAAGTAAGCAGTACGCAATATCCTCACTTCTTGTCGTCTGTCGTTGCGACGCCCAGCTCATTCTTTGAGCGACGTTGACCTTGAATCAATGGGTGAGAAGAGGCGGATTTTGGCAAGGTGAAATATACTGACTTGAAATATTCGTTCCGGGTGTCGCAACACCTCAATGTCGATGCCGGTGACGGTGGAAAGCATCGGGGCCAGGCCAATTTTTGTTCCCATGAAGTGCCAGTTGGAATCGTAAAATAAAACCTGCTTGGGCGCAAGCAACTCTTGCAGCGTCCAACCGCGAGTGAACCATCTCGACTTGCCTAACAAATCCACTTCCGAACCTCCAGAATGCCCAGACTGACCAGAGTCTCTGCTATTGGCAATACTGGAGCTGGTCCAATCCACATCCGAAAGATACGCATAACACTCCACAGCAGCCTTGTACCAAGCAAACATAGCGTTAATAGCCTCGCTTAGCTCGGCGCTGCTTTTCTTGTCGATACATATCGAATCGATCCAGATATAGTCGCGTGACCTGGACTTGGCTAAACGGCAAGCTTCAACGACTTTGTGGTGGCCTTGGCTGTCCTTGCGGCGGCCGTGCAGGAAATCGTCGTGGGACAGCTCGCCATCCTTCCAGCGGTGAGAGAGCACGGCATACGGGGGAGTGTCGCCGTCATTGAACTCTGCGAAGCGGAGCGCTGAGGTGTGGAGGAGGCGCATAATTGTGGTGGCATTGATTCGAATGCGCTGGAGGCGGAACCGCTGTCTTCCGTCGTTGTACTGTTCGCATAGTGCAGGGCAGAATTGCTTTCTTACTGATAAGAGGAGGAAAAGGACGGAATGTCAAGATTCATGAGGCTGAGGTAATGTTTGGGACTACTGCACCCCTTCCGTTATGTAGGAGTGGGAGGCGGCACGGTGCTGCCGGGACCGAAACTATCCACGCGAGATGCCACTCTCGGGCCGATGCCGATGGTAAGTGAATGAATGTAGAACTGCTATATCATTGCCTGAAGGAGGTGTTCCAGAGGCCAGATTGATCGTGCAGGAAGTGAGGCGAACAGGAGGTGAATTGAAAGGTGCCGCACGTTCCTCCCCACGCGAACATGTCGCCGCCGACGTCAGGCGCAACGTTCGCGTTGCTGCTCAGCCACAGGCAATTGAAGCTTCCTGGTTTTGCCAGGCCGTTTCTTGCTTGAAACTCCTTCTCCACGATGCTGCTACAACCACATTACGGGGATGATCTGGCCCAGGATCGGTGGTGTTTGACCTGACAATGCGATGAGTCGCAACACGCCCCTCCCCCCGGACTCGTACACTGCTCGCCGGCTCGAGCACGCCACGCCGCAGCATCTACACCAGACCACCCACCGAGTCTTCATCGGACCCATACCTGAGGGCTGGCTGAAGAGCCATAGGAAGCAGTGGTACAAGCAGTATGTCGGCGCTGGGAAGAGAGCCCCCACATTTACCGCCGCCCACCCCATCGCGACCGTCGACGCCCAACAGGCGGGACAGGACGAGAGGAGCGACGAAGTGAGGACCTCAACGAATTTATCGGGTGAAGGCGCCGCTCTGCAAGAACCCGACAATGCCACGAGTCAGACCAGTCTACTGCACAGCCAGCGCGTGAGCTCCATCAGTGCTGTCAGTCGCACAGCCAACAATGACACCCACGACGGTGCCCAGGATGAGGCCCAAGCGACTGCCGCACCCGCCGTCCAGCCTACACTCCAGCAGCAGGGAGATACGTCTGGGATCGATCGAGCGGCGACAAGATTGCAGGTCCCCAAAGTGCGATTCACAGAGGCGAGCAAGCTGCAACTACGCGCGAGAGCGCAGCGCCTTGCTGCTCGTGGCAACTTTCGAAGCTCACGAGTGAAAGATGGCGAGATGATGAAGGTGGACAAAATGCTCATTCGCATCGACATTACCCAACAGTCCTTGCGAGAGGACTTTGACGAAAAGGTCAGCCAGGGCGTTGAGACCAAGAGCTTGGACAAATGGCGTGAGTTTATGGTCGTGTGTCGCAAGCATACCGAAGAAGACGCCGAATACGTATTGCAATTTTACCAGACAAGAGTGATTGCAGTGTCAGAAGGGGACAAGGTCAAGAAGAAGCCCAAGGTGCAGATTCTCCTCAGCAACAGAAGAGCAAGGGTCAACTTGTACTCGTCACTGGACAAGACGCTGTGCGTTTGGACAACCAACGGCCTACGCACCACCATCTACTACCTGCGTGCTCAATCTACTGCTGCGGCAGTCGAGTGGTATACCTTCCTGCGCGGACTGCTGGGACATAAGCGAGCTCAGGCTTTGCAGGTCAACATTCCCGACTTGAGCGTCAGTCTGCGCTTGGACGATCCGTTCAAGGCGCTCGAAACGTCTCAAACACTTGCGGAAGCTGCCGAGGGTGACGAAGAGGCGTTGGCGCGGGCTATGAACGAAGAGAAGGGCGCTGCTGGGGCCATTGTCTCGAGATGCATTGACATGCTGAAGCAGACACCAGAGTGGGCTGATGTTCTGAAAGCGTGGGCTCAGTACGATCGGATTGGTCTGGCATGGAAGCGCTACGATCGAATTGAATGGATATACGGCGCCGTGGAACAGAGAATGTACGGCACCATCGCAATGCAACGAACTCACGACCTGGAACTACGACCCAAAGATCACTACCCTCTGACCACCAAAATCGCGAATGGCCCGAGCATTGAAGAGCCACCACCAGTTGAAGGCTTCCTCATCAGGCTGACCTCACAAAAGGGTAAAGAGCGGAGGTTGGGCAAGATGATGTTCAAACGGTTGTACTTCACCATCCAGAATCAGTTCCTTATGTTCCTTCGACCAGCAAAAGCGACGCCACCGCCGCCGCCAAAGATGCCAATGCGCCAGAATGATACTAGTGTGCCATCCACAAAGGAGATTTCCGAGCAGGTTCCATTGGCGTACGACGTTGAGCCGTATCCTCTTGAAGGTGATCACATCAAGTGGCTTGATACGGAGGGCGTCAAATCTACCCAGGACCAGGAGCGCCGTGACAAGGAAGCTTCTGCCGAAGCCGACCGCAATGTTGACATGGTGATGGCCTCCGATGGTTTCATCAATCTTTGCAACGTCAAGCGTGTTCGACAATTCCACAGAGGTGCAACGCCAGCAGACGAAAATTTGGATGAGGGGTCCGACGTTGACTTTCATACTCACGTGGACAACACCCGTCAGGACGATGGAGGCACTTCAGAAGTGGAAGAAGACCGCGTTTTGGAGTTGGTCATGAAGAATGGGCTCATCATTCGGCTTCAAGCCTTCAGCAAAACTGCGAGGAATGAGTGGATGAAGCGTCTACGCGATTTGGTTCAATACTGGACCCAACGGACGAAAGCAGACATGGACTTGTACAAACTAACAAGAGAGCAGAACCTCAAACAGCTGGGCATCGACGAACGTGCCGAAGCATACGTTGGCCAATTTGCCCACAAGTGGGAGGTCAGCCAGTCGTATGCCTCACCAAGCTTGTACAACATGTGCGGTATTGCAGAATGCCGCACAATTCACCTATCTGGCACGTTATTCCGCAAACCACGAAAACACACAACCTTTAACCGCTGCCACGTCATCCTCTCTCACGGCCATATCCTCGTCTACCAGGATACTTTACGTAAACGGACTGGCAAGAAGCTCGTTCATATCCATCATGAGCGTATCGCCTCCATCTCTCTCGAGGGATGCTACCTCTATTCTGGACTGCTTACTGAGAATGACCTTCTGTACCAAAATCAAACATTCGACTCCAACGCTCCGGGCCACCACGCGCTGCCACGCATCTACCTTGAAGACAACTGGACGAGCACGGACGAGGACGCCATGACGACGTTTGTCATCTGGCATTCTAAGAGCAAGTCCTGGTTCAAGAGCTCGCATTTCGTCGACGATCTGAAACAACAAGAGCGGACCGAAGACGCCACCTCGAAACGAGCGAGGACGAAGACCAAATTGACGAGAGTCAGCCAACTCGGCGCCACGGGACGAAGCGTCGTCTTCAAAGCCAGGAGCCGCGCCGAGAGAGATCACTGGGTTTTGGCCATTCAGGTCGAGATTGAGAGACTTGCGGCGCAGAACGAGGAGGTGAGGATTGTGGATGATGGGAGGGATAAGAAGTAATAACACAATAATGCATCGGACAAGGGAGAGTAAAAGCTATGGAGTACTGCTTGAGGACACAGCATCGAGCGTTCTTGCGGAAAGCGTTGGCGTTTACTGAGGCAGGAATACCCAGGGATTGGGATCGGAAGTCGGACTGGAAAGGAAGAGGAGAGGAAGTATATCTTATGTTTGTATATGTGGAAGTTCTTACCGTATTCATAGTGTGTAGTCAAAGAAGAACAGAAGATTGAGCGACATGTACCCGCCAGCTTCAACCGAGTCTTCCCCTTGACTCAACTCCACTCCTCACCGGTCCTCACGCTCCAACTCCCCTCACACCACCAACCTTTATGAGTCGAAAGAACGTGGGTGTTTCCTCAGGGAAGTAGCTCCTCCAATGAAACCCGCCCAAACGGCAAAGATCTATTAAATCTTTTCTCCATGGTGGTGTATCCTGCTGCTGCAAAGCGGCAGGTACACTGCTTTCTTCCCTTTTTTGCTGGATGGGGTTTGGGTTCGAGGTTAATCTCCTGTTGAGGTGACTTTTTTGGCTTGCCGTACATTGTAAAGTAAAGAAATACTAAGGTACAGCAATAGAATTGCAATTCTGTTTGTCTTCACCCTCCCTGTGAATGAAAAGGTGGTTAGAGCGTTCTATATTGTTACTCATCTAGATGACGGGACCTCCCTTTCAAACCTTTAGATACATTGAGAATGTGTCAGTCCTCCCAGGGAAGTAGCCACATCCAATGAAATGAAAGCCTGCCGTGATTTCAACTCGCGCAGAGCCAACAAAATGATCCATGTCTTACTACTGCAAGACCTTCGTTTTCGGTGGTGTAGCGGTTGTTGCGCTGCCTTCTTCCCTTTTTGTTTGGGGGGTCGAGGTGTGTTTTTTTGCCTCTCGTATACGTAGGAACATTATTATTATTAGGTTTATTCCTTTATTTCCCCACTGAAGAAAAATCTCTTCCTTCAATGGCTTGGGAGCAATGGGAGTGAACGTTCTACTTTTGAGCGGAACACAGAGGGTGTATATAGTATTTGCTTATATCATTTTGGGGCTGGTGGATTTCCAGGCTACGGCTATGAAGTCGTCGTAGCAATTCACCCAGCTCCATGCAATGTAATAAATCGATTCCTTCTCAATCCGTTCTATCGTTCTATTCTGTACTCGACATTCCCTTCGGGAAAGACTTGGAAGATACTCCATCGAAATCGTTGTGATCTGGATGCGGTGAAACCGATCGAGTCACCGCAGCGAAGCCAGGCTGCAGTCTCCACTCCAACCCCTACAACCACCACTCATTTCTTGTGCTTTGATAAGTTGCCACGAACGTGTGTCCTCTCAGGGAAGTAGCTCATCCAATGAACAGACCCTTTAGGGAAGAGGGATTAAAACCCCTCTTCGTTCCGTGGTGTCGCAAGGCATCAGTCTTCCCTTTTGCTGTTTTTGCTGGAGCTGAGGTCGAGTCCAGTACTGAGATTTAATTTTGAGATCATTTTTGTTTTCTTTTGGTAGGCGATCAGTCTATCTTTAACGTTCTATCTTCTGTAGGTGATCAGAGTCATCATTCATAGCTCATGTAGTGTTGGGGGCAGAGACAGGTCGATGGACAGCCAGCTCGAAGGGGACAGCTTGCCGCTCATGTGGGATGTCCAGTGAAGATTTCTTTGAGTCGACGTCATCCTCCTCTTGTTGATCTTCGCTTGCACTATCATCATCTGAAGACGAGGTTGCTTTTATGCCAACAACCTCCTCTTCATCTGTAGGTTTACCCGTTGTGTTGTCCCTAATCAACGGACATAGCAAGAAGCAGACGCCCACCATTGCCGCAGAAATGTAAAACACGAAAGCGATGGCACCATCGAATGCTTCTTGGGCGATCACCTGGTCTTGTTCGGTGAGTTCGAATAGAGAGGGCGAGAAGGTCGACTCGGCGAGGTAATCGAGTTCAGGTGGCAGGGTGGCGACGAGGCGGTCTCTGAGAATTGTTGATGAGATTGCAGTGCCTAGTGCGCCGCCGAAGAAGCGCAAAACGTTTCTGGTGCCAACGGCGACGCCTTTGGTCTCCTTATCGACTTGTGCAGAGATTGCCATAACTGAGTTCTGGAACGATGAACCAGTGCCAATACCGACAAGGACGCCCAAGACGGCGACCAGGCCAGGTACTCGATACTCGCTGTCCACGCCAAGAAGGACCATGGCCAGCGTCCAGACCGCGAAACCGACAAGGAAAATTGTTGAATAGCTTCTCTTCTTCATCTTTTGCAGCCTGAGAATGATGAGTGCAGACCCTGTCGACCAGACGCCGTGGCAGACGTAATAAGGGACTTGCATGGCGGAAGCTTCAATTTCCGGCATCTCGCGGACGACTTGCAGATTGAGAGGGAGATAGTATGAGAATGAGTAGTAGGCCGCACCGAAGAGGATATTCTGGATGAGGATCGTCGCGATGGTTCGGTTTCTGAAGAGTCGAAAGGGTACAATCGGGCGCACGGAGCCACGCTTGGTCTTGAATCCGAAGAACAAGAAGACGATCAAGGATATGCCAGCGATGACGCCCATAGCGATGAGCACGGCTTGCTGGAGCAGGTAGTATTTGCACAAGAGCAAGAGGCCTGGGACGACGACGACGCCAATTCCCGAGATAATCCCCAGAAAGTCGATTGTCTTGACTGCGTCCCATATTTGCTGTTTCTTTGGTGGGGTGCAGTTTGCCGGGACAAAGAGGAAGATAGCGATGCTTGCAATCACTGACAGTGCAACCTCGATATAGTAGAAGACTTCCCAGATGCCGTTCATAGCGAGAGCCGCGCCGACAAGCATTCCAGTAATGCTTCCCAAGGCGACTGAAGTGCCTGATCAAGAAAGTCAGTGTGAGTCGTATCGCCCATACGTGAACGCTCACCTTGTATGCCTTGATATTTCAACCTCTTTCTCTCGGGGAGGAAGTCGTTCTGCGCAATGTTGACGAGATTGCTCACACTTCCGGTCGCAATGCCTGAGAAGGTCCTCAAAGCACAGAAGAGATCGGTGCTCAGCTGGTAGCTACTCAAGCCACATGCAAGAGCACTGGCTGTCAGCAAACCGAGGGCAACAAGCAGCATCATTCGTCTACTCCAGACATCGCTGAGATACCCCAAGACTGCGAGACCGACTGTGGCTCCGATAAGTTGAGTGGTTGCGGCCCAAGCAATGGGACCTCCAGTGTCGAAGTGAACGGATACAGCAGGAAGAATAGCGGTGACACCCAGGAGGTCGATAAAGGCGACGCCGTTGGCAGCGTTGAGCGATATGACAGCTGCGAACATCTTCCAGCCGGTGAGGTAATTTGGATTCGTCTTGTCATCTTCATTTTCGTGCGACTGCTTCTCTGCATGGCCAGGTAGAGCTTCTGTGAATATTGACCTCATCATAACGAATGAGCTTCGGATCAATTTTGAAGGTGGGAGATGGGTAGTGTTCTTGCATGCAGATGAAGAAAGATATGATGGGACTGTAGAAATAGACGTTGATTTTGGGCATCATCCCTTTTCACGGGCAGTCCTTTGATACAAGTACCTTGCCATGCTCATGGACATTTTCGAGCCATGATCATCATCAACTCAGATAACGCACAATCGCCAGGCTATGAAGCCAGCCAAGAGAGGGAGAAGTGAGGAAGTTTCGTCACACCCTGTGTCAGGCCAGGAGACTGGTCTCGGCGGATGTGTTGGCCAGCAGACCGGGGACGTTTCACGACCGGCATTGAAATCTCACAACAAAAGCCAAGCGAATGTTTCTGGGAAGAGGGCTGTCGCTCGACATGCTGAGCCTCGAAGCCGAAGAGCCCCGTACGTGGCCATTGCCTTGTTGCCAAGAGAAGGTCCGGAAACTTTCGCGATGGTGAGGTAGGCTGTGGCTGTTGCGCTGATAGATAGGAAAAGTCGGTGCTGCGCCATAGAAGACGCTGCCGGCGAGGGTGAGATGGGATCATGGCGCATTGAAGGGATTGCTGAATGTTGCTGATGGAGAATTGGCGAGGTCTTGGGGAAGCAGTGAAGGTTGACGTCGCCAAAATTAGCGCCGGGACGAGCCGCTTGATCGCGCTTGCTTCAGACTTCACTTCACGTCCTCAAGACTGAGCTGCACCTTCCCGCTCCACTCATCTATCACTGTCATGGAATTGGCAGGCGCCACCAGTACCCTACTTGGATACCATGCCCCTACTGAGAAAGTCTGTAGGCGGCCGAAGTCTATATCACAACCTGGAAAGGCAGTCCATCCTCCGTCAGATCAAAGCACATCTGCGATTGACTTGCGAGGATGGTGAAAGCCTCAAATGACCTCCGACACATATTGGTCTGCAAGAGGAACTTTCGGTGTGGATGCACTCTAGTATCAGTGAATATTCGCTTGCATTTCAGGAGGTTCATAGTAAGTCACATTTTCGAGCACTGTCCCAGAGCTTTCACCGTTTGTGCATTCACTTCGTTTGAGACATCTCTGTTTGCTCTCGGCGAACACGGGCATGAACCCGGAAGAACTTTCTTGCCAGCTCCGGCCGCTTCACTCGCGCGAGCGCTTCTATAAATCTTTCGCCAGCGACGACTTCAATCAGTCCCCCGCCACCACCACGACATCGTCGCGCTGCCATCGCTCACCATGGCCACGAACGGTGCACCCGCCACAGAGCACTATGGGCTCGGCTCCCCATTAATGCTCGAGAAGATCGACAAACTGTTCGCATGCGGTGTCGGCGAGCTCGTTGACCTTCCGCAGATTGTGGTTGTTGGCGACCAATCTTGTGGCAAGAGCAGTGTCCTCGAAGGTCTAATCAAGAAGCCTTTGCCCCGCGACAGTGGTCTTTGCACCCGCTTCGCCACCCAGATCGTCTTTCGTCGCTCAGTGCGTGAAGACATTTGCATATCCATCATCCCCGATCGAGCCGCGTCTATCGAGCACAGCACCCGCTTGAAGGCATGGCGCAAATCGGTCACTTCACTTGACTCGAAAGCCTTCAGCGACATCATGCAAGAGGTCAGTATTTGTACAGGTCATAACATCACTTCCACACTCACACTCAGAACAGGTCCACGAGGTGATGGGACTCTCGAAAGGAAGCAGCGACGCAGGACTGCGAAAGCCTACCTTCTCCAACGACGTTCTGCGACTAGAGCTCTCTGGCCCGGATCAAGAGCATCTCAGCGTCATCGACGTACCGGGTATCTTCAAGAGCACGACCGAGGGCCTCACCACAAAGGCGGACATCTCACTGGTGAGGAGCATGGTGAAGAGCTACATGGACAACCCGCGCTCCGTCATGCTTGCTGTCATTCCTGCAAACGTCGACGTCGCGACCCAGGAGATTCTTGAACTGGCCGCCGAAGCCGACCCTCATCAAGACCGTACCCTCGGAGTCCTCACCAAGCCTGACCTTGTCGACAGAGGTGCCGAGCTACGTGTGATCGAGCTTCTTGACGGTCGTGCCCGTCCAATGAAACTCGGCTGGCACATGATCCGCAACCCTGGTCAACTTGAGCTGTCTGACAAGAGCCTGGATCGTGATACCCTCGAAGCCGACTTCTTTCGCACTCTTGTGCCGTGGAAGGACATCGACAAGGAGAAAGTCGGCATCAGCTCCCTTCGCGAGCGTCTCAAGGAAGTTCTCTCCCAGCTTGTGAAGCGAGAGTTCCCGAAGGTGAGTGATGAGTGTAACATCATTAAGCTATGAACAAGCTGATTGTATTCTTCTTAGGTCAAAGTGGAGATCAGAAGCAAACTGGATGATCGCCATAGGAGACTCAACGACCTGGGCCCTGAGCGTGGTGGCTTTGGAGAGCAGATGGCGTACCTCACGAACATGGCTGTTCGGTTTCAACGTCTTGCAGCCGCCGCATTGAGTGCCAATCACGGAGCCGACAGCATGTTCGATACCCAGGAAGCTCTCCGACTTACTCCTGCCGTCATGTTGCGCATGAAGACGTTCTCTGACGAGATGGGCCGCCTTGGCGAGACGTACTCGTTCTTGCCAGCAGACGATGGCGGCATCCCGATTCCCGAAGGTCCAGCTGATGTCACGGTGGTCTTGGACAAGGAGCCAGAGCCCCAGCCAAAGAAAGTCAAGACATCCCAGCCTAAGCACCCGTTCGAGACCCGCAGGCAGATTGACATCGAAGAGCTTCAAGATGTCTTGCATCCGCAAGTCTCTTGCGAGCCCCCAATCCGAGGTGAGATCAAGGATTGGCTCTTCCAGGTGTTCCAGGGCAACCGTGGCTTCGAGCTGGGCACATTCAACGCTTCCATTCTGGCGACTGTCATGAAGAAGCAGTCGTCCAAGTGGATGGATATCAGCTTGGGTTTCGTCAGCGATGTCGTTGTCATGGTCCACCACTTCATCATCACGGCTCTAGGATCCATCTGCAAAGACGACGACTCCCGTCGCTCGCTCGTCAACGCACTTTTTGACGATCTTATCGCCCGGTACCAGACGGCTCTCGCGAATACCAAGTTTCTGCTTGAGGTGGAGAATGGCGACACGCGCATGACCCTCAACCACTACTTCAATGACAATCTGCAGAAGAGGTAAGCACAGAATGGGTTCTGAAGGTAATGTCTTTGCTAATACTTTCAACAGCCGTCAAGAGAAGGTGGTCGCTGGCCTTAAGAAGGGCGCCTTCCACACGATGCAGGGTACGGTCGTCAAGCTCGAGCAAGCGATTCAAACGAATAACATGAGCAATGATGACCACACCATCATTGAGATTCACGACATCTTGAAGGCGTACTGTACGTATTCTCAAGGGCAGAAGGCACCCTATTTCGTGTCTGAGACATTCGCTGACCTTCCGCCCTTGGCTTTCAGATAAGGTCTCGCGCAAGACCTTCGTCGACAATGTGTGCAAGCAGGCTACACTGTACTACCTGCTCCATCCAGACAAGGGCCCTCTGGCACTTTTCTCTCCTCTCTTCGTCAGCCAGCTGTCCCCGACCCAGCTCGCGGAGATTGCGGGCGAGGCACCGGCTCTGAGGCGCCAACGTACGCAACTGACCAAGGAGATTACGAGTCTGACGGAGGCAATGAAGATTCTGGCCCGGGCTTGATCGATGATGGTTCGCTTTGTGTGAATTCTCGACAGAAGAGAAGGTTCAGGGCAGGGGATCAGACGGAGATCGTAGCAGATCGGTTGTTTCGCGTTGCCGCATCGTCTTGCCGCGGCGCTGGTTAGGTTCTTGTAAACCAACTAGAAGCATAGATCGATCATGAGAATCGGAAGGAAGAAAGAAGTGTAACACTTCAAACTCAGCCACACCATTCCACGTCTGTGCCCAGTGAGGCGATGTTCCTATCATCAGTGACAACGCTGACCCTTCCACTAACTTTCCTTGGCTCGATCTGGGCATCAAGGATGACCCTGAGATCGGCTTCGCAGGAACGACTATACATATCCACGATCAGCACAAGCACAAGCATCTACATCATCCCACGTAGAACCCCAGACATCGCCAAGTGTAAGGAAAGATCAGGGAAATCATCTTCTATTTCCATTGATACATCCGACGCTCTCCATCCCACACTATGAAGTGCCATGCATCGATACTATACAAACCCTCTCTCTTCCCCTTCTCTACCGCCGTCTCAAATACCAATTAAACCCCAACGCCATCGTCTCCGCATGGAACGGCGTCGGCACCTCCGCCAGCCCCGGCCGCGCCACGGGATGTCTCAGATACACCGCCGAGCAGATATTCTGATTCACTTCGAGATATCTCGGGATGAACGCAAACGCGCTCATGTAATCTCGCGGTGTCCACGGCGTGGCGTAGGGCTTTGAGGTGTCGACGGGGTTTGCGCGCGCACGTTCGAGGGCCGCTTGGAGGAGTTCGGCGTCTTTGCGGGCGCGGTGGATGTCGAGGGTGGGTTTGTTTTGGAGTTGGGGGTTGGAGGGGAGGGGTTCTGTGGAGGGGGATTCTGCTGCTGCGCGCTGTTCGTTTTTGGGGAGGTCCACGTCTGTGGGGACTTTGGTGAGGATTTCGGCGAGGGCGGTTTCGAAGGTTTCCGTCGTTTCCTGGAGGTCGGATTCTTCCATGCCGCGGAGTTTGGAGAAGGTGGATTTGACGTCTTTGCGGAAGTTGCGCAGTTCTTGTTGGCGCTTGCCGGAGAGATCGCGCTTCGAGTCGTCGAGGATATTGGTTGCTCGTTTCAGAAGCGCTTTGAGCTCTTTGCTGTATGCTTTTCCGCTGTCGGTTGCGCTGTCCTCCTCTTCTGCGGTGATCTCGACTTTGCCGTCGTCTGCCTCTTCTTCCACAGCAGCTCCCACAGCTCGGTCTTCCTCTGCCTTCTCCTTCTTCGCCGCCTTCTCCTCAGCTTTCCGCCTCAACTCCTGACTCGACTCCGCCCTATCCTTCTTGATCTTCCGCGCACCAGTCGCATACAGCACCCGCTCAGGGTCCACCTGGAACATATCGCCAGGGTTGAGCTGATAGCCCGGATATATCATCTTCTTGCCATTAACCTTCACCCAGCCATGCACAACAAACTGCCGCGCCTCTCGCGTGCTACTAGCGAACAGCGCCCTGAAAATCGCCGTATCCAACCTCCTTTCCAACGGATGGAAAGTCATATGCATGTATGGAGTCTTCTCCGGCCCTCGTACCTCATTCCCTCGCGCATCTTTCTGCGGTCTCTTGTCCACGCCCATACCCCTCCCACTAGCCATTTCGCTTCCATCGTATTTCGCCAGGTATCTGTGGTCCATCGGTACCACGGCCGGTAATCGCCTATCGAACATCCGCGTCCATGTTCCTTCTCGTACGTCCGGGTTGTGATATGATCGTAGCATTGACTTGGCGAGCCATTTTTGCTGGAAGAAGGTCTTGTTCGCTGCTGGGGGTGTCGTCACGCGAGAGAGGTTGTAGAGATTGAATTTGGACCATGATTGCCGGAGTTTCTAATTAGAAGTCAGCGAGAAATTTCTGGTCTCGGATCTGATCGCATTACCGGCCGCTTTAATGCGTGTATCTTTTTGGTGCGCGGCATAGTTACATGGGACTGGAATGGGATCTCCTTCAATGCGGCGAGAATTGATGGAGATTCGAAGTGCCCAGACACCTCCGCGGAGGAAAAAGCGCTAGTCCTCTGAGGCTCAGTCGGGCTGAGCTGCTGAGATTAGACGACCATTTCCCAATCCCAATTGCAGATGGACATTCAACAACATATCACCCAGAAGATCCAACACGCATCCACCCAACGTGTAAAGCCGCTGGAAAAAACAAGCTTAGCGCCTGAAATCTGTGCCAATTGGTAGACTATTATCGAGGGCCGCACGCTCGTTCTACCAAGGTCTCTGGCCTTCACCATCTCATCTTACTACAGATTGCACTCGTTGTTGGACTTCTAGGTACCAAATCGCCAAATATCTTGAAGACATGTTACAACTTTACTCATGCGGAGTGCGAAAATATCCGGTCCTTCCCGATCGATACAGTCGACCGAGGCCTCGATATCTACATCCGAACGCCTTTCCCTCGCTTAAGCCTTCTTCAATGGCCAATGTTGTGATACAATGATCCAAGAGTACGTATGAGAGACCCAGGGAAAGATACAGCATCAAGGCGCTCGAGCTTTTCGTTATATGTGTCTTTAGACTCTCGACTACACCACCACATTCTTTCCCTCGCCGCTCGCAACAAACCCCTCCACAATCTCCTTGACTTGTCTCGCCCTCGTATCCTGCGTCGACTGCGCATACCAGGCCAAATGAGGCGAGACAGTCAGATTCGGCACGTCCTCGGCGAGCAGCGGGCTGGTCGTTCTTCCTGCTGGCTCGGTTGTGAAGACGTCGGTCGCGGCACCTGCGATAAGGCCTTGCTTGAGGGCGCGGACGAGTGCGGATTCGTTGACAATGCCGCCACGGGCTACGTTGATGAGGATTGCGTTGCGTTGCATTATGGAGAATTCTGGCGTCGAGATCATGTCCGTGGTGGAAGGGAGGCGAGGTACGGCGATGACGAGGACGGTGCTTCGGCGAAGGACTTCGTGGAAGGGCGTGCGGCTGCATTCTACACCGTTGTGGGATGAGGCCTCGCTACTATTGTCATCTTTTCGCGAGGCGACCAGAACTTGCATGCCTAATGCTCGAGCCAGTCCTGCAATTTTCTGGCCTTGATGGGAGGAGAGAATATGTTAGCTGGACGCACAGATACGCAGCTTAATCTCAGGCTCATCTGTCTCTACCTCCTTACTTGACGGTGAGAGATGTTCGGGTACCTACCAAGCGACCCATAGCCCAAAATTCCCATGACCTCGCTCTCACAAGTTAGCGGCAGACCTCCATACACATCCTTCAGTGTCCCCTTCTCCTCCCACTCCATTGTTTTCGTCGTCAGATAATGCAACTGCACAGTTTTCCTCCTGACAGCAAAGTACAGGCCGATCGTATGTTCGCTAACAGCAATCGCTGAACCGCCGGGGATATTGCACACCCGTATTCCTCGAGCCTTGCAGGCCGGGAGGTCGAGGCAGTCGACACCAGCGGCCATCACGGCAATCAGTTGAAGGTATGGCGTGCATTCTGGCCGAAGAGTCTCTGCACTAAGAGGAACGAGGTTGGTAATGACTATGGTAGCATCGGATACACGAGATGGCACCTCAGTTGGTAATGTGTTGGAGTATTCGGTGTATTTATGAGGGTTTGGAAGCGAAAAGGGTGGAATTTTGACGTAGCCGCCATCGAGGGCAACGATGTGGTGGGTCATGCTGCACTAATATGAGAATTTAGCAGAATAAATCAGTACAAGAGCGGTTTGCAGCTAATGTTGCAAGGCTGCCTCAGAACAAATATGAAGGAAATAATCGAACGTTAGAACTTCCTGTACATGTATCGCTGAAACGCACGATGTACCCATGATGTCAGCCAATGTCGCTGACGGAAACTATGTGTAATCTCACCAGTTCAATGCTCTTGAAAACAACTAGCCGTCTATCGAGCTGCTTGGTCCACACATGTTTCACAGCGAACAGCGTTTTGACTATCATTTGTATTTGCAGACTGGAAGCGGAGATGTGTCTATACTATCCTCACACCTTGATCCTCACATGGTATCCAGTCTTTGCAACACGAGCCATCAGGAGAGTCAGGAGCCCCACCGCCATGGAGGACCCAGCAAACATCTGGGCATATAGGTAGTCACCATCCTTCCTTTGAATCAACGCTCCTGCTAATGGAGAGCCTGTGAGCGTGACTATGCTTAAAATACTCAGAACCATCCCCATTCTTGTCCCCATCTTAGTCAAATCGGTTGTAAGGCTGCTAAGGGAAGCAAGGAACAGAGACTGGATACCAGCGGCAAAGAAGCCGTAAATCACCGCGAAGGGATAGACTCCACCGAGACTGTCCACCGCAGCCCAACAGTAGAGTAGTATCGCGGACGCGAACACAAAAGGTATAAACATGTTCAAAGAGCCCAGGTATCTATCGGCGACGAAGCCAGGAATAATTCGGCCTGGGAGACCCAGTCCGTTCATGATCGCGAGGATGGTGATGGACGTGCTTTGCGAAGCACCTAATATGTCCCTAGAGAACATACCGACGTAGTAAAAGGCGAAGTACAAGCCCCAAAAAGTGAAGAACACGGAGATGGCGAAAAGCAGGTAGGGAGGTTCTCGGAAGGCAGCCCACTCAACCAGCGGGCCAGTCCGGCGAGGCGGTTGTCGAGAGTTGAAGAACGGCACTGTGAGACACATGGTGGATAGCATTACAAAACCAATCACCCGCATCGTCCATCCAAATCCAATCCTCGGTAGCAGGCGCTGGGCAATGATTGGAATGACAACACCGCCAGTGGCCGAGCCTGTGGCCGCGACTCCAATCGCCAGGGCTCGATTCTTGGAGAAGATCCTTCCAAGCAACGCAAAAGAGGGGCAGAAGACCAGACCATTGCCTAGGCCGTTACACAGGCCTTGGGCCAGAAGGATTTGCCAGTACGTCTTGCAGATGGAGGTCATGAAGACGCTCAAGACCTGCAGAAACGAGCCGGTCATAAAGACCGCCTTGAAGTAGCCTGCATCCATGGCGCGGCCGCCGACGGTGCCAACCAGAAAGAGTAATGATATCTGCAAACTTCCGACCCAGGAGATATCGGAGGGCGCCCGATGCAGGGTGCGCGTGTAATGCTCCTGGAAAACGCCGAAGGAGTTTATATAACCCCAAGTGTTGAAAAGCGCCAGATGACCGAGAAACACCTGCGTCCAGGCGTAGGCACCGCCATCTTGTTGGCTAACGGTAGGTTTCGTAGCACTTGGTGGCTCGGAAGGAGTGGACAAGGGATCTGGTACCCGTTTTTCGTGATCTTCTTGATTTTCGTTCAGCTTCGCGTTCACTGCTGTTTCGCGAGGGCTGAACGTGGGGTGCGTTGCATGCTGAGCGAGCCCTGATGGCGGGTACTTTTGGTTGGACTCTCCGTCCTCGCCGGTCTTTTCAGTCATCATCACCCTCTTAGCAGTGAGCGGGGAGCTGTGGTGGGCGCCTAGGGACGATGGCGCAGGTTGTCATGGATTTTCAGCCGTCCTGTAGAACGCAGTCTTGTTAAATATGATAGGCTGTTTCTGCATAAGCTGAGTTCAACACTTGAGGTGCTGTAGCTCTCTTTGTGCTACATGAGCAACCGAGCATGCACTCCACCCTCCATTTCAACAGACCCAAGACTGGAGGAGATACCTTATTTGCGGACATGACGGAAGCATACGCGCGACTCAGTCCTATCATGCAGGAGCGCTTGCACGGGCTGAAAGCCTTTCATTCCGGGCTTGAGCAGGTGGCCTCGAGTAAAGCCCAAGGGGGCATTGCTAGGAGGGAAGCCTCTACTGCGGAACATCCCGTGGTCAGGACGCACCCTGTCACCGGCCAGAAGGCCCTCTTTGTTAATCCACAATGTGAGTCTTGAGCAGCGCTCTCCCCAAGACGGTTGCTGATTCAGATTGTTCGATTCAGACGTCAGATACATTGTGGGTATGAAAAAGGAGGAGAGCGATGTCATTTTGAAATTTCTCTACGATCATGTCGCACTGGGTTCAGACTTTCAAGTACGCGTGCGATGGGAGCCCAGAACCGCGGTCGTCTTCGATGTGAGTCCCGTCTCTTCGCGATGCAGTCTTCTGGACACCGCTCTGACCATGAGTAGAACCGCGTCGTCAACCACTCTGGCCTACTTGATTGGCTTGACGTAAGAAATGCAGCTATTGGTGAGGAGCATATACTGATTGCTTTCAGGGATCCCGGCGCCATCTGGCGCGTCTCACTCCTCAGGCTGAAAAGCCATATGAAACGCCGTTCAATTAGGGCTTGGAGAAGGGGCAGAGTGATCAAGGCTAGTGGAAATGCGACATATTCTAGAAGATCAAGATCAATAACCATTCTAGCGTTTACTCTGCCTCTCTCTTTGCACGCTTTTCTCCGTTCTAACCAACTTGACAAGAGCTCTATATGCCCGTACGTAGCCCGTGTGCATGCTTTCAGTTCGGGTATCGATGTGACTACCTCGCGAGGTTGGACTGCATGGAAATGAATGTTGGTGTAATCACATGCATCTCGCGTTGGAGCCTGAGCACTAGCGTTGCGCTAGCGCTGACCCCCATTGACCCAAAGTCAGAACCCTAACGCTACACAGCCGAAGGAATCAGGATCGCGAACCTCGCTTTTCTGTGTCCTACCAACCATGCCATACACATTCAAGTTGTCTGCACACTGCGTGGCCCCTCCAAGCTCTCCGCATAGTTCGTTCTACATTCACAGAGCGACAATAGGTCGATAAGACCTGCAGCTTATGTCTGGGCATGCTGCAACAGATCATCGAGCCTCCACTATGCTCTCTGATCCTACTCGCTCCTCTCTTGGAGAAAGTAGTATGCATGCGGGAAAGTTCGTCTCACAGCAGACTTGAGCTCTTTGCTGTGGGCGGCCTGATCTTCATCGAAAGTTGCTCAATTAAGCCGAAACCAAGTTGAGAGCATTTCCTGGGTAGATATGACATTCTGTACAAATCATACTTAGACCTTGATTCTAGGAAATATCTCACCACTTCGTTCGTGAATCTCATCACGCAAGCCAAGAAGCTCAATGTATTTCACTTCGCGCTTCAATTCTATGTTCAAACGACAGACTTCTCGACCCGAAATGCTGCAATACGAGTCGGAAAAACTGCTTGGCCATCAAAGTGGCGACGAGGCTGTCGAGATGATCGATATTGAACGGCTTCGCCCACGGCCCAGACGCTTCACGACCTTCCTGACATGGACCTGGAGGCTAACGATATGTTCTCTGAGCCTCTGGGCTTTCGCCAACCTCTCCCTCAACGCCTGGTCCTTCTTCCGTCGTGATGCCCACTCGCCGTCACAGCCAACAAAGGTTTCTTGCTCGTGCGGCAATTCTGTGGCTGATGCTTTGTCAATGGGCTGCAAATACGATGCGTTGGCTTCGGCCTGGCTCCCTCCAGCCTGTATCGACGCAGACCTGAGCTACGAATTCGACCACGCGGGACCTGAGCCAGATGGATCTTGGATTTACTACACCGACTACGATAAGACCGGTACTTACACCTTGGAAGAGGTCTCTCTTCTCGCTGACACGGGTGCCTACTACTACAACACCATGGCATGGCATCTCGCACATTGCACTTACAACTGGCGCAAGGCTGTGAGATCCAAGTGGACAGGCGTCACACTGGAGTACCGCAGCGACACAGAGGAGCATGTCGATCACTGTGAGATGATGTTCAAGGACAGGACACCACTTGACTACGTTGGTACCGTCTCAATCGTCACCACCAATGCGGACTGGCAAGAAATGCATAAGGAGATGCATCCGGAGGCTATGCATCCCGACGCTATGCACCCGGACACTGATAAGATGCACCCCGAAAGCGCAATGCACCCCGATATGCATCCGGACAACAAGATGCACCCCAATATGCATCCAACTACGTACTAGAAGAGATGGTCTTAGAGTAAGTCGTGAATTGTCTGCCATGTCATCGCCAAAGCTAATCGGCATTCGAGATAGGAACGTATCGACGCTTCAGGGAGCTGATGAGTCCAGAGGAAAGTATGGACGGCCTATGTGGCCAGAGATGTCCCAAACCTATTTACAAAGAGCCGTACATGCAATGAGCAGAGGGAGTTGGTAGGAATGATGAAACGGCCCCAGCAAATTGACCAAGGCGGCATTGAGATTTCGATGTTGAGTGGGGATTCTTTTGGAAGTGATTTGGGGCCGTTGTTTCGTCATGCTTTTGACTTCTACCAAGTTCTGCAGAGCTTAGATATATGTCGACCGCGGATTTGGGGCATTCAAGAAGATAGCCTCGTTTTCAAGTGCTCTGCAAGGGAATTTATATCTACGTACTTAAACAGTAGATGTGTCTTCATTTGATCCCACCAGGCTGTAAATTGAGCCTCTGCTCGAATCGCACTTTTTGACGCCACCGTGTTGTGTTTGACGGATGCAAAGGGCGGCGAGCGTGCCACTTGGCAACACGCACTATTCCGAGAAGCTGACGGGCGAAGAAGTATAAGTACTCTCTGTCTTTCCGGCTGAGACTCAGCTTACCAGTACCGTTACCAGTTGCTTGAGCAGGAGAGTGGGCGCGGGATTCGGTCACTGGTGAAAGCTCAATACTCGTAGAGCGTACTAACACTTGATTGAATTCTGGTCTATATGCGCTGACGGGCAAAGAGGCTGTAATATCTTTGGTCTGGTCGAACTTCTATCCCTCGGATAACGCCTACTGCCTGCTCAGGATGGGAGACGCAGGCGGTCTACTTGACGAGATCACACACCCGGCACTGCTAATTCCTGGGCCGGTGGATTTCGATAAGGCCGTGTTGAAAGCCATGAGCAGTGATGCGTAAGTCTTTCCATGGCGCAGCCTTACAAGGCTACGGCATGAATGAAACTGACAAGCTCCACTAACCCATCTCCACAGTGAATTTCACCTCGGGACGTCCTTCGTCAACGTCTTCGGCGAGGTCTTGTCGATGCTTCGACGCTTTTTTCAGACCACCAACCCAGAGTCACAACCCTTCGTGCTGTCCGGCAGTGGCACGCTGGGCTGGGACCTTGTGGCCGCGAACCTCGTCGAGGCCGGTGAGCATGTGCTCATACTTCATACCGGGTACTTTGCAGACTGCTTCAAGGAGTGTTGTGACAACTACGAGATTAATGTCACAGAGATCAAGGCTCCAATAGGACATCGGCCCCAGCTGGACGAGATCGAGGCTGCACTTTGGGAGAGACCGTACAAGATCATCCAGCTCACACACGTGGACACCTCAACCGGAGTCCGTATACCTCTTCAGCCATTGGTTCAACTGGTTCGCCGCGTGTTTCCCAGCACTCTCGTCGTCGTAGATGGCGTGTGCTCTGTCGGCTGCGAAGAGATCGCGTTCGACGACTGGGATCTCGATGTCGTGATGAGTGCAACCCAAAAGGCAGTCGGATGCCCCGCCGGCCTATCAATCATGATGTGTTCGTCACGCGCCATGAAGGTCTTTGACTCACGGCGGTCCAAGCCGCCGTCGTATTATGCGAATCTCGCCAAATGGCTACCGGTGATGCGGACATATGAGGCCAGGAGACTCGGCTACTTCGCTACCGTGTCGACACAGCTGATCCACGCGCTTCACACGGCGTTGACTACTATCTCGTCCTCTTCAGGAACGCTTTAACCAACACGCGCAGGCCTCGGCCAAAGTCAAACAGGCTGTGGGCGAGATGGGCCTGCAGCAGATAGCGCAAGATCCCGAGGATCAGGCCCACGCACTCACCGCCATGTACCTTCCTGAGGGTCTTGCACCGATAGACATACTCCCAAGACTCTTGCAACGAGGCGTAATACTCGCAGGCGGTCTGCACAAGGATCTCCTCACCAGATGCATTCGTTTCGGCCACATGGGCGTTTGTGTGACTCACGAGCAGCGCGACGACATCGATCGAGGGATCGCGGCTCTGAGAGTGGTGCTCGATGAAGTGATGCGTGAGAAGGGACAAGTTGGTGCTCACTCTTCATGAAAGGATAGTACAGAAGATTGAGAAGCTGAAGTTAGGCTTGCCCAGAAACCCCACGGATAAACTATTCTTCCGGTAGCCTGATCTCCTATGGTTATTCATCTAGAGTGCTGAGCAGGGTAGGCCAGTCCACAGGATCGACGAGCATGGTCTTCCCGATTGATCTTGCCATTGACTTGTCCGTTCGTCTGCTCACCACCTAGCGCGGACTCGAGCAGACGATTTGCATGTGACAAAGCTCCGTGCTTGGCGATGTGATTCGGCTTCCTCCGAGTCACCCCTTGCTGTTCAGCTGCACGTGATGACGGGCATTCAAGAGGTCGAAGATAATGGATAATGGCAGTAGTGTGTGGAAGATGCCGCCGACTCTCATGTGTGGACGTGAGGATTGTCTCCTCAACGACAATAGCTGCCTGAGGCACTCATCTCCCAGCCACCGCGGTCTCAGAAATACGCGCAGAATCCTTATCGATCAGATCTGCGGGCGCTAGTCTCGGGCGGTGGGGCACTGCCGAGTCAAATGGAAGCTCACAAAATTCAGACTCACAGCTTCTGCTTCACTCACTTTCATGTGCCGTATTGCTCACTTCACACGCCGCTATTCAATTGCAGCTGACCGCCAAGACTGACTCACCTTTACAGTAATACATCTTTTGACTTCCGACCTGCCATCTTCAACCAACATCAACAACATCCAACATGGCCGACGCTGCGGTTGAGACGCCGCAGACCGCCGGAGCGGCGCAAGACACCAAGCACACCGAATCCACCAATGCTTCCGACTCCAAGCCCACCGAGTCCACCACCAATGGCGCCAGTGAAGACGTGAAAGGCGGCAAGGCCACCAACGGCGACAAGGAAGCAGACGACGAGGATCAATTCGAGCGCTATGACACAGACAAGAAAGAGCGCCGTGGAGATCGTGAGGACTACCGCCACAAGGATCGCCGTGACCGCGGTGATCGCGATGACCACAAGCGCCGCGATTTCGACGACCGTGGTCGTGGACGGGGTCGTGGCCGCGGTGGAGGAGGCCGTGGCAGAGGCGGCCGTGGTGGTCGTGGAGGCTTCGACAACCGCAACAACCAGCGCAACGTCAAGACCCGATTCGAGCGCAAGGAAGAGAGCAACGATGCGACTGAGATCCGCCGCCAAATCGAGTTCTACTTCTCCGATTCCAACCTTCCTGTCGACAACTACCTGCTTCAAGAAGTTGGTGGTTCCGAGAACCGCCCATTCCCGTTGAAGACAATCCACCAGTTCAAGCGCATGCGCCACTACCAGCCATTCAGCGCCATTGTCGAAGCTGTCAAGGGCAGCTACATCCTCGAAGTCAACGACAAGGATGAGGTCTACCGCAAGAAGCCACTCCCTGAGCATTTCACTCTTGATGTTGTGAAGAACAACGAGCTTCTCACTACTGAGACCATGGCCCGCAGCATCTATGCTAAAGGATTCGGCGAAGAGGAGGCGGATACTGCATTCAAGATTGAGGAGTATGCGCCCTCCACCCTCCTCACTATCTGTCGTACTGACTTTCTGCAGATTCTTCGAGCCATATGGTGTGCGTGGTGTTCGCCTCCGCCGTGAGAAGGATGGCACTTTCAAGGGCTCCGTCTTTGTCGAGTTCGAGGACGAAGCAGCCGCGCAACAGTTCCTCGACATGGAGGAGAAGCCCAAGTTCAACGACAACGAGCTTGAAATCAAGAGCAAGAAGGAATACGTCGACCAGAAGTCCCAGGACATCCGCGATGGCAAAGTCAAGCCAAACAGCCCATCACGCCGCTTCTCCAACCACCGCAACGATCGTGGTAACTTCCGCGACAACCGCGATAAGGGCAGCTACAACAAGCGCAAGCGAAACTACGACGACGACGAGCAGGACAACGATGTCGATCGTGATGACTGGCGCGAGCGTCGCGACAGGTTCCAGAAGAAGGGCCGTCGCGAATCTCGTTCCCGCAGCCCATACCGCGCCGAGAAGAAGGCTGATGACGACAAGCCAGAGGAGAAGTCTGAAGAGAAGAAAGCTGACGATGAGAAGTCTGACGAGAAGAAGGCCGACGAGCAGAAGCCAGAGGAGCCCAAGGTCGAAGAGGCCAAGGTCGAGACTGCGGCATGATCGCAAAGCATCTACATCCCATCGAGCATGATTTCACTTTCGGTGAAGCACGGCGGCGGCGTTTTGGAGCGTGGCGTTCACAGGCACAAAAGTTCTTTTCTGGTTCAGCAAAGGATGGGGCAATCATGATGTCTTGTATCATACGACTACTACACGATCATAGGAGATTGAGCATCTGCATGCTTCTGGAGATTTCTAGAGGGTATCCCTAGAGAGTGGCATTCGATGCTGTTGTTACAGCAGCAGATAGCTACGAGATGTATTCCTTCAAATCAAGACGATGACTTCAAAACGACCGTCCCTCTCACTTTCACATTCCCTCTCACCCGCTCACACACCTCCTCATCCCTCAGAGAGTAAACTCACAACTAATCCCATGACTCCTCTTCCCACACCCCTCATCCTCCCCACTCAAATCCCTTTTCTGACCTGCAACAAAACAAAAGCATCAGCAAAACCCCCCCCCCAAACCCCTCATCAAACACATCTCCTCTAACAATGAAACCTACCATCATACTCCATCCTCGCCCCGTCGAGATTGCTCGAGTCCTCATCACACCCATTCCCGTTCGTCACGATGAGGGTGTGTTCCAGCTTCGTCTGGTCGTACGGGAATCGGACGGGCGGCCCTTCGTTGCAGGGGACGTTGAGGGGTGAGACGTCGGTGAAGTCGCCATTGGGGGAGGGGAGGCAGATGCGGATCTGGGGAGGTGTTAGAAGAGAGGAGAGGGAAGGGAAGGCCCGTGGGGATAGAATTGGGAAGAGGGAGGGAGGGATAGACAGACCCAAGGCTGTCCGTCGAGATTCTCGTCGCGGACGGAGGTATAGTGGACGACGAACTTCCCTGCGCGGGCGGGGAAGGCGTTTTGGTCTTCGTTGCAGGAGAAGAGGGCGGTGACGGTTATTGGGAGGAGGGGTAGGAAGATGGAATGATATTTCATGGCGCTTGTGGGAGTCTTGGTGTGGGAGAGTGAATGGACCTGTGATGGTCTGAAATGCTTGTACTGGTTCTGGCAGGAGATTTTTGTTGGTCTGGGATGCTTTGCATGCTCATGCCTGTTCTCATACATCTTCTGTATTCTCTGTCTCGGACATGCTAGCAGTGCGGTAAGAACGGCGCTCTTGTGCTGCTATTCTTTAGCCATCGCCGGGAGGCTTGCGTGACTCGAACTCGTCATGCAGGAGCGTGAAGGTGTTGCACATGAGAATCCTTCTCCAGATGAAGCTTGCGCGAGTAGTGCTTCTGTCGCAGAATGTCTTTCCTCGCACAATTTCCAGGTACTCAGCCTCTCCAGGCGGCGTTGGTTCAGCGCAAGATCATCGCGCCCCTTGCTCTCAGCCTCAGGTACGAATACGTTTGTGCGAGGCTCCGGCCCGTGGAATGTGCCACTGACGACTCTTGTTCGGATGCTAACGATCCCATCGATCCTTGCAACAGCGTGGAGTATTCCTGCCAGCTCCGAACGCAACGATTCCCTCAAGGCAATGATCCATATCCTGAATCACCTCCAGTCCGAGAACTGGTTGGCATGGAAGGCACACAAGCGCCAAGCACATCCTGCCATTGGAATGCAGAAGGTGCAGCCTGCGGCACCGTGGACTGCGAATCTGTAGACGGTCTCGGGACCGTGCTGAGAATACTGCCGGCGAATCTTCTCACCAGCCGCCAGACGGGAGACTCTGGTTGAGCATCTGCGCTTCTCGTGCGTACAAGAGCCTGCCAAACATTGCCGAGCACCATCTCGAGGTCCTGTTCTCGATCGCTTGGTTGCGAGAGGCGCTGTTCGAGGAGTTGCACCCGTTGTCGGAGAGTCTGAACCTCCGTGAAGAAGGTCTCGTCGATTTGTATGTTCGTCGGCAGTGGGGGAATGTCTTGGGCCTCTCCTGCAGATGCGCCATTCGTTTCTGTCATGATTGGTCCGGGTAGCGGCAATGCAGACTGTTGGGAACCAATGTTGTGATTGACCGGTTGCGTCAAAGTGTTATTGACATTTGTTTCGTTCCCAGACAAGTTTATCCGTTCGATAGAGTTATAGACAGTGTCGTCAGAAGTGGCATCGAGCGTTCCATCCTGGTTTGTGGTCAAATCGAACTCCATGGCGAGCTCGTTCCAGAAACCATCGAGGACCATTCCTTCGTTGGACATTGGGCCAGTGTCTTGTACCGTGTCTTGTGGCCAGAACATTGCCAGATCCGGCACCTGCAAAGTTGGGTACTGCAGCAAGAAAAGCTGCCGCCATTGTTGCTCAGAAGATAGAATGCATTCGCAGCCACCGTTTCTGGCAGAACCCGAAGGAAGGAACCTAGTACATCTCCTATTGCGACAAGACTTCAGGCAAGGGTTCTCGTGGGCGTGAAGATCTTGCGCTTCGCCATTTTCAAATTTGGTGTAGCACTTGGGGCAGGCGTAGAAGTCGTGGCGTCGTAAATGGCGTCTATCACAGGGCAAAATGTCAGCTCTAATGTTTTCGGAAGCACGGTTCAAGAATGACTTACAACAACTGCGAGATGTACTCATACTTCTTGTCATCGCTGTGATAGACTGCTGGCTCACCAGCATGAAAGATGCAGGGAAAGCGCTCTTTGTTCGTGATGTCGTCGTGGTGACCAGTTAATCTGCATCGTTTCGGACCAGAAGGTCTATCCTGACGGTCTCGATCGTCGGCCGGTTGACGTGGATCGTGGGAAGCTTTGCGCTTATGTGAAGATCCCCTACCGTTCGCCTGGTTGTACGGGCTTCGCTTTGTGTCCAAAGGTCCTGCTGCTGATGTTTGGCCGTTAGTAAGCTGGGAATTATCGACTGTTGCAAGAGCACTTCTACGTCCCCTCGGTGGCTCGCTGCGTGCTCTGGTATTAGGTCGAGGTGACAGAGAGCGGCCTGAGCGGTTGTATGGTGCGCCAGAATCGGACCGTATGCTTTGCGAGGGTGTGGGACTGGATAGTACATCTGCGCTTGGTGTCTCTGCAAAAACTTCAACCGCAGGCTGCCCAGACGCATCGACGTCGTTAGGTGCCGAGTCATTGCCCCGTATCTTCGCAAATGGCGGAGGAGTGCTATGGCTGCGATTCGAGTGCCGCTGAGAAATTATCCGGGGCGAACTTTCCGCGGACGCTCTCGGTTGGGTACGTCTGAGCAGGCTTTCTGTTCTTTGTTGTAGATCTGAAATGATGTATCGAAGGTCTGCGAGCCTCTGCATATTTAACGACCCAGGCTCAGCTCGGAGAGCAGATGAGTCGGCTGCGCCATTAGGCATGACATTGGAAGGATGTTTAGGTGAAGGAGCTTCAACATTGGCCAACGACTCCGGCTTTTCCTCGTCACAGCCCAGAAACACATATTCTTCCGCCATCATTGACTGCATCAGCGCATCATCGTGCGCATCATCGTGAACACTGTAATAGCCAGAATCAACTGAATGCATCGTCTCGAATAAACCCTCATCCGCCTCGATGACTTGCATCTCTTCGACTTTGGCTGTATGGAAATCCGTTTGCATATCTAGAAGGGTAGAGGTCTGCCGCAGGAGTGAAGAATCAGTGGCTGACGACAGAGAGGAAGCAGGTGCTGGCGGGCCCTGCTCTTGTTTCTCGACATGTAAAGCTGTTGTTGCTGCGACATCCTGTTGGATGGCAATCATTGGCTTTCCGTCCTCTGGCGCATGGGAGGGATCTTGTTGCTCGATCTTGTGGATCACACAGTCATCGAGATGCTCGTAGAACAGTTGAGCATTGTCGAAGGTATTGCCGCAGAGGGAGCAAATGCCTGGCTGCTGGTCCGAGAACGCCACAGACTGCTTGTTCGTGGTTGAGGATTTTCTGCGCGCATTTGGGGGAGTCTGCTCAACTCCATGAACAGATGTCAAATGTCGTTTGAACACGTCGGCACGGTTGAAAGACTTTTCCGCCGCAGATCCAATGCCGGGACAGAACCCACACACCATAGTGTCTTTGTAGTGTGTCAACGTATGACGATTCTTGTCATACTTGCGTGCAAATCCTTTAGTGTGGTACTCGCAGCCCGAGATGGGACACTTCTCTGGGCGTTCATTTTGATGAGTCAACATGTGTGTCTTTAGGTCTTTGACATGTCGGCCACATGTGGCGATCGAACAAAAGCCGTGATGTGAATCAACAGAAGCAGACGACTTGGATCCGCTCGCAATCGACGATGTGGGCGTAGGATAGAAGAATGGCGACGGCGCAGTTCCACTTGCGGGTCCACAGCTCGACGGTTGTGCTCGCTCAGATGGCCTTTGCCATTTGGTAAAACCTGGCGGAGCAGACTGCGGAGAAGGATAGTGGTTTCCAGTAGAATCATTATTCGCTGTCGTCCCGCGATAGTCAGACGGAACCCAAGAATCCACAGCATGTGGTGAGAACTTCGCAGCTGGAGGATCCACCAGGGTGTACTGGGCGCCGATATGTTCATCATAATTGGCGTATGAACCAAAGCCTTTATCGGCGTGCATTACCGTGGGACTTGCTGGAGCATGACTGCTGAGGTGGTGGGCCGGCATTGATGTCGTCTTATCCTTGCCGCAACCCCTGACCAATCTGTGCCGCTGGACTTATCATTAGCCAAACCAATGCAACCACTATTGAACAGTCGAACACACCTTGAGGGTGTCTTTGCGTGAGAAGCTCCTATGGCAGTGGCCGCACGGGAAAGGTTTAGGCGCAACATGGATACATTTATGGCGTTGGAGATCACGGTCGCACTTGAAGGCCCGCGAACATTGACCGCACGGGAATGGGCGGCTTCCACTCGATATTGATGGTTGCCATGATGTGTGGCCGGAGTTTTTCTCAAGGGAAGGATCGATGGGGGCTGGGCGCAAGGTTGGTATGCTGAATCGCATCAGGTCTTTGGGGGCCTCGAATGACCGTGGAGAGGCTGGTGGACCTCCTGGAGAGTATGGTGGATGTAGATCGTCAAGGAAGTACGGCCCAGAAGGTGGTTTTGGTGCGGTTGCGTGCCTCGATTCCGGCCTCTGGAGTCCGGATGAGCCGAAGGCCTGGCTGGTAGAGGGAGGCTCATAGAGAGGAAACCAAGACTTGAGCGGTGGCAATGTCAAGCCCCGATCTAGACTTGAAGAGTTCGTAGAGCTGGTGACGCCAGGGAGGTTCCACATGCCTTCATCATGCTCATTAGGATGATCGTCCTGGCCATCTGAAGATATGGCTTTAGGAACGCTAAAGCCTTGCGAAGACCAGCTGTTCGGAGGAGTTAACAAGCAGCCCACGCTATTCGCAGTCGTTGCGGTGGTGGTGGTCGCATGGTCTGCATTGAGCTGTAGCGGAGCCAGTATTCCATACTGTGGCTTCGAATCGAGCGTTGACGGTGGCAGCGAACAGTCTGAGAGAGATTGCCAGGCAGACGGATTGAACGGGGGGAGTTCAAATGCTGGCTGTCCCGCGTCTTGCGCTCTTCGTGTATCCATTTGGAGTCCCGCAGAAGGCGAGATACGCGGGGATGTCAATAAGGATGAGTTGCTATGAGCAGCGCGCTGAACAAGAACGCCCTCATCGTCGTAAAAACTGAGTCACCATGTCAAATCATGCAAGTCAGCAAGCGTGCAGTCTCCCATGTTGCGTAGGCCTTGCATCTGCAAATGAGCAGTGGATTGAGAGGCCGCCCGGACAGCTAAGCAATTGTCGCTTGCACAGCCTGCGCCACACCTCGAATCCATTGGTGCATATGCAGGAACTTGCATCAAGACTGCGTCTTGCCATTGGTCGTTCACGAGCTTTTCGGCTGCGTCGACACGGGAGTGGGAGTGTAAGCGAATTTCAAGCGAGCAAGTGCAGGCTTCTTGTTACAGCTTCCCATTGAGTCCTCCGTGTGCGCGATGTCCGTGCAACGCGATGCGCTTGGCTCGTTATACACTTGAAGTACAGTCAACTGATGTAGCTGAAAACTAAAGTGGCTTTCATTGTATTCGAGTAGAGACAAGAGATTGTCCAGAATGTGTTCAGACCACTGCGACATGTTTGGCTTTGGCAATTGCGGTGATGGACGGGTACATAAGAAGACTTGCGTCTTGATGATGAACTCGTCAGTCGACGTCCAGAGCAGGCATCATTGTGTCTTCCAAGCAACTTCCCGTTTCCATTACAATCGCAGCCGGTCGACCAGGACGCAGCGTCAGAACGGCAATGGCAGCGTCAGGTCAGTCTCGGTCCTCAACTCAAAAGCAGCCAGACCTGAGAAACAGTGCCGCTGCTACCGTTATCCACAACACTGCGACACCCAGCACAAAGAAGACGAGTCGAGATTACAGCCTGGGTACGCAGCCAGGTGCAAAGAGGTCAGGAGCAGATCTCGATTCAGAGATCGCCAGCATGTCCAGAGAGGACGCCGGGTTCTTCGGTATTGGTGGATGGATGCAAGACACCTCAAACTCCAGAGCAGCCACACCAGAGGAGTTTGATCGGTACGTCGACTCGATGACCAAGTCAAACAACGCTGCAGACCCAACGAGTCGGCTATCGCCGCATATGTCCTGGACGCCGTACATCCCGAAGACATGCACGTTAAGGACCCGGGAAATCGTGCAGCGCAAGAGATTGAAGGATGGGCCAGCGTCGATGGGCTAACGAGTCATATTGGAGGAAGGTCCTGGAAAGTCGTGGTCGTGGGATAGCGTTACGAAGACGCAACCTAGCTCTCGAAATGGATTTGGCAACAAGCCTGATGGTTATACAATTAGGAGTCGTCGCTCCAAATAATAAACCGGGAGGCAGTCTGGTCCTGTCGTCATGTCGTACAGTGTCTCTGCCATGGAAACTTCACTTTCCTCGCCCTCGCCCTCGACCTCGCCCTCGCCCAGCTCCTTTGCCTCTTGTAACTTTCGCTGACCGTCCTCTCCGCTTAGCAGGTGCACTCTCTTGATCTTCTTCTTCCTCCTCCTCTTCCTCCTCTTCATCGCTGTCGTCTTCTTCATCCTCATCCTCCTCATCTCCCTCGTCTTTCTCGGCCTCTTCCTCCTCTTCTTTCTCCTCCTCTTTATCTGCGACACTCTCGGTGTTTCTTGTACTCCTTCGCCTTGCACCAGCATCTGAAGCAGCAGCGCCCGCTTTTGAACCTCTACCACGCGGTCCACCCCTGCCTCTTTTCGAACTTGGCGTAGCAGCTTCGCTCGGTTCGATACTAAAGCTCGGTGTAAAACGTATAGGAGGCTGGTCCGCAAGGTTGAGCTCTGGCAGCTCAAAGTCGCTTTCCTCTCCTTTCTCCAACGGAAACCTCGCCTTCCACATCAGGTCATCGAACCCGTCCTCAGGTGGTAGAGAGAAGTCTTCATTCTCAATCTTGTTGGCCGCTAGACTGTATACCTCGGCTCCATCTTCCTCTGCCTCTTTCTGGGCTTCCTCCTCCTGCTCTTCCGAGGTCCATTCCGGCGATAGTTGTCGTGCATTCTCCCGCGCATCGAGTGCTGGGAGGTCATACAATGTGTTGAGCTTCGCCCATATGCCTGGTGGTTTCGTATGTTCGTTTCGAGGGTGGATGTAGTTGTTTTCCAGCATCCACGAATGCAGAGCCATTAGCCGGAAGTGCTTGTGGATTCCTGACTCATCGCATTAGCCTGTGTTCACCATCAGCGCCATTGACACGCTGTCTTCATCTCTTCAAGCCTACCTGTAGGCTTCCACCGCATAAGCCCCTTGAACAGGCCGATCTCCTCATCGTCGGTCCATGGGTCGTTGAGTATCTGCTCATCCGTCTTCTCTGTTGTCGCCGCTACTGGAGTGGCTGGCTCAGGGTCTGGCGTGGCAGCCTGGGACACTCGTGCCTTCTTCTTTGGGGGCATGGTGATGATGGCGTGTGTTGAATGAATGATTGCATTGATGCAAGAGGTGAGGTCCCAACAAGGTCTCTGGGAAGACGCGAACGGGGACGCGCCGCGGATCGATCCATTGGCGCTGTGGCGCGCGTCATGGTCCCCACTTCGAACGTTCTCCAGCCATGTGCATCAAACAGGTTTGGAGCTTGACAACCTGCCAACCTTGTACTCGAATGAGATATTCCTCCTGTGCTCTTCTTTCCACTCTCGACTCGATTTCTCCAATTCCCCCAAGCCAACCCTAGCCTACACTGGGCGATCGCGAGATGGTCAACTGGAGCAGGTATTAAAGAGCTCCAATGCCATGCCATGAATCCAACTGATCAGATTATACAGTGTCTTCGATTGGAAGCACCGCGACCGACGAGGCCTTCACGATGAGATCAGCGCCTTACTCCCGTCCCATCGTAACCCAGACACCGTCTCGGCCATCCCCGCGAGAGAAGTCACATTCGTAGCACTCCGCCTGAAGTACCAACTCGAACAAGTCATTCCCTGCGAGCTCCCCGAAGAGCGCGTCACGAAACCGCACAGCGATGTTATCAATCCCGCAGTCATCAAGACGGCCAAGTCAGCGGGCAAAGTCTCCGGTTCGGACGACGACCATGGCGCTTGTGTGATATACTGTCTTCTGATTGTGAAGCATTGGTTTAAGAGGCAGGCTATGCTCGAACTGTGGGACGCTGATCTACACGAGCTACGTGCCACTGCTTGTGAGGTGCTGGCGAAGCACATAATCGAAGACGAGGATGATCACAACTATCTCATGGAAGAGGTGCTGCTGAAACGCTATAGCATAGTGGTGAACGGCGAGGACACTAAGCCAGCCAATGCAGTCGAGAAAGCTGTGGACCTACATGCGGTGCGCATAATTGGCAGCTCAGGCTATCAAAAGTGCGTCAACCATCTCTGGAGAGGTTGGTTGGTGCAAGACGAGGACGACCCAAGCCGGTTCATCGACTACAAGCTGAAAACCTCGACCAACTACTGGGATCACTTTGACCCTGACCGAATGCGAGTACCGCAATACCAAAATGCCCTACAGGTTCTCATAAGTATCATATTCCTTGCACTCTACACAGGTGCGATCAACACTATCAACCCTGGCGGAGAGCTCGATGTGGTCGAAGGATTGCTCTACATCTTCACGGCCGGCTTCATCTGCGACGAGGCCAGCAAGTTCATCAAGATCGGACGATACTACTTTGGCTTCTGGAACATCTTCAATACGACGCTGTACACCCTGCTCGTCATATCCTTCGTGCTGCGCCTGATCGGTCTGGGTCATGAGTGGAAATCGGAGACACGGCTCCACTACAACACGCTGTCTTACAACTTCCTCGCCTTCAGTGCGCCGATGTTCTGGATGCGCCTCCTCCTGTACCTGGACGGTTTCCGATTTTTCGGTGCCATGCTGGTCGTGTTGAAAGTCATGATGAAAGAGTCTTTGATCTTCTTCGCGCTTCTCATTATCGTGCTCATTGGATTCTTCCAAGCGTTCATCGGCATGGACCAAGTCGACGAGAACATCACAGCCGCGCAATTCATCGTCAAAGCCATGCTCAGCGCCATCATGGGTGATCCTGACTTTGACTCATGGGGCAATTTCGCACCACCATTCGGCCTGATCCTCTACTACATCTACAACTTTGTCATCATCGTCATCCTGCTGAACGTGCTCATCGCATTGTACAATTCGGCGTACGAAGACATCTACGAAAACGCCATCGACGAGTTTCTGGCCCTCTTCGCGCAGAAGACGTTGCAATTCGTTCGGGCACCTGACGAGAATGTCTTTATCGCGCCATTCAATCTCATTGAGATATTCGGTCTCATCTTGCCGTTCGAGTGGTGGATGCCGAAAGCGAGATATGAACAGCTGAACGATCTCGTCATGGGTGTGATATACAGTCCTTTGCTGTGCGTCACTGCCCTACTCGAAACCAGAACAGCCCGCAAGGTACGCTGGAACCGTAGCCGCCATGAAGCTGATGACGATACTGTCGAGGAATGGGAACAACTCGAGGGCGAGCTGGATGTCGAAGGCACCGGATGGAGCAAGAGGGTGGAAGAAACCGCCCCTAACGTCATCTCGGATGCTGCGTTGACAGAATTGAAGGATCTCAAGGAGCAGATGAAGGAGCTCAAAAACATGGTTCGAGAAATGACACCACAAGCTGATGGCGCAGATGGTGGACGTGCCTAGGACCTGTCTCTCAGTACGTTGAACTGGCGAAAATTTGAAAGTGTTTGTACTTTGCCATGTCTATCAAGGGCGCTGATGGCGTGTATTTGGCGACTTGAATACGATAGCAGGTCCTACAGTCATGCCTGGCACTGTTGAAGATCTTGAGATTACATTCCAAAAAGTCCTCACTATGAAACTGCAGGTTCGTCAGAAGTGCAACTCTGTCGTGGCAGCTTCAGCAGGCGAATATCGTAGCAATCAACCAACCTCGGGTTACAATTTGCTCTTGCAAACAAAACTCCACAAATGTGCAACACAGTTCGGGTCCTTGTGCACTTGGCTGAAGTCACCTGGCGAAGATCACCACCCGAACGAGAAGGACGGTTCGCTAGGGTACGTGCCAAGTAGAGCACCTCCACCAACTCTCTTATCTCGAGAGCTTCGATTTGCTTGTCGAACTCGGCCACTAGAGATCTGCTCGCCTTTGTGGCTGCACTACATATAAGCCAAGACGCCCGAAGCATTACCTTGAACGACGCTCAACGGCTATAAAGCTTTTTGTGGAAGCTGGATCTCTACGCAATCGCCATATCAGGAAGGACCGAGGACGATGCATCGGTCCTACGGTAGTTTCCGACGACTACCCGGTGTAGATCTCGTGCTATCTAATGGTTTGCCGCGTAGCCAGACACCTTGTACATTTCTAGTGAGTGCTGATCGATGTGGCAGGAGTGAGTAGAAAAGGTGGTGAGGGCCCAGCCTTTTGAGGTTGGGTCTTTGCAACACAACAACAAAACCAAGCCTTGTTGTCACTACCGGTTTGCATCTTGGCAGCCATGAAGTCAATATCTTTCTTTTTGCTTAATCTGCCATTGGTACTCGCTGTGCCTTTGTCGAGCAGGACAGACTATGCCATCAAGAGCTCGCACATTGCTCCCCGTGAATGGACGAAGCTGAGCAGAGCAGACCTGGACCATCTCATCAGTCTTCGAATTGGTCTGAAGCAGAACCAATTCGACGAGTTAGAACGACACTTGTACGAAGTGAGCGATCCCAATCACTCTCGCTATGGCCAGCACCTGTCCTTGGAAGATGTGCAGGGTCTCAGCGCTCCGACTGAGCACAGCTGCGATTCCGTGCATGAATGGCTCGAGGGTCACGGCATCACCAGGGATCACGTCGAATACAGCCCTGCAAAGGACTGGTTCAAGATGACGCTGCCAGTCTGGCAAGTCGAGAAGCTTCTGGATACCGAATATCATCAATACGGCCACGAGAACGGCAAGCAGATTGTCCGAACTACTCAATATAGTCTACCAAAGTCGCTGCACAACCACATCGACGTCGTTCAGCCGACCAACTTCTTTGGAAACTGGAAACTCCACTCGACCGACTCGAGAATCGCCGACTTGTCGGTGCCTGTCGAGGAGGCTTCCGTGCAAAGCTCTTCCTCGTCTGCCGCCGCAGCTGCAGCGCCAGCGTCTTGTGTGACGGGCTCACAAGCCGTGTCGCTCCAATGTCTTCGCGACTTCTACAGAACCAGCAACTACACCCCTCAGGTGCCAAAGAAGAACTATGTTGGCACCACGAACTACTTGGGCCAAGTGCCTTCCGTTGTCGACTTCAAGGCCTTCATGACCACCAACCGGCCAGATGCCAACCCGACATATCAGTTCACCACGCAGCTGATCGCCAACGCTTCTAACAATCAAGCCAGTCCCGGTGTCGAGGCAGATTTAGACGTCGAGATGGTAGGAGGCTTTGCTGTCCCAGTAAGTTGATCATCGTGATACAAAGTCAACGAAAGGCTGACGATCTGTTAGACCAACTTCACGACGTACAGCACGGGTGGATCGCCGCCCTTCAACCCAGATCAAAACACCCCAACGAATACCAATGAGCCTTATCTGACCTGGTTGGACTACGTCCTTGGGCAGAAGAGCGTTCCATACGTGATCACTACCTCGTATGGTGACGATGAGCAGACAGTTCCACTCGACTATGCTCAACGAGTCTGCTCAGAACTTGCTCAACTTGGCGCTCGTGGTATCACGCTCCTTTTTAGCAGTGGTGATAGTGGAGTGGGTGCGAACGGAACTTGCGTCTCGAACGACGGAACCAACAAGCAGCAATTCTTGCCAGGTACACTTCTATATCCTGCGACGAAATGAAGTTCCACTGACGTTAGGCAGCTTTCCCGGCTTCGTGTCCTTATGTCACCACTGTTGGCGGAACGCGAGACTTTGCTCCAGAGCAGGTGGCATTTGACACTGGCAATGGCTACGTTGCTGGAAGCGGTTTCTCCAACTACTTTGCCCGCCCTGACTATCAGGTAAAATCAAAACACATTCAGTATAGTTTGATTATCGTACTGACTCTTCCTTTAGCAAGCTGCCGTCTCAGCATACTTGACGACTCTCGGAACCAAGAACCAGGGCCTGTACAACACGACCGGTCGTGCGTATCCAGATATCTCCGCTCAGAGCTACCGTTTCCTCGTCAACTACATGGCTGCCCCGACACCCGTCGATGGGACCAGTGTTGCTAGCCCATTGGCGGCAGGCAGTAAGCCAATCGACCCATACCTTTTCACGCGAAAAGACGCTAATTCTGAGCAACAGTCCTCACACTTATTAACGACGCCCTGATCGCCAAGGGCAAGCCTACTCTTGGTTTCCTCAACCCGCGACTTTACTCCACCAACGGAGCTGGTTTCAACGACATCGTCACTGGCAGTAGCACTGGATGCGATACGTAAGTTGTCCCTCTCTTGGGTTGCGATTCTCTCACTGATGTGGCTCTCTGTAGTGCTGGATTCCCTGCTGGAAAGGGATGGGATGTCGCTTCTGGGTTCGGAACGCCGGACTTTGTTAATATCAGAGCTTCGCTGGGCGTTTAGATGAAAGCAGATGTGTGAACGAGTTGGATGAATAACGAAAAGTGTTCTATCATTGTCTGCTAGTTACGTTGATCTAGTAGTAGAGCATACGATACCAAGAGGACGCTATCGAAAACTAAGACCAAGGCTTCGTGCTGGTCTGGTTCCTTTTTAGCCGTCTAGTCCAGACCTACACAATGTCCCCTTTCACATGCCATTCGTCAACGCCTTATTTGAATGGGCAGTATGTACCGGCTATACGCCGGGAATCCTTCGGTTGGGCAAAACAAGAAGCCGGAGCCAGATGACGGAAAGCGAAACGCAACCGACTTCAGCTTTCTCAAACACCACGATACACGAACACTCTCAATTGTTCCCTCTATTCCATGGTCCCTATCGACGGATTTGTCTGCTGCGATGGCTGAACCGCCATTTCTTGTGCCATGTGGCAAATTTGCAATACACAACGGCTGACGGGTGACTTATCGGCCCCAACACGCCGAAATAGCAACACTGCGTCGGTGGCCGACATACAAAGCCGCCAGCATGCCCCCGGTTTTCTTGACGGACTTCTTGATGATGACGATTACTAGGACCTATGCAACGTGATATCATCCCATGGTCGAATTATCCCGAATCTAGACCCAAGCCTCTGACGTACCGGATTATGGTTCAATAAAGGAGGTCCTTTCGACCAAACACATCGTCGACTTCCTGGGTTTTCGCTGGGTTTTCATTCAACATGGACGAGAAGTCGATTCTGCGGAATTCGGGCGTGCGAATCGTGGAAGTTGGCCCCCGAGATGGATTGCAAAATATCAAGTCGGCGATCCCGACGTTAACGAAGGTGGAGCTTGTCTCGAGGCTGAGGAATACGGGACTGAAATCGATCGAGTTGACATCTATGGTGTCTCCACGAGCGGTGCCACAACTTGCCGATGGTCGACAATTGCTGGCCGATCGCGAGATTCAGGGGTTTCTCCAGGACGAGGAAGTCCGTCATCCAGTGCTGGTACCGAATATGAGAGGACTTGAGAGAGCGATGGAGCTTGGAGTCGGAGAGGTTGCGGTCTTTGTGAGTGCGAGCGAGGGCTTCAGTCGCACGAATATCAATTGCTCGGTTAATGAAGGTCTCTCCCGCTCGCGACAGGTTGCTCAAAAGGCACTTGAAGCTGGGTTGTCTGTTCGCGGCTACGTGAGCTGTATCTTCGCCTGCCCATTCGATGGACCGACTTCGCATGAGACAGTGGCTAGAGTTGTGAAAGACTTGCTGGATATGGGATGTTACGAAGTCAGTCTTGGAGATACCTTGGGAGTTGGGAGTGCCGTTGACGTGAAGTCTTTGTTGGGCCATCTGCAACGCTCAGGGGTTCCCATTGACCGACTCGCTGGCCACTTCCACGACACGTATGGCCAAGCCGTGAGCAACGTCTGGGCGGCGTATGAGTGTGGCGTGAGGGTCTTCGACAGCAGTGTTGCTGGTCTTGGCGGCTGTCCTTACTGTCCCGGCGCCAAAGGAAATGCAGCGACCGAAGACGTGGTGTTCCTGTTCGACAGAGCCGGAATCGAGACCGGCGTAGACCTGGACCAGCTCGCAATCGTCGGAGCCTGGATATCTGCCGAGCTCTCGATGGCCAATGGAAGCCGCGCAGGCGCAGCCCTTGCTGCGAGACAAGGTTTCCGAGAGCAACCACGCTCGCATAAGGAATCATTCGGAAAGCTCGAGCAGGAGGAGGTCATGTCAAAGGCTCAAAAGGACGGCTCCAGACTCTTTCAAGCTGGGGTCAGTCTACGGGCTCTGTGGCAGGTATGCCATCTTCTCTGGCGGTCAAGGCATAAACTGGCGCTGCCGCTGGGTCTTTGAATTGTAGTTGCTGCTCCCTGCGACTTGTCAAAGGCCATGATAGCCTTGCTGAAGATGGATGTCCATCACAATTGCTTGAAGCCTCTGGAGTGACCTGGCGCTTCCTCCATCGATCAGTCCTGTGCGGCACCTAGGACTTCACCAGCCATAGCATTGCGACCAGCTGCCGATCGCTCGGGCATTGGACCTGCCACAAGATTGTTGTCTTAGCCTACGATCGATTTGAATCTATGGATAGTGCACGAGCATCACTTTGGGCCTACTATCGCCAAAGATCTGACGACCATGCTGCTTCGCACTGATTTTGCAGCCTCGATCGCGTTGATCAGACGGAACCAAGAAGCATCGACGACCTTCGCCAGGGCAAAGCACGAGAACCATCGACTCCATCTGCAGGACAGTAGCGGCTGGGACGCTTGAAGCAACCCGGACCGCATCCGGCTATTGGAGAGTCTCCCCTCTCTACGGACGACTTCAATTTCACCACGGTGGTAGTTAAGTACGGACTTACAATGGCAAGCCCTTCTTTACATTCGGATGAACTCGCAGCAACTGAGTGTACTTTCGAGTCGCTCTAGGCAACAGCTTCGGGAGATTCGATTGCTAACTGGCTGCAGCTGAGCATAGGATGTTTGAGCTGATACTGAGAGGCTGAAGGGTAAGAGTAGAGGGTTTCTCTACAGCAAGACCGAGGGTGTAATAGGCCCCGACTCACGTTGCAATACCGATGTGAACCTATCTATATGGTCTATGCACTCAGCCGTCTACATCCTCCATTGCGCGCCACTTCCACTGCCTGCTTTATGCTTCTGTGGACTGGGTTAGCCTGGGTATCGACCGATATCCAAGCGTCCGGCAAATAAAGTGGTCTTAAGAGACGCACCATGCTGTGATCAATGCCCGTTGCTCAAAGTTCCATTGGAGACTCCATGAGCCAAGGGCTCGGTATGTGAAGCCATCCAACTGCGATACATTCCGTCGAAGATCTGTAGATCCTGGATCGCATCGCTCAAAGACGTCTTGATCTCTCCGTCTTGCGTGAGGCACTGGTGCAAGTCCAGCAGCTCGGAGGTATATGCGTCTTCATACGAGCCCAACATCTCCCTCGTCTGCATTTCCCCGGCTTCATTGAGCTCCTGCACAACGACTTTGATCGGAAGTCCTTTGACGTACGGCGAATCGTACTTGATCGTGACCCGTTTCTTCTCTCCGTACACGGCCAGATGTGCGTCAAATTCCGGCACGGCGTCGATGCCAGATTCGTACGTCACGGCGAAGGGCTCCCGGCCTCCGGTCCGATTGTGGTAGTTGAAGATGGCGGAGTAGAAAGGGCTGTTGACAGAAACACCGCCGACAGAGTCTGGCGTCCCAAGTGCCTCTCTCATGAGCGAGATGTCGTGGGATCCAAGGCTTCCGAGGAAGCGGCAGTACTTGACGTGTTGGTTGGTCAGTGAACCAGTGTGATCTGGGAAGGCTTCGCGATACAGCAAATCCAGCTTCTGCGAGCGGGCTTTGCTAGCATCAGCCGGGAAGTCCGTGTTCCTGACCGCAAACGTGCCCGACTCGTCGACAAATTTGGAGTTGGGCCCGCTGAAGTCCCTAGATCTTGCGTAGAGAATGCGAGGGATGCTCGCCACCTCGCGCTTGAAGGTCTGTGTAAACGATTTGGCGTATCGGCGCATGTAGCCCACAAAGACACGGGGTCCTCCTGCAGCGGCTTCAACAGCAGCAATTCGCCTGGCGGAATCGACGGACAGCGTGAGCGGTTTCTCGACCATGGCGTGCTTGCCCGCTCGGAGGGCCGCGATGGCATATTCTTCGTGGAACTCGTCGGACGTAAGAACGAAAACGACATCGACGTCCGGGCTCTGGAAGATGTCTCGCGGGTTTGTAGTTGCCAGTGGAATATGAAACTTGGCTGCCGTATGAGCGACATTCTGGAGAGTCTGGGTCAGAACTAATATGCTTAAGCGTGGACGGTGGCTTCCTTGGGTATATTCACCTTTGCGGAAATGTCACATATTGCCGTGACCACGTACAAATGGCTCAGCAATCCCAAGACCGGCAGATGGCAGACCTGTGCCACTTCGCCAGCGCCGAGAATGCCCACGCGGAGCTTGGTAGCCATCTTAGTTGAAATCGGCGGGAACTTTGGACGGGTGAGGTTCAAAGTTGGGCGTGTGTTATTCGAAATGGCGGTGCAACAAACTTATTATGTGCGAGCACCCACAACGATTGCTTACCAGCTGCGTGCTCGAATGGGTGGTCCTACAGGCGCAGCTACTAGGCCGCATATTTTGAGAAGAAGAAAGTGTGTGCAAGCTTGATGCAAACGTGGCGGTAGCCAGCCCCTGACAGAAGCCGACATCCCCAGCCGAAGACGCTGTCGGAAATTCTGCGGGTAGTTGCCTCTTTAGGCAATTCCTGGCCGACATAGGCGAATCGACTCCGACTCGACGACGCCCGACGGCGTGAAGCGACTTGTCTTTGATCTGCGAGTCTGGTAGCAGACGTCCGGGCCATTATCGCTGGTCGTCTGAAGGAAATGGAGCTATTCCTTGATATGATAGTGACCTATACATCTTGTGCCATCCATCTCAGAAGTCGGCGACATCATGTCGAATGACAACATCAAGGTAGCGGTCGTTGGCTACGGGCTGTCAGCCAAACTTTTCCACATCCCATTCATCCGTGCCCACAGCAGATTCAAGTTTGAGGCACTGGTCGATCGACGAGCGACCTCTCCATCATCAGCTACAACCCCAGAGTTGAATGGTGTCAATATCTTCAGTTCTCTCAGCGAGTTGCTTGAGAATGGAGAATTTGACGTTGCTGTGCTGTGTACACCCCCGTGGACGCACTACGAGCTTGCCGTGCCTTTGATTACGAGTGGAAAACATGGCAAGTATTGCTTCATCCTGGCGAGAATGTGGCACTGCTGACGCTCAAGAAGTGGTTTTGGAGAAACCTGCAACACCGACAGCAGAGGAGGCAAAAGAGTTGCAAAGACTGGCCGCGAAGCATCAAGTCCGCTTGGCCGTTTACCAGAGTAAGTATGGACACCAGCGAGCATGAGCCTGGCAATCTGGCTTATAATCCCCCGATAGATCGACGCTGGGATAACGATTTCCTCACGGTTCGCGAACTCATCAAGCAAGGCACTCTAGGAGCCATCGTTGAGTTCGAGACACACTTCGACCGCTTCTGCCCCGACGTCGCACCGGGTTCGATCGCGGAGTCCAAACCGGGCACAGGAATCGTATATGATCTCGGCGTGCACCTCATTGATCAAGTGTACTGCTTATGGGGCATGCCTGATCGAGTCACCGCGTTTGTAGACCATTTGCGGGATCCAAGAACGCAGGACATGTGCACTCTGTTGCTGCACTTCTCCAAGAGATTGGTGACGATCAAGGCAACAACACATAGCGCGGAGCAGGTGCAGCTGCGGTTTTGGCTCAGAGGTGACAAAGGAAGCTTCAAAAAGGTACGCATTCTGTGCAAGGTTGTGAACCATACAACGGCTGAGTCCAGTCCAGTACCATCTTGATATCCAGGAGCCACAGCTGGCTGAGGGTAAGAAGCCTACAGATCCAGAATTCGGCGTCGAGCCCGAAGACCGTTGTGGTAGGTGCAAGTTGTCGAGACTCGGTCCTTTCGTAAGTTGCACAGTCTTTGCTGATCGTTTTGTTGCCAGGCATCTTGACCTTAATCGAGAACGGGCACCTGGTCGCGACACATGTCCCAAATGTGCCGCCCCAGACATACTCTGCTTTCTACGACCAACTTGCGCAAGCCCTTCAGGGGCATGACGCTCCTGAACTCCCCACGATGGAACAAGCGATGGAGGTCTTACGTCTGGTCGAGATGTGCTTGAAGTCTGTTGAGGCAAGAAGAACGATGGAATGTCGATAGTTACGGAATTTACCATGTCTGGTTTTCAATAGACACTGTAAATACCTTGAGCCAAGTCGGTCTCAAAATCGAGGCCCAGCGCCGCCCAAAATTGCGATGCCTCGTCCAGGTTGTCAACCCCGCCTTCGTAGATGGTTCCAGAGCTGGATAAGTTTTCCGGCAATGTGAATGGCAATGAGGGCATGGTAGCGATGTCCTGCGAGTTCGGCTGCTCACGAGCGCTCCGGTCGTATATCATGGCCTCTCCTTCGATGTTGACACCTTTGGTCTTTTGTTTCTCATGTAGGCGATCGGCGATGTGCAACAGCGCCTCGGCCAGTTTATGTTTTGCAGCGGCTGCCCACCAGGTTTCCCCGATATCATGGAGAAGGTGGACTATCATCTCGAAAGATCTTCGTGTAGCCGCTGTTTCGCTTCCAGTCTGCGGCGAGCTGAGGTCATACCAGAAGATAAGCAGGACGTTAACGATTGCGTATACCGTGAACGGCCACGTGCAGCATTTATGTCCCGTGAACTGCAGCGACTGAAGAGCGCCTACCGTCTCTGTCGCCCATGCACGGCAGTGCTCGCGAGATGTGTAGCACGCCAGTCCACCGCTGATCTGGCACATGCTCGTCTCCCGATGCAGTAAGAATGGTCTATGCACGAGAATCCGTACTGCGTTGATACTGGCGCAGAGTCAGTCAAGCATGTTGCGATAGGCATTCATTCGATCACACTTACTGGGTGCGAAAGATAATGCACTGCTCTGAGTAGGGATCCAGCAGCAATGCTCGTTCATCGAGCTGAGCTAGCTGTCGTGTTATGTGATCGCGCTGCATCTCCCCGGCCCTGGTGAATATGGTGTCACGCCGGACGCTAGGAGAGTACAACCAGCGCACAGAGTCGTTAATGATCAACGCCAAATCACAGTTCAGAAGGGCCGCGTCTCGAACGGCCTCGTCATCTACAAAGTCCTCGGCTACAAGCGGCGGCACATCGCAGTCTAACTCGTTGATCAGGAAAGAAGTCCCCTCCATGGCGGCATTCATTCGGTCCATTGCAAAGATTGACCACCACATGCGTTTCTGTAACCGAGTCGTCGGGTTACTCACACATACTTCGTCCCGACGGTGGAGGCCCATTTCCTGGGCTATGCGGACTGAGATTGCCAATGCGTCAAGAGACGAGTTCACGCCTTCCCGGCCCTCCCAATGCAGACTGGCCAGGATCGAGGCTTGAAGCACAGCGAGGCGTTGGGATCCCACGTCGACGTCAACTAGCGCTCGAAGCCTATGGTAGAGGATGTCGCAGATGCTTCGCACGTCATCGCCCTCGTCTTTTGAGACCAATGTCTCATCTGCGAATCATTAGCCTCGATCTTGAGCCCCGGAAAACGTACTGACCAAATGATTTGTCGCAATATCGGGCGGCGGCAAGGAAAACAGCCAAAATGCGCACCAATGGTGGTGGTTCGCCATGCCCAAAAAAGCGAGAAAGAAACTCGGCTCGATCGATGACAGGCAAGTACGGGTGAACATGTGTAAAGTATACGTCTAACAGCTGGCCGCTGTGCGATGGCCTGGGTGACCTAAAGCACCCCAGAGCGTCGAGGTACTGCAACTTCGCTGGGGATAAATCAATGCTCGTGTAGTGCGTCTTCCAGTCCCAGCCACTGCCTGTTGGCAATCGACAAATGCTCAACCTCTGGGAGTCAGATGGATCGGGGGCCCGGAAAGAACACAAATTGGTGATGATCTAGCGTTGGAGATTCAGTCTAAGCACGGTCGATCCGGATCGAGACTCCAACACGTCTTACTTACCTTATGCTTCAACTCGCGACGGAGCAAAGCAGAGAGCGGATTGGTATCTCCAATGAGCTTAGACGACACCGGCCTCCGCTTTGGGCGTTCGGGAGACAGGTCCTCGTCCCGCAGGACGTCAAGCATAGTCGAGTAGCGCAGCTCATCTCTCGCACGCTTTGGACCCCGCGGGCTGGGTTCTTGATGTGCAACGCTAGCTGGAGTGGCAACCAGGCTGGCCGAAGGAAGCGGCGCAGCAGACAATATGTGCGGCGGCGATGGCGGCGGTTCAAGTGAACATGGGCGACGGTCCTGGGTGCAGCGCTCGCATCGGTTGTGATCGCTGACGGTAACGCATCGCTTCTGCAGGCCGCGTCAGGTCACTGTTGTGGATGTGGTAGTACGACAGCAGCTGGGTGTGGCAGACCTTGTCCCTTTGGCAGCGCACACAGGCACGTGTCGTCTTCCGCCGTTTGGCTGCGAGGCCGCAGTCAGGGGGCGGCGTGAACCTTAACACAGAGCGCATGGCGTACGCATAGTATGCAGTGCGGACTCTGAGGCAAGGAATAAAGTGCGGGTCGGTCGGTTGACCGCTGCATGTATGTATTCCTCGATGGAAGGTGAGGTGGCAGGAAGCTCAACAGTGAAAAGCAGGGTGTAACAGCCTGATCTCCTCCCGTCCTGGTGCGGGGACGAGCGAATTCGGAAGGTTTACCCGCGGCTAAATGCACCCCCCCCCCCCCCCCAAAAACCAAACACACTCATTTCATAGAGGTCAACGACGGTGGCTGGGGAGCACGTTATTATATTGCTACACATGTAGATTGCGATTTGTTCTGAGGATTCAATGAAGATTCAACCACGATGAAGCTCAAGAGGCGTGATGAATTTGGTGAGACGGCCTTTGGCTAAGCAGTGCTTCTTCTGTTCTACTTGATCACAAGGTAAAATTGCCAGTCAGGCGAATGTCGCTCGACGAGGCACCGACTTGCACACCGAACAGCCCCTGCGGCGTGGTCCAAGTCTGAGCGACTGTGTCCCAGTAGCTAATGTCTTTGCGAGTGAGGTACAAGTGGACAGTCTGAGTCTCCCCGTCACGAATTTTGACATTGTCGAACCCACGGAGCACCTTGGTGGGGTTTTGTGCGACTGCTGGCATCTGCAGATACAACTGAGGCACCTCATTGCCGTCATAAGGACCGTCGTTGTGGATCGCGAGGATAACTACGACCGCAACGTTGTACAGCCTTGCATCCCCTCCGGGCGCATCTGCGACGTAGTTGATTGGTGTCTGGATGGCTGCACTGATGTCCCACTGCTTGTGGATCTCCAAGGCGCTGTAAGTGAATGTCGAATACGAAAGGCCGTGTCCGAACCAGAATCGCGGGCTGAGTCCGTTCTTTTCGAATCCTCGATAGTCGATGGACACGCCTTCGGTGTAGTTGAGCTGCGGGAATGGGTACGGCTCCTTGACTATCTGTGCCTGTGCATAGTCGGATGCATTGCGGGCGATAGTGTAGACGAGTCTACCGGAAGGGTTGACGTTGCCGTACAGAATATCCACCAAGGCAGCACCCAACTCTTGCCCGGCCAGGTTGGCCCACACTACAGCAGTAACGTTTGGATGATCGACCCACGCCTGCCGAAGAATGTCAATATGGCAACATGAAGTGAGCGTGTAGGTCACTGACCTCCATATCGACGGGTCCGACAGACTGGACCACGACGATGGTGTTGTCGCAATTGTCAGCAACCGTCTTGATCAAATTGTCGCCGTCATGTGTTAGTTTCAAGTCAGGCCGGTCGTAACGTTCTCCACTGAACGAAGAGACCACTGGCAAGCAAACTGTACCGCGACGGGCGATGGCCGCCGCGAAGGTGAGGTTGAGACTTGTTGTCCAATCCACCGACGTCAAATCCTGCCTGGCCCTCTGAGTCAATGCGCTTATAGGGTCGACCAAGCGTGGATCTATCAATATCAGTGGGGTCTCTCAAAAGCTTCGGAGGCATTGGTGAGCCATACAAAAGGTAGTTCCAGACCCGCCGCCTTCTGCAAGTGTGCCCTGCGTGAAACCTATGACCAGCGTATCGGTGCCGAAGGCATCTTGTAGAGATTGCTCGCGCGAATCGCCGCCGTTACCGTAACCATATTGATTTGGGCCATAGCTACATGATGAAAGCATATGTTAATTGAGGTGTACTGTGGCATTTGGATTGACGACTCACGGATTCTGTCCTGCCGCAGGACCAAAGAGGCTTATAGTTGTGGGTTTGACCAATGGTAAGCCCTTCCTGCCTGGTGTGTTCTTCAACAGCACAGTCCCAGCAGCAGCGACTTCCTGTGCGATTGTCTGGTGGTTGTGGCGCTGTGCATCGACAATAGTTTGTCGTGGATCATCATTTACGTTAATCTGGGGGTAGTTTCTGTCTTGCCCCAAGAGGAAGTAGGGTGTCAAGATTCGCAAAGCAGCGTCAGTCAGTCGCCATTCAGGTACAGACCCATTCTTCACGGCCATTGTGTAATTTTCTCCATAGTGGGACCAGAAGCCTGAACCTTCACCTAAGGACAGAAATCCAGGCATGTCTTGATCTGTGCCCGACATGATTCCCTTAACGGTGTAGTCAAGGGCAATCCAGTCAGTCTGTGTATAGCCTTGGAAGCCAAGGTGCGTTTTGAGGATGTCGTTCTGGAGATAAGCATTTGCCGATGCCTGCGTATTGTTCAAGGACGGGTAGCTTGTCATAACGCATGCCGCTCCAGCCCTGACTGCCTCTGCGTACGGCCACACTAGAATCTCGTGCAGAGTCTTCGAGTCCATGTTGCTTGAGTACCAGTTGCGCGCATACTGCTGGCCTTCATATCCCAAGAACTGCTTCGGCTCAGCTTGTACGCCAGCCCCTTGATGTCCAATGACTGTTTCGTAGCCCGCAACTCCGATCAGGTATGGTTCGGCTCCAAACCCTTCAAAGTTCGTTCCACCAACTATCGTTCGAGCCAGTGCCAGGACAGGGCCGAGGACGGAATGAACTCCTTTGGCTCTTAATTCGGTAGCTATAGCAAATGCTCGTGCACGGATGAGCTCCCTGTTCCATGTCGATGCAGCAGTCACGCCGGGGGGGAACCCGGTACCATAGCTATGACTGTTTCCTATGCCAGTATCACTGTCCAAATAGCACAGGCCTGAAAAGTTCAGTCGAGGAATTGGACTAACACCTCCCTGACAATGCCGGGTGAGGTCAAGATTGTTTGGGCCAGGGCTTGACAGTGAGTGGTAATATTAGCATCATCCTGAGCTTCCGCGCCGAGATATCTACACGGAATTGGACTTACGGATAGCCATTCCCAGTGCATAGGCCCACCTTTTCCTCGATTGTCAGCTGCGAGACAAACCGTTTTGCTCTAGCAAAGGCGAACTCCCAACCGCTTCCTGTCGCATTGGGTGGTGAGTACGAGTATGAGGTGACAGGCTCGCGCGGGTAGTACGGGTCGTCAGAGATAGAGACGTTCTGCGGTTGGTAGATATCCTTACCAAGCGCAAGAGCCGGAAACACCAGGCAAAACGTGCGCAAATGCATATTTGGAGAAAGCTATAGCGCTGCTACAACTGACTGGACGTGAATGAAAGGGTGTCACTTCTCAATTAAAAGTGGCTCGGCCCAATAAATACTGAGTTGACAAGAACCAAGCGTTGGCATCATCAGGGCCCGATGACATTCAAGTTGTAGACATTATGCGGGGCTATTCCCTGGAGAGTCATGGGGAGACAGTTCCTCGTTGCTCTTCCCCGCGTTCGATCTGCTTTTCTTCGTGCCGAAGTCTGCGGATCAGCCTGGGTGAGCTGACGTCGGAGTACTCAGTTGCCATTTGACATGCTCCGACGATTGTACAGGGAGTGCTGTGCACCTCTGTAGCCTCAGAAGCGCTCCGCTACTGGCGACATCCTCGAATCAGATAAGACGGCTGGCCAAAGCAGGAGGCCGAGTGGGGACTGTGGAGATGTGTCAGTGCCCTGAAGACCTGTGTCGGGGCTTGGTGAGGCTCCGATTCAGAAGTCTGAAAATGGCAGAGAAAAGCCGACTTGAGTACGTTTCGAGTAAGAGGCATCCGACACGGTGTCCAATTTCTTCCGCAAACGACGTCGTCGCGCCTCTAACCCCTCAAACCGAACCATGTACTGTGGAGACGACATATGGGATGCGGAGACTCCATCTTCTAGAGATGTTGGTTAGCCTTGTTCCACACCTTCGCATATAATTCTAGTGTGTCACCCAGACGAAAGTTCTGCGTTGTGTTCTAAAGCAAACCCTTTCACTCAACCGACAATCCTTACCTTAAGATTTATCAATCATGGTTTCGCTGGGAGCAGCTGCGCAAAGGCGAGCGGAGCTCAGTGGGAAGACAGGTGTCAGCGCGCTGGCATCCAACAAGTCGGCAGTGGGAATAGCCATCTTCGCATCGTCAGCATTCACTCCCCACTCTGCAGGACTGCCTGCTCTCAATGCCATGTTGGCTGACTTCTCAATGTGTAGATTCGGTGGTATTCTCTATGGCTACCAGCAAGGCGTGCTGGGCCAAGCTCTCGTCATGCCGTCCTTCATTGAACAGTTCCCGGGAATCCATGCATCGTCGTCCCAGACCGGATGGCTCACTTCTATCCTGCAGCTCGGAGGTTGGGCGGGAGCCCTCTCGTCTGGCGTGCTCTGCGAGGTCTTCAGTCGCAAACATACCATTTTCGTTGGCGCTCTCTGGTGCGTGCTCGGCAGCTATCTTTGTGCGGGCGCCATGACATCGGACTACTTGTTTGCAGGCCGGTTCTTTACCGGCATTGGGGTGGGCACTCTGAGTGCAGTTGGGTACGTTCTGCACGACAATCATCAGAGCGAGAACCCTGCTTTGTGTCTAGCTCGTGCTGACATTTCTAAGTCCCCTGTATAACGCCGAGCTTGCTCCCCCTGAAGTTCGAGGATTCCTAGTCGCCATGCAACAGCTATGCATCACTATTGGCATATTTCTCGCATACTGGATCGCGTATGGCACGAATAATAGCGGCGGTACCGGTGAAGGGCAGTCACCCATGGCTTGGCGCGTGCCTTTGATTATTCAAGGCGTACCGGCTGTTATTCTCTGCGTTGGAGTATGGTGTATGTTCAAGGGCCAAACTCACGTTGAATCACGAAATCTGGCTTACACGCGACTTAGTCCTACCATTTAGCCCTAGACTTCTGATGAACAAAGGACGCGAAGACGAAGCGCTGGCAACTCTTTCACGTTTGCGTGCCTTACCCCGGGACCACGAGCTCGTCCAAGTAGAACTCCACGAAATCAAGGCAGAGGTAGAATTCGAGCGCCAGGCCTTTGCAAAGCGGTTCCCGAACATCCAACGGAATAGTGTTTGGCGTAACGAATTAGCACAATATACAAACATCTTCCAGACCAAGGACTCTTCCAAACGGGTAGCTATTGGAGGATTGGTGATGTTTTTCCAGCAGTGGTCAGGCATTGACTCTAGTAAGTGTCATTCCGCGGGCTGCTCTTCTCCCATGGCATCTATTCACTGCTTTGTGCAACAGGCTAACGATACCACTACGATCTTCAGTCATCTACTACGCGCCTGTCGTGTTCCAATCGCTTGGACTTGGTGAGGGCACCATAAGCTTGCTCGCCACCGGAATCGTTGGAGTCATCAACGTCGCCGTCACTATACCTGCTATTATGATCATCGATAAAGTAGGCAGGAAGCCACTGCTGTTGTTTGGCAGTACCGGGATGTTCATCAGCCAGGTCGTCGTGGGCGTCATAGTCGCGACGTGCTCTAACGATTGGGCCGCCCATCGAGCAGCTGGTTGGGGAGCGGTCGCATTGATCTGGTTCTACATTGCCAACTTTGCTTACTCCTGGGGTCCCGCGAGCTGGACCTTGATTGCAGAGATTTTCCCGTTATCCATCCGAGCCAAAGGCTCTTCGATCGCCGCCAGCTCAAATTGGATGAAGTAAGTGCTCAAATTGGGCCTGTACGCGATGATCTGCGGGAATGCTGACGTGTAATCAGTAACTTCATCATAGCGTTCATTACACCGCCTATGCTCTCCGGCATAACTTGGGGCACGTACATCTTTTTCGCCGCATGGCTCCTCTTAGGATTTCTGTTCATCCTCTTTGGTAACACTTCCACATCTGTCTTGGGTGCCACGATACTGACTTCGCATTACAGCCGTACCAGAGACAAAAGGCAAGACTTTGGAAGAGATGGACGCTGCGTTTGGAGGACACGCCAGCGAGGAAGATATCGAACTCTTGGCAAAGGTGCAGCGAGAGACGGGGCTAACGGCGCTTTTGCAAGGCCGCACGAATGTAGATAATCCGGAAAAGGGGCCTTTGGAAGCGGCACTCCACGTTGACGCTTGAGAAGCGCAGGACATTTGAGATTGCGGGAGCACAGGTGTCTCAGCAATACAAATGTGGCGCATGGACGCGCCGTGGAGGTCTTCGCCGCAGTTTCGCGCACAGAAACTTGACTCCTTGCAACAGAGTCGTGTAATGCCAGCGTAGCAGGACGTTTGTTCGTTCGCAGTGCCAAGCGTGGGCGAAAGTGAACGCCCATGTTACTGTGATAATAATGTAAGCCAGTCGTGCCGGTGTCCTCAGCCTCATTCCTCCACGTGGAGGACCCGAAGCCGGGTCAGCGAAACTCGCAAAATGCCCCCAAGCTGCTATATATGTTGCGATCACCCCCCGGAACACGAAAGGAGGATCCGCTTGGCCCAAATCAGAAGCTCTAAGAATTGCGGCCAGTGTGACGCGAAGGAATCAGTATGTACGTTGTTCCGATACGAAGCTATACCACTCCATCTCACGACGTCAGCTGGTCGACCTGGTCTGCATGTTTTGTAAACGCGGGGCTGGAATCCTCTGCAGCGTTCCTGCGTCAGCTTCACGCCTCTACGATACGGATGGACGGGTGGCAAACTGGTGATGCAGCTGGAGGCTGATGCTTCTCAATCCAACGACTGCTTGACTTCGGCGTCTCCCGTCAGGCTGTGCAGCAGGAGCAGATGATACTGACTGACGAAACGGAGCTCGTCGGATATTTTCTCAAGTGACATTACGGTCTGTGTATACTATTTTCGACACTACGATGCTACAACCCTACCTTTGCACGAGGCAGCTTGGTTCTTAGTTTATTTTCTACTCGCTTTATGGAATGGTTCACACTGCGTCATTCGCAGAATCGGTTACTGGTTGGCTCCAAGCTCTTCAGTTTTGTGTTAGGAGGTCATGGCTGACACGAGGTCTTCGAATGCCATTCAAAGGCATGACGATCATGACTACCAAGGACAAGGGATATAAGAGATCGGCAGCACAGTCCTTGCTGCATGAACATCCCCATCATAAAATACCTTAATACCTCGACAATCCCAAGCGACTACGATACTCTCTACCACCATCGTTTGACACCATCTACATACACACAACATGCAGTACACTTCTGTTGCACTGTCAGCGCTGGCCCTTCTTGGTGTCTCCCACGCAGCACCAGCTGTGAAGAGGCAGGCGACTCTTCCTGCACCACCAGCTACCCAGCAGGCGATCGTCAACCTTGAGAACACGATTGTCTACCTCACCAATGACATCGTGCAGACAAATCAGGGAAATGCCGAGAACGACTTCAACACCGCTCAGTCACAATTCACTGGGATCGAGACATCTGTCACGACTGGCAGCTGTCCTCCCCTGATCTACCAAGGCGAGATCACCACAGCCGAGGGAGCCATCACTGCACTCAACACTACCCAGAACAACCTTGCCCAGCTTTCTCTGGACCTCCAGAACACTGCGTCTTCTCAAGATACCATCAACAATGACTACTGCACTGCTTACGGAACATTCTTCTCCACGAAGAACTACATCTTCACCATCCTTGGCACATCCCAGAACGGCGCCTCGAACAAGGCCGTCGCCGCTTCGGTGAACGCAGAGGGCTACGATGCCAACAAGCTCGGACAGACCTGGACTGCCACCGAGGTCGCTCTCGAGGCTCTCATCTCCGCCCTGAACAATATCGCAGCTGGCCAGCCAGCAAGCAGTGAGGCCAAGACCGCTTTCACCAACGCTCAAAGCACCATTGCCACCTTCAGCAAGGCTGCCGATGCCTCTACCCCACACAGCTGCCCAGCGTCCAGCATCGCTGGCGCTACCGACCCCCAGAGTGCAATCAACGATGTCTACGTCGTTGAGCGTACTGCACAGAGCGCTTACTCCGACACCACCGCCAACAACGGACAGACCATCCCTGACTTCTGCACCATTTCCAGCTACATGTCGGCTGTGAACGCTTACGTCAAGGCTTGAATATGAGATGATCTGAGAAATAGGGAGACGAGAAACACGATTGCCACGACGAAATGTATCATTAGCTGCGACACGTTCCTTCCAGCGCATTGAGCACCGGTGTTAGGAGGCTATGCTATGACGAGATTGATCGGCTGGGTTAGAAAGTTGCATGTTGGATCTGCTGTATAGTAGACTATCAAAATAACAAAAACTACTGTCCTTTCTATTCACAAGACATACCGAAACGATCCTAACCCACACAAGCACGAATGAATTCCAACAAATGTTCAGCCTGCGCCGTATCCGACGTTCCGATCGACAACATATTACTGCAAAAGTTAGCAAGGGTCACTCTGTACCCTATAGAGCCCTCACCTGATGTGATTATGTCCTTTCAGAACATGGAACGTTGGAAGGGTGCCAGCAGGCTTGCTCTTCGCCCTGTACGCATCGAGAAACCAGATGTTTCCATCCGCGGTTGGCTTGCTGTGTGCTTGTCAGGCTGGAGACGTCTGAGAGGGATCCCTTCGACTTACATTTCCCATTCAACGATTCCCACATACGTTGGCAATTTCGTCGAATCGCTGTTCGATGTCAATATCGAATTCTGGGAGAAAGTCAACCCCTTGTCACCTACAGCACAGGGGAATTCTTAGGGAGTTGTCGGAACAGACCCAATGCCGTCTTAGGCTGAGAATCATGTTAATAATGGGCATAACTTGAATGGAGCTATACCCTCACCTGCCAAACATCGTTCGCGTCTGATCCGAAGTAGTCTCGCAACATCTGCATTCTTGTTGGATTCTTCGGGTCGAACCAAAAAGGCACGCTAATGTATATGACGCCCGCGACAGGTGGATGAAGAGGCTCTTTAGCTGGCAGAGATGGATCGCCTGACGATAATAAATCAGCATACACGGTTCCATGGCCATCTACGCAATGTGTAGCTCACCAGCGGAATATAGATCGGTAGCAATATGTGCACCTCCTGAGGAGTGGCCCAAAAGGACGACCTTCTCTGGTGATCCATTCCCATACTCCTCTGAAGCTATGTTGTTGAAGATCCATTCTCGAGCAGCTCGAATATCTTCACCGCCGCCTGGATACTGTACATGTGGCACCAGCCGGTGACTGATTACGACTGTCACAATACCTTGTTTGGCATAGTAACATCCTACGTTGGCGTAATTCTGTTGGATCGTGAGCGATCTTGTACTGCACTTCTCGTTATCGCGCCCCGTACCTTGTCACTCCACGCCTTATCACCTGAGAAGAAGCCTCCACCGTGGACATAGACAACGACGGGCTTCTGTGGGCTGCTTTCCTTTGGCACGTAGACGTCCAAGATGTTCCGTTCGTGAGGTCCGTATGAAATATCACGAACGACCTTGACGTCCGTCGGGAAATCGTCATACAATGACTTGTATCTTGCTCTCCATTTCTGGCCCCCCAAATGTCAGTAGAACTTCTAACATAGTCACGATTCGAGACCTTACCACATCATCTCCCTTGCCCCATGTCGTAGTTTCTTCACGAATTTGTCTCAGTACCGTCTCCATTGTCGTATGGAAGGAGTGTGAGAGTCAACTCAGGATTCATGTGTGAGCAGCTAAGCTTACTTGTATAGGCTCGAGGGAGGAGCAGCTTGCGTCAACAGGCCAGGGAGTCTGTCGCAAGCTGGGAGCTAGCCCTAAGATCGTTCAAATTTTTGGTTTAATAAGTGCATGCATACGCCCTTCGCTCAAGTCTTAGTGACAGACTTGTCTAAACGATGACAGCCTAATCGGGATTGAAGGAGGATTTCGCGGATATGCGACGATTACATGTACTTTCGTACGCAGTTTTGCTCAGCTTGGTGTATCAGGTACAACGCGCACAACAAAGCACGCAATTACGGAGACAGCCCTATATGAGAAGCACGCACGGACGTTTCGATCACATGCACAACATGGAAATCGTCTTGCGAAGAGAATCTTGAGAGACTTAAAGGTACACGCCACTTTGCCGAAAATAAATGTCACACTGTTGATCTGTCCGACTTATCTTTTACCTTATGACGCTTTCAACTTGTTGGCCGTGCGCCCGCAGATTGTCTTCTATACCACATCATCATTCTTCGTTCCAACCCAAGGCCTGCCCTCCACAATCTCAATTTGCGTACCGACGGGATCTACAAAGAACGCAAACTTCACCTTCGCGCCCTGCTTCGTGCTCGCCTCACCCGGCGGAATCAACATCAATGGCTTCGGCTCGAGAGCTTGTAGCCTCGCAGTAGTCCTCTGAATATCCTTCACTCGGATCGTTGCATAATGTGTCAAGTTTGGCACCTCAGCTCTAGGCGCATCTGGCCTGTCGACTCTCATGTCATGCTTTAACTTGAAACTCGAGTTTCCGAAGCGAAGTGCTTGGACTTTGACAGGACCGATGTTGAGATGTGCGAGATCGATGTCGATGTGCCCGAGATCTTCGAATCCGATGCCGTTGATGTAGAAGTCGAGAGTTTGATTCATTAGAGCGACAGAGGGTATGTCAATGCCGACGTCGACGCTGCAGGGTGCTGCAGGATCATGGTCGGTGGTTTGGGACATGTTCAGTTGACTTCGGTTGTTTGGTGATCTGATCAAATGCGTAGGATTTGAAGAAGTCGACTGGATGCCAATTGCTGGGACTTGACGACTCTATGCTGTGATGGACGGCCAATATTTATACAGCCTCGTGAAGCCGCTCCAACACGAACATCAACTTTGCCCACGGTCCACCATGCGTCTCCATACACGGCCACCGGAGACATTGGGGCGAGTATACTGATTGCCCAACTGGGGCTAGCTTGGCCAGTCTCAGGCACGAGGAATCTTAAGCTCATCGTTGAGCTCGATGCGGTAATCTTGACCGTTCCTTGCCGCAAACTCATAGAGGCTCCCGGTGCGCGCGGACACCGGCGAGACAGCGAATTATTTCAACTTGAGTGCTCCCGCGGCGTGCAACGAATCGGCACTGCCCAGGGCTGAGAGAACCACGGGAAGCTCGTCGTTCTTACTCGCCTCAGAAGGACAGGAGCAGTGTACCTACCATGCCTATCCGGTCGACCCGACAAGGCTGATAGCCGCGCATATCTATCTGACTTCCGTCTCACCACATCGACAATCATGAACTAAATAACTATTTAGCTGTTTCTAACCGTCATTCATCGACGGTCGCAAGATAATCGTGAAGACGAGAAGGATGGCACAGAGCCTTTCCCAATCGGGAAATTCTAGCCTCTTGTGGAAGGCACTTTCATTCACTCACAGTGTCGCTCCATGTTTCCGGATCGATCTGAAAAGCCTCGTTATTGGCGAAATGCTTGACATGATTCTGGAGAGTCGAAAGAAAATCAGCCTCGGCAAGAGCACCTTGCTCTCCACGCCACCCCACCTAGCTCTTTGCCATTGATATCATGTGTGGGGCTGTCTAGGACATCACTTTCCACGCAAGTCTGTTCACGGCCGACAACAAGTTGACTCGCCCGAAAATCGTCTTCGAAGAAAAAACGACACAGCCGTACTTCAAGCACCTCGACGAGAAACGACTATCGTCGCCGACTGCCTTCATTATCAAAACGAAACAAGACATTCACCCTCATCATCATCACTGCAATCATGCCTCCAAAACATCCCCTCCCAAACAACCAACCCGGTGAAATCATCCTCTTTAACTTCCCCGAATCAGTCTTCGGCCGCCGCATGGTCCGCTACTTCAACCTGCGTTCGCTCCTTTACTCCCAAATCCGGGTGCCGCCCAACATGCCACGTCCAATCCTGCAAGAGAAACTTGGAATCAATTACCGTCGCATCCCCGTCATGGCCATAGGACGGGACATTTACATCGATACGAGAATCATGCTGCCGAAACTCGAGAAGTTCTTCCCGGAGAAGCGATTAGGCGCGCAAAGCTCCTTCGATGCTGGGTTTGAGGCGATGTTGGAGGAATTCGTGATTGATGGGGGGCCATTTTGGAGGACGGCTGGATGTATCCCGGAGACGGCGCCTTTCATGCAGAATGAAGTGTGGATGAAGGATCGATCCGATGGGTCTGGGGGTCAGTTCAATAAGGAGGCGCTGCGAGAGAATCGAGCGTGGAGTTTGAGTCAGTTGAGGTTGTGGTTTGGGATTGTGGAGAAGTTCTTTGCGGATGGGAGGGAGTGGATCTTAGGGACAGAGGGGCCGAGTTTGAGTGATATTCATGCGGGGTGGCAGTGTGATTGGGCGATTAATATGGCTGGGGATATGAATGATGAGAAGGGGCATGAGTCCACGGCGGATATGAGAAAGGTGCTGAGTAGAGAGGAGTTTCCTCATGTGCATGCTTGGGTGGAGAGATTTAGACGGGCGACAGACGACGCGGGGAATGCGAATCAGGGGGCCGGAGCGCTGGATGAAGGAGAGGAAGCCGAGAACGACATTGTGAGAAGAATACTGGCGAGCGATCTCACGGAGGCTGAAAGTCCAGGCGTTGACGAGTCCGATATCCTGGGGCTCAAACAGGGGCAGAGAATCATTGTTGCCCTTGTGGACTTTGGCTTCACGCACAAAGACGAAGGAATATTGGTCGGGCTCGCGAAAGACGAAGTGGTCATCGAAGTCGATGTGCCAGGCGACAACGCCAAGTTAAGGCTTCACTACCCACGGATCAACTTCAAGATTTTGCCACTCTGAGAAGCCTCTGCCAATCGGTCAAAGACGTCGATCAATCCCAGAATGCCAACACTCGACAGTTGATGCTCGCCGCGGTATCAGCGAACTTGATGACGACCACTTCGTTCGGTTTCTGCTCCGGCATCCAATACCAGCGATGAGACTCAGGGTCCTTTGGTGGTGCTGGGACAATGGTCTCTCGCAAAACCTCTCCATCCTCGTGGACACCACTCATCACGCGCGTTTCAACTGGAAGCAGATCTGACGATTCAATGCTGCGAGCGTCCAGCATGGCTAGAGGATCCCGCTTGGCCGTGTCCAGCGGGCGCTACATCTTCAGTGAACGGCGACTCGATTGCGGGTTTGAACAAGACTTACCCAAACTCCATAAGCCCCGTAACGAGACTTCTTGCCAGCCTCTCCGGCTTCAATGCTTGGCTTGGCCATTGCAGCAATATCCGTTCGGCTGTAGCGAGCGGTCGTTCGAAGCCCGTTAAGACTGTAGTCGACGTGCAAAGTACGAGCAGGCTCCGTTCCAGCAGCGCTCTCCCGCGTCGGCACTACATTCGTACGTTAGCAAGCAATGTAGGTCAATTGGACAAGCTCGGTTATCATACTCCTTAAACTATCTCTCGGCGTCTGTTTAACCCTCTTCTCATGCTCATCTCCCTTCTTGCCATAGTGGTTCTTCTTCTGATCCTGCTTGCTCGCCACGGTCTTCCTCAACGTAAGCCCATCGATAGCAACTTTACTGGCACCCGTAGTCTTCTTCACTAGCTCCATAACCTCTGGGATATGCACCTTCTCGAGCTTCTCGTGGTCAAACCAGTCCTCTCCGTCCAAGTCAGATTGATGTTCGACGCAGGTGAAACCTTGGGTGTCGAGGCCGGCGGGTCCTTTGGTGATGGAGGTGGAGGAGCGGAAGTCATGAAGGAGTTGTGTTTCTTCGACGATGGAGTTTAGTTCGGGCAAGGTGTAGAGAGATCTTTCTAATGGTGGTTACGCGGTTGGGTAGCCGTATTTGAAGATGCCGTAGACAGGGGTTTCTATAGAGCGCATTGTCGTGGGTATTCAAGTCCTGCGTTGGTCTGCAAGAATAGTGTTGTAACCTTTGATGATTTTTTGATTGCGAAGCTCTGTCAGATTAGCAAGTGTGGTCTAAAGAAGTACGAAGAAGAAAGGATAAGAGATTGGAACGGATTGTCTTCGTCAGCCCATTAGTGGGACAGCTGAGCAGCATGGTCCGTCGTATCTTATGCCTAAATTGAATCCGCATACGATAGCTATCGGCAAGGCTTCTGCCCGAACAGGAATGTAGAGGATCGATTGCAGAGTAGCTAAGAAGGCTCGAAGCCCTATCTCCCCTATATGCAACAAAGAAAGGCTCGTCTTCCGACCTTCGACACCTTCAACTCTTCACTTCGACCAGTGGTTGCTACTGCCATGCTCTAGCAATCTATTGCCGGCTTCAATGAGATAAAAGTCTCCATACACCAACCCCGTGTCGTAACTTCGCCCATCACCAGCATTCGGATTGTTGTTCGCAGTGGCATGCATCAAGATGGACTCAAACCCTCTCGAAAGAGCTGTATTCGCAGGGGTCGAAACGTCGGTCACAGCTCCTAGCGTTGAGTTCGGGTTCGCGGGACCAATCGATGAGTACGTTATCTTGCCAGCAAGGCTGAGGTCCAGAACATCCTGAAGCAGCTTAACAGCAGCTGCACGATAGTCTCTCCTTCCGCGCCCACCATTCCAATGGCCTTGCCCATGCCATCCACCACCACTGCCAGCTTTATTGTCGATTTGCTCTTGCAGAAGCAACAACCCACTCGCCGCTATTGTAGCCGCAGAACTGTCCCTCGGAGTCACATTCCGCAGATACGGAGCGTCGAAATCCCAGAAAGGGACACCATCTTGTGGCAGATGTTCCAGAAACCAGTCTGCCGCTTGAATCGATGTTTGCAGGTACGACTCGTCACCCGTGAAAGAGTAAATCTCAGCAAAGCCGTAAATCGCCCATGCCTGACCTCTCGCCCAGGTTGAGTTGTCGGCAAGACCTTGAGCTGTACGACAAAGGTACAACTCGCCGGTAGTCCCACTGTAGTCACAGACGTGGAATGATGAGCCATCGGGGCGAATATGGTGGTCTCTAGTCCTATTGGCATGGAATACCGCGATCTCCAGGAGGGTCTCATTGTGGGTATACGTGGATGCCGAGCGAGCTAGGAGGGCAAGATTCATCATATTGTCGATAATCACCAGCACAGAATCTTCGTGCGAGCCACGTTGGCTGAAAGAGTCGTTGTTTGTATTCCAAGAGCGGATGACGCCTGGAGCTGGGACATAACGAGATGCCAGGTTGAGACTCATTCGTCCCAGGACAGGAAGATACTTGGTCTCGTTGTTGTAGTTGAGCGCCGACTCGAAAGGCTTGGCGAGAAAGCCTATGTCGTGTGTATTGGTAAGATTGACATTGGTGATGAGAGGATCGGTCCAGGCCTGGGTTTGCGAGAGCCATTGGTCGAGATCGGGCTCATTCTCGTACGGCCTTCTATGGGAAACAAGGGTTGTCTTGCGATGGTACAATTGCCAGAGACTGTCAGGGAAAAAACCCGCCGTCCATCCCTCAGCATCAGTGTCGACATAGGTCCCTGGCTCGGAGTTGGAGGATGGAGTGTTGTTGTGGGCTCCTTGTGTGTATTGCGGCCAACCTACATCACCTATTCGAGGCGCCCCGGTCAGGATAGTTCTCCAGATGCGTGCTTCAATGTTCTCATCGTACAGGCCTCGAATTCTAGGGTCCTGGAAAGCCGAACATGTCAGTATTAAACATGCCAGGGTGCAGCCGCGAATAGACATGTCAATTTTCATGGATCGTCCGAGCTGAGAAGATGTGATACTTCCGTCCCATGAAGTATCTATATGAGTGATCAGTAATAAGATGTAAGGTTGCATTTAGCCTGTTACTCCGCACGCAAATGGTCTTGTAGCATTGCTTGGCCTGTAGATCCTACCCGGCTCCACTTTCTGGGCGAGTGATCAGAACACTCACTGCACTGCATGGAAATGTATATTCTGCATCGGGAAATCATGCCTCTTTGAGACTTGTCATTGGTTTTGCTATTTTCAACCCATTTCAAACTGGAGCGATATGCAAGTATAGACACAATCGCGCCTCAGTAGGCCGTCCCGGTAAGCTGAAGGGACAATTAAAGGCATTGATGCGATCGATCGTTCGGACCTTGAACTGGTCGTTGCCCTTGTGCGAAGCCAATAGATAGACAACACCATATGCGTTCGGCGAGTTCAGAATGCTCTTGAAAGCGTCGTTGTCCGAACTCGGCGTGAACGCCCATCCTGGCCACTGCGAATGTGGTTAGTGACATCGCGAGGTATTGTAGAAAGGACAGCTTAGCAACTTACGACCGGTGGCATTTCGTTCGGATTCGAAATCGTTCCTCTCCCATGCGCTCGCAGGACCGTGTCCTTGGTGTCTTGGTTAGAGACCTGGTAGCGAAACACGTGCTCCAGACCCGCTCTCATGTCGAGTAGACGCTGGTCAGACAACCCATTGGGAAGACTGGTGACTCTCTGCCAGGCCAGCCAAATGAGATCGCTCCACCTCTGCAAAGGAGGCAGCTTCCTGTTCCCTCCGATGGGAATTCCTGTTTACTTGTCAGGGACGACGATCCTATGAGCGGCAGGCAAGAGTCTCTCTGGACTCACTCATCTTTTCTGCTTTGTATGCCGGACCATAGCTCATCTTGGCAACCATGGTGCGAGTGCTGCCGTGGAATCTTGTTCAAAGCCATTAGCAATCTCGATCCCAAATCAAGATGTACTTACAGCGTGAGAAAATGCGCAAATGTGGCGGGGTATATGGTATTGCCTTCCCTTGTTTCCGTGTTGTGGCCTATGTTGACGGTCCTCCACTCTGAGGGAGTAGAAGAAATTCCTAGCGCCGCAAATGCTGCTTCTAAGCCAAAGGTTCCAGAGATACCTGTGTCCACGCGGATGTTCCAGCCGTATCTCGGGAGATCGGCTTGAGACGTCCAGCTAGACTGCTTAACGGCGCAGGGATTGGCGTTGTTGGGCTGTTCAAGAGCGCAGAGGAAGTCTCGGCCCTTTTGGATCGAGTCTTGGTATGAGTCAAGGGCGCGAGTAGAGATTTTGGATTGAGTGATATCATCCTTTCGGCTTTCCAAGACGTGTGTCAATTCCAACGGCGACAAAGGTGTGGATGCGGGGGACGTGTGCCGAGTTGTGGGTATCAAAAGGATTGATACGGTGCTGAAGAGGAGTATGCATATGATGGCAATGAGGTGTGTAGTTCGAAGTTGGTGTGTAGACGCCATAGTAGAGCGTCTTTCTGTATAGGGTTGGTAGAGGTTGACTGGCTCTATAGAGCTTGCTGTATGATAGTAAGTGTAGTTGTGCTTGAAGGTGTTGAAAAGATAAGACAGCAGAGGAAGAAATACCGAGTTATATGGCTCGCCGTGCGAACTTCCATATGTTCCTCCTCCTTAGTCTCATCAGATGTTTCCATATGCTTTCAGTAGACAACGGCTTAAGAAAGGCTTGCAGGGGCAAACAGGTAATCAAGCACGTTCACTCCAAATAACCCGTAATAGTGTATGTTCATGTGTTACTCGGTACATTTTCAAGTGACTCTTTGTTCTAGAAGATGTTGACTGTCGGAAGTACTCCATAGTGGTAAAGAGACAATTTTCAAATCTGTCCCGTAGCCTCAGTGTAGTCGAAGAGACATTTGAATTTGGCCAACCCAGAGACGCCGCATTCTGGCATCCTTTCGTCTGACCGTAGCTTGATAGACGGAGAAGACATATACAGGGGTCAATCGTGGTATTGATCGTATTGCTGTAATGGATTTGTCGAAGCGTGAAGTTGTTGTTCGCGTGCACGTGATCTAAGGCAGTGGCCGCACGCTAATGCAGGCACTTGGGAAGGCGCGTGTCGAGCGCGTCGTCGTTTCCTCAGCGCGTCTGAATCTGCCCGCTTCTAACAAGCTCTCCATCTCTGCTCCACCAACACCACCACACCAAACATTCACTTCGATTCTCGCCACTTCCAGGCACAAGGTCGGGATACTAACTACAGTGACGATCATAAATTCGAATCGCCGCCGCAATGGACGGCATCCAGCTCCGCGATGAGGCGGTCAGGGATCGCATTCGTGCCGCTGAGGAGTTTCTTGATCCACGTATGTACAGAGAAGAAGGCCATACTGCAGGCGCTGATAGTATACAGAGGACCCTCGCGCACGAAGCTACCAGGCCGAAATCCTCCTCATGCTCAATCGCGGCCTGCGACGGCTCACCGTGAGCATCGACGAAATCCGCAATCACAGCAGGGAAATGTCCGATGGCCTTCTCAATCAGCCCTTTGACTGGTCCCAAGCCTTTGATCGCGCCTTGTTCAATATTGTACAGACTCTGAGGAACCGAGCTACGCAGGCGGTGGATGAAGAGCAGATGTACTACTGCGCATACATTGGCAGCTTTGGCGAGTATGCCTGCAATCCGAGAACGCTGTCCTCACAATACCTGAACCACATGGTCTCGCTGGAGGGAATTGTTACAAAATGCTCGCTAGTCCGACCGAAGGTGGTCAAGAGTGTGCACTGGAACGAAACGAAGTCGACTTTTCACTTCCGCGAATACAGAGACCAGACCATGACAGCTAATGGCGCAGCGAGTATGAGTGTCTACCCGCAAGACGATGGCGAGGGAAATCCTCTAGTCACAGAATACGGATACTGCACCTACAGAGACCATCAGACTATCTCGATCCAGGAAATGCCAGAGCGAGCGCCTGCTGGACAGCTGCCTCGTGGTGTCGATGTCATTATGGACGACGATATGGTTGACAGAGTGAAGCCTGGAGACAGGATCCAACTTGTCGGCATCTACCGTTCTCTGGGCAACCGCAATGCTGGGCAGGGCAGCTCGACCTTTAAGACTCTCATTCTGGCCAATAATGTCATTCTGCTGTCGTCGAAATCGGGAGGTGGCATTGCTCAAGCCAACATCACCGATACCGATATCAGGAACATCAACAAGATCTCCAAAGGCCGCAGAGTATTCGACCTGCTCTCGCAATCACTCGCTCCCAGTATTTACGGCCATGACTATATTAAAAAGGCCATTCTCCTGATGTTGCTTGGTGGTATGGAGAAGAATTTGGACAACGGCACTCATCTTCGTGGAGATATCAACATTCTCATGGTCGGTGATCCATCCACTGCCAAGTCTCAACTCTTGCGATTCGTTCTGAACACCGCACCATTGGCCATTGCGACGACTGGTCGTGGATCGTCTGGTGTCGGTCTTACAGCAGCAGTGACCTCGGACAAGGAGACTGGCGAACGACGACTGGAGGCAGGAGCCATGGTTCTTGGTGATCGTGGTGTTGTTTGTATCGATGAGTTCGACAAGATGTCTGATGTCGATCGAGTGGCCATTCACGAAGTGATGGAGCAGCAGACAGTCACAATCGCAAAAGCTGGCATCCACACGTCGCTGAACGCACGTTGCTCAGTCATTGCAGCTGCCAACCCCATCTATGGCCAATACGACACGCACAAGGACCCGCACAAGAACATTGCCCTACCCGACTCGCTCCTCTCGCGTTTCGATCTGCTCTTTGTTGTCACGGACGACATTGAGGATGTTCGAGATCGTCAAGTGTCTGAGCACGTCCTACGAATGCACCGCTACCGCCAGCCGGGCACTGAAGAAGGCGCTCCTGTACGTGAACAAGCGAATCAAACTCTCGGTGTCGGTATCGAAGAGGAAGGCGATGCAAACAAACCCAGCGAGGTGTACGAGAAGTTCAACGCAATGCTACACGCTGGTGTGACTATCACAGTCGGTCGTGGATCGCAAAGAAAGATCGAGGTCCTCAGCATACCGTTCATTAAGAAGTACATCCAGTACGCCAAATCGAGGATAAAGCCCATCTTGACCAAGGGTGCGGCGGACTATATCGTCGCGGCTTACAGTGCACTTCGAAACGATGAACTGGAGGGCAATCAAAGAAAGACCTCACCCATGACCGCGCGTACGCTCGAGACCTTGATTCGTCTGGCATCGGCACATGCCAAGTCGCGGCTGTCGAATCGTGTGGAAGAGAAGGACGCGAAGATCGCGGAAGGTATTCTGCGGTTTGCACTGTTTAAGGAAGTCGTGGAAGATGAGAAGAGGAGGCGAAAGAGGGCGAGGCGCTCTCCTGACCCAGATGCTATGTCTACCGACAGTGAATCCGATAGCGATGACGACGCTGATGCTGGTGATGGCGCATATAGACCTGGTACTGGCAGGAGATCAACAAGAACTCCTGGACGTAGCACGAGGGCAAATGGTAGCACACCCAATGGCGACGCTGGAGCTGGGGCTGGCGCAGGCGACGATGACGAGGATTTGTATTCGTCAACACCAGCGAGACGTGGCACTCAACGAACAACCCAGACCAACGGCACGAACGGCGTCTCCTCACAAGTCAGCATGGCATCCTCGCAACCCGCCTCGCAGCTCCTGCAAGACGAGTCGCAAGAACAAGAAGAGGAGGAAGATGACGACGACGACGACGAAGACCAACCCAACGGCACGGCAGCGGCCGTCTCAGCAGGCCGTCTACAGACCTTCCGATCTGCTTTGGGTCAACTGATCGATGGCCCTCTGTTCGCCAACGACGCCGCGGATGTGGATCCCCTCATCGCCGCCGTCAACGCCAGACTGAGGAGTGGCGAGAGTCGTTTCGAGGACGCGGAGGCGCGGCAAGCGCTTACCCAAATGGCTGATGGGAATCTCATCATGTTCGAGGGTGGGATTGTGTACAAGATCTAGATGTTGAGGATATCGAAGGGCGTCGAGGTCGATGATGAGATATGGTGCTTGCTGATGTCGGCGCTTGTTGCATGTCTGGAGTTCTTGGATGGAAAGGGGGCTTTTTCTGGGCTGGATGGATGTGATACTCTCTGCGTTTGTTAGCAAGGATCAAGCGTATGAAATGCTTCGAATGTTTCTTCAAATTTGTTTTTGGTTATTGTTTGTTGTTCCCTCTATCCGAGATTCCTTGAGTTAAGATCTGAATTTCAAATCCATCATCCATGGTGAAATCACGTAGATGGATAGCATGGCCTATACATGTGACCATGCCGTTGAGTGCATGTAAATCAGATTGTCGCCGTTCAGGACATATCATGTCGGCCTCCCCTTAACGAACCAAAAGTATTACCGTAGTTCTGATTCTGATTCTGCACCGCCAAATCCAGGAGTCTCTTCGACAGCAAACTCTCGTTCCTCGATGACGGTCGACTGCGATCTCGCGGAAACTCGAAAGGATCCTGTAATCCATTCCTCGAAGAAGGCAGCACCACAAGCTTTTGCTCGCCGTCGCTGGACGTCTGCGAGCGTACAGAGGGAGAGGTCGAATCATCCAGGTCCATGCTGTTGATGTCGCTGACGTGACGACTGCTCGGTCTTGACTCCAGCGCTGGGAGGGTGGTGAAGTGGCGTGGTAGGGTGGGCATCGGCGTAGTTGGGACGTCGTTTCGCGCCGGTGCGTACTCGTGCGAAGGGAGCGATTGAGCCATGCTGTGCGGTGCTGGAGGCCATCGGACATCGTCGGGTGCTATGTTCGACTCGAGGACTGCGCTGCGCCGCCTCGAAGGGTCCTTGGTCCAGCTGCCGGTCGAGACACTCGCATTTGCTGCGAGAGAATCTCGACTGGATTTGTACGCACTGTACCTGGGCTCTGGTAGTTGGATCTCATTGCGAAGCTTCTCTTTTCCGTCGGGAACCCTGTTGGCAAAGACCACGCGGACTGACTTGTACAGGAAGTAGCGACCTTTCGACGGGCAGCAGATGTGCAGGTGAATGAGATAGCGTAGCATAGGCCGATCGTGCAGGTCTTCCGTGGGACACAGCGACGCTTCGGGACGGTCAGTGCCTAGGTTGTTTCGTGAAGAGAGCGGCATATCGATTATGGGTCCTGCAGAGTAGCTGCGCTGGCGTATGAAGGTTTTCTGGCCTGGCTCCATATCAGACAGATCGTATGGTACCAAGAAGAGCTTGACTGCTGTTTTGTTCGGATTCTTGATGACAATCTGGAGCTGGCCTTGTTGAGGTATGCGATAGCTGCCTCCCGGTGGACTCTTCGGTGATCCAGATCGCCGCTTCGTCTTCTGTCTTCGGCGCCGCCTTGCCTGGGCATCCGAAGTAGATCCATCCTCACGCATACCCCTGGGTGAGTTGGCGCGACTACCCTCATTGCTGAATGTACCTTGCGGCCTGTCTCGTCGCTTTTCCCTAGATTCTTCCACGTGAGGTAGGTTGTTTTCGAGGTCGACGAGACCAACATATGGGCTTGGCTGATCACTTGCCGGTGTCTTGGTACCGGAGCCGTATGAGTAGAACACCGCAGGGAATGGTACGCTGACGTGAGGCGGGCACTTCAAATTCGCTTTGCAGTTCCCCTTACCAAGAACACCAATCTGTGCCATGAAGTTCAATGGCCGAGACGGAATAGTAGACATACGACCGCGAAGAATAGATTCTTCGTAAGATCCCACCATTGGGGCATGATGAAGAGGCGACTCTGCGAAAAGTGAAGGACGTCGCGAATCTGGTGAGGGCGTATGTGGTAGACTAGAAAATGGCGTCGAGTGTAACGACCTGCGAGGCTGGTGGGCCTGGTACGGAAATGTCCTCTCGGATCGAAGCGGAGGGACAGGCTTGCTGTGATTACGAGCGGAAGCCGGGTACTCGAGGGCCGACTGAAATCTTTTGAACGACTGAGGCGAGAATGTATGTCTTCTCGACCGGTCAGGGCTGGGCGATTTGGCTGGTTCAGGAGTATCGGGTCGCGAAGATTGCACAAGTGGGCTAGTCGGGGGTTTGTACACGAAGCTGGCGGCAAGCGATGCATTGGATACTGCACGATCCCTTGTAGGCCGAGTGGGTATTGGAAGGCCATTTTGCGTCAAAGCAGGCTGTGTTTGGCGATAGTCGTGTCTCAGAGCAGACGGAAACTGTGGATGCCACGGCGCTACAGGTGAAGTGGATAGGATGGATGCAGATTCGTCTCTTGTGGTGTTTCCAAAGCGTTCAAACGATGATGTCGTCTGTTCCCGTTCTCTGAAGTCTCCACGATGGAGGGCAGATCTGGGTCGCTCGATTTGCATGCCAATAGACTGGTTATCTTGCTGGACCTCGGGTGACTTTGGTCTTCCCTCTACTGCCCCTGGAGTGGGAATACGCCGAACAGGTGACCTTCTCTTTCTATTTGTCCCACTAGACGATGGCCTATCAAGCTCAGGGGACGTAGGCCTCGACTCTGTGCTCTTGATCTTTCGTATCAACTCTTGACGGTCTATCGCATTGCTCTTCTCAAGCTCAGGCGAAGTCGGCCGCGAGCCACCACTTTTGATTCTTCTAATAATTTCCTGCCGATCTATCGTATTCGACTTGGCCCCGTTCGCGGGCGTGCGTGGTCTCCCTGTGTAGTAGGGGTTGAAGATGGTCGGGCTCGATCGACCATTCTCGGGGCTCGCGGTTCTGGTCCTGTAGAGTGAGGGTCCATCCTCGCCGCCATTATTGCTGCTGTTTGATTGTCCGTAAGCCTTCTGGCAGCCAGGATCCGGACATCCATTGTTCACTGCCATTTCCAGCCCGGAGCCAACAGCTTGGCCCCGAGCTCCGCTCCAGTGTTACCAGCAGCCGACGATATGGGAAGCTTGGAACGTGGGTTGTAGCTGTTGTATGCGGTATATCTGTACGCTCCTCCTTTCGATCGTTTGGTAATATTGTTGCGCAGCTTGTGGGTGGCAGGGAAAGCAAGTAAGGTTGTTGGCAATGAGTAATGCCCTGTTTCAGATCCCAAGCACCCGAATGGCTTCGCTGGATGACAAAGGACCGAGATGGCTCTTTTCTGATCGTGCGATCGTTATGGCGGGTTAGGGACGGGTTCCTGGGGAGTCAACGGCGGTGAGCGTGGGTTTGTAGGTGAAAGTGGTGATTCCGCATACAAAGAGTCGTGGTCGAGTCGAGGGGAGACTTGGAGTCATCTGACGCTGTGGCATCATTCCCGTCCCTTATCCACTTATCGCGCTCGCCGCGGTCGGCACGCGCCTTAATCGGCTTTTGATTTAGCGCTACCGAACATTTGATGCACCTCGAACCGTGACTTCACGCATCCCATCTGCAGAAGAAAATTCCATACTCGCCACCACCCCCGCCGTCATGTCCGAAAAGAGAAAGAGAGATCGCGACGATGGGGCTGCGAAGGAGAGCAAGGACAGGAAGAAGCAAAAGAGAGGATTTGTGGTAGGACCAGACAATCTGCCCGATGGCACGTACAGGAGAAAGAGTAGGTGGATTTGCGCGACATAGCTCTCAATCGCTGGCTAATGTCAAGCAGACCAGAAGATCAAGCAGAACCTCATCGACAAGGCGAAGATCAAGAAGGAATATGCGAAGTTGAAGAAGCAGGGCCAAGTCTCGGAAAAGGACGAAGAACTACCACAACCAGCCTCGCTTGCCGTAAACGAAGGAGAGGAGCCCAGCGCAGGACCACATCCAGATCGCCAAAATCTAATCGAGAAGGAAGCCCAAGAACCGGAGCAGCAGGAACAGCAGGATAGGAGCGAGTTCCGGCAGAGAAAGCGAAGGCCAAAGGCGATCCCATACCAGAAGGAACACGAGGAAGGTCAAAAGCGCAAAGTAGAGGCCGAAGCGCGGCGGAAAGCTCGAGAGGAGGCGGAGGGTGAGCGACAGAGGAAGACAGAGGAGCGTGAGAGGTTTAGGAGAGCCATGGCGAAGGCGAGGACTGGGGGACCGAATGGGCAGCGAAAGCTGGGCCGCGAGAGCAAAGTGTTGTTGGAGAAGGTGAAGAGGATGGTTGGTGAAAGTGGTTGACGGGGAATTTGACTTGTGACTTTACATGCCGAGCCGTTCTTTGGCGTGCATTCATAGTCGGCAAGGCAGAGGACTTTCACATGGCGTTTGCCGTTCCTTCCAAGTTCGTCACGACGCCAAGGCCGGACTCGAACATCTCTCCGATCTGGTCAAATTCCGTTTCAATTTTCGCAACACCCACACTGCATTCGGAGATATCGTCGCTGCGATGGAAGGCACCCAGTTCAAGGCTTCCGCGGGGAGTCTTCTCAAAGATTCTTCGCTCGCCGACTTCGAGATCAAATGCGGCAGCGACACCTATCAGGTCCACCGGGTCATTCTCGCCTGTCACTCGCAATACTTCAAAACGCTATTTGAGGGACAGTTCAGCGTAGGTTGACTCGAAGTACACGGCGTCATATCACTTGAGACTGACAGGAAGCCAGGAGTCCAGCAAGCGCAGCATCGAGCTGCACGAGAACAATCCGAACGCAGTCAAGCTGATGATCGACTACTTCTACCGCTTCGACTACGAAGATGCGCACGACAAGATCACTGGATTCTCCAACCCTCTCGAACTCAACGCCGCCGTCTACATCGTGGCAGCTAAGTATGATGTCCCCGATATGAAGAAGCTGGCCGTCAAACACTTCACCCGAGCAGCACCGCAGAGTGCTATTCGTCATGAAAGCCCTGTCGAGGCTATCAGACTGGTGTTTACTGGCACAACTCACACAGATCGCGTTCTCCGCGACGTGGTGCTCGAGTACTGGACCACCTTCGCCAACGTCTTGATTGATGGCCAAGGATCAACTATCACGCGACGTGTGGTGGACTGTGTGCCCGAATTTGCCACTGAGCTTTTCAACAAAAGCGCAGAGACACAGGGCCTCAAGTTCGAAGCAAATTGTACACAAGTTTACACCGGAGGACTGCACCGTCATGCTTCCATATCAGCCAATTCTATCAAGGAGGTCTTCACTCAGAACTGCGACGTCTGCGGGGAGCCAATGGCCACGCACAAATTGCTAAAGGCGTACCATCAATCCGGGAAGCTTCACGCCGTTCTGGGTCCATGCGTTGGACTGATTACTCTGTCTCCCGAACAGCGGATGATCATGCTTCTTCAGCGCCAGAGGCTTGCCAAGCCTAGGAGATATGAGGTGAAGATAGCGACGAAGATAGATACTCAGACACAGAACCCCAATCGAAGCAATGCGGCTGTTATGGTGGATCATACTTGCTTTCCTTAGCTAGAGCAAGAGACTCTGGGAAACACTACCTTTGTGCCTCTCAAAGTTCTCACAATAAATGATACCGAGGCCCCGTTTGCTATGCTCGTCACTGTAGTACCATCTCCCACCGCGTCACTTCTAAAGCATCCCCAATCCACGTCCTCGTAAGTGATTTCTTCGTAGCCAGCGACCAGTCCACCTTGAGCGCCGAGTTGAATCAGTAGGTACAGCATGCCCTGCATCACACTCCCGCGCTCCCGATGCCCTCCTTCTCAGACTTGTCCCTCAACTCGCATCAGCTCAGACCTAATTGAAACCGACCGCGAGAGATTCGAAAGACGTTTGGGTGGAAGCGTTGGACTGCTCGACCGGTGAAAGGAGTTGAATTGCAACACATTCACATTGCACAGTGTAGTATCATTCTTTGCCACTGTATTGCCTCCTCCATTTCCTCCTGCCCTTGCCATTCCAACATTGGCATTTCAAGACGTGCTCCTCGTAGTGTGACAACGATGACCTGTGCCAGCTACCCACGACGAGCCCGGAGTTGGCTCTTGCACGCGCTAACATTGCACCTGATGGTCTGAGGGTGTATTGATTGGTAGTGTTCTTTTCACTCGTGCGCCGATTCGAGCGAGGGTTAGAGCTTGGGCTGGAGGATGCCGCAGCACAGTCATTTTAACGATTGCAGTGCCAACACCCCGGGTATAGACTGCGCCTGCTTCGACCGCCCCTCGCGACTTCATCTTCGCCATGTCATAAAGTCATGTCTCGTGAAGTAGTTCATATCACCTCGTCCTCGAGCTCAGTGGTCTCCGGGATCTGCTTCTTAGCAGACATATCCTCCGCCGCAGACATCTCCACATTTCGAATCGGCAATGGCTGCTCAAGATCGGGCAGAACCACATCCTCCATCGCCCGCCCAGCATCTCCGACCTTGCCAGTCTTCTTCACAGCCTTCTTCTCCTCCTTCATCGGACCCAGCTTCCCATTCAGCTCCTCCCAGTCCGCCGCTCTAGCCTGGACCTTCTTCGACTTCTTCTTACTATCGCCGACCTTCTTCTCCAACCTAGAGGCAATCTGCTCGGCCTTTTCCAGAGCTTTCTCCTGTCTCATGCGCTGAGCGTGGGTCTGTGTCTTGGACTTCTTCTTCTTCGAAATGCCGGCATTCTGAGCGCTGTGCATCCATGGCTTGTAGTCGGATTCTTCGGTGGGTGTCTTGACGGAGAGGTCCTTGGATGGTGGCTCTTTGCCTCGACGAGCTGCGCGAGAGTGGACTGAGACCTCTGCGATTTTTGGTGAGCATTCTGAAAACCATGTGCAGATTTGAAGTGCAGCAAACCTCTCTTCTTCACTTTTGGCGTCTTCATGGCCGGCGACTGTTCACGGCACAAGAATTGTGCTGTGCGTGCGAAGCGAAAAGACGTGAGGTCGGATGACATTCACTTGAAATTTATTGGCCCCAAGGTGACGCGCGCGCGAGACCCAGCCTGGATCACCGACCAGGGTCCAACGTTCCTCCTCGTGCTTGCTTGCTGCTGCTGCTCCATTCTACACACTTCTTCCGCCACTCCACTTTGTCCAACTCTTCACTCTCACCCGTCACCTATCTCTACCGCCGCAGATGCTTTCGTTGAATCAATCACAACCCCATCATGGATCGCCGCATCCAGCTTGAAAGCCTTCAGGACTTCCCAAAACCTACGATCACCACAGGACTGGCATACGGATTCATACTCCTCTACGCCTTACACTACTTGCTGAACTATCTGGACGTCCCTATCCTGTCGCCACGCGAGGCCATCTGGAATGCTGTGGTCTACTGCCTGCCGACGCCATTACTCCTGGACGCCGCGCGAAGACAAGAGCTACAGTCGAACGGGATGATCTCGCAAACGCATGCGGCCAAGAGCGATGCTCTGCGGAGGATGCTAGGCTTGGGAGGCAATGCGATACTTCAGAAGTTACCGAGCGGCGATGCGATTGGCATGGGGAGCATTATGAGGAGGATGAGCACAAGTGTGGCTGGATCCAAGGGACCACACGTGGTTACGAGCGATGCGCCTGCTGGACTTGGCAACTGGGACAACTCATGCTACCAGAATAGTGTTCTGCAAGCACTGAGTTCGTTGGGAAGCCTGAGAGATTGGCTGAGTGTGTCAGAACCGCCCGACGCGCAGAGTGGGAGCACAACCAACTCATCGTTGCAAGAGCTCATCGGGAAGCTGAGAGATCCTACGAACAACGGTAGACATATCTGGACGCCGGCGAAGTTGAAGAACATGAGCAGCTGGCAACAGCAAGACGCTCAGGAGTACTTTTCGAAGATCATGGACGAGTTGGACAAGGAGGCAGCAAAGGCTGCGAGTGTGAAGGAGGAGAAGCACGGGCTGGAGACCCTGGTCAAAGAGACAAGCACAGAGGATCAACATGATGCGGTGACAGAGAAGAAGGACATGTTTCCTCGAAACCCGTTGGAAGGCCTCGTTGCCCAGCGAGTCGCCTGCACCAGTTGTGGTTTCTCCGAAGGCTACTTGATGATACCCTTCAACTGCCTCACAGTACCTCTGGGGACCAAGTTTGTTTACGATCTGGAGGAATGCCTTGACGCATACACCGAAAGCGAGGACATTGAAGGTGTAGAGTGCCGCAGCTGTACCCTCCTCCATGCCCAGAAGAAGTTACGACAGCTAGAGTTGCCTCCTGAGTTGCGTGGACAAATTGCACAACGACTCAAAGCCATTGAAGAGGCACTCGAGAAGGACGATTTTTCCGACAAGACGCTCAAGCAGGAGTGCCAGATACCTGCGAAGCAATTCGTCAGCAGCACAAAGACAAGAGAAGCCATCATCGGACGCGCACCGAAGTCTCTTGTTGTTCACGTCAACAGGAGTGTCTTCGATGAGATGACAGGCATGCAGCGAAAGAATTATGCGCACGTTCAGTATCCATTAGACCTGGACTTGCGACCGTGGATGCTTCGAGCCAGCCGCAATCCATCACAGTACCGCCTTACTGCGGCGGTAACACACTACGGACGACACGAAAACGGGCATTACATCTGCTACCGAAAGCATCCACGGGTAGAAATTGCTGACGATGCCATTGAGCCTGACGACGATGTGTATGGTGCAGTGAAGGAAGGCTGGTGGCGGCTCAGCGATGAAGACGTCTCCCCGGTGTCGGTACACGATGTCGAGCAGCAGGGAGGTGTCTTTATGCTCTTCTATGAGCGTATTGACGAGCCTGGCCCGCCCTTCTCAACGGATGACGGGGATGTGGCCATTCCTGCCACAAACGACATCGAAGAAGCTGCTGCGATAGCACTACCGCCAGATGAAGAGGCAGACTGGGAGCAGCTGGGTGTAGAGCAAGTATCGACCGCGACACCCTCGCTCATTACATCTTCCTCTCAGTCTGTGGTGTCAGAGTCTGACACAGATGTCGAGTTGGACGGTGCTGATGATGGGGCGGTTGACGGGGCGAGCAAGCCTCAGCAGCAAGCTCCTTTGTTGAAGACGGCGAGTCCAGGCTACATGCGTCCTACCCAGAAGGACATGAAGCATGATATGAGCATGAGTCGGTCGATTATGAGCGTTTGAGCGAGCACTAGCTATTGCAAAATACGAAGTAATGTGAAATGTTGAACAGCCCGCGATCTCTTCATTCCAAGCGCACGTGACCTTTCCGCCGAAGTCTTGGCGTGGAAGCGCACGCTAGCGAAATTGCCAAACTCCGCTTCAAGCGAAGACACTGCACGCCGACGACAAGGACTACTAACCACACCCACACAGCAGTCGAGGTACACACCGAATTTCATCGCACCGTCGCACTCGAGTACTAACGTTCCTCGAAGATGGCCCAGGCAAAGAAGCACGTCACCATCGTCAAGAAGCGCACCGCGCGCTTCAACCGCCACCAGTCCGACCGCTTCAAGTGCGTCGACCCAAGCTGGAGGAAGCCCAAGGGTATCGACAATGCCGTCCGACGACGCTTTCGCGGCACTGCTGCCATGCCGAAGGTGCGTTGAAAAATGGGAGAAAGATGTGGAAGGAGGGCATTGGGGGAGAAGATGGGAAAGGATGATAGGAAGATGGACAAGAAGAGCAAGATTATGATGGGAATAAATGCTGATGGAAATTTTCACACAGATTGGCTACGGCAGCAACAAGAAGACCCGCCACATGATGCCTTCCGGCCACAAGGCCTTCCTCGTCAACAACACCCGCGAGTTGGACCTTCTCCTCATGCACAACAAGACCTACGCCGCTGAGTGAGCACACCCTGAGGGGAATTGAGACAAAAGGTCAGAGAGCTGACTTGACATTCTAGGATCGCACACGCCGTCTCGTCGAGAAAGCGGATAGAGATTGTTGCACGCGCCAAGCAGCTCGGCGTCAAGGTCACCAACCCCAAGGCCAAGATCTCGACCGAGTCGTAAACGACCGCTGCATGACATGGGAAAGGAAGACTTTTACGCGGGCGAAGTGGTTGAGCACAGGCGAGGATCGGAAATGGGCGTCACTCAGGTGTATTGGTCATTGCATTTCGTAGCCGGCCAAAGAAACTGCTTCATTGCTGTATGAGCTGGTTTTTTGCATTAACACCGCCAACGCCTCGCTAGAGTACTCGAAGTAAGAAGGGTGCATAGCACATCAAAGTCGTGCGAAAGCAACAGAAGTACAATTTTCCCGTCTTTTCACACGTTCAACCCTCCTCCATAGCTCCTGCATCTGCTTGCGACACCTCAGTCACCTCCTGCGTAGCCGCACTCCAGTATGCCCGAATGTCGACCTTGAACTCCGCCAACGCGATCCCAAACAGCTTCAGCAGCGCCGTCTGGTGACTGTTCATCTCCTTGCCCTCCTCACAAATCACATACTCTTGATCGAGCATCACCTTCCCCTTCTCCAACCTCGTCGGCATGCCCCACTTCCTCACCGTCACCTCCAGCGAATGCGGCAGCGGCACATCATCCTCGACCGGAACCTCCCCAGCCCTGCTGTACACCACGCCCGCCGGCACCGTCATCGTCCTCGTAGCAGCAACCCCCGCCCTCGCAAAGTCCACCTCCACAAACCCCTCAAAAAACTCCAACACCTCCTGCGGCGCCCGGTTCGTACACAGCAGCCCAACACTCCCCTTCAAATACCCGCTTAACTTGCCCAATCCCGGCGCATGCTCGTCCTCGGGCGTGGTCCCCAGCGCCTTCGCCATGACTTTGGTTTTCCCGAAGAAGAGTCGCGAGTCGGACGAGAAGTGTTGCCGGACGTCTTTGAGGTAGGTGTTGCGCATGTTTTCGACGGAGAAGACGAAGAGGTGGGCGTGCTCGTCGACGGCGGATTGCACGGCGGTGTAGAGGGAGAGGGACTTTTCTTTGGAGGGCTTCTTTTGCACGACGGAGGTGTGGATTACTTTGGCGCGTTTGGATTTCGGCATGGTGGCGGTTGGAGATGTATTTGGTGTGGTTTGGTGGTAGATTTGTGCGTCGATGGGGTCGAAGAGCGTGAGAGTTGCGTGAGTTGTGCGAGTCGTGGGATGCAGAGAGAGCTTCGACGATCTCGAGACGGAACTTCTGTAAATTTCATTTAAGGTTTGCGCTACTGTTATCGATCTTGGCAACACAAGTTTGATTAGAATCTAATCAATGTCTAGCTAATCTTTTCCAGGTGAGCGCTCCTTTCACATTTCATCCAACTTCGCCTTCCTCCTCGTCAACTCATTGTCATACGCATCACCTTCCCAACTTGCAAACTTTCTGGCTGGCACTTTCTCGTGGAACATGACGTTGAGCTCTTCATAGGTACGGCCGCGGCATTCTGGCAGACGGAAATACGTCCACATGATCGCGAGACACGCCGTGCCGAACCAGAAATATGCCGTCTGACCCTTGAGGCCGCCTTCGGTCGGATTGATGAGATACGGCTCGATGACGTTTGCAACGATCTGGGTGATATTATAGACGTTTCGCGACAGACAGACGGATTTCGCCCGCAGCCCGAGAGAAGACGTTTCCGAGATGATGGTGTAGCAGATTGGCCCGATAGTCGCCGAATAGACGAGCAGCCAGAGGATGCAGAGCGTTGCTTGAGCCCACTTGGAACCAGATGCTTGAGAGGCCGATGCGAGGATGCCGATGGTGAGCAGCAGGATGGAGTCGAGGATGAGGCCGCCGAGGTAGAGCGTACGTCTTCCGAACTTGGAGATCAAGTACCAGGAGAAGATGGTTCCCACGAAACCACACGCGGTGCCGCCGACTGCAATCTGGTATGAGTTGGTGGTAGAGATGCCGGCCTGTTGGAAGAAGTACGTTGGTCTGTTCGTCATGTCAGCAAGCCTGGTCGGTATTTCCTTACTGGATGTTCACTCACCCAAATGCGAATGTGGAGCCAGATAGAACCTGTCCCATGAAAGCCATACATGCGATTTCGGTCTTCCGGCGGTCGACACCTCGGAACAGGTCAAGATAGCTGGTGCCAGACTCCATCTCTTGTTCAAGCTTCAGAGTGTGGTTGATCTGAGCGATCGTCTGTTGCTGCGCTTGCGGATCCGTCGTTCCCAGCTTTGCAAGTGACTTGTAGGCATCGTCGACACGATTCGTACGGACCAGGTACCATGGAGACTCGGGAGCGAACAGAATGGCGAGGAGCAGTGGGACTGGCCACACCCATTGCAAGGCATAGCACAGCCGGTAGCTCCATCGATCTGGAAGATCCAAGGCTCCGTACAAGACACCAGCGGAAACGAGTTGACCGATCGCCCAGCATAGATTGACATAGCAAGTGAGATATCCTCGCAGGATCTGAGGGCAGACCTCAGACGCATAGGCTGGCCCGGTCGTGGCGAAGACACCCCAGGTCAAACCGCATAGGATCTGGCCGACTAAAAGAACCTGTGCAGAGCTGGCAAAGAACGGGATGAAGATCAACCAGTTCATCACGAAGAGGGAGCCGAGGACGACTCTCTTGTAGCCGAACTTGGGTGAGAGAAAGCCGTTCAGGAAGCCTGCGAGGTGGTGAGCCAAGTTCCCCCCAATTCTTGACAGAGAAGCCATACCTCCGATGACAATGCCGACGTTTGCGCCGTTGCTGAGGGCTGCTTGCCACGATCCGGAGACTTGATACGAGTTGGACGCTGCATGCCACGTTCCGAAGGTCTTTGCGAAGGACGGGTAAGCGAAGAACTGATAGATGAGACCTGCGCATCGTCAGCTGTGCGCCGAATACCTCGAAGCAACACCGGACAACTCACCAACATCGTAACCCTCCATGATGATAGTCAGACTGATGATCGCCGACCACAACGCTGCCTTCCAGTTGCCTTGCAGCGCCTGCCAAAGCGTCATGCTCTTCTCGGCTTCGGCAGCCTTCCTGGCATCGCTTTGGACTTCGACATTTTCAACGTAGGCAATAGGTGCCACGATGGCGTTCGACTTTGGCTGTTCTGGATCTGCCATATTCGCTTCACTGAATGCATAGATCTTGTGTGGTGAAAGATGAAGATGGATTTACGGACGAGAAATTTTGATATTGTAAATTGCAGCAATTACTCCCACTTTCGCTATCACGATATACAGCCAGCCACCGCCTGATCGAATCTATCGGGCTCATGCAGGCGCGTGACCAGCGTCATGACCATGAGGGCTTCTCGTGTCTCCCCGCATTACCTTTGTGTGGGCAGATTGATGATATATAGATGCCGTGACTGGCGACGCGGCAAAGCTACCAAAGTCAACCAAAGAACCCCCATGGGGAGCCTACTATGCACGTGACAGCCCGGTCCAACAAAAGAAACTGGTCATTCCGCCTGTCGCCTAGATGTCTGCAAGGTCAAAATCAGCGCATCATCGCCGTCCCGCCGGCCTGGTAATGAAGCTTGGCGGTATTCATGTCGACCGAAGATACATTAGCCCCATAATGAGGCGCAATCCATCGCTTCCACGAACATCAGAATTGGGCCGAGCAAAATGTGCGTCGTACAGACCTCAATCGTACAAACAACAGCCTTGTACTCCACGGCCAAGAGCTCCGGAAGTACGCCAACAAAGGCGCAACGGCTCACCTTGACACCAATTATAACAGCACGACCTCAGATACTTCCTCCTCGAGGATGTGAGCACGTGTGGCTTGTTGCAGTAACTCATTTCGCACTGCAGTCGTCTCATGTCCTTTGTGGCCATCGGGGCACATGGGTACTGAAGGTGTCCTCTATCCCAAACATTTGGAAGTCGACGGTGCGGTCAAGAGCAGCATGAAGGAGTGGTGCAATCTGATGGTTGTGAGTAGAGCTTTAAGTATCCCCTTTCTTTGCAATATCTCTTTGCCTGAAGGATCGTCCAAAACTCCGTCCTTCGCCAGTTGGCACCTGACAAAGTGGCGTCCTTTCTCATGCTCTCATGTCTCGTTGCTCACGCCTCAAGCTTACCTTCCCCTATTCACAACTTCCTCAGGACAAGATCACCAGGCTTCGAGTGGACCGCCTGGGGCGACTCCTACGCCTCAGGCGTCGGTGCCGGGGAGTACATCGATGGAAGACGATGTCTTCGCTACAACGGTGCCTACCCTGTCGAAATATCAGTCGACACGAACAATCTCCTCGCCACAACTGGGGGCGGTGTTTTCAACAACGTAGTCTGCTCCGGAGCCAAGGTGGAAGATGTCGAGGCGTACCAGTTCTTCCCAGAAGAAGCAGGCGCGGAACCTGACTGGCAGTACTACCCACGGCCGGCCAGTGGTAGGCCTAGCATGGGGACCCTTACTATTGGAGGGGATGATGTTGACTTCCCGGGTCTGCTGTATAGCTGCATCATGGAGAGCTTCCCGTGAATCTCCACAACACATCTATCAACCGACGGCGATAGCGCTGACGTACTTCGAATAGGTTTCCCCTGAGCGTCGGGTTCGAGGATCGGACCTGTGACCAGCAGCGGGCTCTGTCGTGGTCTTTGCTGAGCGAGGACGGCGATCATATCACTCCCAACAAGACTCTCGTCACGAAGCTGGACGGGCTGATCAAGACAATCGTCGCATTTGGTCGAGATGCTAGCGGCGATAACTTCAGGCTCTATGTGACTGGCTACGCTCAGTTCTTCAACGATACGGATCCGGGATGCGATAATGTGACATTTGCAAGGACAGCCAGCCCCGACGACGATGGAGAACCGCACATTATGGTAACGACGGCTTTACGGCAAGACTTTAATGCTATGAGTCGGATATTGAATCTCGCCATTCAGCAAGCCGTGGCAATGGACAGCGAGGCAAACGTCAAATACATCGATATCGACGGCTTTCTGTACGGTCATCGATTTTGCGAACCCGGAATCCAGGAGCCCGATCAGAAAAATCCCAACCTATGGTTCTATCACTACCCCTACGACCAGAACGACGCAGAGGCGAACGACCCAGCTATGCAGCACCTGAACACCATCGTAAACAAACACGCCGAATCCATCGTCTTCGACCCCAACACAACCCTCTGGACCGATCATCTCAACGCCGTGTGGTCCACGATCGACGAACACGCGGTCAACAAGGCCGCAGCGCTGTACGTGCAAGAGTTTCCGTCTGGCAATGGTACTAGTGAGAAGTACGATTTTTGGGGCGATAGCATCGGCTGGCGTGGCAAGGTCTTCCATCCGACGAAGGAGTTCCATCTGGTGATCTATGGAGCGATTATTGAGCAGTATTTGAAAGATACGAGTGCTTGGCCGGCGGTCCTTGAATAGGTGCCTCGGCCGTCCGCGAAAGAAGTCCTGGCGTTGAGTTTCACATCGATCTGGGTATGTTCGTGTTTTGACCATAGCCATTTGTAGTCCGTTACGAGAACTCTACTGCACTTTCAACGCCCCAAGGTCGACTGGAGTGTGTACTGCTGTCCTATCACGTTACCTGTAAGGCTGACGCCGTTGGCCTGGCCAGATTGGGCAATCGGTTCCCTCAGCTTTTCGTCGGCAGCGTCCAATGGCTGTTCCATGTGATTCTGACCTCATCTTCTATCCACGCGTTCTTCGGGCGACCACGCCACCAAATTCGAGCGTTTTATTCTCTTGTGCATCATTGAAGAAAGCAAGAAAGGTCTGCAAAATTGGTCGGGGGGACGAGCGGCAGCATCGGAATCAGAAATGACGAGCCTCAGCCGAAGTCTAATTTCTCATCACTGTTTTGCCTCAGCTGTCCTGCAGGAGCCGAGAAGAACCGACTCCGAAAGGATCTCTTCTTCATCAGCCGTATCAATCAATTTGTGACTTTTTGCATTGCTCTCTATAGACTGGAATTGGGCCATTGGAAACCTGCTGGCATGGGAAATTTACGATGAGACTGCTCGCCAAACGTCGCCAACATGTCTTCCGATAACACCAAAAAAGCCGAGACTGAATCTGCCAATGGACATCCTACGAGCCCAAAACTATCAAGAGGATCGAGCAACAGCCGCCATGGAGACGATGGGTCCAGAACGAAGACATCGCTGTCGCAGAGGATTCAGGCGCTATGGGCGAAGACCGGCATCGACAAGAGGACCTACATGTCCTTGTTCAAAGGATCACTTGCGCCTACCATTTCTCTGGCCCTGTTTCAATGGACGGCTTTTGCATACTACTTCACCACTCTGGGCTACCTCATCATTATCATGGTCATACTTGCGGTCGGCACCATGCCACGAGCAAAGTTCCTCCAGACCATGCTGATCAATGTTCTGTTCACTTGTCTTGGTGCCGCGATTACGCTGCTGGCCTTGTATTGCTCCGTCAAGGCACGAGTCAACAGTGTTGGATATCACGGCCCAGGAACCGGTGGACCAGGGACAAGCGGGACGCCTTCCAATGGAGCTGCGACTGCGACATACAACTCTTCTGGCTCGGCTGTGGCGGGAGTTTGGCTCTTCGTCCAGATCTACATTATCAGTGTCATTCGAGGAAAAAAGCCCCAATACACCATTCCGTGTATTCTCTGGGCTGTCTTTGCCAACGTCGCCATGACTTACGGGCCTCAGTTCAGTACAATGGCTCAGGCAGAGGCTTTCACCAAGCAGCTTTTGGTTGCCTTTCTCACCGGCTTCGGCATAGCTGCAGTCGTGTCTCTACTGGTGTTTCCTCTTACAAGCAGGCAGGTCGTCTTTAAGTCAATGGCCACTTATATCACGTCACTGCAAGGTGCCGTCCGAGCCAACTTGAAGTACCTGCATAGTCTTGAAGACTCCGACATGTTTGCCGCTCAACGAACGAACACAGCTGGTGAAAAGCCACCAAGGAGCAAGGAGGCGCAAGAATTCAAGGAGAAAGTGCAAGGACTGGCTGCATTGCACGCAAAGTTAGGCGCAGATCTGCCGTTTGCGAAAAGAGAAATCGCAATGGGAAAGCTGGGTCCCGACGACATCCAAGAATGCTATCGCCAGTTTCGTCTGGTCATGGTCCCGACTCTGAGCCTGAGCTCCCTCTCGGATATTTTCGAGCGTGTCGCAGAAGATCGAGGTTGGGACAGATCTGTTAATCTTGCCTCTACGAGTCTTGATGAAGCGCCGAATGACCAGGAGAAGATTCGCATCGAGGCCATCAATGAATGGCATGAGTTGATGAGCAAGCTTCGTGAACCATTTGATATGGTGTCAAAGACGATCGACGATGGATTGCAGCACGTACTGCTTACATTGCAGCTCATTAAGCCGGCGAAGAAGGGCAGCGACGTCGAGGCGAACGGGAATGTACCACAACCGGGCGAGAAGGCCTTCACGACTTATTTCGAAAGCAAATACCGAGAGTTTGGCGAGAGCAAGAAGACGATGCTACGAGGCTGGTGTCACATCCATGACATTGATTTGCCTGAAGATTTCTTTGAGAATGGAGACCATGCAGATTTCGATGCCCCCAAATGGATGCAGGAGGGCATTCTCTCGGAACCTCACAGGCGGCTACGGCGACAGCTCTTCTTGTGTCTATACATCGAGTTCCTTCTGATGACCATGAGCAAACGTCTCCACAAGCTCATGATCACCGTCGACAACTTTCGAGACAGCGGAAAACTGAGCAAGACGAGACTGGTCGTGCCTGGGTACAAGCGATTGAGGAAATGGTTCTTGGCACTCTTCCACGACAACGAAGATGCGCACGGCGAAGGTGATATCCAAACCGACGGCCACAACACACAAGTTCATCTCGGAGATGCATACAAGAAGAAGAAAGATCCTGAGCATCTTCCTCCCCAGAACACTTGGGAACATTTTGGCAACCAGTTCAGAAAGATCGCCCACTTCTTTCGATCGCCCGCGTCGTCCTTTGGATTCCGCGTCGCCTGCGCAACGTTGTCAATCGGTGTCATCAGCTTCCTCAAAGATACACAGGTATTCTTCACCAAGGAGAGGCTGTTCTGGGCACAGATCATGGTGTCTATTTCAATGAGCCCTACTGCTGGCCAGGGTTTGCGGAATGTCATCCTGAGAGTACTCGCCAATTTCGGTGCTCTGATAGCGGCCTGGATCGCCTGGTATATCGTCGATGGGCAGACGGCCGGTGTGATTGTGTTCTTCTTCATTGTGATACATGGCGGTGTCTACATCCTACTAAAGTATCCGCAGTACACCACGGTCGGGTTGGTCAGTCAAGTCACGGTCGGTCTAATCATCGGATACGAGCTCCAGGTCCGCAAAGTGGGAGTCCAGATTGCAACCTCGAACGGACAAGAGTACTATCCGATCTACGAGCTGGGCCCAATTCGTGTGGCAACCTGTTGCGCAGGGTTCTTCGTTGCCTGGGTCTGGACGATATTTCCATATCCCATCTCGGAGCACAGTCAAATCAGGAAGAACCTGGCTTCTGCATTGTACCTCCTCGCAAACTACTACTCCGTAACCCACGAGACCGTTCGACTTCGACTTCGCGACGAGCTTGGTGATATGAGCAGCAAAGACAGCCCTGGCCGCAAGTTGGAGAAGAGCCGGAATAAGATCTTCTCCAAAGCCAACTTGACGATTCAAGGCTTGCGGGCTCAGTCGGCTTTCCTCAAGTTTGATATTCCAGTTGGGGGGCAATTTCCACGGAAGCAATACCAGGATCTTGTGACTCAACTGCAAAGTATCCTGAACTTCATGTCACTCGTCAGCGTGGCTTCGTACAGCTTCACGGAGCTACGAGAAGAAGGCACACAAGACAGTCTGCGATGGCTGCATGATTTCCAACGGCTCGTGGGAGAAGCGCACATGACATCTGAACAAGTCACTACTTTACTTTCGCTCATGTCGGCTGCTGTTAGCGGTGGGCAAGCTCTTCCACCATACTTGCGAGTTCCTGAGCCATGGCTTCTGGCGAGCAAGCTGGATTCGGTGGACAAAGACATTCTTAGCATCAGACATATCGCTGAGCCTGGATACGCGAGCTTTGCGGTGGTCCAGATCGGAACCAAGTTCATTCACGATGATCTCCGAAAACTTGTGGCGGGCGTCAAGGAACTGGTCGGAGAGCTTGACTTCTCATACCACATCGTCAGCACCACGGATCCCACTAGAGAGGCCGACGAGACGCTGGTTTACACCAGAACGAATACGGTGGATAGTCGAGTGAAGTTGGACTGAGGCAAAGGCGTTGAGTACGACCCTAGTCTAGCCCACGCGTTGCTTTGCTCATGACAGCTTGGCAATATCCTCAGCCTGTCACCACATTATCGGCAATGTCTTGCAGAAGTGGATGCCTCAATGGAAGGAAGTGGCTCGCGTCGAGGCTCGGCATCCATTGTGCCATGAGCCGGTCTCCTCATCTGGCCCCCGCACTCGCCCGATCGACCAAAACGCAACGGTCGGTTCCTGGCTAAATGCAAATGACGTCGCTAATGCGATGTTGAGCCGCCATGGCAGCGTTGGCAAAAGCGTGGCGTGCTTCATCAAATCAAGAAGTTTTCGTCCTACAAAGAGGTCGTCATTGCCGGCGGCGAAGTTTGGAAGGTTGAAGCAGTACCTTCGGCAAAATGGTCAACATCACCAACGTGGATTTGTTGCGCTTGGCAACTAGCTTCGATTACGCCTACAGTCTCGAAGCCATCGCCAATGCTTCGACAGAGCAGGTGTCGTTCATTTCGTACGATCCGTCGTTCGAGACAGAAGTCCTGGGCAACAACGTGAGCCAAAAGCTCGTCGCCGACTTACCTTGGGACGCCTTCCACGAGGCTGGAATCTACAACCAGAACACTGGCAAAATCTACGCCACAAGCAACTGGGCCGGCGACTTCGACAACCCGATCAACGTAACCGTCATCGACATCAGCAACAACGACGCCATCTCGTCCATCCGCTACCCAAACCTCGCCGAGCCCAACGGCGGAACTGCTTTCTACCCTGTTGGCACCGCACCGAATAGTAATGAAGGACAACAGATTGTCTTCTGCGATGAGGGCGATTTGCAACGAGGCCCATCCCAGTTGGTTCTGGTCGATCCCGCGAAGAATACTAGCAAGGTCATCCTGAACAATTTTTTGGGGCGGAATCTTTCCTCGATCAATGATATTGTGCAGCATCCGAGGACTGGTGATCTGTAAGTCTTCATATTGCCTTAGAGTAGACGTGAGAGCTAACGTAGCCATTGTAGCTGGTTTACGGACGCGAGATATGCTTACTGGTAAGTATTTTGAAGGCTGTCTTTCGTCCACCTGAGGACTGATCACTCTATTTAGGCAGTACTTCGCCCCGGAACCAAGTATCCGACCACAAGTCTACCGCTTCGAGCCAAACACCGGTGTCGTCCAGGCTGTAGCCGATTACTTCATCGCACCCAACGGCATCGAACTCTCATACGACTGGAAGTACATCTACGTTACTGACACAGGCGTGCACACCTTTCCCGGCAAGGACAACTACACGGCACCGGCGACAATCTACCGCTACGAGATCACGAAAGATGGCAAGCGATTGAAGGACCGCCAGGTCTTCGCTTACAGCGATAGAGGCTTCCCCGACGGCATCCACAGCGATACTCTGGGGAATGTTTATTCCGCCACTTCTGATGGTGTTCATGTGTAAGCCCATCTCATCTCCACTTAAGTTATCACAGCTAAATGATGCGTTAGATGGAACCCCGAAGGTGTCCTCATCGGCAAATTCGCCGTCGGTGGCAATGGCTCCAACAACTTCGCCTTCGTGCCGGGCGGCATCTACATCTTCAATGCGTACAAGTTGTGGAAGGTCAATATCAAGGCTGAAGGCAGGACTGTCCGACGGGATTTTGGCTTGTGATGATGAAACACACGGCAGAAGATATCGAGCTTCTCTGTGCATACTTAATAGGTACTATACATCGGGGCGCTGACTCGACCAAGTTCGAAAGGCGTGGCGATGTCCTCAGGGATACGTCGTCCCGTTGACGAATGTTGTGTTCGTGTATTCGCCCGCCAGCTGCTCCAAATATCAGCAATGCCCCTTTCACCACATCCCCATAGAAGCTTTCTCTCAAGACTTACATGCCAAACATCAATCCTCAACGTAAACGCCGTATCATTCCCAGCGACACGATTCACCACTCCAACAGCTACCACAAAACAAAACCCTAAATCAACCCCTCTCCCCAGACGATTCAAGAACAAGAACTCACCAACAACATTATTCAACCAATACCACCGCTTATCCCCCGTCTCAATCACCACCCTCAAATGCAGTCCGCCCGCAGGGACCCCACTCCCACTCGTCCTCAACCACAAATTCGCCCCATCCTCCGTCACAAGATTATACCTCGTGTCCGCGGTGAAAACTCCCGTCTGCGGATCCGTCGAACCCCAGTCCGCTCCCAGGTTCAGAATCTTTCCATTCAGTCCATTGGGACCCGTGAAGTTCCCGCCGACGATGGGGATGGCTTTGCGGATGCCGGAGGGGCCTTGGGTTTCGTAGAGGGATTGGAGGCAGTTGACGTGGGCGGTGTAGAGGTGTTGTAGGGCTGGTGGGGTGGGTGTGGAGATGGAGATGGGGCGGAGAGGAGGGATTGGGAGGTTGAGAAGGGGAGGAGGGGAAGGAGGGAGGCGAGGGTTGGGAGGAGGAGCATAGTTGTTATTGTGAGGGGTTTAGACAATAATGGCGGGAAGGGCATATGGGTGGGTTGGAGATTTAGATGGTTGTTTATGAGGTATGCTGGTGAGACGTTGGTGTACACTACTTCGTCTTTACCTAGGTCGATAGTGCTCGGTAGGGAATTTCGGTATTGTACCTTGCATTCTCGACAAGGTTCTCCGTAATGGTGGCCGGTTGATGTCGTTACTACGCGGCCTTTGGAGTGGCGCGGTGAAGAGTGGACGTAGCAACTGCCGGTGCTCTCTCCTTCAATTGCCGGTTCAGACGAACATATCCACCTATCGTCCCTTCTGCAGCTGTGCAATCATTCTATCAATCTCCAGCATGCCATTACCAGTCGCTTTCGTCCTCAACTCTTCCAGTGCTGCGCGGTCCTTCGCTTTTAGAGCTTCTTCGCCTGCTTTGATCACCATCCCACACTTCACCCACATCTCAATCCGCTCGGGAGGGGTGAGATTGGTGCATTTAGGGATGAACACAGATGCGACCTTGGGATTCCCAGCTCCCAGAATCTCGTTGAAGAAAGGCTATAGTCAACATTAGCATGTGCATATCTGATACGAGGCTGATTTCGATAACTTACCTCCCACCCGATGGGGCTCCTCCTTCCCTTCGATATCTCTTCCAATTCTTTCCAGTCTCTCCTACTCACGAATGCCCGTAGTCTGATCCACCAGTACGTCTTCTCGCTGACTTTGAACTCGCTCTGTACTTTCTGAGACCGCTTCATATTACCGTTCTTAATCAGCTTGCTCAGCGTCTCGTTCACAGAAAGTCCTACGTATCGATCGTTGAGCTCCTTCTCGAAGACCTCCTGGAAACGCAACAGCCTCTGTGCATCGTCGATTGCGGCGACTTGATGCGCATACTCCTTGCTGTCACGCAGCAGCTTCGCGGCCATCTTGAGCTTGTCGGTGGCAGGCCCAATGTCGCTTGAATCGAGGGCTTCTGATATGAGGAGGTTGGCTCCATCAAGTCTTCTGTCGTCCTGGTAGTAAAGGTCTTTGAGAAGTTCCTGATCCTGATCCTTGGCTGAAGACTCGACGATGGCTGTTGCGATCGGCCGGCTGTTGATCGTCCTGAAAAAGCTGGACAAGGGCATGTTCTTCTTCATATTTAGCAAGACGTAAAACACCAGATCCGTGTCACCGCTTTCGATAGCCTTGTCGAGCGCGATTGACTCTTCTCCATTACTCATTAGCAAAGGTACTTGCTTTCCCGCCCGTGGCTCATGCTCCAGCAGCTTCGTAGCGAGTGTATCTCTGCCATCGTCGTAGGCCGCACGGGCGACCTCCTCGAAAGATATGCCTCGCTTGCCATTGAGCTTTCGAATGATTTCTTCGCAGATGTTGTCTTGGTCAGCGTCCGAGCTTCGCACCTTTTGTCGTGCCCAATGGACGTAGATCCGGTCGACCGGTAGGTGCAAATACTCGGATATCTTCAACGCTAGAAGATACTCTTGCCGGTTCACCAGTCGTTGTATGAGCCTCTCAGGCGTTAGTTGAAAGTACTGATCGTAGGATAACGGCAGGCCGATCTCGAAGAAGCGAACAGCATTCAGGACTCGCAGAGCTTCGGTCATCTCCACGAAATCGTCGCTGCTGTACAAATCCAGCACTGACTTGCCGAATGAAGCCGCTTTGAGCAATTGCTTCTGCCAATGGATGCTGTATTCTTGCCCAGCGGCTCGAACACATCCGTCCACAGCTTCGTCAAGTTTTGATCGAATGAGTTGGATATTGTCGTCCGCTTTGGGCGACTTGTTTTCCAGCTGATCGATCGCATCTAGGAGTACTGCAGATGGTGTCTCAGAACCGATGCGAAAGACCTCCTCGACAGACTCTGGCACCTTCTGGAGGAACTCGCACTTATCGTTCGTAAGCACTCGAATGCCATCGATATCCGGAAGAAGATGCAGAAACGAGGCGTAGTCGTCGAATCTTTCAAAAGCTCCGTTCGGTCCCACGAGGTGGAGTTCATCTTCCCACGCCAACACAACAGCATTGTTTCCGCACCATTGGAGGTCCTTGGGAGGAGTCTTCACCTTGGATTGATACTCGCTCAGTGGGTCTTGAAAATCGCTGCTGATGACCCAGACCTTGCCATCATCGGTATATAAGGCAATGAACTTGCCGTTCGGCGAAACACAAAGGTGTCGGAAAGGTCCCGCTTCGAGGCCGCGATCTTCGCACTCGACAGCATCCACAACGTAGACACTACTGTCGATAGCCAGTAGCACCTCAACTGCCCGCGAGGATGTGTGTTCTGGAGCAATGACTGCCCACGAAGCCACCTCCCCCGGAGGCGCAGATGCAAGAAGCTGCGGTCGCGGTTCATCATATCGTGTGACTGCCACCACACTGTTGTTGCCCAGAAGCGCCACGAATCCATTCGACCAAAACCTGCAGTCTTTCACCCCATGCTCTTCAGCGCCATGCCCGAGCGTGAATGGAGTAGAGTCGCCCTGTAGATCCGTGTACATGCGCACCGTGCCATCTTCGGTCACGAGCAGTAGCCTCTCATCTTCTGACCAGCCTATGCATTTTACATTGCCTCTATCCCAGGAGATCTGCCGGAGGAGCTTGCCGGCGCAACTGTAGATGTCTATCGTCGACTTGGCCGCTTGAGTGCCGCGGTAGGAGTAGATCTTGCTGTCATCTCGTCGCAGGGCTACACCGAATCAGTATCTGCGATATAAAACTCTTGGTAGTCGGTGCTCACCTACAGCACCACTGTAGGGAGCGCCAGTGACGGTGTAGTTCTCAAGTTCCAAATCCGGGTCGAAGACGGAGTCGTACAGCTGGATGCGTCGGTAGAACTTGTCACCGATTTTCTCCCAATTGGTGGTAGGCTTCGGCATTGTGGTGTATCTGCCCTCTCATGGCGTGGGAGTCATGGTATGTGGAAGGTCAGTATTGTTGTCGCCTTGAAGCTTCCAGTTGTGCCTGTGAGATGGTGGTGGCTCGTGCAGCGGAGCTGCTTCCTGGCCAACATCACGTCGCGAACAACGTCACTCCTCCCCTTCACCTCAGATGTCAATCAAATCAAAGAGGATGCCTTGAAAGAAGACTCAAGCGAAGAAAAGGTCATGTCTGATCACCAGATCCAGAGATTATAGGACAAGACGTCCTCGACCAGAACAAGCGCCAGACAAAATGGACCCAGCATTGCAAGATCGCCTCCAGGACCTGGGAGACCTGGAGCTGGCACTTCTCCTCTCCATGGTCGCTGAAGAACACTGTATTTTCTCTACAGATCCAGCCATATCCGGCAGTCTCCATCGCGAGTTGGAGCTTACGTGCATGGAGACATTTGGCACTCAGCCTGTCCTCATCGAATGCTCTCCTGAGATCACAGTGGATGAGTTCAACGAGGCCCTACTGGTCGAGGCAGATGAAGACTCGGACGAAATGGCTGATCGTGGCGAGACGATGCCGAGGGTCAGAGTCTCGATCAATTTCACCTCTGTCAAGGACCAGGAACCCGGACGACTTGGGAGCATCGGTAACAATAAGTTGGACGAACGACGAATTGCGGATGTCATCATAGCCACCGGACTTGATACTGCAGACGAAAGTGTTCAGGTCCAAGCCTTCGAGTTGCTTCGCTCAAAGCGTATATTCACCAGGTCTGCGATGCACGTGGCACCCAAGGATCTTCTCTTCATTGTTGTACTTTCGAGCCCCGATGCCCGTCTCTTTCGCCATCTCAACGATATATTCTGTCTGTCACACTTGCACGGTGAAGGAGATGGATTTCCACACCTTGAGGGTTCATCAGAAAAGCCTGCGATGCCGAGCTTCAGTCCAGAGGATATCAGCTATCTACGAACACTGACCAGCAAGATCTTCATCACGGCTGAGATGGCTCAGTTTGTCCACAACATTGTCGTCTTCATGCGAAACAGCCGATATATCAAGGGAGGAGTAACAGCTACGGCCACGCGGCAACTGCGTCTTCTCAGCCGGGCTTTGGCGCCAGTTCATGGACTTGACTATGTTCCGCCCTCATTGGTGGCATTGGCTGCACGCAAGATCTATCCGCATCGACTGGTCCTGGCTACGGCAGAGAACGAGAAGAGTCTCGTGTGGGGAAGCGATCCAGAAGCCGTTCGAGAGCTACTTGACGGCCTGACCATTGAAGACGCTATCGAAGACGTTCTTGCGAGTATTGAAGCACCTCTATGAGCGTCCTCGATACTAAAAGTCGGCCAAGCAATATGGAACAGTAACGGCATTGTCACAAGAGTTGACTATTCAGCCCCACTGCCACTTCTGGTAGATTGCGAGAAGTCTATCCATTAGGCTACAGACTTGACCGGCATTTCAGTACGAATACGGACGATTTTACTGCTCTCTTTAGAGGGGCTGAGCTTGAATGAGCTTGATTTGCAGACTCCATGTCCAGCTCGACGAGCTATCTACATGTGGAAGGCAGTATGCGAACGCCGACGATGACTACAGAAAATATCTTCCAGTCGTCTGTATTCAGTTCAGTTTGTCCGCAAAGAGCCGAACGCCCCTGGAGGTACCCTTGGCACAGCCATTATATCAGCAGAAACGACAGCTCTCGAACTCCACACCATATCTTTTAGTGGATCGACCGATAGTGGCATGCCCCGCTATACTGCAACACTTCGAAGACATTTACGACTGCGTTTCCGACAATGGCCAAAGGAGACGATGCGGCCAAAGCTTTCACTGAGAAGCAATTCGACTATCTTGTCATCGGTGGAGGCACGGCTGGCCTTGTGGTGGCGGCGCGATTGAGCGAAAGGCAGGACTTGAACGTTGGCGTACTCGAAGCTGGACATGCCATTCCAGATGATACACCTGCAGTCAGTGTGCCAGGACGATGGGGTGAAGGGATAGGCACAGGGTACGACTGGCAATTCGAAACAACTTCGCAAAAACAGCTTGGTGGTCGAAAGCTAGCATGGCCTCGTGGGAAAGCACTCGGAGGCTCGGCGGCGCTGAACTTCATGATATGGAACCGACCTAGTCGCGATGACCTGGATGCGTGGGAACGGCTCGGATGCAAGGGTTGGGGATGGAACGACATGCTGTGAGCCTTAACGTTTTGGACTCTACTCGACTGCATGGCCAGGAAGCTGATTTACATACCAGGCACTATTACAAGAAGAGTGAGATGTTCGTAGAACCTAATGACAAGGCTAAGCTAGAACATACCATCCACTACGATCGTGAAGCACATGGCACGAGCGGCCCAGTCACAGTCTCGTTCAATAAGGAGCATTCGGTTCCCCATCAATACTGGCACAAGACACTCGAAAACCTTGGTGTTGCAACAAACAAAATGCACATGTCAGGCTCGAACACTGGCGCATGGACGAGCATGGTGGCAGTCAATCCTCAAACCGCAACTCGCGAGTACTCTGCCACTTCGTACTACAAGCCGGTGAGGGATCGTAAAAATTTGACGGTCTTGACTGGTGCTATAGTGCGTGATGTTGTGCTCGAGAAGTCTGAGGGAGAATGGATCGCCCAGGGCGTGCGTTTCGAGCACGACGGGTCAGAGTATATTGCCCATGCCTCGAAAGAAGTGGTATTGTCCGCTGGCAGTATCAAGTCGCCACAAATCCTTGAGCTGTCTGGTATAGGAAACCCTGCGATATTGGAGAAAGCGGGGGCCCAGACGAAGGTGGTGAATAAGAATGTGGGCGAGAATCTACAGGATCATCTGAGTCGGTCTCCTCTTCTCCTGTGTTGTTCTCAGCCGATGTACTAATCCGTTGTGAATGCAGTGACTGCAACAATCTACGACATAGATCCGTCCGTCCCTACCCTCGACGACCTTCGCGTTGACCCCAAGCTTGCTGCTGCTGCAGACGAAGAATACAAGACTCGCCTCACAGGCCCCAGGACCTTGCTCTCCTGTTCGATGGCATACATCCCGCTGTCGACCTTGGTGCCAGAAGCAGGCATCTCTACTCTGACTTCGCATCTGTCAACTCCGACGGACCTCCTCTCAAAAGCTATCGCTAGTCGGCTTGAACCTTCTGCCAACGGCGGCCATGTTGAGTACATCTTCGACGTGGGCAATTGGAACCCTTTCACGCCGGTCCAGCCGGGCAAGAAATACGCCACTCTGCTGCAAATCCTCCAATACCCTTTCTCGCGCGGCAGCATTCATATCAACCCGGCAGCACCGCATGAAGCTCCGATAATCGATCCTCGATACTACGAAGACGAGGGCCAAATCGACCGTGAAGTCCAACTCCACGCCGCTGAGTTCGGTCAGAAAATTCTCGAGGCTGAACCGCTCAAGTCCTTCGTCAAAGAACGAGTCTGGCCTCCTAAGGGCGTGAACAATCGAGAATGGAACGAGTGGATCGTAGGAAATACTACAACGGATTGGCATCCCGTCGCGACGTGTGCCATGGGTGGAAAGGAGGGGAAGGAAGGGGGGGGGGGGGGGGTCGTCGACGAGAGGCTGAGGGTGTATGGGGTGAAAGGATTGAGGGTCGTGGATGCGAGCATTATGCCATTGCAGATATCGGCGCATCTGCAGGCCACGGTGTATGCCATCGGCGAGAAAGGGGCTGATGTGATATTGGAGGACGCGGGTGCTTGAATTTAGCTTTGCACGGGGGAGCGCAAGTGAATGTTCGCTTTCGTCTCGTTTCGCCAGGTGACGGAACCTAGTACTGTTATTCGTCGCCTTCTCAACAACTCTACAGCCTTGACGACTGTCAATCACATGCAAAGTACTTTCGCAGCTGACCGCCAGAAAGGAGAGAGTTTATGATATCCCACGCGGCCGTTGCCCTCGTGCCGAAATAGACTTTCACGTCGCCATCACAGTGACGTCAATCACGTGCGACCGGGACTCAAAGACGAGCGGGATTAAATGGCAGGCGGCGCCAACAGACGCATCCTCAAGGTACGCCGCAGCATGTGACCTTGCTATGCGCTATTATTCGATCACCGAGAAAACAACATGAACGGCTGACTTGATTGATATTGATTGACAGAGGGGCGCTGCGTACGCGCCCGAGTGCCTGTCGGACATGGCGCCCGCCAGGAAGAAGAGCAAGTTGGCCAACGACAACGAGCCTGATGAGCCTCGCCAATCGGACGTCCCTGCTGCACAGGAGGACGACGCGCCTGATACGTCGACAGTACAACCGCCGGAAGGAACGCCTTCTTCGCCGACGAGACCGAACAATCACAATCGCGGCAGCTGGTACTCGGCGTCGTCGTGGAAGAGTAAAGCCGGTCCGGTTGCACAGGTTGCGAGGGAGAGTATACAGGTCGATCGAGGCGTTAGTTCTGAGTCTTCGTCCTTGGTGAACAACCACGAAAACGATGCGAAGAGGAGGTCGAGTCAGAGCGTGAGCAAGAGTGTAAGGGGGAGCAGTCGGAAGAGTATACCCTTGATCGCGGAGCCTACGAGGGTGCATGCGACGAGCGATGTCAGCCAGCCGCCGAAGCAACAGCAGAAGAAACCTGTTGAGTCGAGTGAGAAGGTGAAAGAATCGGCAGGGCCTGAGGAGAGGAAAGAGGTGGAGGACGTGCCTTTGCCGCCTGAACCTACAGCGATGGGGGAGGGAGAGGGAAAGGATGATGCTGCTAGTATCAGGCCGGCGTCTGGAACGTGGTTTGGCTGGTGGTCGAGACCTGATGGGTATGGCAGTGATGGGGAGAAGGCCAAGAGCAGTGTGAAGGTCAATCTAGACGTGGCTGCAGAGGAGGCAAGTGGTACACCACTTCCTAGGTCACCGAATGAAGGACAGTTGGAAGTGCCGAAAGATGGCACGGAAGCTGGACAGAACGCCGCGAATGGTGCTGAAGACCCATCTGCGCAATTAAGGCCGGAGATGAGCATGAATACTGGTTCTACGAGATCATGGTTTGGGTTGTGGAGCAGTACACAGAATCAGCAGGCAGAGCAAGAGGGTCAACAGATTAAAGACAATGAGGAAGTGCAGCAGACGGAACAACTACCAGTCTCTGACACCAAAGCCACCGCGGAGCCAGCCGAGACCGCGAAGGATATGAAGACAGCAGATCCGTCAAAGGCAAATGATAATACTGAAGTGGAAAGACCAAAGTCGTCAGGCTGGGCTTTCTGGTCAAAAGAAACACCTAAAGAGGCGGGGCCTCAGCAAGATGGCACGCAGAAAGACGTGGGGGAGATAGCAGTTGCAGACACGCCTTCTCAGAGCCATCCTGAGGCTGCGCAGTTCAACACCGAGCCCGACCAGCGGAAACAAGCCAAGCCAGAGCTCAAACGTAACAGCTCACTCCTGAGGCCTAAGCGTGGGCGACCAGAGAAGCCGAAGGACTTGTCAGGAGAGACAACGGCCGCAGCCACACCTGTAGGCTCTGAGTTACCGACTCCATCAGCTTCCCAATTCCAGACACCAGCAGAGACACCAGAAGCCTCACCAGCACCAGCGCAGAGAGGCAAGAAACCATTGCAAGCACGGCCCAATCTCATCCTTCCCAAGTTCCGCGAGGTGTATCCTCCTGCACCGAATCCTGGATATCTCGAGCGATTAGCCCAGTACTTTGCGCAGACATTGCACATACCTGGATATGCGGCTCTGCCACCACCTCAGCACCCCTTCATCACGAAATACCCACCCAAAGTAAAGAAGGCTATCGCTATAGGTGTGCATGGATTCTTCCCGGCGCAGCTCTTCCAGCGCGTCCTTGGTCAACCCACTGGGACGTCGATACGGTTCGCGAACTATGCCGCTGCGTCTATCAAGCAGTGGTGTCAAGATCATCAGCCTGATGTGAAGGACGTAGAAGTCGAGAAGGTTGCACTTGAGGGAGAAGGCATCATTGCAGACCGGGTGAACACGCTTTGGAAGCTACTCCTGAACTGGCTGTCTCATCTTCGTCAGGCGGACTTCATCCTTGTCGCGTGTCACAGTCAGGGCGTGCCGGTGGCTATCATGCTAGTGGCAAAGCTCATCCAGCTTGGTGCGTTGTCGCCTCATGTTCGCATTGGCGTATGTGCGATGGCTGGAATCAATCTCGGGCCTTTCCTTGAATACAAGAGTCGGCTATTCGGTGGCTCTGCATTGGAGCTGTTCGACTTTTGTGACAGCAAGTCCAAGGTGTCCGTCGCTTATGCAGAGTCGTTGGATATATGCTTGCGGCAAGGTGTACGAGTGACCTTCTGCGGAAGCATCGACGATCAGCTCGTGAGCTTGGAGTCGAGTCTACATGCTCCCCTCACGCACCCATACGTGAACCGAATCGTGTTCATCGACGGCCGCTTGCATACCTCCAACTTCCTCTCGCACTTGATCGTGTTCGCCGTAAAGCTGAGAAACCTCTGCGTCAGCGATCACGGCCTGTTGAGGGAAATATCCGCCCCCGTCGCTGGCAGTTTAGTCGGCGGCGAAGGACACAGCAGAGTCTACGACGATCCAGCCGTCTACCAAACTGCCGTCGAATTTGCCCTCGAGAGCACAGAAATCTCTCCAGCGTTATACATCCCACCCACGAACGCCGACGAAAAGCGCAAATCCATGGAAGCTGCAACCCAGCGTCGAGCATCACTTGGTGGTTTCCCAACTAACATGAACGCCGCGAACCACATGCGTCGCGGATCTCTCTCCTCGCTCAGCCTCGCACCTCCCGGCATCGGACCTTCGATCGCCGCCTATGAAGCACCCGGTGCAATGGGCGTGGACAAGAATCCTTTCGTCCTACCCTGGGCGGTCCGAGGAATGCTAGAAGAAGACATCGTCCGACGAGATGCGAAGATGCAGGAGGAGGTGAAGGAGCTGGTAAAGGAATTCGAGAGCTGGAGGCCGAATAGTAAGGTGTTGAAAGACGTTCGGTGGAGGTTGGAGGGGGTCAGGAGTATGCTGTAGAGGAAGGAGGTGGGTTTTAATGACGGAGTTTTGGGATGGTGTTGGCGCTGGCAGTTTTTGATTTGATGCGATGTGAATGTTAGCGAGCGAGCGCTTGAATGGAGCGGTTATATAAGAGTTACAGAGATACCAGATAGATTTTGAGATGAGATGAAATGAGGAATATTTATGAATAATGGCCGCCCTTCTTCGCCGTGGGTCCTCCTGTATCCAACACCTCCCCCCGCTTGAGGCTCTTACCGATTGGACCAGGTCGGCTTCTGGGAGATGTGGTTGGTTTGAGGAGATGGAGTTGGGGGTGGGATTTATGTTGAGGGGATGAGTGGGAGGGGGATGGGGTGGAGGGGAGGTGAGGAGATAAGGGGAGGCAAGGGGAGGATGTGGGTAGCACGTGAATTGTGGAGACTGTGAGAGGTTGAGTGAAGGAAGTTGGTTGGAATTGAGCTGTACCGACGGCATGGATTTCGAAGACTTGCCCATTAATTCATCATCACCATCAATACAAACGATCGAACCCTTCCCATCCCATCATCCAACGACAGCATGTCCCCCTTCTCAACAAATATACAAACTCTCCAAAATCCCCGCATCCATCATCCTCCTCGCCTGCGAAGTCATCTCCCCAAACGGCCGCTCCAAACACCCAAACAACCCCATCAACTCCCGATGCAACTCCGCATCCATATACCCACCCTTCCAAATCTGCGTCGCCCATCGCCAGAGAACATCGTCCCTGAAAGCGGCGTCGTCGCAGAAATACGCGATAGTGCCAATAGCGTGTGACGGTATCGACGGAATATGTAGGACGTCTACCAAGTCCGAGACCGGGCCCGCGATCCCGGCCAACGTCGTCGCCACGTCGTGCGGAGCGATGTAGACCATATACGGCGTGAGAGGATTCCCGAGAGCAGCGACATCCTGATCGAAGACCTCGCCTCCCAGCCCGTGCTCCACGACACTCTCGAACATCTCCGCGATCTGCTTCGTCATGTTCCCATCACGCCGGAAGTGGACTTCGGTGTCTCTTTCCAGAAGGTCCAGAAACAGGGGCAGGCTCCTGAACGGCGCGGAGACGAGCCCGCGGTATTCGGAGTGGTGGTTGTAGATGTGGACGTCCATCAGGCGGCGCACGACGCACGCGGCGAACTCGAGGATGAAGTCTTCGGGGTGTTCGTCGGTGGCGTCGGCGTGGGCCATGACGAAGAGCTGGGCGTTGAACTGCTGGACGCGGGCGGAGGTCGAGATGCCGCGTCGGCGCGTCTAGCGGCGGAGGGCGGGGAGGAAGTCGAAGCAGTCGTTTTTGTAGTCGACGGCGTCTTTGATTTCGCGCGCGAGGCGGGCGCATTCTCGTTTGCGGATTGTGCGCGCCAGGGTGGTGGTGTTGATGTCGACGAAGGCGCAGAGGTCGCGGGAGATCAGTCTTGCTTGTTGGATCTCGGCGGCTGTGAGAGACTCGAAGATTACGAGCTTGAGCTCGGCGGGCAGGTCGATTAAAGCGCCTGCCATCGTGGAGCGAGTAAGTGTGCGAGGCCGGTCGATGTGCGTAGCGATATCGTGTCAATGGTCCAGCGTAATCGCGTAGCGAGCTAGTGATATGTATGGCAAACGCGTATCCTGCTGGCAAAAGCGATCCTGAGATACTCATATCGTAGGGCCCGAAAATATGGTTATGTGCTGCTCAGGTGCTCAGGGGAGAGATTGAGAATTTGGGAGGAGGCTGAGGTTCCACAAGGAAAGCAGTGCCCATACACGTAGCTTCTGCTGTTGATTCGAGGGCAGTGGAAAGCGCGGTGGATTGACCATGGCACTTTCGTCTCTACACACCACGAGCAATAATAAATGGGAGGCAGGAAGGTGGCTCTGAACATGTGTCAACCCTTTTAACCCTCATCGTGCCATTCAAGCGATTTTTCTTTCAACGTTCTTCGCTACCCTCCCTACGGCCTCGGCTTACTACTCATCGGCAAAGGCGGCGGCGGAGGCGGCTGCTCATCATTAAAGCCAGAAGGACCAGAGTTTTGCAGGCCAGCAGGGTGCAAAGCAGCCTTCTTCGGCGGAGGCGGCGGAGGAGCTTTCTTCTGCGCTGCAGCAGCTGCCGGTCCATTTGCTGGGGACGTCGGACTCGCAGGCGAAGGAGCATTATTCGAAGCGGCGCCAGTGTTCATCCTCGCGAAACGCTGCTGGAGCTCGTTCAGTTGTCCGGCTGGAGGGCCTCGTGTCGCGGGTGATTCTGGTTGGGAGTTGTTGTTGTTTCCTCCTATCCCGAACCCAGGGATTGAAACGCCTGCTTGTCCTAATCTAGTCGCTGCTCCTTGATTTATGGCTGCTGGGTCTTGATTCTGCTGTACAGGCGGATCTCTCAAAGCCTCATTATACGCCGGCGGCGGGGCAGGCGTGTACTCATCTGGATACTCATTCTGCCTCGGCGGTAACGAAGGAGGCGGAGCAGCAGCCTGTCTAGGCGGTTGTCTCGGCGGCAGCGCAGGAGACGAAGTCCTATTGACCGGACTCGCAACACCCGCAGGACTCGCTGCCTCCCCTCTCCTTACCGGAGGCTTTGGAAGATGATCCGTCCTCAGCCCTGATGTATCCGTCCTATACGGCCCAGCTTTCTCTTCTTGTACCTGCTCCTCTTGCATCTGCCTCTCTCGCTCTTCTCTTTCCCGCTTCTGCTGCGCATATCCACTCTGCACCGCCGACGCTCCCCATCCCCCGCTAGGTCCACTCGATGCAGTCCCCGTCCTACTCGCACTCCCACCACTAAGCCCGGTCCCCGTCCGACTCACACCATCTGCCCCGTAATACGCCGAATGCTTCGGCGGCGGTCCGAACGAATCCGGATCTTGCAAGCTGGCGAGGGGTCGGGATGTGTGATTCTTCTGCTCTTCGTAGGGGTCTTTCTTGGTGCCGGTCACTTTTCCTTTGAGGTCCGACTTCCAGGTGTCGCGGTGGATGCCTATGCCTCTACTCTCACCGCCACTGCTGCTGTTTCCTCTGACTTTATTGTCTGCTGAGTGCCAGCCGCCCTTGGCGATGCCTTTCATCTTATCCATTGTTGCGGGATAGGTGGGGTTTGGAGTGGGTCCGAATGGAAGATTATTGTATCCCGCCGATGTCGAAGGCGTGTAGTTCAAGATCCTCGTGGTAGTTCTCCAGTGGACGGAGAATGATCTCAAAGTAGGTCGGCTCCAGTCGTGTATATCGAGGAGTTGGGTAAGATGTTGCTTGCAAATGCATCGCGTGAGCATCATGTCTGCGCCAGCAAAGATGACGCAGTTGGCGAGTCGGTCCGAGTTTTCCGACCATCGGCATTTGACTGTCACATGTCAAAAGTATATCGTTGACATAACGTCGTTAAATTTGGGTGAATGAAAACGGCAATGCTACAGTAGTGGGAAGACGAATGCTTTCGCTTCTCATATCATGTCTTCGATATCAACCCTCAGACGTATTCCTCTCTCCACCAACGTTTCATACGATTGCCTCAGCTCACCCTGGCTCAAGGTGCCATCACACAGAAACTTCATGCCCGTGATCACCCACTGCTTCACCCACGGTAGACTTCTCAAGCCGTCCAAGTAGACTTGCTTCGTTCGTTGCGCAGCCTCCCGTTTCCTTGTACCTTCCAGGCGATGGGTCTGTCCATGCTCGAACCTGAGCCACATCATCCAGAGGAACAGCGAGTGATTCACAGCACTGTCTGCGCTCAACAGCGCTTTCGAGAACGTCGCACGAACGGTGTTGGGGTTCGATCCAAATGCTTCGTCTCCAAGTCGACGAAGCTCTTCAGCGATCTTGAAAGACCACTGAACAATCGACAAGTCGGCTGAATGGGTTACTTGCTGATTTCGGACGAGACTTCGAAGCCGATCCTGTGCTACAATGCTAGAGTGCAGTTCCAGCAAAGAACTGTTGCTTGGGAATAGCTTCAAAGCCTCCTCGAGCTGAAATTTTAAGGCAGCCGGCTTGAAAGGTCGTTGTCGATCAACATGCAGCTTGAGTAACCCAGCTTGGTATTCTTCGATCAACTCGACCGCAGCTGTCAAACCACTCCGTTTGAACCTCGAGGCTTGAGTGTGAAAGACTTGCAAAGTACGGTCCATGTCACGACCATTAGCAAGGTACTCCATCCAGGCCAGACAGTCAACAAGCAGGGCACCGTGTAGATGATTGCGCGCGAGAAGTGCTCGGTCTAGTCTTTCTTTGAGCAGCCTTCTAGCCCTCAGCCTCTTCACATGTGAGCCAGCGTCGTCTTCTGCAACCACGTGTCGAGCAGCGGACTCTGCGATACTCTGAATATCTCTGAGAGCAGCAGTATCTTGACCATTTTTGCATTGTGCAAGCAAGCGACTGTGCCAGAGGACAACGTCGCCATCTCTCGCAGCCGAGCCCAAGTCCGCGCCTAGTGCCGTTGTCCAGACACTTTGCGCCTTGTCCAAGTTGCCTCTCTTTGCCTCAATCAAAGCATACGCGTTGTAGAGGCGTAGGCTTGATGGTCTCTGCTTGAGCAAACGTTTTGCAGTTTTTCCGGCTTCGACCGGCGATAGCTGAAGCTTGTAAGCTAGAAAATACTCCGCAATGTCGTCGTCTTGAGGGACTACCGCTACGATGGCCTCCAGTATCCTGTCGACAAAATCGATCAGCCCTCGGGGATCGTCAGCGCTCGTATCAAAGCGACGAGCGAAGTCGTCAAAAGCATCATCGAACAGGCTGTCGGTTGTCTCACGTCGACACTGCAAATTTCCAACGGATGTGTTCAGAACCCCATCCACAGCAGCATATGTTGTCCATCCACTCCCAAGGTGTGGATCTTGGGACCAAGCCATCTTTGGAGACGCTTCATCGGTGGAGGCTATGCAAGGCAGCCCAAAGAAGCAGAGAGCAGCGCTGATCAACGTCTTCGTAGGCAGCTCGCTGCTGACAAGGTCAAGTATCTCGCTGATATCTGAGAACATGACGCACCGAAAGGGATCTGAGGTTGCATCATCATCTTCGGTCGAAGCCGGCAAGATGAAGCCTTGAAGGGCAGTTTCTGTCTCGGCGAAGCTCACGAAGGGACGTTTGCGATCGATTGGCCTTTGCTGAGCGTTTGCAGGAGTCCTAGTGGTGCTTTCATTCGTCTCTTCGTAGTGCATCCATCCTTTCGAATCATTTTCGCCGATTCGTGGAGTTTCGCTTTCCCAAAAGTCTTCAAACGAGGCCAAACGATCCGAGAGCGATGCTTCTCGTAGCTGTGGTGGCATGCGCAGATGGTATTCCAATACTGCTTGCCATAGAGCGATGGACAGCTCGTCATAACCAGCATCTCGAATGAAGGCCGTGAGTCGTAGCAGAACATAGACCTGAATGTCACTGGTCGAAGTTCCCTCTTTCTCCCCAGCCACTTTCAGCATCCGCAAGCATTGGGTGAAGGCATCCTTGCAATCTTCAAATTTGAAGCCGGAGTGACTGTCCTGAACATAATTCAGGTAGTCTGTCCACAACATGATGCTGCCGGGACATTCGGCAAGCGCTTCTATCCACCTCGACGCTCGTTTCGCGCTATCCCAGACAATTGTCCCTTCATCGATGATAGCGCGTAGCAGCCGCTCGCGGTACGTGGTGCCTTTGGTGATGTGAGTGCAGGCCTCATTCAAGATGGACAAGCGAAGGTCTGCAAGCGTCCTTCTCTCTGAAGACGACAGGGATACTGCTAGGGCGCCCGCTCGAACCAGCTTGGCCTGGTGGTCAGAAAGTGCAAGCCAGGCATTCAAGTCATTCGGGTTTGTTTTGGCAGCTTTGGACAGTACAGCGCTTTGCTGCCTTATATGCAAGTCCAGATCAGTGTCCTCCCCCTCAGAGTCTGAATCGATCTCGAGATCTTCATCTGCGGGTTGAGATGATGTTTTGGCCTTTCCTTCAATTGAACGGTAATCGACAGTAAAGGCAGCAGGCTCTGGAGATTCAGATCCACGTTTGCGCTTTCGTGAAGGTCGTAAGTCAATGTAGTCACTCTCAGTCGAATCGTTGTTGTCCGAGGTGAACAGTACGAAACGGAGCTTGCTTTCATTGCCTCTGCCGTGCTTCGAAGTGAGCAATCTCGGTTTCCTCTGGCGATGGTCGAGAGTCGTCAATCGGATCTCCTTGTCGCTACTATCATCCCTGTCTATCTTGGTTGATCCAGCAAGACCCAGGACTTTCCCATAACCAACGCGGCGATAAGCGGGGATGCTGTATCGATGGAGGCTACCATACTCTACATTCTTCGAGTCACCGCGACGATCGACAATGAATAGACTGGACTCCTCGAACTCGTCCGTGGCTATGGGAAGTTCATCCGGTGTCTTGGCACGCGCTTCTTGACTTCGTTTCCGATGAGACAGCTCCTGTCGAGACGTCCGCTCCCTCGACTCGCGCCGGTCATGACGATGCCGTCTTCGATCCTCATCGTGACGCCCCTGGTGCTTCCTCGAGTGCTCCTCACGCTTGGACCTGTTCTGAGATTCGTCTTCTCGTGGCGTCGGTTTGGAAGCGCTCTTCGGCTTGAAGCTGCCAAACTTGGGCACCGCAGTCTGGTCCATCTGCTCTGGGATCAGCACGCATTTCTCGGCGCTTTCTGACTTTTTATGTACTCACCTGGTGTCAAGTTAAGGTCCAAGATGGCAGCTGTTGATGTGAGCGGCGGCGAAAGAGATGGCCCGAGAGCGCACGACTTTTGCATGTGAGCCGGTGACAATCCCGAGCGATCAGAAATCTTGGCGGTAGATCTCTGGAAAACGCTTTGCTGAAGTTGAAGCTCTCGACATTCACCATCCACCACGGCGGTTGGAGCCTGGACCGCGCAGGAGAACACACGAGAGTCGCAGCAAGATGGCGACCGCCCTCCAGCAGCAGTTGGCCGTCATTGCCGCCAACAGCACCCACCAGCTCGACTTGAAGGCGCAAAAGGCCCGTCATAGCAAGTCGTTGCTCTTCGAAGCCAGAGACGCCTCTACGCAGAACTTCGATACCATTTACCAGATCTGCTTGGAAGGCTTTGAGGAGCTATGCCAACTGGACGCACGATTCGTTCCCTTCTCCCGAAATCTCTTCAGCGAGCAGAGCAAGAATGAAGACCGGACGCAAATGACGGCAAAAGAGGTGGAGGAGCTGGACAGTGTGATAGACAGATTCTTGGGATTGCTAGGAGGACGGCTATTACTGAAGCCTGCTATGAAGGCTGCTGAGTGGTTGGTCCGACGCTTCAGAGTACACGAATACAACACCGAGACGGTCCTGTTGACATTTCTGCCATACCATGGATCGCACATCTTTCCCACGCTTCTTTCGATTCTACCGGACCAGCTACCGTCCAACTTCCGATTCCTACATCCGTATGTCACATCGCTGCAGAGTCCCCCACGACATGCGATCGTCGCAGCAACGAGCAACAACTCGGCCTTCTTCACATCATTCAGCCACTACGTTTTGAACGTAGCAAAGGCGAGACATCAGTCTGCCTTGTTGCTCGGTTTCTGGGCCAGCGTGACAGCACAGGCAGTCAACGGCATGATCGATTCAACAAGATCTGGACGAGAAACAATTCGAAAGCAGAAAGAGGAGGATCTCTTGCTCAAAGTCTTGCCCATCCTGCAAACCGCACTGAGCATCAAAGATGTACCGGAGCTATACCTTGGATCTTGCATGGTCATGACGATCTTGGCAGCGAAATCGTCTCTCAGCGAGAAAGCTCTCAACGCCATGATGGAGGCAGTTGCTGGTGGATGGACAGATCAGACTCTCGAAGACGGAATGGTCACATTGGCTGTGTTGGCAGAAGAGAAGCAAGACTTGACTCTGCCAAATTCAGTCGTTCGAGCCGTCACGAAGCAAGCAGACGTGCTCAAATATGTGAACCGGATTGCGTCGAAATGCCGAGCGGACCATCTGATTACCGGGATTGCCATCGGCGCCGTGCATTTAATTGCCTCGAAGGAGAACGTCCAGGCAAGTGGGATCCTAGCTGGTGCCCTTCGACTCCCTTACATTTCTGGCGAGTCCAAGCTCGAAGTTCTTGTCATCGCCATGGAAGCCGTTGCAGATTCTGGAGCAAATGATGCTCAACGGAAGCAGCTTCTTAGCCCCATTCACTCTTTCGCCGAGCAAGACAGCAGTGGACATCTTATCACCCTGGCAGCTCAAAAGGCCGAGACCAGTCTTGGAAGACTGGATGCCGATCTGGCCTTGCAAATTCACGACAAGACAGTCGACGATGGCAATGAAAACGACCCGGAAACGATGCAGATAGACGAGAAGCCGGCCAGCGAGACCCACAATCCGAGCCTTGATGTCGAAAAATTGGCCAAGCTGCCGAGCAAGCCGATATCGTTTTTGGACGCGAAACACGATAAGCTGTTTGAGGAGTACTCTGAAGCATTTGTAAAGGCTGTGTCTCCCAAGGACGACTTGGGGCGGCTGTTGAAGGTGCTGTCGCCGGACAAAAGCAGTTTCGCACAGCACTCAACGATGGGTACATTCTTAGCGCGTCTCTGGACCAGCAGCTTTCCCTTCTCTGCCAGGGCCAAGGCTTTGCAGATTACAGCTCAAAGGCTGCAGAGATCCAAGCAAGAGCCTTCATCAGCCGACATGCAAGCACTTTTGCCGTATTTGGTCGCTGCTCTTGCAGACCCTGCAAAGCCGGTCAGGTTGGCGGCCTCTTCCGCTTGTCTTGCTTTGAAGGCACTTTACGAGAATTCCGCGGCTGCAAAGTCCTCACAGCCCAATGTGTGGTGTCAGCACAGTCTTTATGGCCAGAGAAGCTCGCAAATCCACTGGATCCCTACATTGGACGCCCAAAGACTCTTCTCCGAAGCCGTTGCAACGATCCTGGAAGAGTGTGTTGTGGACAGCAACTACCTTGTACAATCTCTCGCGGACTCCATCAATGGAGCTAAATCAGACGGCAAGGAGCTAAAGTCAACCCTTCGAGCGAGCGCCTACGCATTCCTTGCCTCGCATACCGTTTTGTCGCCAGCAGAAGGGGTGAAAATTCGTTTGCTGTCGATATTGAGCAAAGTCGGCAAGATTGCTGGTACAGCAAGAACGCAAATCTTGTTGCCTTACGTTCGAACCCATTTTGCTTCCTCACGGGCCGAGTCGCAGAACGATGCTCTCAGCAGGGCACTGATGCAAAATGTGACGCATCGAAGCGCAGAGGAGATCGAGTTCCTCAGAGAGCTTGCGTGCGGTCGACTTGCCTCTGGATCTGGTCCACATTCCCTGGCCTTCGACGGAATTCGGCAGCTGTGGGCGGCTATGAAGGACGCCGCACGCATGGAGCTGCTCAATTGGCTTTTGGATCTTGGACTCAATCAAGAGGTCACCGATGACATTCAGTCTGAAGCAGTCGAGACCCTCCGTAGCCTATCGATTCCAAGTGACGTTCTTGTGCAGTTGGCCGAGAGCTTGCCTAGCGTCTCTGACTTGCAAGGCCATCATACTCCCGCCAAGAAGCAACGGACAAGCAGAACATCTGAGACACCCAAGCCGGGCAGTCTCGACAGACAAAAGCTTGACATCGCCATTCGGAGATGGACATTGGTATTGGAGCTAGTTGAAGAGTTGAAACCGGAAAATCATCCCCAGCTTCTCAAGGGCCTGTTCCACCTCTTGAGCGAACTACATCACTACAAGACCTTGCTCGACTCTGAACTTGTGTATCTACAAGGTCTGATAGTCAACAGCTTGCTGTCGGTAGTCAACGGCCTGAAGACAACGGCCAACAAAGAGGTCGATAGGTCTGTGGTTCGCCCGGACCTTATTGTTGATTGCGTGCGCACGACATCGAGCACACAAGTTCACCATGCAGCCTTGCTGCTGATGTCTTCCCTGGCTTCCTGGGCTCCAGACTTAGTCCTGCACAGCGTCATGCCACTTTTCACGTTCATGAGCTCCACAATCCTCAAGCAGAGCGATGATTACAGCGCTCACGTCACAGACCAAACAGTCGCACGAATCATTCCGCCCTTGGCTGCCTCACTCAAGAAACGTGGCCGAGACCTGATCAGCGGAGCTGCTGAGCTTCTCCTCAGCTTCACTGCTGCGTTTGAGCACATTCCGCTCCATCGACGACCGGGATTGTTCCGCCATCTGGTCACGACCCTAGGCGCAGAGGAGTCACTATTCGCCATAGCCGCCATGCTCATCGAGCGTTATCCAGCGGAGACCAACCTACGGCAGTTCGTTGCCGAATTGATGGACCACTTCCATGTCAAGGTGCAGCTTTCGTCAGTCAGACAATACCTTGATCTCGTTTTCGACACTCTTAAAGTGAAGAGAGGTCTGTCCGACGTGATTCTTGGGTTTGGTGAGAAGAATGCAGACCAAGCCAAGGAAGCTACTTCAGTGTTACTCGACGGACTGGCGGATGTACTTGGTCAGAATACCCTCCGCAAAAGATTGGCCAAGGAGTTGAAGGGCAGCAGCGAGCAGGCCGATGAGCTGCGAGTCTCGTACTCTGTCATCCTGGAAAAGACCATGCAGCTTGGTCTCCAAATCAAACCCGACGACGACCGTCACGACGCCGCCAGCAATGTTCTTACATCAGTCCTCAGCTTGATGCCAACCAAAGACTTCATCGAATCTAGCGCAATGCTGATGCAGACCGGATCGGACGAGATTCGACAACAAGTCTTTTACTCGTTGGAGACACGGGTGAGCTCAGCCAAGCGAGCCGACGCAGAGATGCAGCGAGTGTTCATGGATGTGTTACCAAACTGCAGCCTGTTCATTGTTGAGAGTCAGCCGGTGGAGACCAGGCTCGCTGCAATCGCCTGCGTCGACCGCATCTCAGAGAAGTTTGGCAAGACCAATCGCGCCGAGGTTAACAACGCTGCTCAGCCGGTCATGGGCGACTCTGCCTTTGGATCGACTGATTACAGGCTGAGGCGTATGTCTCTGCTGTGCCTCGCAAGCATGGTCGAAGTCCTTGGAGACGAATTTATCGCACTTCTTCCTACGGCTCTGGGGAATGCGTTGCGATACATGCAAGAAAGTGTGTCTGTTGACGAGGACGAGCGCACTGAGGAAGGCCAGGCCTTACTCTCTGCTGGTTTCAGCTTAGCTATGGCCATCCTCGACTACATTCCGTGGATGCTATCGGGGTCTTACCTCGACCGTCTGCTGAAGATCGCTGCAGAAGCTGACAGCAATGGGGCAGCAGAACTCAAGAATCTGGCCGCACGTAAGGTTTCTGCCCAAGACTGTTTCGCAGCTATTGAGCGAATCTGGGAAGATGTTGCCGGTCTTGGCGATTCAGCTGCCCAGTACACTGTCGCACTGTTCCATGCTGCCATCAAACATCACACCAAAGCCACAATTACCAAGAATGTCAAGCCGATATTCGCCATCTTGCTGAACGCTTTCGACCTGCGCCGCAACCTGACCTTGGAGGATGACGAAGATGCGGAGGTTGACCCTGCCATCTTTGACGAGGTCGACAGTGCAGCTATGGACGTGGTACTCAAGCTGAATGACGCCGCCTTCCGGCCATTCTTCGTCCGGTTCACGGAGTGGGCTACCAAAGGACTGTCGAAGAAAGACAAGTCGGGAACTGTTCAGAGGTGCATCAGTCTTTATAGCTTCAGCTTGACGCTCTTCGATCAGCTCAAGTCGCTGGTGACGAGCTACGCCGGATACCTGCTCGAGAACGCCGCCACTCTGCTCAAGACTCTATCAGCCAACGACGAGTTCCAGGCACAACTACTTGAGACCGTCATTAAAGCCCTCGCTAGCAACTTCTCCCACGATCAGGACGGCTTCTGGCAATCACCCACCCACTTCGACGCGATCGCCGCCCCACTCCTCAGCGCTCTGCAATGCGAAGACGAAACCATCGTCAACGACCACGCCATCCCCGCCATCGCAGAGTTCGCGGGCGCCGCCAACTCCCCCGAACACCACAAGACACTCAACGGCATCTTCATGTCGTACATGCGGCACGGGGACGCGGGGATCCGCTTGGCAGCCGTCAAGTGCCAGCGGGCGGTTCTTGACAAGTTGAATGTGGACTGGATCGGTCTGTTGCCGGAGTGGCTGCCGGCGATTTCGGAACTGCAGGAGGATGACGATGGGGTTGTTGAGAGGGAGACGTTGAGGTGGATTCAGCAGATTGAGGATGTTACTGGGGAGAGCTTGTATAATATGCTACAGTAGAATGATCATGGAAGAGGCAGAGCGACGAGGTGCCGCCTTTGCAGTATGCTTCAAGAGGTCTCGCTGAGGTTTAGGAATGGAGCAGATGATGGACAGCAAATGCCTCTCATTAGCATATCCTCATCCCACAGACCCGCACGCCCTGATCCGTAACCACGGCATCTCGATCAAACCACACCTTCACCATGTCGGCCACAAACCCCTTGTCCGCTTCACTCCAACTATCCAACCCCATCGCCCTAACATCCTCCCCATTGATCTGAATCTCGTCCTCCTGAATCCCTTCCTCGGTCTCGTCGTCGGCCTCTTCCACAATCGCGGACATCGTCCGCAAAACTACCTCCGTGACCCTTCTGAAATACGCTACGAGCATAGTCGCCGCTGCTCGGGAGTACTCCATCTCTCGTTCCGCGTCAGTCTTGCCACTCGTAGCCGCCTCGGGGAACAGACCACCGACGTCGGGCATATCGAATAGAAGTTCCTCATCGGCTTTCGTCTCGTCGTTCTCCCAAGCGCTCGCTTCGCCTGCCGATGCCCACCACATGAAGCCTTTGTAAGCCAACGATGTCCACGTTGAGGGTTCGGTAGCTTCTGCTTCATCGCGTTCTTGGAGCCCTGTGTTGTCGTAGAGTTCGGAGCTGGATTTGTTGCGGCGAAGGAGCGGACGCTCGTCGGATTCGTCTATTTCCGCGGATGCCGAGTCGTCGCTGTAGGTGCCTACCATCTGGCGCCGTAATCGTCGAAGCTCCCTCCTAAGGAGCGTCCAGCGGCGGAGGTCCCGTTGAGATGCTTTGAGGATCTTCCCGTCGGATGTTTTTAGCTTCGGCCAGATTTTGGTGGCGGCGGGCTGTGAGGCGGGGAGTTGAACGAGGAGATCGTAGAGGTACTTCTTTTCGCCGAGAATATCGTCGGTGGTACATGCTACCCAGCCAGTGCTGTCATCGCGGGAGCTCAGAGATGGTATATCATGGATGCCGACGCTAAAGAGTGGTACGCTGCGGAAAAGTGGCTCCGATTCCGGGGGTAAGCTCTCACCCAGCCCTCGCGGGATGCTGGACAAGACGGAGGCAATGTATACTGTATTGGCGTTGTCCTGCACGGAAGGGCTTCCAAGCAACAGCACTCGCTTCCTGGATAATACAGCACGGTGCAGTGGGAAGAGCAGAGGTCCAAACATGTCCAGAATCGCCGGTACATGCAACGCAGGATGATCGGGTGGCCATGTCCCTTCTGCATTGAAGTCCGCCAACGTGGCATCGGACAGAGCGCGCTTCCGTTTCCTACTCTCAAGACCAGCATTTGGCGCATCCCGCGTAGCAGCAGGCGACAACGAGCTCCTCCTGAAGGCCTGATCCGCCCTATGTTCCTTCCAGAACAGCTCCAGCGCCCTAGTATCCGACGTATTCTTCACAACATCTCTTGCCAGTCTCCTCAGCTCCGCAGCATGTATCCAACTCCTCCCAAGCTGCCCATAGCTCAGCGGCACCAGTGCCCCAACAGCCGCAAAGTTGGCATTGCGGTGCTTCGCGTCCGCGGCGTCTTGCACAAAGACGCTAACACCGGCATGCGCACCATGTATGAAGTATATCAGATCTTCCTTCACGGCGTGTAGTCCGGATGGCAGGCTTTTGTATTCGACTCCGTCCAGGTCGATTTCGGGGAGGTTTCGCTTCCAGGCAATGGTGTAGCTAGAGTCTGTCAGATGTGGTTGATGGTCAGGGTGTTGCTCTTACGTACCCCACCTTTTGATCGAAGACTACCAGGAAGACGGCGGATACTGGTGGAACGTCCTGGCGCTCCATGGCGTGGGCATTGGATATTCACTCACGCGACGGGAGCTGGAAGTCAACAGGAGGTGACGTCTCGTTTCACATGCCGACGCGGGATTGCCCGAGTGCTTAGTCACGCACTTGTCGCCGACGAACTAAACGTCTCTGGGAGGTGTCGTACAGTGGACTGTTAAGAAAGGAGCCATCGTTTCTCTTCGCCTGCATACACTATGCTCGCGTCTATGCATGCTATTGAGTGACAAAGACATTGCAATTCAGTAAATGGCCAATCCGTCAGGTGGCTTGTCAAGCGCTTTCAATACGGACTGAGAGACTACCCACAAGCCAGTGACCCGATTCTCCCTCACTGTTGGTGTAAACATCCAGCCTTCACCTATGCGAGAGTTCAATGTTGAAAGCGACGAGTGACGTCGCGGGCGCGTCACATGCCGATGCGGGACGAGCCGCTGATTGGTCACCTAGCGTGGGGTCCGTGCGCCCGCCACCTACAAATACCGCCGCTTTCCACCCTCGACTTCTTCTTCCTCTCCTCAGATGCACCTGGCATCGCGGCAGAGCGACACCCTCAGACAACCTCGATGTATTGCACTACGAACCACGACTCCTCATCGCGTCCGCACTTGTATTAGCACCGTCTTCTCTGCGGCTTTCGCTGATCTGGATAGTGGGCATGCATACTTCGAGGGCGTCTTTGCGGTGTCGACTTGCCCCTCACGCCACGCCGGAGATGACGAGACCCTGCGATTGTGCTGTGCTCACCGGCAAGCCCTAGGAGCCCTAATCGGCGAGGTGTTAGTGGAGCTAGCTGTTTTATGCTGTCTTTGACATGCTGCGGCGATGCACTGCTTCTTCTCTGGGCATATATGGGCTAGCATACGGTTCGCAGCAGACCTACGCCGTCCGTCCGCACCCTCGCAACTGCTATTGGGCCTTTTCCACATACACCTTCATGCGACGCAGGGTTTGCGTGGCGGGCGACATGGCCAGCAGCACAGTCGCAGGCAATCTCGTCATCTTCGGCACACCAACTGCTTTTTTCACTTCATCTGAGCTTCTCGACATCGAGCTCGATGAGCCCTGGCCCGATCCGCTACCACCAGCGTCTTCCAAGCCGGCGTACCAGTCACAGCCGTTTTGCGATGTCCTTGACATTGTGCGGCTGTGCTCGCTCGGTGATGACTGCAAATGGCACTGCGCCAACACTCTCGCAACTGCTTCTGGGCCTTTTCCATTTACTACCTTATGCGACGCAGAGTTTTGCGGCGTAGTGGCGGACTGTGGACGGGCTACCGGGCTCGTCGAGCTCATGCAGATTCAGATAAGGGAGACGAGCAATTGGTGGGCGACACAGGCGGGATGTTATGAACGAAAAGCTCCACTGCGGTCTCCATTGCGCCTTTCATTCGTGGTTGGCGCCATGGTGAGTGTCGATGGGGCTTCCGCTTGCACTTCCTGGCCTACCGTCAAAGGTACTTTCCTGCTATCTCTTTGCTTTTTTCAGTCTCCTCAATGCCGTTGTTTGTCTTTCGTATTCCGTATTCCGTATTGTCCCCATTAGCTGCATCGGCTCGCCGAGCATCTAGAGGGGATGGCGCACAGCTTAGATCATTCTATTACGAGAACCCAAACAGCAGCATCATGATCCAAGTTTTGTGCTATCGTCCCAACATGCCAATGCGTTTCACAGTAGTCATTGTAAACGGCTCCAGTCGTATACCCGCAGCTCGATGCAAACACCACTTTTCTACAGTGTTGTCAAGCCCGCACCATGGTAAGATCACGTGCGGCAGTGAAAGTGATATTCACTTGTCCCGAGCGCGCTAGTGACGCACGGGCCTTTGCCACCGGTAGTACCACTTGCCGCCTCCACGTTTCGTCTCTCCTTCCTCGAAGCACTGCACGAACACTGCAAAAACACCTTTACACACTCGAGTCTCCGAACTGTTGGTCACCACCTCTGCCAATCGCATTCATTAGCGATACCAACACCTTTGCCACACACCATGGCTCATCTTCCGGATCCAAACGGCGCCGGCTCGCGATTCGAGGCGAAGTTTGTCAAAATCTGCTTGAAGCACAGTGTCGACTTGGGGTTCAGCGTCAACCTCGAAAGCATCGAGACATGGAAGCTCAGCGAGGAAGTCGTCCGCGCCTTGCGCAAGTGGAAGCTGGGCGACTTCGACGACCAGAGCGCGTACGACATGTTGAAGCAACTCCTCGGCACTGATCAGAAGAAGCAAATAGCTGTCGTTGCGGACATTGTTTCTTTCGCAGCTTCCAAGCACGGCCTGAGAGGCGACGACTTCGCGAGAGAGGCTCGTGGGCGCGCCGGGGTGGACAAGGCCAGGTACTCATTTGTCGCGACACTGCGCAACATCGTGTTCGACAGCGCCATCGACTCGACCCTTGTGGCGACTAAGAGCGGGGACGACATGGTTGAGAAGAAGTGCAAGTTGGTGTACAAGGTCGCTGCTTACCTTCTCCTGGACGTGCTGGTGGATCTTCAGGGCGACGCCAGCTATTGGGAGGTATCACTGGGTGGCAACACTGTGGACGGATGGAGCACCAAAGCCAATGGTGACGGCGAAGATGAGGGTGAAGAGACGACCAACGACGAGTCGAACAACACCGCACTCACCACTGAGGACTACATCCCAGGCAAGTCCCAAGAAGCCTCAGCCGAGTTTGTCGAAACTCAATCAGCCCGTCGCACCAATCGCGCTGGACTTGGCCACGTCCGCAAGTCTCGCTCCGTCCTGTTCAACTTCACCGAACAGAACAAGCGCATGCGCCTCAGCCATGCGCGGGCTCCGGCACAGATCTCAACATCCGCTATCGAAGAAATGAGCAAGAAGCTGAATTCGGCGGAGGGCAAGAACGTTCGGCAGGCGGAGGAGATCTGGAAGCTCGAAGCGGCCTGCTCCAACTACGAGAGAGTAGTCGCCAAATTCCAAGCTGAAGCTGCAGAAGACAAGAAGACCATCGAGAAACTCGAGGCTAAGCTTGCTGCACGTGGTTCAACCTCCTGAACATCGCGTAGCCCTGCGACTTGAGTGCCGAGAAGCTCCTTGCAACTTCACCACGCGAACACAACACGAAATTTCATCGACTACAAACTTTTTTCCTTCACACGACACGACAATGAACGGCTTGGTTGACAACTGCACAGACGGGGAATGATGGCTCTTTGTTTGATTTGATTGCTTTGAAGATGCGGGTGTTCTGTCTTTTGTTCAGAACACAACGGGAGAGAGGATGGAAAGAACTGAACAAGGCGAAACCAAGGCGCTGCAAAAGGAGCACCCGGAGCTCCACGATGGGCGCTCTGCATGGCGCTTGTATGATTCCATGAACCAGATCCCCCTATAGCGTTGCTTGTATTCCCTCCATTCAACCCAGCGCCAGCCCCTTCCAACGTGTACCAATACTCTGCTCTTTAGTGTCGCGCCTTGAAGAACTCCGTAATCATCATCTGTCTCGGGATTTTCCCAGTAATCAAGCTCATCATCTGCAAAAGTGGGTTGATCGATCGATCGTGAGCGCCCAGGGCAGCGCGACACTTGTATGTCAGATCAATTGCCTGCTCGACTTGCCATCTCAACTGCTCGTACTCTGCGCGATTCGTATCCTTTTGCACGCGTTTGTTCTCGTCCAAGAGCCGACGCGCGCCATCGGCGAGATGGAGGGCTTGGAAGATGACTGCCATTTTGCCACTTTTCTCCTGCTCCAAGAGCTCTCTATGCAGGTCGCGTAGACTTTCGAGGCCGTGGATGTGTCGTTGTTCCGCCAAGCCCAGCTCGTCATGTCGAGCCAGGAGATCTTGCTCTATCTCCGCTAGGCAGCGCTTGACGTGCCAGTCTTGCGTCACGGTTGATGGCAGGGGTTTGATGTGAGCGAGCAAGAGGTTGATTAGACCTGGAGTCGGGCGGTCGAGGAGTTGTGCGCGGCTGTTGTGGTATGCGAGTGATGAGGCGAGGATCATGAGAGCATCTGGGACGGATTTGGACGGCGTGATTTGTGGTGTTGAAGGATCGTATCTGTGCTGCTCTTTTGTCCGGTTGAGGTCGTGGTTCCAGGCGGTCAAGGCTGTGTCGAGTCGCGTGCCAGCCAGGGCAAGGCTCCTGATGGTTTCTTTTCGTTCGATAGGGGGCATGGCTCGGTCTGGAGAATGGAGTCTTCAGGAAATTGCGATCTGCGAAATCAGGAGAGAGTTGAAAGTATAATGTATCAAGATGTTGGTGGAATGGCCACGTTTGTTTGCTGGTCTCACAATGGAAGCGACAGATTTCAGAATCGTATGCAGCTTTTTCCGATGCATCGAGGCCATGCATGTCTCGCGTTGGGAGACTTTCATCATTTGGGACTCACTAGGATCTTGATATGCTGGTCTTTGTGGTTAATTAACTCCTCAAATCCCTTTGAGACAATGTCATGAACGCTGATACGACCTGTCACCATCTTCTCGATACCAACCAATTTGCCTGGAATAAAGTCAGCCAGTTCGATGGAGAGAGGTCTATGCCATACTATCAACAATCATTTGGATGACTTCTTGCATTGAATCATCGTCAAAAATATAACTTCCCTTCATCGTGATATGCTTCGGGACAAATTTGTGGCATGGAATTGTGATCTGCCGCTGTCAGTGGGCACTCTCTATTTAGAGAAGGTTCTTACTGGTTGTTCCCAGATTGCCACCATTACATAGAGTCCTTCAAAACGTATGGCGTCCATGGCTCCTTCCAATGCGGGGACTACACCGGCGCAATCGAATACAACTTCCACACCTTTGCCGTCCGTAAGTTCCATGCACCGCTTGGCGACATCTTCTTGGAAAGGATTTATGACCGATGAGCAGAACTCGGAGACCTGGTTCCGTCGTGCCCCCGCAGGCTCGGAGACGACCACTTTGTTGGCCCCTGCGGCTTTCAAGCAAAGCAGCAATGCAAAGCCAATAGGGCCTCCTCCAAGAACCAAGACATCTTTGTCTTTGAAGTCTTTTACGCCAGAGACTTTGATGGCATGATGTACAATCACCAAGGGCTCCAGTACGGCAGAGACTTCCAGTGGAATCTCTGGCGGCAGCAAGTAAAGGCAGTCTTCAGTGACAATAACCTTCTCCCCGAAGCCGCCGAAGCCAGTGGTTGCACCTACGTATCCAAGGTTGGAGCAGCAGTGCGAACTTCCCGATTTGCATGGCAAGCATGAACGGCAGAGTACCCTAGGATCGACCATGACCGCATCGCCATCTTGAAATTTGGATCCTGCGGGTGGCGAACGGACTCTGCCACAGAGCTCGTGGCCGAGTGTGAGTGGAATGTGTTGGCCTGAGATAGGATGTGGTTTCTCCTTGGTAGGCAACTAGGCTGTAATCAGATGATGAACTTCAGAAACACATTTCCGACGAGATCTTAGCCTACAATTCCAGGGCCGATGATGAACTCATGAAGATCTGATCCGCATATACCGCACCACTCCACGTCCACTAGCAGCTGGCCGTCTCCGGGTTTGGGCTCGTCAACATCATCGACTCTGATATCACCTTTGCCGTAGTACCTCGCAGCCTTCATGTCGAGCGATGTAAAGGGTGGTGATGCTTTGCATTGATAAGTGTTCAATCTAGCGTACGGAAGAGAGGTACATGTATTCTCCTCCCACGCATGCTCCCCGCCTGGAGCTACACCTCGGGTGAGGGCGTCAGAAGTGAGGAGTCAGGGCATCCTCTCAGCTTCGCAAGCAGCGTGAGAAGGAAGCGGCGTGCTGGAATGCTGTCCATGCCTGTGTATATGTTTCTGTTCTGAGGAGTGCAAGGCAAGAGGTAAAGTTGCTCGGTATTTCCCGATGAGCGTCGCTCATTCGTGCAGCGTCCGGTGCGAGAGCCTCTGATCTGACTGTACAACTTGTGAAGTGTCGGTTGCGATGAAGGAAGCGCCTTTGTTATGTATGCTCATTGAGACGAAGTTCACAAGGGGAAGAAGACAGACGTCTCATCAAGGTGTCGACGCCCGGGTCATGATTATGTAACGCGCGTGAGTCTCGTGTACCTTATCCTTGCAGGTCATCTCGACTTCACGTTGATCTTACACCATCATTAATATTCTCTCAACCTTTGAATTTATCAAAACGAGCTCTCAATGACTTCGACCTCACCAGTGTCTTCCCGAATGGGGAGCACAGGATCAACGATGTTCTCGGCTCAAGCGGACTCGCTGGTTCCAAATGCTTTAAGCAGGCCCCAAAGTTGACTGAGGACGACGGCTCCGGATCCTGGCATCTATCGCCGCACGCGTCTAGCATATCGCATCGATTCTCACATCTGGACACGGGATCTTGTGTCGCGGCGGCCTCTATCTGTCTGCTACTTCCACCCGCCAGGCGCTTCGATGGTCTGGAGCTGGAGCTGAACGGCATCAGGCGCCAACGCAATGCAGTGACTAAGGCCGATGTGGCCCCAAGGCTCCACCAGACACGGCACAGCCATGCACGATCAAATGCAATACTGCTCCAATCGTGCGTTTTGGCCCCAGGCTGTCTAGTCCTCATTTATCTTCGAAACGAATAGCGGTCTAGCGTTGCCTGTTCTGGCACAAGCGCTCGAGGCGCAACTTCAGCTCCGACGTCGAGGGCGGCATGTCCAAACACTATCCCACTGATTATTAACGGCGGACAGCCGAATTTCTGCGCGATATGTAGCAAGTGCCGCTGCATCAGTCATCGCCTCTCTGTTGCGTCTCTGCAGTTTACTATCTACTTCATCATGGCGTTCAAATCACGCCCCAGGGCCAATATTTCTTGGCGCGCCCCCCTGAGCATGATCGCCGCTCTTGTGGCTGGCGTGTGTCTTGCAGCTGGACATCATGCATTCTACAACTCCTTACAAGGACGAGAAGTGTCCAGTCATCAGTACCATGTCGGCACCTGGACAGCCTCGTCGCAGCAAGTCAACACAGCCGCGGGGACAGCTTTCGCATTCGTGGTCAAAGCCAGTCTGGTCCTTGCTTCCGCCATTGCCTACACGCAGTTATATTTTCGCCTTTTGGCTACCGGAATAAATTCTCTGCAGAAGCTTGACCGATGGTTCTCTGGCCTCCACGACTTCGTATCGTTCTGTTATCTTCCGACGTATTGGAGGCATGGTCTCCTCGCTCTGGTGGCTGTCACTGTTTGGTAGCTACTGCTTAGATTGCGCGGTATGGTTTGGCTCGCTAACTTGTTGAACAAGGCTCTTGCCAATTGCGGCGATCATTGCGCCCGCAGCACTGTCTGTGACGTTTTCAAAGCTCCAATACCCGTCCTCCTTATCGCACACCGTGCCTCAACCAGCTTTGGACAGCCTTGCCTTCCTTTCGAACAATGTCTACAACACAAGCCTTACCGACTACGCCGAATCGTATTCATTTGATCCTGATCAGGAAGTTTTACGTGTCGCAAGTGCTGCAGCCGCATCTGGTTCGATACTGCCGATCGAGGCTCCTGGCGTGAATGCATCATGGCAGGTTACAATCGAAGCTCCCAAAATGCTTTGTGAGGACATGGGCTCCGAGCTTCAGAGCCAGCTCAAGTCCAACCTCCTACAAGGCTTGCAGCCGAGCATCACAACTCTGGGGGAGCCTGGCGATTTCCAAAGTATGTTCTCATACCTGGCTTGGTCATCGTGGACAAACTTCACAGCAGATGCGCAAGGCAATCAACTCAACATCTCCGTTCGCTTGCCGTTCACCAACGGAACCGGTGCAAATATGGAATTCCTCGTTCAGCCAAAGACCTCTGGACACGAATTCTACGTTGCCGTATTTTCCCGTGCCAACACGATGCCGCCCCGTACAGTCTGGGACAATGCAAGTGGTAGTCCTCCATTTGGCCAAGCAGCAATGGACTGGTATTGAAGAATTATCGACAGGTTTCGCAGACTGAAGATGGGGAATCGAGTTTGTAAACCAAGTATATTACTGTACATGCAAGCGTCGTTCGGCATCAGAGAGAGATGACCGCTTCATGCCTACCACCTTCAGTGTGTGAAGGTGCCTTAGGTCCTCTGGCAGTGCTTCAGCGACACGCCACAAGCTGCGCCGCGTACCGCGAGCGGCTGGACCCCTCGCTAATGTCGTGTAGCATGGAGAGGCTGATGGGTGAGCCATAGCGCCGATCTCAGGCAGATGTTTACCAACATTAGAGACGCTCATCAACTTGATACTGCCCTGGTCTGCCACAAGTCACCTTTGGCACATTATGTCCACACTCTGTGTGGCTTGTTTACAAATCTTCAGGAATGACTCGCTAGAGACATGCGGTGTTCTAGACACGTCTTCGTGGAGGTACGCAAACGGTAAAAGCGATACTCCGGACAATCTGAAGGCAAGAACAGCAGCGGTCCGACAAATCCATCATCACACAGCAAGGTCCCACCGACAAGCGGTTGCACAAGGATGCCCACTGTGCTCTTGGATCGAAATAGACGATGAACATGAAGACTATTCGACTTTTTGGTGGTTCCAGATCCGCCTTCGCGTACCGCGCAGAGTTATCGCCGCCGAATACACTTTGTTTCTGCAAGGGCCAGCATCAACAGGCAATACACGTGCAGGGTTGGTTAAGAGAGGCGCGCCGCGATCTGCAGATACCTGTGACAACATCTTCAGTGTAAAGGTGACATGGATCCATCGGCGCCACGACAAAACCGAGGCGCTCGAACTGTCCATGTTGGCCAGAGAGTCGCTATCAAGCCCAAGGACCGATAGCCAGGCCGTCCTTCAGCTGGCAAAAACTTGGCTTCGACACTGCCTTCATTCGCACGCCGAGTGTCCAAGAGAGTGTGCTCAGCTTTGGTACCCAACACGCCTCCTCGAAATAGGGTATCACGAAGCAAAGCTCATTGAAACCCGTGCTCATCAGTTGAGCGGGCCTTACGCAACCTTGAGTCACTGTTGGGGTGATTCAATGACCTTCAGATTGAACAGCGCCACCGCTACCAAGCTCCAAACTGGTCTACCACGCTCAGTTTTCGCACCAACTTTCCGAGATGCCATGGTCGTTGCAGCTTCTCTGGGGTTCAAGTACATTTGGATCGATTCCTATTGCATCTTTCAAGACAGTGATGTTGACTGGAAAAGGGAGTCCGCGGCTATGGATCGGGTCTACACAAACAGTGCATTGAGCCTCGGAGCAGCTGTTGGTGCCGAAGCAAGCACAAGCTGCTTTGTGGATCGATCCAGCCAGAAGGCGGTCTCATTCAACGTCCTGTGGAAAGCCTCTTCAAACGATCGGCCACAATTGTACACAGTCGAACACGATCACCACAGAGCACAACATGTCGCAGCATTCTTCTGCCAACGATTGTTCTCACGGGGCTGGATCGTCCAAGAGCGTCTTCTAGCACCACGCATGCTCTACTTCACACCGACAGGCATCTTTTGGCAATGCCAGACTCTCCGTGTTGCTTCCGAGTGGCTTCCGCATGGTTCCGACGAGTATGCCAACCTCCCAGAAAACCTACCCCCAGGCTTATTCAATCGAGTGAGATCTTCGTGGCCGTGGCCAGGTAACGGATTGCGTTATCTTCATGGCAAGGGCCATCACACAGATCAAAACTATTTGAGTGGAACGTTTGCAGAAGCTCTCGAGATTTACTCCAGATGCTCGCTCACAAAACCGGCGAAGGACAAAGTTGTTGCTTTTCAGGGCATCGCCAAGACAGTGGCCAGTTTATCAGGTTCCAAGTGCTGGAATGGTTTCGTCGACACGATGCTACCGTACTCTCTCCTCTGGATGGTAGTTTTCCCATCCCTTGCCTGGGACGAAAAACCTGCTAGCAGCGGACCATCGGTAGCCTCGTCGTGGCATTGGGCCTCGTCGAATCATCCCATCACGATGCATTACACTAAACTGGCTCTACGACAGATACGTCCAGGAATACGCCGACGTCCAGGGATATGCAATCTAGCGCTATTGCCGATACACGGTCCGTTTGTGGCAGATCATCAGTTTTCCATGAAAGCACCGTTGGTGTGCATAGCCAGGGTACTCTGAACGACGTTCGTTGGAAACAGGCCGGTATATGGCAATGCGATACGCCTCGACACTCTGCACCGCAGCGAGTCTGCACGGGCCGACTCTCTCTTCCCTGCAAAGCGCCTCATTCCTTCTGCCATCGAGTGGTATGTTGACCGATATGACTACCTGCATGACTCTGGCATCCAGCCCGGAAAGGTCTGTCTGCTTCCCATATGGTCGTCTTACCAACACCGCACTTTCGGTCGCGACCTTAAGATACCGGAATCATTCAATGACGGGTTACTGGGATTGCAACGTGGAGAAAGCACAGTTCAGATGCTTTACGACGACGAAGGCCGAGATTCAGAATTCAAGTACCACTACTCTGGCTTGGTCGTGCGTCAGAACAGGAGTGGCAACTATACGCGTATTGGAATGTACCATGGCCACAGGCTTCCATGTGCCGTTGAGATCTTTGAAGCCTTGCGGCTTGCGAAGCCACAGCTTGTGATCATCGACTGACACGGCATGCCTTTCGACCATGTATTGGAAAACCAGTGCACTGAGCTGCATTGCCTGCGGCTTGAAGCTCGACTTCCTGCAACTTGTGTATGGCCGAAACCAAGTACCTCGCAAGCAATGATTTCTCTCTCAGCGTATCCCACTCGGCGTCTACAAAGGCTCTCCGCTTAGTTTTCGAAAATCAGGTGTCAGCAGCTTCACGTCCTCAACATGCAGCGTGCTGGCTGATTCGGGAACATCGAAAGTCTTGATCGTTCTCGAGCTTCATTGAACGTCCAATCGACTGGTGTTCCTGACCATGTCTTGGCGACAAAGGGCTGGATATTCCTGACCGGGAAACAAAGATAGGGCTTTACTACTCGTTCTGGCTACGGTCTTACGTGCGGCTTACCTAGCGAGGCTGACAAGATGGAGAAGTCTCCGGGTACAAGCGACTTGTGTCCTCGCCTTGTTGTTGTTGCTATGACCTGCAGCAACACATAAATAAAGATGTGAGCACCATGATGGTTTGTCAATCTGATCCACCGTCTGCTCCTGAGCACCTTCCGCCAAGCCCCTATTCGCAAGTGCTTTGGTTACGGCCTGAGTCAACGCATGACTAACCGAGAATGCCTTCAACCACTGAAACCAAGGGGAGCTGTCTGTGCGGCGACGTCAAATACCGCTTCTCTACCCAGCCTGCCTATACAGTATGTGCCTGCGCGTCCCGTACGTACAACAAACACATCTAACCATGTAGGTCCGATGCCACTGCCGCGACTGCCAAAAGGCATCTGGCAGTACTAATACGACTCTCGTCCCAATCCCTCGCTCTGATCTTGTCGTCGACGACGAGTCCGCTCTGAAGCAGTCCAGAAGCTTCAAGCACCACGCAAGCGATGTCACGCTGATGGTGAGCTTCTGCGGCAACTGTGGTTGTGCCATTTTCAAAGAAGCCTCTTCAGCGCCTGGTATGGCCATCGTCTTCATGGGTACGATTGACGATGATGGACAATTGATCGGAGGGCAGCCCACGGCAGAAATTTGGACGAAGTATCGAGTGTCGTGGAATGCTGAGGTGAAGGGGGCGAAGCAGTGTCAGGGGTGGGATATTCCAGCTTAAAACGCAGAATGACTAACTCCTCGTTCTGCCACAAGAGCCATGAAGACGACTACCGAAACACGTTGCTAGGCATATCGTGCAGAGCTGATTTCTGTTCCCCTGTCACTAGAAGTAACATTGCCGAACACTCAGCCTCCACTTATTTCTTGACGCCTTGTCCTAGGAGGCGAGGCATGCATGCATGCCAAGTTCAGCGGAGCCGCCTGAGTCCTGCACCTGCTGATGAAGCGGCCGGCGATCGCGGCTCCATCTTTTCTATCATTCAAGTCGACTGAATACAGTGCTTGTCGAGCAGGACTCGATGGTGCGCCATCATGTTGGACCCATTCACAGCGCTGAGTCTCGCCACCGCAGTCATCCAATTTGTGGATTTCGGCTGCAAGATCGTTGACACAGGTCGCTCTCTGTACAACTTATCCGAGGGAGCAACAGGAGCGAACAAGACTCTGGAAGATGTGACTTGCGATCTCGCAGCACATACCGAGAAGCTGGGCAAGTCTCTCGGTATCAACTGCGTGTCCCTTTCCGATCAAGACAAGGCTTTCGAGAAGCTCCGGGAAAAGTGTCACAAGCTTGTAAAAGAGCTCGAGAAGACGTTGAATGATCTGAAAGTCAAAGACAGCTGTCATGGCATTTTGCGTGGGTGGACTTCTCTCCGCAAGGCGTTCAAAGCCGTGTCGTCGGAGAGCAAGATACGTGAGATGGCGAAGCAGCTGGAGTCTTACCGGCAAGAAATAGCATTTCATCTACTAGCCATATTACAGTGAGTGTGATGGAAAACTTGGGCAGATACGAGGACACTGATTCCATGCAGAAGCGACCAGTCCACTATAGCACAACAACTGACCGGACTCGAAGCAACGATAACACGCTTGCATCAGCTCAGCTTGCATGATATTCAAAACACGAAGCGAGATCTTCTCATGGCCCTCGAAGAGCATAATAAGGAACAGAAACGTTTCAAGGACGAATCGTTTCGCAATCAGCTTCTCATGCGCGACATGATGTTCCGCGATGTCTCCCAGAAGATAGACGAAATGATGGCTGCCAGCTCCCAACTGGCTACAAAGGCCGACATGCTCGACAAGTTGTACTTCCCAGACATGGGAGAGCGTCACGCCAGGATCAAACCCGCGCACATCAAGACTTTCTCCTGGATTCTTGATGACCACGATACCAGTTTCAGATCCTGGCTGGAGTTCCACTCTGAAGTCTTCTGGATTCGAGGCAAAGCCGGCTCTGGTAAATCGACGCTCATGAAATACATTGCCGGAAATGAAAAGGTCAATCAGCTTTTGCGGAAATGGGCTGGTTCGTCGAAGTTGATCAAAGCGACGAACTATCTCTGGAGTCCTGGCTCGGCCATGCAAAAGTCGCTGGAGGGTCTGATGCAGAGCCTGCTCTTTCAGATCCTTAGCGAGATTCCAGATGCAATTCCGCTTGCCTTACCAGAGAGATGGCGAGCCACGAGCGGGTCATACACATACCGCCAACCTTGGACTAAGAAGGAGCTAAGCCAAGCCTTGAGGATGGTGATGGCGACCACTCAAGACGTGAAGTACTTCTTCTTCATCGACGGCCTCGATGAGTATTGGGGAGACTTGGAAGAGATCGCACAGGACGTTCGACCTACAGGCGGTGGACAACGTCCCAACGTCTCTTTGGAAGACGTTCACCCCCGCGCCAAAGCAGATCAGCAAGCCTTGGTTGAGCTGATTCAGGCGCTTGGGAGATTTCCCAACGTGAAGCTCTGCGTCTCCAGTCGACCTGGTACGCATTTCAGGAAGCCTTTGGGCGAGTACCCGATCGGATGCTCAACCTTGCAGACCTCACTAAGGGGGACATGAGCAAGTATACCGAGTCGATGCTCATGAATGATGGACGCTTTGCGGCATTGGCGAAGGGGGATCCCAGAGCACGGCAGCTGGTTGTTGAGATCAGGGACAAAGCACAGGGTGTCTTCCTTTGGGTCTGCCTGGTAGTTGCGTCCTTGTTACGAGGTCTCACAAATCGCGATGGTATCGACGAACTCCGGGAGCGGGTCTTCTCCTTCCCTTCCGACTTGCGTGCATTCTTCAACGACATCCTCCACACCATCGACGAGTCATATCGGACTATGACCTGCAGAATGCTGAAGTTGGCAAAGTACGACGCACCGCTGCCCTTGATGGCGTTTTGGTGGTTGAAGTATGAGCACGATGACCCGTCCTACGCTGAGATGGGCAAGATGCAGGCTATTGGAGACCTTGGCCCACAACTAGTTGTGGATGCCACTCGCCATGTCAACAAATGGTGCCACGACTTGCTAGAGGTCCGACAGGTGCCTGGAAACCTTGCAGGATCTCGAGATGCCGCTGCTAAGATAGACTTCCTGCATCGTACGGTTCGCGACTTTCTCGTGGCCGAAGACGTTACTGGCTTCCTCGACAAGCATGCCGGCAAGAATTTCGATGAACGACTATCAATGTGTCGTTTGCAGTTGGCAGAAGCCAAGACGCTACCTGGACCTGATCGGAAGAACGGAGAAGCCTTCCAGCTCATGGCATTTGAGATCATGCGCCACGCGAAAGCCATGGAAGTAAGTAAGAACGAAAGTCCTGTCGCCATACTCCATGAACTAGATGCCACGGGTAAGCGTTACCACGGTCTTCCAAAGGTCTCTCATTGGACGAACGAGCAGCCGGTTAACGCTTCTGGATACGGCCCAGGTGACATTCAACTGAACGCCCACCAAGGCCGCTCCAATTTCTTGTCCTTTGCTGTAAGCCAGGATCTGCTCCTCTTCGTCAAGCAGCATCTCAATGCCGACTCATCTCTCATCAATAAGATCGGTCGACCTTTGCTTGATTATGCTATACATCGTACATTCAGCAAGCCGAACAGTAGAGACCAAGACGTACTCGTCGACATGATTCAGGTCCTTCTTCAGAAGGGAGCGAGTCCGAATGCCCACGCTCATCTCTGGGGTACGATGTCCGTCTGGGAGGCTTTCCTGTACAACTGCTACCGCATCTGGGAGGAACCGCAGACAATAGGATCACCGCAGGCAATGAGAGCAGCGGAGCTCTTGCTCGAGTATGGTGCTCAAACTAACAGCGTCGTTGTCGAGTCACGATCGCTACAGGGCGAGATAGTGTCTGCCTCTGCGGAGGAATGCCTGACGCGAAGTTTTGGTGTCAATCAAGCTGAGGAAATCCTGGACCACTACAAGCCTTTGAGGACCACGATGTGGTCAAGATGGATCCCTTTATGGAAGAGTACTTGAGAGTCTTTCCTCCAAGATGCCGTAGGATTTGTCTTCACTCAAGGCGGAACATAAAGTTGGGCGCTGCAAGATTGAATGGCACTAGCAGCGCAACGAGACCGCAATAGATCCCAAATTCGGGCATTTCTGAGATGCTGTAGCCTTATTAGCCTTTACATGATTCAGTGTTGATCTCCGAGCAAAGTTACCTTGCCAAGTAAACCAGCAGTGCCGTGCCAGCCCAAAAAGGGAACATGAAAACCAGACTCTTGACTAGGGTGGCTGCCGTCGGAGGGAATACCCGAACAATGAAGGCAACAGTATGTGCAAGAAGAGAGCTCGTGCGCATAGCCCCTGCTTCGACTCGGGCGGCAAAGACCTCTGCTGAGTGTCTCCAGATTTCGATCACGAAGACGACGCCGGAGCCAGTTTGGTGAGCAGTGTCGACAACGCCTGTCTTCAGCACGAGGATGGCAAATAGAACGCTTTGTCCGCATCTTTGAAATGGCCAGAGCTCGTCTTTGGCTGGTGGCTGGTCGTCAGGGTATCGAATACTTCCGCGTGCCGTATGCCAGCTTTCCTGGCGCAGAAAAGGTTCCTCTTCTCCCAGCAGCTGATGTCCATTCTCCATTGCCCGCAACTCATCGGCGTAGCGGCGGAGCGTTTCCACCAGGTTCACTTTACCTGGTTTACTTTACCTGGTTTCTTCGTCATAGTCTCGAATGTAGTAGAGGCTCCAGAAATACTAGTCTGGTCCGGTGGTGATGTCAGTCGTCCACGGTGTACATAAATGAGCTCTTTGTATGTTTTGCGCTTCTTCGTGCCTCTGGCCAATACTAAAGCTTACGCAGAGTCGACGAAGACAGCTGCCTGCCCACCGCTGTTAAGAGCTTCAATGTGTAAGCGCAAAGAGGAGCTTTCAGTGAGAAATAAATTGTAGGAGTACGAAGGTAGGGAAAATTTGGTTGCATGAAAGTCAATCCAGCTTCTTACCAGGTCATGTCTGGCGATGTTGGGTATGCATCACACTCAGTAAGTCCAGCCCTTCGGCCTCCTCGCCAGGCGACTGATTGCCTAGTTTCGGTAAATGTTTGCCCGCACACTCCGCAAATTTCGCCACATGCTGTGTGAAAATACACGACTTCCGCGCACAGTCTTGGCACCTTTCCCCCTACGTGCTCCGCGGCGTCCTCCTCTGCGCAGAGCGCTGCCGGGTGGTCATCGGGAAAGGTACACAGCTCTACGATATTGTACAGGCACAGTCCGCCCAACCCAGTCCCGCCGAAGAAGTCGGTTCGGTGCTACGTCGAGTCGATGGTGCAGCTGTCCGCCCACTTAACAACTCCGCTTCGTCCCCGTACACGGGTCGTTACTGCAGCAGAGACTGCGGACTCCACCTCCTCTGTCGAAGCTAGGCCACCTTTCCACTCGCCCGCAGACTCGACCTGGGGCAACATGGATTTGACATGAACGGCATTGCGAGTAGCACGACGTATATTGTCCCACTCCGCCCACCCTTGCGTTACTATACAACAACAGTGCTCCCTTGCGGAGCGCAAGTCTTCGAAGCAGCCTACAACTGCGACTTTAACAGGGTCACTGAGCTCATTTAGGGAGGGCCAGCGCCTATTAACGCCGTTAATCTATACCATCTTAGGCTTCTCTATGTATGTGGACCAAGTCTTTCGTTCTCAATAGAGCCCTTGTTGACTCGTTAGCATGCTGCCTACTACGGCTGGAGGAACGAAGGTCATTCCGCCGCTTTACTTACCTGCAGAGCTCTTTGCAATCTCAGGATCGATGTGACATGGGTGGACAAGATCAGGAGGTGAGTTGTACGTCCAGCTCCAATGACTGGACTCTACTAAGTAGCACCGTTCAGCGCCCTAGTAGAGACCATACTCGACGGCATGTTGATGACTTGCGCTAAGGGGCACTGTTCGTGGGATGAGTAGGCCAGTACATTCCAGGAGGTCGTGGCCTAGTTCCATCAAGACTAAAGTAGTTGCTAGAAAGACTACATGCACAAACGATCGTTCAGTCGGCTACATGAGGTTGTCCTTAATATTGCAGAGCCTCGCATCAGCTCGCATCTACGATCAATGTCGAGGATTCCCAAGGGCGGACAGCCTTGACGTGGGCCGCCGAATACCACGACTTTAAGTCTGCGTCATTGTTGGTCGCCTGCGGGGCCAACGTGAACCACGTCCGGAGGTCCGGTAAACGACAGATTCCGATCCTGCACCTATTACTAGCTGCGAAGTGCGTTCCTCAAGGCCTCTTAAAACTTCTCCTTAAAGCTGGAGCTAACATTAACGCTTAGGATGACGAGGGTTGGACTGCCGTGCACATCGCTGCATCGTGGCGAGATGAATCTTCCATTGATAACATAATCCAATTTGCGAATCAAAGCTTGAACAAAACGATGTTCACTGGCGACTATCAAACTCCTTAAGATCTGGCCAAGGCTGCCAGAGCTGGCGACCAGCTAATCCAGTTGCTCAGTTGAAGGTAGGGTAGCTCCACTGGCGGGGTAGCAATATTATAGCTATAGACTTTTGGTTCTAAGCGAAATACTCCCTGCTTCGCTTTTCACAATAGAAACGCTGCGATGGCATCAGTCACGTACCGTAAACACTTTATTCCTTTGGAGTCCAGTCCCAACGTTTTCACGAAGCTTATACACGAGCTAAGTGGCAGTCGAGACCTGCATGTCGAGGATGTCCTTACCCTAGAGGCATCAATGCTCCCACCTGCAACATTGGCGATGATTCTAGTTCTCCCTACGTCGGAGGCATATGAATCGCGAAAGAAGGAGGAGGACGCCGCACTTGAAGAATACCAAGGGTCGCCCGGCACTGGAGGGTTAACGTGGCTTAAACAAACGATTAACAACGCGTGTGGTTTCTATGCAGCTGCGCATGTTCTATGTAACGGCAAGGCCGCTGGTATGATCCGTGAGTGCCTCGTTGACTTGATTGCTGCGGCGAATCGCCACTGAAACTTGCCAGGACGAGATTCTGTTCTTGCGGGCGTGCTACGACTGTGTGAAAATAAAGACCCCGCCCAGTCCGCACGCATTGTGGAAGGGTCCGAGAAGATTGAGGATGCCTATAAAGCGGCATCGAAGCTATGCGAGACTGCTGCTCCTATCAGTGCAGAAGACGAGGTAGATCATCACTACATCTGTTTCGTGGAATTGAACGATGGTCGTGTATTCGAGCTCGATGGCGACCGAAAGGCACCACTCGAAGTGCCTACCTCTCGCGAAGGCTTTCCTCGAGACGTCCTTAAGCGGATCCAGACGTACACCACAGAGGCGGAGGATGCGGGCTTTCATCTCATGGCGCTAGTTCAAGACATGGAAGGTCAACCGCACGTGCACGGGCCGTAACTGCCTTGTGAATGCCTGAGGCCCCGACTATGAGTACATACCGAGACTCTTCACCATTTTCATTGACCAGATCTTAGATCTCATAGCTCACTGAAGCCGATTTGAAATTCTTTAGGCAGAGTTCTCTTTTACAAACGAATCGACCACTTCTTGAAGACCTGGCTTAGGCAAACCTAATCGATCATTCCATAGCCCGCCAGAATACTTAGAGTATTGATTGAGTCCTCCAACATTGTCTTGTAACATTGTCTGTTAGCATGTTCTTCAATCAGTGTAGAAGGTCAGTACTCACATATGTTTGCAACGAACATCTTGCTCATCCCAACTCTTGACTTTGGATCCCGCTCCACCGCTTCAATAGCCTCACGATGCCAATCCCCTACACTCTCATGCTTGACTTCAAACTTGTCCGCAGTCGTCTTCTCCAAAGCAGCAAGTACTTGGTTCTGCGTCAATGTAAAGCTGTTGACATACACATACCGATTCGCCGTCGCAGCCTGACACTCAGGAGACAGAACAGCAGCAACGGTCAAAGCAACCTGCTTCAGAGTCGTAGCCTCAAATTCCTTATCGCCTCCATCGAATATCACAGCTTTCTGCTCGGGAATGTTCCAGACCATAGGCGATCGTAGAGACCAATCGAAGAAGCTTCCGTTGATGATACATGTCCAGGAGATTCTGTCTTCCTTCGACCTCAGATACTTGACAATCTCAGGTTTCGATTTGACGATAGGGAGGTACTTTTCGAGAAGCTCGCTGTTTGATGTATCGACGCCGTATTCTGTCGGCAAGAATCGAACGACATCGCATTCGATGGCTACGTCGATGATTTGGCCCTGGTGGGCGACTGATGTTGGTGCCATTGTCGATACAACGGCATCTTGACCGGCGAAGATGCTTCGCAAGGAGTCGGGGGAGTAGTCTGATTCGAGAACGGTGACTCTGTCTGGAAAGAAGGATTTGCTTTTGTCTCGAGTGACGGCGGACACTTGGAAGTTCGATGGATGGGCGATCAGTGCTTCGACGATCGGACGTCCTATATTGCCGCTTGCACTGAGCACGATGACTTTCTTGATTGCTCTTTCTCCCATCTTGACTTGTGGTCTGATTCGACTTGTCAATTGGAAACCTGCTCACTTCGCCTGCTTTCTCGACTCAGATGCTTGGTGGTATGTTGACAGACGTAACGTCTCAGCTCGAATTGAGAAGAACGTTCATTTATCTCGATGACATCTCCGGCTCTGCATATGTTTTCGTCCCAGTTGTTCTCGGACATGGAAGGATTTATCGGGCTTTTGCGTTCTGTCGATGTTTAACGGACAAGCCGGCAGACCCTTACGCGTATTCGCTCGGCTGCGAAGGCACTGAGTTGAACACTTACCTCATGGAAGCTTTCCATAGCTAAGACCGATATGTCCTAAAAGATGCCCAACTACCCTGCTGGTGAGCTACGAAGTCGCCACAGTGAACGGCAAGGTGCGTTAGCAGGAATCATCATTGCCGTCTGTTCCGGGACTCGGCACGAGTGCAAATGTTTGAGAAGACTCAGGATCCGATAGAGTGTGCATGAGAACCATGTGAAGAAAGGTAGCAAGGTCGTTGACAGATCGTCAAGTCCTCATATACATCGAAATATTCATCATATATACAACAAGTCCAGAAGTCAAAGAGCCCAGAACATCATGACAGCAAGCTGTACAACAAACAGAATCCCAGAAGCGAAAGGTCATCTATTTTACATCCTCCACTCATACAGACCTGAGTCTAAGGCATCTTTGCGGCGAAGCGCTTGAAGTCGCGAGCGTGGACACCCTGGTTCCACGATGGCTTCGTGAGGTACGCAACCCACTGTTCGAGGTCCTTGAGGGTCCAGCCTTCGGGAAGATCTTTCGATGGGCGTTCACCCCACTGACTTTCGTCACTACCAGTTGGCGATGGAGCGCTGCTGCTAGTAGCAGTTGGTGTCTCAGATGCAGCCGGGGCTACGCTGGCTGGCTCAGAGTAAGCGGCAGATGTCGCAACGCTTGTGGCGGTAGCTGTAGCTGTTTCGACTGCAGTGGTTGTCTGGTCCACGGTCGTGTATGGGGTCGTCTCAACTGCAGCGGCTGAGGTGGTAGATGCGGCGAAGCTGGCGGACGTAGCTGGGGCGGAATTGTTGGCATAAGGGGCGGTCACGCTACCATATGCCGGAATTGAGCTTGCAGATACCGCAGCAGCCGTGGTACTCGCTGCGACGACAGACGAAGCGCTTCCAGTCTTCTCTGCGGCAGCTGTGCTGGACGGGGCGGCAGTCTGAGAGCCAGAGGCAGCACCACTGTAGAGGGCGGGACCAGGGATGGTGTAGCCACTGAGAGCGGTGTAGATGTTGATCAAAACACCTGGGTCATCCTCCTTGTAGAAAGTAGTAGCGAGAGTGCCGCTGGGACTGTCGGTACCAGAACCCGTGATCTCCAGGTTGACACATTGAGGGTAGTTCTGAGCACCATCTGCCTGGCCAGCTGAGTGAAGGGCGATGATTTCGTGACGAAGGACGTAGTTGCCAGCGGCGATACCAGTTGGAATGGTGACAGCCCAGGTGTTGTTGTTGGCGATGAGATCGTCTGAAGCCCACTTTCCTGGAGCTGAAGAGCCGTCGATGAGACCACCTTCGCTGATTTTGAAGAACTCAAGTGTGCTCTTGTCGACGTCTGCCCATTCTCCGGAGACCGGTGCGAGGTAGTCGAGGACTGGCCCGTGATGAGACTCTGGCCAAGTGTTCCATTGTAACTCCACGGTGCCACCAGCAGCAACCTTTGCCGCTGTACCACCAGGGGTGGCTGAAAGATGGCAGACGATGTCTGGGTCTGCGTAAGCAGATGGAGCGATGTAGCCGTTCGAAAGGTTCTCTGGGTCTGACCAGCCGGCGACGGTCGGAGGGGTGCTCTGGTATTGGAAGCTGGGATTGTACCCTTCGTAGTACGTGCCGTCAGCGACGATTCCTTGAACGAAGCCGTGTGCTGAGACGGAGGCGGCGAGCGAGGCCAGAACAGCGGTGGTCTGGATGATGGACATGGCTGTTGATATTTCGATGTCGTGATTTTTTGACGTTCCGGTTTTGGTGGTCTGAAAGTTGTGCAAGGTGTTGAAGGTTATGCAAAGAATGGACGTATCACCAGGATACAAAGAATGAGCGTGAGTTGGTACTAGACCAAGTGATGCACTGCACAGCAAGCAAAGAAGATGAAAGCCACTGACTTGAAGGGAGAGGGTACTCACGATGGAGAAGAGTCCATATATACGGCCAGATGAAAAAGGCTTAAGGCGCCAGTGTCTCCTGGTTCCACTCAATCGTATAGACAAATACACCACATTCACCACAGCACTTCGCTTGCTGCTTCCACCGTCGAGGCTCGGCGCTTGTCGATATTGAGGTGAAGTTGTCAGCGCCCATGTTGAAGGACTCGCCAAGCGACTATTTCGTATAAGTCGTTTCATGTCCGCGGACGTCTCAAGCGAATGTTGGCCATCCGCTATGTTGCACAGCCGACACGCGCTTGCAAAGAAGGCACTGCAAGAATAGATGTAGGTGTCTGAAGTACACAAGATCGCTGCAAGGTGTCATTGCCTGCATTGCCTTTTGCGCAGGTACCCGAGCACGTGGAGATTGAAGTGAACTTGGTCGCGGAAGAATTAGATGAAGGAGGTGAGGTCGGAAGGGAGAGGCGTCCTTTGCTGGCGCTTCGCTTGCAGCCGCTGCACGAAAATGAAACCGCGGATGCAGATGCTGTATGCGTTTGGCTTCTGGGCCAGATCCGACGAGCACTGTACAAAGATCATGTACGAGTGTCGCCGTGTCTATTGTCTGAGACCTCGATTGAATTGAAGGAGTTGATGTTCTCGATGGCCCTTTCCGAGATCCACGCGAGAGGAATGACAGGTTAATCTATTTGAACCACGCCAAGCTGTCATGGCCATCGGGCGTTACGAGAAGCGAGCACTGACACGCTCGAGCAAAGGCGGTCTGCTTATAGCCTGAAGTGTTGAACGCTGTGTGCAACAGCTCCGGCTTTTGCTCTTTGACATCATCTAGCGAACTGGTTCGTGAAAATATCTTCCTCCTTCACCTCCCGCAGTCCATTGAGTAGTTTGTGAGATCGCAGCCATTGCAACCAGGTGGTCCATTTGGTGGCGTCCATGAATCCAGGCTTGTGGCCATCGCTGTAATAGTGGTTGATGCTAGCCTGACTCTTGTGCAGGAAATCCTTGGACCTCTGCGGCTCTGTCACTCGATGGAGGATGTTCGTAACGTCGTGAGGGTGCTTGATGACATGCTCATATCCTTGCCGCGTGGCAGAGACAAAGGCCTGTAGGACCTCGTCGGATGGGCTTTTCGCAACATTTCGAGAGATGACAGGCGAGTATCCGTACGGAATATCGTAGTCTTCAAGCTTGAAATGCTTCGTATGAACTCCCTCTAGCTCCGCTTCAACGCCTTCCCAAGGCAAAAAGATCCACGTTGCATCGATGCGGCCGGCCTTGACCGCGTCAAACATGCTCAGCTTGCCCTCTGAGCGTTCGATGTGCACACTCGATCCCTGTCCCCCATCTTTGCCAATCATAGCCTTCACTATGGAATCTTCGTATCTAGCGTTGTAGCTGCCGTACTTCTTTCCCTCTCCCAACTCTCTCATACTGTTGAGTTTGGTCCCAACAATGGCGGATGCGTCTTTCTGGAGTATGGCATAGATGGCTTGTAGCTGCATCTTCCCGGTCTCATTGTACGCAATGCATGATTCGGAAGGGCATATGGCCAGATCGACCTCACCAGATTCCAACCTCTTTGCCGGAGTCTTGCTGTATTTTGCATCTGGTGGGAGGAGTTCAACCTCCAGGTTGTGCTCCTTGTAGAATCCCTTCTCTTTTGCGAGATATAGACCACTGTGGATCGTGTTCGGGGTCCAGTCGAGTGCAACGCGTAAGGTCGTGACTGGCATCGTGTCGAAGTATCTCGTAAATGTTGATTCGATGGTCCTAAGGTTAGCCTTTCATGCTCAGGAACGAGAGCAGAGAAACACGGAGCTCTCGATCTTGTCCTGCACGCTTGCCCCGCCTTAGCAATCATGACGAATGGCATACCAAGAATGACCCTTCCATCTCCTGTCCCTCATCGGCTGTTGAGGCGCTGCTCTTTTTACAGATGGCTTTTCAAAGGTGCAACATGTGTTCGTGCAAGTGGCCAAGATGCGCTGATGTTGCGATCCCAACGAGGCGTGTGCGGCTGCTCCTGCTGTTGAAGATATCATTCCGAATACGACCCGACTCCATTCACAGCATCGCAAGATCTTCGAAGCCTTGCTTGAGTCTCAACACGTGAGGGACGAGGTTGTTCTCACGGGAAAGCAGGCTAATCTCCGGCTTGTTGTCGCGCCAATACCATGTCTGTGCTTTCTGTTGGTAAATGCATCTCGTCGTGAAGGGCATCTTCTTCCGTCGAAAAGGTTCTCACTACCTAAAGCGAATCTAGGGCTCAGACGCGCGTGTCTGAAGGCAGCGACGATGAGATTCACGGTGCACAACATGCCAGATGCTCGGCGGACGCGACGCCAATCACCAGGCTGACACTTTCAACAACACGTCTACATAAACACAGCGAAGGCAGGCTGATCGTGACCCGGACATCGAAGCAATTACTTCTCAGATTCACCATGGTCCGATTCGACATCAAAATCTACACCGACACCATATGTCCATGGGTATGGCATATTGACAAGTCCGAGTAGGCCTTCTGCTGACCCTGCAAAGTGCTACATTGGCCACAAGTCGCTTGACAAAGCCATTGGCTTGTACAAGAAGACATACCCTGGAGGATCTCGGGATGACTTTGTCTTCACATTTTCGGTACGTCTTAGAGTTGTTTGCAATCTTTACTGAGCCACATCGGGAGCCTTGCTGACCATCCTGCTTTACTAGCCTTACTATCTCGATCCGACCGCTCCCAAGGTCGCGATTCCGTGGGAGCAACGCGGTACGGCAGTCCAACTTGACATAATCCACGACTGACTCGGCTTGCAAAGTCGTCCAGAAGAATGGCGACCACATGCTCCATGGCATCAGGACCCGCCTGGAGAGGGTTGGCCGCGAAAATGGCATCCAGTTCAACTTCGAAAGCAAGATTGGAAGCACGCGGGACTCTCATCGACTTCTCCAACACGCCCGACAGACCAAAGGACCTGAAGCACAAAAGCAGCTGCTGGAGGAAATCTTCGAATGGCATTTCGAGCAAGGTGGCGACATAACGTCCCACGAGGGCCTGACTAGGGCGGCCACGACTATCGGCTTGCCTGAAGACGAAATATCTGCATTCCTGCTGAGCGATGCTTATGCTACTGAAGTCGACGCTTTGGCTTCCCAGGCAAGGCAAAAGGGTGTCTATTCTGTTCCTACGATCGAGATCAACGGCAAAAAGATCAATGTTGAAGGGGCAGGTGATGTCTCTGAGTTCTTTGAGGCTCTCATCAATGCGAGGCCCACTGTGGAGCCCCACGATCGGTCGCAACCTAATTGAAGATCAGATGCTAGTCAAAGACTTGTATCTATCGTTGGCTAAGGTATCTGAAGGAAGTCCTCCTCCGCTCTATCGATGGAGCTCATACAAGAGAAATCCCACTCTTCAGACGCTCTCGCTGTATTGGCCTCGTGAGCTGGCTGACATGTATGTACCACACGATCTTCGATGGGATTTATTGAATACGTTCCTCATCAGTATACGCAACAATGGATGACAGCACTTGACATGCTGCCTTCTCCGCAGGACGAGATACCATACCGATGTAGGACGATGCCGAACATTTAAAGTTCCGACCCCGCGAAGCTCATTCACCTGCATGCTTGGAGGGAGCCTCCACACTCATACCAGTCGAATGATTCAATGGACTGAAGGCTATGTGAAGATAGCGGCGCGTCAAAACATCATGGAAAAGACAGCATGACGAATCCACGGACACCATAGCTGGAGCATATCTTGCATCTTGAGAATGAGTTCGACTAGCGCCATATCCCGTCATGCATGTGCTCAGGGTCCTTCTGGTGTACGATCTGCGCATCGTGACTGCGGCATGCAGTTGTCCTTTTGCTCTCCCGCTCTTACAGCACTGGAAGCTCTACAGGCATGCGGACTGACAGCTCTAGGATACCCGAGGGTTGGCCTGGAAGGATGATGACCTCGTCGTTAGAGTAAAAGGTAGGTCTGCCCAGCTCAACTTGTTTCTGAGTGCACCTGCATACCTTCTCTAGCGAAGAGCTGGACATCTCCCTCTGGACGAAACGGATCCGCATCGAGCTTGGAGAGCTTGGGCAACATGTCCAATCCTCAAGCAAACGAGTTCACGCCTCTGCTTCCTGCAGAGGAGCATGGTCCACATGAGACACAAGAGCAGAATCTAAATGCAACAAGCGCCGAGACAGACCGACTACTTCCAGAGCAACCAAGACGCAGGCAAAGCAGTGGACGAGGATCTCGACAATTAGCAGCTGCAGCAATCTTCAGTCGTGGCAACCGTGGATCGGTAGACGAAGCCATCTCATCAGCGATCGATGATGAGTACGATGGAGAGCAGCTGACGCGAGCTCGCTCGAGACTCAATTCGTATCCGGTCCTGCCAGAGCCTGAGAGCATCAAGAAGAAGGATGAAGAGACGATTCATACGATCGAACAGGTAGGGAGTCAAGAGCAGGGAGAGGAAGGCGAAAGAGATCCAGGAGACGATCCGAATTCAAAGTACATGCGCGTAGGGCCGCTGAGGTTTTGGTTGGTCTTTACGACAGTTCTACTTGGTACGGCAGCGAGGCGATCAATGGTAAGAATCAGAGCTGATTTGATCTTTCTCAGGCTACTTCGTTGCATGCTTCGACATCACTCTTATGGCATCGAGCCACCCAGTCATCACATCCTACTTCAACGCCTCAAACGAAGCTTCGTGGCTCACGACCGCCTTTATGATAACCAACACTGGATTCCAGCCACTCTGGGGACGTCTCTCAGACACGATAGGCCGCAAGTCCGTATATCTGATCGTCCTCGCAATCTTCGCATTGACAAACCTCTGGTGCGGTCTATCCAACAGCATTGGCTCATTCATTGCAGCAAGAGCCGTCTGTGGTGTTGGTGCTGGTGGCACCATGAGCATGGGATTGGTCGTGGTGAACAATTTGGTAAAGATTGAGCACAGAGGGACGTATATCAGCCATATCAACGTGGCTTTCGGGTTGGGAGCTGCGTGTGGTGCAGCTTTTGGTGGAGTCATTTGCGATTCGATGTAAGTGAGCAGAAGCTTTACTTTGGTGGCGAGGACTGACCAGATTACAGTGGCTGGCGATGGGCCTTCGGCATCCAAGTTCCCATCATCCTAGTCTGCGGAGCCTCTGCATTCTTCACAGTCCCGAACAAACTGGGACCAATGCTAATCACCAGATCCACAAACAAGCAAGGCGACAACCCAGGCTGGGCAGCCATCAAGAACTTCGACAGCCTTGGACTCGGACTTCTGGTCTTTGCCGTAGCCCTCTTCATCCTGTTCTTCAACATGGGCGGCAACGATCTACCTTGGAACCACCCAGTCATCATTGTCTTCATCGTCCTGGCCGTCGTTCTGAGTGCAGGCTGTCTCTGGGTGGAAAAGCGAGCGAAGCAGCCCATCATGCCACTCCATTTGCTGGTCACGCACCCGTACGCTAATCTGACATATGCGAACTTCCTGGCTGGCGTGGCGAGCAATACGGTCTTGTTCAATGCTCCGCTATGGTTCCAAGCTGTCGAGCTCAATACTCCTTCCGCTTCTGGTCTTCGACTTGCAGCGCCGGCGATTGGTGGTTCCATTGCCGGGGTTGTAACTGGATATGTGTACGTTGCCCGTTCCAAACTGGATGATGGCTCGCCAAACTGACCGTTCTCTCAGCATCACCTACACGCGAAGACTCAAGCCTATGCTCGTCATCGGCTCCATCGTCTACCTCGCCGGCAGCATCGCCATCTACTTCATGGACCGCAGATTCAACGAAGCCACCAAAATCGTTCTCATCACACCGACACCCCTGAGTCAAGGATTCATCTACCCAGGAAGCATGATGGCCGCTTTCGCGACGTCTTCGCAAGATGATCAAGGAGTCATAACCACGACTCTGTCCTTGTGGAGGAACCTGGGAATTGTCGTTGGAGTTTCGATTTCCAGCTTGGTCTTCCAGAATATGTTGAATGTACATCTGGAGAAGGGGGTGACAGGCCCGGATGCCGCGTATTGGATCGAACGAGCCAAGGATAGTGTGAGGGCTGTGGTGACAATGCCTGATCCATATCAGTCCCAAGGTGAGTTTCAACCGAGACATACGCATTTGCTCTGGATTGAGTGCTGACTTCGCCTGCACAGTTCGGGACGCCTACGCACAGGCACTGAAACTCAGCTTTATCACAGCAATCGTAGCGTCTGCCATACTCCTAATCGCGATGGTGCCAATGAAACTGCCAAGATTAAGGAGAGGCGAGTCCATGAACGTCGCGGGTGGGGAGTGAACCTTGCATCATGGAAGTAATCTGTTGGTGATCGACACAGAAAGAGAATGAGCGTTTCGTTGGGCGTGGGCGTCAGATATCTGATTAAAGGTCTTAAAATCACTCATGCAAAAGCTTAACAATGTACGAAAATTTCTACAACTTCGGCGGCACAGCCTTCTTCGTAACCTTCGCCCAACTCTCCAACGTGACATTGCCCTCGTCCTCCAACCTTTCCCTCAATGTCCGATAAACCCTCGGCAAATCCACTTCCTCCACCGCCTGCCCGTTCACAACCATATCCGCAATCGCCTTCGCAGACAGGTATATCTGAGGCATGCCATGACCCGAAAAGCCCGCGCAAATGAGCTGCCCAGCTTTGCCAGGCACTTCACCTATGTGCGGAAAGCCGTCGGACGAGTAGCCCATAATGCCTGTCCAGACTTTGTCGGTATAGGCGCCGCTGGATTCCCAGCCCTTGAAGTGCCGTTGCATGTAGTTATCGAAGTAGTGCTTGGCGGGCTCGATAAGTTTGCTATCGTCGGTAACGTTGTACCTGGATTAGGAAGTCAGAGTCGTTCTAGATAGTGAAGATGTTCACGAACCATTGATCTAGTTGGCTGAAGAAGTCTCTCCTCGCGCCTCCAACGACGATGCTTCCATCTGTGCGATGAATGAGGTAGTCATACTCCCCTAAAGTACCAGTCAGATCTGGAATTACCCCTGAAGCAGTGCTCGCTTACCTGGTGCTATCCGCAGAATATAGCTATTCGACAGAAAAGGGGCATCGACTTTCGGCGCAACAATCCGACTACAGATGCCTCTGACAGGAACAATGCTCTTCTTGAACTCCGGCAATAACGACGACGTATAAGCGTTGCTGGCATAAATCACTTTCGAAGCTCTTATAGAACCGCGACTTGTGTTCACGTTCCACTTCCCATTGTCGGCTGATGTCACAGAAGTCACAGGTGTGGTAGTCTGGAGATTGACCCCTGCTGAGACTGCCTTGGAAAGGAGGTGGAGCACGAGCTTGTAGGGCCAGACATGGCCGGCCGGGTATGAGAAGCAGCCCTTCGCGCCTTTGACGCCGGAGACCTGTTGAGTGTCATCAATGGTGATTATGTTGGAGCAACATTAAATGGCTTACCCCTTCAGCCGTCCTCGAATCACTGTAGAACACCCCGTCAGCGGTCGAAACACCAGCTTTCTTCAACTGTTGCAGTCCTCTCTTCAACTCTTGGTGCGCATCTTCGTAAAGACAAACATCAGAAGCCCTCGTAACGACGAAGTCGCAGTCGATGCTTTCCTTTTCGACGAGGTCTTTGATCTCCTTAACCTGCCGAGCTTCGAATGAGGCGACTTCTTCTGCAGCCTCCTTGCCGTACTTTTGCAGGGCGCCTGCAGCACGCATGTAAGGATCCGGTTTTAGGTGGCCGCCTTGTTTGTTGTCAGTCATCTTTGATAGAGAAAGAGTGTACAATTTCTGGTACCATTTCGTCCAGTCGCACCAGAACAAGCCTCTCTTGCCTCGACGATCGCGATTGACAGTGGCTTGTTCGATGCTTTGCTCTTCTCCAGCAAGTGATGTGCTATAGAGGCTCCTGAGTAGCCAGCTCCAATTATGACAACGTCGGCCTCAGACGGCAGCTCCTCGGTGCTGCGGTGAGTATCTAGTGGGTGAAGCTCCGTCCGCCAGAAAGGCAACGTCGACTTCTGAACTGGAAATGTCATCGTGGTGAGATCTTGGCCAAGAATGCCGTCAAATGATCGTCGATAAGAGTCCAGTATATTATGTGATCCCTCGTAGAAGATAATGGTCGATTGATGATCGAGCAAGTCGTTCAAATTGACCGCCGTCTCCACCTTAACATGCAGGTACTTACGGCTCAAAATCGGCCACTTCACCTATCAGGTTGGCCTATCTTCATTTCGCGGCTAAAGGATCAGGCAAGCTCAAGATATTGTGTACATCGGTCAGGTGATAGGTTTGAAGGTGTTGAAGAGGACTTGTTGCATTTTCGAAATAGACATTTGGTTTGTTACTTCAGCGTCGTTCTCTAATGCGAATGAGGTATCGAATGTTTTACTCCGAAGAAGCAATAATCTTGTCAGCCATCTCGGGCAAGCTGTCTGAGAGAACGTCCATATCGCCTGGAGATAAAGAGCCACCGGTCAGCAGGTCGTCTAATACAATTCGAAGAGAATCGTTTCTTACCAAATAAGTCCGTCAATGGCTCGCTCTCCCACACTGAACAGTATGCGCCCTTGAAGCCTGTTCTCCTCGCGGCCGAAACGTCCCACATGTGCTACAGCCTGAGTGTCAGCGTTCAACTTCTGAATATATCCCCATGCGTCGACTTACAGCTGCAGCGAACCAAGGCTTCCCGGACACACTGAGCTGATTCAACAGCGGTCTATATGCCTCCGGATCAGGCTTGCCTACGCCTCTCGTATCACACGAAAGCAAATTCTCCGCCGGCCAATCCAATCCTCCAGCTTTGAAGTAGCCGCCAACACGCGAGATGTCGCCCATGGTGAACCCGTAGACGGTAAAGCCCGCGTCTCTCAGCTTCTTAACACATTCCTTGGCCCCCGGTCGAAGCTCCATAGCCTTGTAGCCAACCATAATGACCGCGAGATCATCCGCGTTGGCGAACTTCCTGGGTTCCGGCACGCCAGCCTTGTAGACATCCTCCAGAAGATCGATTCAAAGACTGTGGCATAAGGGCGGTACAGCCCTGACATCGAAAGGTAAGTGTACTCTCGCTCTGCCACTTCGATCTGAGAGACAGTGTTAGCAAGTGTGGAGTCAATTCAAACAGACTCTGCCGCCATACCCAGGTGTAGCCAAAAAGCGAAGCCGGGCCCACGCCATGAGCTTTCAAGCGATCTCCAAGGCGCTCCTCAATGGCTTCGAAGAGCTTCTCGTAACCGACAAGGGTTCCGACAATGTCGAATACCACGTTCTTGGAAGATGCCATGGCGAATGAATGTAGCTTGTCCGAGCAGCTGACTGGGCCTCAGATTGTATTCTTTGGTATTTGGTTATATGCGCTGATCTTCTGGGTTCATGCCAACGTGACTCAGTATAATAGTCATGTCGCGGGCGTGCAGGCCGACGTTTCACCCCAAGCGGCCAGACAAGGTACGGCACGGCCAAAGTCAAGAGTGCTTATCAACGGAGTCCACCAGATGCTTGGCGGAGACCCATGTACTTGGTCCTGAACAGCAGAGAGTATTGTTTCACCGGCGATCTCAATGCGATAGCATGAGCCTGGTATCTCTCTTTTATCGTCTTCGCAGTTGTCAGCGCCAAGATGTGAATTGCCAGCCGCTTATCATCGAGCCGGCGGCGCATCTATGTCGTCGTCTCTGTCCTCTGTGATTATTTCCAATTTTTTCGATCTTCATTCGGTATGCAGGCCATTCAGAACGCGGAGAAGAGCCCCGAGGTGGATGAAAGGGCTCCAGACCTTGAGAAGGCATCAAGCTGTCAAGATGGGACGACTACAACCGTTGGTTCGGGAGTCGACGATGCTGGATTTCGCAGGCAGTTGGGAAAGCGGCAGATCATGATGATGACCTTCGGGGCAGGCATCGGAACAGGTCTTTGGGTGAGGCTGCATCTCGGTCGTCGCGTTTGTGGTTTCTGATACCGGCCAGGTTGGGACAGGCACAGCCCTCAAGTATGCAGGTCCAGGTGGCATTGCGGTTGTGAGTTGACTCATTGTCATGGAAATCCAAGGACCATACTCACCATTTTCTGCTAGGCATACACCATTGTGGGTAAGTCGAGGTGGTGGGCGGTTAAATAGTGAGCATTCCATGACGTTCTCTCACAGCCTTCATCGTGTATCTGCAGTACACTTCTGTCGGCGAAATGTCAACATACCGGTCAGTCCACAGGTTCTGATGCTTCCATGAGTATTGCAAGGAGTCGGCTGACTACATTGCTTGGTAGACCCGTCCACGGAGGATTCATCCGCCAGCAGAAAGAATACGTCGACAGCGCCTTCGCATTTGCCACAGGAGTCAACTTCTGGTTCCAATGGGTGATGATCATTCCCGCAGAAATCACAGCGGCGGTCTCAGTGCTGCAGTTCTGGCCAGAGACGAGCGTCGTACCACTCGCCGCTTACATCACTATGTTCCTAGCCGTCATGGTGGTAGGAAACGTATTCTCTGTCCGGGTGTATGGCCACATTGAGTACTGGATGTCTTGGATTAAGATTCTTGCCATCTTTGCCATGATCTTCTTCCTATTCATCATGGCCAGCGGAGGCATTGCTGCCACTCACGGTCCGCTGGTTTTCCACTATTGGAAGACCCCTGGAGCTTTCACCAACGGCATCAAAGGGATCGCGAAAGCCTTCGTTCAGGCCGGGTTCTCATTTGGCGGAGGAGAGCACATTGCAATCATCGCAGGCGAAGCAAAGAAGCCACGGAAAACGATCAAAGCGACAGTCTATCCCGTGTTCTGGCGGATGTTCGCTTTCTTCGTTCTCAATATCTGGCTAGTAGGATGTGCGTTCCCTACGACGACGAGGACCTTGTCAGCGCTTCTGGAACGCTTGGCTCACCGTTCGTCATTGCTGTACAGCGAGCTAAGCAGGGCTGGCTTGCTCACGTTCTGAATGCTTTCATCTTCCTGACGGTGATCAGCTGCGGTATCACATCTGTGTATATCGCGAGTCGGAGCCTGACGGCGATGTCTGACATTAAGCTGATTCACCCTATCTTCGGCAGGAAAGACAAAGCAGGGCGGCCTTGGTTGTCGTTGGGTATTAGCACCCTGATTGGTGGCGGGTTGTGCTACCTGAACACGAACTCGACGACGTCAGACGTGTACTCATGGTTCTCAAGCCTTGTCGGTAAGCAGGAAGAGCGAGATGTTGCATGTGGAGGCGTACGGGCTAACTTTTCACCAGCAATCGCTGCCTTCTTCCAGTGGTTTTCTATCTTCGTGTGTCATTGCTTCTTCAGGGAGGTTCACGGCATGCAGAAGACACTCTGAGCATGAAAGACGCTTGCTGACTGTGAACCAACTGCTTCCAGGCTTGCTTTAAAGGCTCAGAATATCAGCTACAAAAGTCTGCCTTTCAAAGCACCGCTGGCCCCATGGCTACCAATGGTCGGCATCATCGTTGTCTTCTTCATACTGGGTTGCGAGTTTTACCTCTCGGTCAGCCCATTCGGAGAGAAAGGCAGCGCCAAGGTGAGACAGGAGCCGTTGTCGTGAGCTGACGGAGAATGCAGAGGCTGACATGTGGCAGACATTCTTTGCCACCTATCTCGGAGCACCACTTTTCGTCTTCGACTTCGTGGCGTATAAGGTGAGTTGACATGTTAGATCTGAATGGAATGCCGGCTGACAGATCCCAAGTTGTGGTACAAGACCAAATTCGTCAAGCCTTCGGACGTTGATTTCTCTGAAGCGTTCGCTTTCGACGAACAAGATAGGCTGGAGGCGGAATTGGCAGCTCAAAATGGCGACGTGCACGAGAAAGGCTGGAACGTGTGGCAGAAAGTGAAGAACTTGGTGTTCGGGTAGATGAATTGACCGTTTCTCTGCATCAAGACAGAGTACGGATCACAGGCGGTGGCTTTAGTCTCCTTTAACTTCCTCAATGCTGGGCTGAACTTTCTGTTCGGCGCCCAACAGAGACTGCATGGCATCGGGCTGGCCTTTCACTTCGGATGTGGCATCTTTGCCATCCTCTCGTCCACCTGAACTCTCCTTGATCACAAGATCTTCCTCGTCACTATCCTGCTGCCCTTCAAGCACCCCAAGACCCAAATTCATCTCGATGTGTTGCTCATTGTCCCCAACATTCTCAATATTCAGGGCACTACCGTTCTCTGCAAGGTGCTGGTTGGCTTTTCTGAGCTTGGGCAGCAATTGTTGTAATCTCGTATGAAGTTTGTGTGCTTCTTCGAGTACTCTCTTGGGATCGATCTCCGGCCTTTTTGGCCCACCAAGGGTGACGATCTCCTCTTCAGATTCATCTTCCTCCTCCTCTTCGGACGAATCGTCGTCAGTGGCGGTTTCGGACACGTCGCTCTCTGGTTCTTCCTCATCCCCTGCAGAGACTGAGCTAAGGCTACTTTGCCTGTTCATATCTGACGTCTCAGGCGTGCTTTGGAGTGCAGCTGCTTCAGTGGCCGAACAATTCGTCGAATCGTCGCTGCTGTCGCTCGGAGCGTTGGATGTGGGAGACAACCTGGTGCGTTTCGGCTCTGCGTTTCGGGTGCGCACCGGTATGATGCCAGCCTCAGTCGACGTTCGTTTCTGTGCCATGATGAGGAATGTTTTGCGGCAGCGATGGGTTGTGGTACGTGGAAGAGATGTAAAGTCGGGAACTCGCCTTTGCGGGCGTGACGAAGGAATAAAATAGTGCAGAATTAAGGCTTGTCCCGTGAAGCTAGTGCAACTTTACTCGGAGTCAAGTCCGAGCCTGCCTTTCTGCATCACTCCACTTTGCCATTCCTCATCACCACCACCATCTTCGATCTGTCCCTCACAGGGTACTCACGTTATACCATATCAGGAAGTAGACACCCGTCACGAGGCCTACCAACGTCGCTAGCGACCACGAAAAAGCAACCCTCATCCCCGAGCTCTGTCCTGACGAGCCTGGCTGGGTCTCTTGCGTACCGTTCTGAGGGGTGTCGTTCTGAGCCTCCTGCCGACTTGCATTGAAGCAAGGCAGCCATACGTCAAGTGCCTTGGAGAATAGCTCGACAGCCGTGTCCGATTCCGGGTGTTGGACCAGGTCGCCGCCATGGTATCCATCAGGGAAGACCATACCAAACACATCATCTACCGCAGGAGGCTCGTTGCATGCAGGGACCTCTTGCGTTGAGCGCCTGTTGGGCGCGTCGATCTCGTCGCTCGTCGAATGGACCGAGAGCGTATGCCATGGATCCTTTGCCCCGTCGATAAACATGACGTTGGAAGGCTGCATCTTCCACCCGCCGAATTGGTTGTTTGCCGTAAGATTCGACGCAGGGATTGGGAAGGGAAAGGACGAATTTGCACCACATTCAGCTATTATCACATTCTCCAGGTTTATCAGGCGTGAGAGTAGGTTGTCTGATGAGGCGGTATTCGCGACCATAAAGTTGGGGTTTTCAAAGCAATGCTGCCAGTTCCATGACGGGCCGTCCACAACGAAGCCGGTAGAGGGTCGGTTGTAGAAGTCCGAGAATTGGGTGTGTAGTGCTGTCGTGTACACCACAGCACCGAAGGCCGCCTTGTCCCCATACCTTGAGCCAATGCCTTGGCCAGCCGGTGCGATGCGTGACGCATTGCTCTCAGGGCCGAACAGGGCATGCAGCTTTTGTGACGATGTTGAAGCATTGAGGAAACCTGCAGGATCCCATTGCTGCATGAGATCACAGTACGGCAACGTTGAATTGGCAAAGCCGGCTGATTGAAATGAAGTAGAACGAACAATATCGGCCACATTCATGGCGGCGTAATGCTCGCTGTTCGAACTTGCGTTCGAAATGTTGGCGTTCAGATCCGATTCAGATCTGTCAAGCATCTCGTGCAATTGACCAACGCCTGTCGTGGCAAGCTCGCTGAGGAACTTTGCGAGGTTCCCTTCATCGCGAGTTCCGTTGACCAGGACGGAATCAAGATATCGGGATGCTGCTGCAATATCGGCAGAGCAATTTGCGGTCATGTCCTGGTATATCTGCTCATAATATGTCGGCATCGAAATCATGGTCTCCACAGGAGCGCTCGATGCCCAGCTTGCGTAAAAGGTCTCAGGATTCCTGATACGCGCGAAAACTGCCAGCAGGCCTGGGTACGAAGCTCCAATGGCAATCCACGGGGTTCTGGACGGATGGAGTTGATCCCACACGTCTCGCAATCTCTCAGGCTGAAAATTGTTGGCAAGAAAGACCATGTCCTCGAGTGCTTGCTCGGTGGTAAGGTACGCATAATCTTTGCCATCCAAAGCGTATCCGGTCTCATTGTCAACTGGCACTGGTATACTCTCGCCTAGAACGCCTTAGTATGTGAGGTCGACAAAATGTCCCTGTTCACTCACCGTAGTAACGATGCTCGTAGACCACGGCAATGCCATTGTACTTTTGTGCAATTGCCATGTTCGCTGAATTCGAGCCCAGATAAGTGTACAAGGCACCGTCATCAACTCCAGACTCGCCATTGTTGAAAATCACAACAGGACCGCCAGGTTGGTAGTATGTTGAGTCTACCCAGAAGCGATTCTCATACGTCGCATTGTTGCTACTATTGAAGTGGTCCACTGGCGTTCGAATCGTCTGAGCAGCGTAGATCGCTAGCAAGGCCCGGTTAGCATGTCTCTATTAGATCAAGCTCTATGGAGTCTATACCATCTCTTTTCCATGCTTTCGTCACCGTCGAAGTTGCTAAAAGTGAGAGAGCAAGCGAGATGTACAACATTGCGGGCATAGCTCAAAAGGTGCTGATGGAATAGGCTTGCACTCATCAACATAGCCTTGACATTTTGATGAGGTGAAGTAGGGAGTTGCCGGGGTCGCCAACCTGCGAAGAGACACCTTCTTGGGCCACCGCGCCTCGAAGCACGAAGTAACCGATGTTCCGTGGCCACGGAGGATTCACCTACCTATCTTTTAACTTCGCGCTATACCCATCCAAGAAGCTACAGCGCAGTCGACGTCAGGTCACGCGCGCGAGATGTTGCCCAAGTTGGAAAGGGTTGCGGTGATCGCGTCTATCAATCGATTCCTTACGACAATTTGGGAACCTCTGTGGCTGGAAAACACCGTTTGCTAACCTCAATTGCAATTTCAGATGCAGCACGTTTAGCCACAATGTAAGTAGGGGACAGACTAATGTCTTCAGCCAAGACTCTGAGCGTCATGAATGGAAACGATGAACATTCAGCTCGGTTCCATGCACAACGGCAAAAGAGATGTATGGGCCACAACTCTCGTCGTCGTTGAAGATAGAAAATATCATGTCCTTCAATACATCCAAGAAGATCTCTCACCGACCACCACAACAATGCAATCCTACAACCCATACCCCTTCAGCTTCCTCTGCCAACCCGGCGCAAACCTCATCACCCTCTCGATAAACGACCGGGACAGCAAAAACGACGACTACCTCATCGCCCCCGGCGCAACGCCTTTGACCCCTTTATACCACTTCCACTACACAGACCGCAAGAAAGACTCCAGCTACAAAGTCAAAGTCGAACACTACGGCCATACCCAAAGAAAAGTAGCCACAGTCCGCTGGACACCCGGCAACGCCCCACAACTGGAATTCCCCTGGATGACATGGGACTGCGCTTTCCTGCAAGCCAATGAAGACGGCCAACAATGGCTCTCGGACGTCGGCACGCTGGAAGGCCATGATCTGGAGTTCCAATACATGGGTGTCTTCCGCGACGGCTTCGTCACGCGGTGTCTGGACGTCACGGAGGCGTACGTGAGCGTGTGTGGGATCATCATGACGAGCTGGAATACGGGGAGGATAGAGATCCCGGTGGAGATTGTGAGAGATTGGAATGGTTTGGACGAGATGGTTACGGTGGCGATGACGGCGATGCAGTTGCAGAGGGAGATTCTTTGGGTTGGGGATAGTGGGAAGAGGAAGGAGCCGATGGCGGTGACTGGGGTGGCGGTGTCGCGGAGGTCGTCGTCGTCGTCGAGTTCGTCTTCGAGTGATGGGGGGAGGAAGATGAAGAGTGTGTTGGGCAAGCTGAAGAAGTTGCGGTAATTGTTTGACGAGCGTTCATGCGGATAGGATTTTGGATTATTATAGTTCGTCTACCGTGAAATGCCGGCGTCTGATTGGCTCAAGCTGGATTTGGAGTCATCACATGCGATTTTGACCCTCGAAGAAATGCGCCTCTCTCCTCGCGACATCACACTCACCAACTCATACGACATTGAAAAAACTTTGAACAAATCCCGAAACACTCCCGACTGGACGTGTGCTGTTACCCTCCCAAAACACTCGAGACGAAACCATAAGCATCATCTCCGACACTCCCCGTCCACGAAGATGGCCTGCTTTCGCTAAGAAAGATGGCCTCGCCGACCACACCGCGTGCGCATACGTGTCTACGTACATTGTGCGCCCTCGAGTACGACCATAAGCCGAGTCCAGGTTGAACAAAATCTCGAACCACAACACTACGGAAACCACCTCAAAGCCCATACAACGCACCATGTCTGAGCAACAAAAGCCAGCAGAGGCTCCTCAGGGAGAGCAGAAACTGTCGCCGGCGGAATTGAAGAAGAGGGCGAAGGCAGAGAAGCAGGCGAGGAGAGCTGCGCAGAAGGACCAACAGGGAGGACCGCCGCAGGAGAGCGCTGCACCGAACGGCGAACCAAAGGGAACGAAGCAGGGCGGTGCGCCTGGACCTGCACAGCAGAAGCCAAAGGTGGAGAAACAGCCGCAAAAGGGCGCCCAAAAGCAGAGCGAGCAGGACAGCAAGAAGCAAGGAGGAGCACAGCAGACAAACATGCCAGTACGGAATCGAAGAACTTCGCAGAGTGGAGGGGCACCGAGGGAGCAGGTCAAGAAGCAGGAGAACAAGAACGTCGAACTGTTCAGCCACCTCTACACTCAGCCGCGACGGCAGACGATCGAGGGTGCACCGAAAGATGTACATCCCTCGGTGCTGGCACTTGGCTTGCAGATCAGCAGCTATGAGATCTGTGGAAGTACTGCACGCTGCGTCGCTATGCTGAATGCATTCAAGGATGCCATTCTGGAATACAACACTCCAGCTGGGGCTTCGCTTGCTCGTCATTTGACTTCACACTACCTTTCGCCCCAAATCGACTACCTCAAATCATGCCGACCCATATCAGAATCCATGGGCAATGCCATTCGCTGGCTCAAAAAGCTAATCGTGGAGATTGACCCAAGTCTGCCCGACCACGAGGCGAAAAACTACGTCTGTGACCACATCGATCGGTTCATACAAGAACGCATCACGGTCGCAGACCAGGCTATTGCAACTTCAGCAAGCTCCCAGATCAAGAATGGCTCTGTGGTCGTTACCTACGCCAAGAGTTCAATTGTCGAGAAGACGATTCTGCAATCACACGCAAACGGAACGCAATTCCGAGTCATCGTACTGGATTCGAGACCTCTCTTCGAGGGGAAAAACTTGGCGACGAGGCTCATGCATGCTGGTTTGCAAGTCGAGTACTTCCCCTTCTCAGGCATCGCTCGAGCAATGTCAGATGCGACCTTGGTCCTGCTTGGGGCCCACTCCATGCTCTCCAACGGCCGTCTCCAATCGCGAATCGGCACCGCATCGATCGCCATGGCCGCACACAGAGCCGACGTCCCCCTCATAGTCTGCTGCGAATCCGTCAAATTCAGCGGCAAAGTCGTCCTGGACAGCATCGTCATCAACGAAGTCGCACCATCCGAAGAGCTCTTACTGCCTCCCTCAAAGACTGCCCCAACACCCATCAAAACCGACAAGGACGACGAAGACGAGGAGGTCAAGCTGAAGAGCTTGCAAGACTGGAAGGAGATTCCGAATCTCCAGATTCTGAACCTCATGTATGATACTACGCCGGCGGAGTATATTCGCATGGTCATTTGCGAGTACGGGAGTGTGCCGCCGAGCAGTGTGCCTGTGGTGCATCGGTTGGCCAATGAGGGGATGTGATGAATCCGCTCTTACTCTCTAGGTACGGAATGACAACGAAAGCAAGTCTATTGAAAAATTGAGTTCTGCAGTGTCAAATGTGCTTCAACGCTATGATTTCCATGAAGCAACATGAAAATTTGACTCTGTTTTGGGTATCTTCGCCATGCTCTTCCCTACCGACCAGACCCTAACGACCAGACCCATAGCGGGCGCGACCCCTCCTGTGCCCCCGTCTAACAAGCCTCGCTCAACCCCTGAAACGCACCAAGCGCTGCCATCGACCCAATCTCATATCTAAACCAACCGCCTCCCTCCATTCTGGTAATACTCCCTCCCTCTCAACCTCTCCACCACCTCCGACATCCGATCCGCGCTGGAGAAGACCCTCCCCTCCGAGACGATCCAGCTCAGCGCCACGAACGGCTCGGCGCACACGAGGTTGACTTCCTCGAGGTTGGGAAAGGGCTCGATCAGCGCGTCGATGTAGCCTGCCTTGGCGGGGTTGAGGGTGACTTCGTTGTCGGCGAGGCAGAGGAGGTGGTCTTTGTGGAGGTGGAGGGTGAGGGTGTGGATGTTGGGTAGCGCGAGGGCGAAGAGATCGAAGTGGAAGTGTATAAATACCCCCCACATCGACACAATAGACCATAGACATTTTGGCCTATGAATCCCCAAGCTGCTAAGCAGCTGAAATTCTGCGCTAAGCTTGTGATTTTCGCTCTGGTAGATGAATTTTGACTTTAGAAATTATTCTTATATCTATTGGACGACAGCTGATTGCTGCCATGGTTGTGCATCTGCTTTCTCTGCTAGTCTGCACTTACTCCTATTTGATGAGATTAACTTGCAGCTGATTCTTTTGTGCCTTTGTCTTTTCCTAGCATCTGCTTGGTCGTACCCGCTTGTTGCTGCTGCTTGCTACATGTGAACTTTGACGTTTAGTTCATACGCTTAGATATGATTTTCATCTAACAAATGGTGAACAAGGCTCGTGCATTAGCAGCTGATCAGATAGACTTAAAGACGAATCGGACAGCTTACTAATTGATAAGGCAGGAGACCAGGACAGCCAAAACTCACAAGCCGCACAAACATCCTAGAAACGTAGACTCTGCATGCCGTCAGAAGACCTAAGGTCCACACCCAGCGCGTGTCTCAAAGTTAACCATCCACCGCGTCAAATTGTAGGCATTTCCGACGAAAGAAAACAAAGTATCGAGCTTCAAGGGGTATCAACCAGTTCAAATTCTCCGTTCCCTTTGCCTCCCGGGGTCATGTAAAAAATCCTACAATGATATTGGGCAATTCCCCTCTCCGTACTGCTACTACTGTTCCTGTATCCTGTTGACCAGTTTCTTCAATTCTGTCATCCGCACCGGCTTCGCGTAGTACTCATCCACGCCGCAATCAAACGCCCGCTTCCGAGATTCCTCTGTCGTGGCTCCTGTAAGCGCCACGATGGCCGTCCTGTCCAGCTTTCGCTTCTTCTCGTGTTCTCGTATCTTCGACGTGGCCGCGAAGCCATCGAGGATGGGCATCGACATGTCCATCAGCACCAGGAAGTACCTGTCTGGCGATATGCGGTAGAGGTCGAGGGCTTCTTGGCCGTTGATGGCGCATTGGTATTTCAACTTGAGCTTTTTTGAAAGCGCAATGAGGAGCTGCAAGACTTGTTAGCTGTGGTTTTGTTTCTGGGCTGCTTTGGGGAGCGGTCTTGTGGCTTACCTTCATGTTCACATCGTTGTCTTCTACCAGTAGTATCCAATCACTCTCCGCGTCGCCAGTATCAGATCGAGATGCGGTCGAGTTGGCGATCGCAGAAAGAGGTGTGCTGTCGGCTGCATCTGACATTGGCAATGGGGTGATCTTCGTAGAGCCACTCTGGACGGACGGCGACGATTCGTCAGCGTCAGAGCCGTCCACCGATGGCAACGGTAAGTTCTGCTGGAAGCGAGAGTTTTCGACGTTTTCCTGCACCGTCAACGTCGAGCGTCCGACGGCCACTTTGGCAGTCTGACTAGGAGGCGAAGAAATGGACGGTCGGGTTCTTTCCGCTTGCGAAGATGAAGATCGATCTGAGGCAATCGCTCGAAGCAGCTTGCGTGGTCCGATGGGCTGGTGTACAAAGACCGGCGTAATGGCAGACAGTTGCATCCTTGGCGTAAATGTTGATGAGTAGATAGAGCGACCAAGGATCAAGAGGTGCGAATGTCTCTTGGAAGCTCGATCCAAGAGGCTCTGAAGGAAGGTGGGCGACTTCTTTTCGAGAGCGATGAGCTGGCCCTCTGTAATGGCACATACCGAATTCCCGTCAATCGTAGGTATGTTCGGTCCCTGTATTGCGTTGCAATGGAGCCACTCGTCGGCAGTCTCAAGAATAGAGTCTCCGACGAGTTGCTCCGGAGCGCAATCGCCGTCTGCACCTTCGGTTGTTGGAGTGAGCAAGTGAAACTGATCAACGACCAAATCCTCAGGCACTGAATCCGTCGTGAATGCCGAGTCTTTGGCGTCCCTCTCAACCGCAAACGTTGCCGGGAAGACGAGAGTGACTTTTGTGCCCCTGCCCTGCTTGCTGCTCAGATCCAGCGTTGCACCCACGTCCATTGCAAGCTGTTTGACGATGCTGAGACCAAGACCGGTGCCCGTGGAATGGGTATCTTCTTGCTTGAAAGGCGTAAAGAGGCCATGCCTTTGGAATGCCTCAGATATGCCTATTCCCGTATCTTCAACTACAAGCTGGACGAGCGCTGTTTGTAACGTGCCTCGACTGTCCGAATCACCGACCGTTAAACGCACTGAGATGTGGCCTCCATAAGTGTATTTGAGCGCGTTGCCGAGGAGGTTCGTCAAGATTCGAGTCCATGCACCAGGCGATATCTTCACCACCCAACTCTTGCGATAGTCGATGTTGAGAAGAACGCTAAAATCATCCCCATTGGCAGTAATTCCGTCGGAGGACGGTGGCTCCTGATGTAGACTATTTCTTCCTATGAAAGATTGACGATTTCCTGGGGACAGGGGCGTCTGGTACTGTGATCTGTAAGCTATCACAGTGGTTTCCACAACCTCCTCGGTCAGCCGTGCAAGATCAACACTGCTTGCAGCCCCTGTCTCGTCGAGATTTGGCCGAGAGGTAGATGTATGGAGTAAGCCAGTGCTGCCCTTTCCGCTTCTGCGCGATGTTCTCTGCCCCCTTGAATGGTTACTGATTTTCGAGTAGTCAAGGATGTGATTCATGGTATCCAGAAGCGTTCTTCCAGCCATACTGATCGTAAGTACCATCTCTTCTTGAAACAGTGACAAATCGGTTTCCTGCAAGAATTCCACACCAGCCATGATGCCATGCAAAGGTGAGCGCGTCTCGTGACTGATGGATGATAAGAACGTGCTCTTGGCCTTGTCGGTTGCCAGACTGTCGAGCCTTGAAAGCTCCGCCCCCAGCGAGTGCCCAAATGCTTTGAGGTAAGTAAGCTCCTCTTCTTGATCGAAATACCGGTCGGATGACGTGCTCCATACGATGATGCAGGAACGCCAACGGCCGATCGAGTCGTCCCAGAGGGGCAACATTGCGGCTGTTCTGGCACCGTTCATGGATTTGGAGAGAAGTTTACCGTCTCTTGACCGTCGCGTCCTTTCCACATGATACTCTTCGTTGCTCGAAGGGTCGCTGGCCTCGTCTGAGCTAGCGGAGCACCGGCCCTCTCCGTCGTAGTGAAAGACGACCCCATGTGGGTAGCGCTTGATGAGTCGTTGCAGATGATGCTCTGGTAGGGCAAAGCGTTGCGATGCCGATGGCAAGCCTGATGTGCCTGTGCGACCACGTGTGGAGAAGGCCAGCAAGTTGCACAGTTTTGAAGCCTCAGGAGCAGAATCCGAGGTTTCGACGTCACTCAGTCGAATTTGTGAGCTGTCTTCGTTGACGACAGAGTTGGAAACTGTGTCAGACGATTCTGACGTGCCCCTTTCGTGATGCTGGGAAGTGCCAGTAACCGTGCTGGCGTCGGCAAACACGACACTATCAACGCCAATTGCTTCCCTAAGCAGGTTGCTAGCGCGGGCATATGCAGCTGTGGACGATGTGGCCGGATCGCTCACATCGGCGGGACGCTCAAGTTTGGATTGGCGAAGGTGGCTTAAAGAATTGTCAGACTCAGTGCCATACGCTGAGATAGTCCCCTCTGCGGGCAGTTCGCTGGCAATTCGATCCGGCCGTTGCACATTCTGAGCCCCGAAGTAGTCTTCATGATCCTGCGACTCTCCTTGGGCGCCACTTTTGTCTGGACCTGACGGCTCGAGCACCTCTGGATGCATGCCAAATTCCGCATCGACACGTGCTTGACGTTCCTGTGAGCCACCTTTCGCGGCATGTCTACCCATCCCAAGTACTCGTGCATCATCCTGGCCAAGCCACCAGTCTCGCAGACTAGTTCTGCCGCTATTGAACAAGCCGAGCGCCTGAATCAATCTTTCGCCTCGCTGGCGTTGAGACCGCACGATTGTTGCGTTGAGATGCTCAACAGCGGTGTCTGAAATGTCTTCTAGGAAATCCATTTCCTTTGCACTGATGCCGTACCTCGGTTTGTCGTCGAGTACGGTGATGGCTCCGAGGACTGATCCTTGAGCTCCTCGTAGAGGAACTGAAACACAAGACCGTATCCATGAAGCACTCCGAAGAAACGCTAATCCACTATGGCCTGCATGATGTCGGGCATCGTTGACGAGGTTCCAGTGTGGACTGAGGCCCTCGGTGTAGTAGTGGCCTTCCTCCTCCGGCACATCCCTCATACGTCGTGCCTTCCTCCACGAGTTGACGGCCTCATCATGGATTCCTTCCTGACGAGGAAAACTGCTGGTGCCGATCCATAGGCGATCCTGGGGGTCGTCGGCGGCGGCATTGTGTTGAAGAGCTGTGGTTTTTGCAAGATCTGCCAGCACAAATTCGGTCTGCGTTGAGATCAGACTCACAAGACATCGGCGAGCCTGCAAACGAAGGGCGACCAGTTGCGCAAAAGCTGCCAAGGCTGTGTCTGGACACGCTTCCAGTAAGGCGGCATGGCCTGTGCCATCCTTGGGAAAGGCTCGTCGGCGGAGTGATTTCGGGCTGTACGTTTCCTCCCACGGCAGTAAATGTCTAGAAGGTGGCGAGTCAGCATGGTTACGCACCAAAGCATCTGGCTGCTCACCTGAATACGTCCCTCTCGCGCGTGGCCTCGGTGCGTTGACGAAAGCGCCTCTCGGTGGCTCCTCGAGGTAACTGTCCCTCTCCAGGATTGGGCTCCGGTGGAGACGCGGCGGTCGGTGCCAGATCGTGCATGATCACCGCTTACCGAAAGACACTGGCCACTGCATCGATGTCTGGCATGCGATGAGTATTCAGGATAGCGCCCGTGGTAGAATGGCGATAAGAAGGACGGTAGGCAAATATGCACGTGGATGTTGACATGTCGCCACGCAGGCCGCCACTTCATGTGGCTAGACGCGCCATTGTGGAGGCTAAGGTTTGAAGGAGTATACCCCGAAACGCCAAGCATCATTGAGCATTCATAAGGGTTGTCCTTGTCGTCGACGACGTCGAAAGAGAATTAAAGGTTGGCGAGACAACATTCTTTCAATGTGCAGGCTCCAAGAACCATAAGTTTCGGTCAAGACGAATGAAACTTGCAAGGAATTCGGCATGGTCATTCGGACGCGTACTCTCCCCTCCCCCGCCGGATTGCGGGGCAATAACCCGAACAACTTGCGCGGGCTTCCGAATGACTTACGCCTTCTGTCCTGACCATTATTCCTTCCCTGTCCTAACCATTATTCCTTCCTTGTCCTAATTCTCTATGCGTTCCATCTACTTACTAAGTGCAACTGCGTTTAGTCTCCATCTTGCCTTTTAAAGTACTCGTTTTTGCTTGATGAGTAGAACAAGACTACTAGGCTGAACAAGAAGCTCGGAAAGGCAGCTGTTCATTCAAACAAAAAAGCAACACCGTCGAATCGTGCTAATATCCCAAACGCTCATTCCAGGGCTCATCAATCCTAAATTGTCCGGCACAACCACGACCAAGAGGAAACTGTTCCGTCCCATTCAAACCAAACCCCACAGCCTCTCTCAAAACGACAGCCCTATTCAGTCTAACAAGTCTCTCAGCCACCCCCTAACCATCCACCGTCTTCTCCCCCTCTACTTCCACCTCCCCTTCCACCTCTCCCACCTCCCCCTCCTCATCCCTCCACTCACCCCCCACCCCATGCAACCCAAGCACATCCCCCAAATCCATCCCTAGCCTTAACCTCGCCAACGTCTCCGTAGCCACCATATCCGTCCCATACCGCATAACATCCAAAATCGCCAACGCATCCTCCAACTGGCGTCGTGTCCCCGACAAGTCCCGTTTCATCGACTCCCGCTTCGTCACCCCGGCCTCCAAACCCTCGTAGTTGCAGGTGAGGTTGCGGATGGTGCAGCGCATGCAGGTCGGGCGTTCGCCGGAGCACTTCGGCGGGTCATTAGCCGGACCTGGACGGGGAAAGTGGAGGATGTTTTCAATACCTTGACTTTCGATTCCCGACAGGCACTACAAGCATGAGCGACCTGCCTGCGGCGGGCCTGGCTGTTCGCCGCCCGGGCGGCGGTCGTGGTGCTGGCGCTATTCATCCGGGACTCGGTACGGCGAGGGTGGCGAATGTGCGCGAGGGGCTGGGATGCATGGATCCTTTCTGTCTGTCGCAACACCCGTGAGGGGATTGTGGCTTCGTTCGGCTGACTCGTACACTCTCTCGTCGGGCAAGGCGAGGTACACTCGCTCGCTAATCGCTGGTGATGAAGAGCTCGATACTCGACGATGATGTGTGGAGAGTTGATGTTGATTGGGGAAAGCGCGGTGGATTCTCCGCTGTTGGCGGACTGCCCTCCGCCGCAGCAACTCTCGCCGCATAGCTGTTCCAACCCACTTCTACCAGACATTCTACTCGATTGCTAATATCATGTCACCTGCGGTGATACGGAATACTGCTGCGTTGAAAGAACCCCCCTCCATTCGGATCTTCTGCCTAGAGTCTTCACGCACACGGCCCTTGGCGTATCTACGATCGAGAAGAGATCTCTGTACTTACCTTCGAAGCAATACCTAAGGCTTATAGGTCCCTCCTATTATAGGTAAGACGTACAAGGGACCTTTATAACTCATGCCTTATAGTATCTCCTCGTCCGAAGACAGGTAGGAGGGAATGTGCGAGTAGAAATCATTCACCTCACAGTCGATGACACCGATGCGAAACCTTATCGGCCGCTAGCCGTTTCTAGTAGGTATGGCAAGCATAGCCCTTCTATCATCACAGCCTATAGCACGACGACGACGTCTATGCAGCACCTAACATACCCGTGTGAGCATTGATTCAGGAAGGTAGAGAGGCGTAAAGTGGACATGTCTTTTCCAAAGTAGAAACGTTTGATCATCTTCATCACCAAGTAGTCAGCCACAAAAATGCATTCCTTAAATTCTTCCAGATCAATCTTTCCATCGATAAGTACACATGGCACAACCCATTTTCTTCGACAAAATGCTTCGAACGCTGCACAAGTACTCGTCGTTTTTTCTCCCAACACATCAGCATCACGGTCGTTTCAACTTCCCAATCCAATAAGAACGCCTTGTCTTCCCGTAGATCAGTCTCCAGAACAAAACCCCCTCCCATTCGCAGACTCCTTAGGTTTGAAGAACATAGATCATGTACTTCCCACAGGTACCCAACTCCGTCCTAGATCCATACTCCTGTTCACTCGTCCTCCAGGCGTAAGCGGTACGTTGACTCGTCCAGATGAATGGCTCTCGTCGCCACTGTCAGAATCGTAAGCATCACTCAGTCGTGCAAAGTAGTCAGAAAGGCCGTTCGTGGGACTTGCAATGTCGTTATACTGTGGGGGTGGTGTAATCAACGGTGGCGGTGGTTCCTCTTCCTCGAACGGCGGCGGGTTGAAAGACGGTGCTCGTAGGAGATGGATCGGTCGCTCGACTGATTGCATCCGGTTATGTCCCACATGATTTGCAGCATGTATCGTTGGTGGCCGGGCAAGACCTGGCGAGAACATCGTGGGCGTCGACGGACGGTTGTCCTCGGCGCTCGTCCTTGAGCCAGTATTGATAGCGTGTAACGCAGGTACAAAGCTGGGTGGTGAGTTTCGCCGTCGAGCAGCGCCTGGACAACCACATTCGAAAAGATTTGCACTCATTGGCGTGGCCATTGGCGATGTGTATGCCGGTAATGAGATGTTTGCTTGAGTCGCGCGACACGAGAGGATGTGGAACGGCGAGTCGATGGAAATCTCAAAATGCCTTCGCTTGCTTGGGTCATTCGCATCTGGCTTCGACAACCGCATGACAATCTTGATCCAATGGTGTACCTGGATATTTTGATAGGTCGTATCGAAGTGCAGTCGTTGACTTCGGTCCCGGTCTTTCATTGTGTGACAGCTTGGCAGTTGCACATTGAACTCCATTTCTGTGGGGCCGATGTTCGAGTCACCTTCGAGGTTACCCAACAGATTCGTGGTGTCTGTCGGTGCGACATCCTCCCCGCGTGCTGCTCGTGCTCGCTGGTCGTAAGGAACCCCACCTCCAGCGGTTACTCGCATCGTACTTCCAGGGAATGTACTCGTTGGTGGACCATCCGCTCGCTTTTCAAAGAGTTGCACTTTCCTGGTTGGCTCCATCCGATGTACCCGTTTGTTTGAACAGAAGTATTCGATATTTTCTGTGACCAGTACTTTTATTCGATGACACTGTACTTTTGCGAGCGGCGTCAATTTGAAGGCAATCGGTACTTGCGTGCCAAGCGGGAAGCTCTTTCCAGAAATGACAATGTCGTAGTGCAATTGATCTTCCCAGTTTCTGCTGATCGCAATAGGCTCAACTTGCTCCAACGACCCTTCAGCGGGGGCTCGAATGAGCGTGACCTCCTTAGTGCCCACGAGATTCGCCCTGAAAGCACCGGATCGCTCTACGACGGCTTCCAATTCGTATTTGACAGATCCAAGCTCGACGTCGATAGTCTCTGGTAACCGGCTGTCCAATGGCAGTTCGAAGTTGTAGATGTAGTCACCGGGTAAGAATGTCCTATATCCTTTGGCAGCCACAGTGGGTCCAGGTGGTGGGTCACCCTTTCCAAAACTGCGAGATTGATTGACAGACAATGCAAGTTTCTTGGCTTCCTTCGAACTCAGGTTTACGGTGGAATTTGATTCTGTAGATCGGCCGAGTGGATCCAATCTCGTCACTGTCGAAGAAGCACCATCTGGTCCTTTGAACAGTTGCACGTGATCCGCGTTGGTGCCTTTCTCTGCACTTTCGAATTGAGCATTGAAAAAGGGCCAAGTGTGTGACATGATCGTATCCTTCTCTTCGAATTCGACTTTTCGAGGCGGAATGCCTTCGGGCCATTTCGTGATTGCGGTACCCTTGAATTTCAATGTGATGGCCTTGATCTTTGCACTTTTCTGAACTCGTAAATGCAGCCCGCCACGCAGCATTGCAGTGTTTCCAGGCGAATTCTCCGAGTTTTCAAATCCTTGAAGGAAAAGCACTGGCTCAGCGAGATGAATGCCCATGCTAACGCCATTTCCAGAAGCAATCGGCTTCTCATCCTCCAGATTCAGATTGGGAATGACATTGTCTACGACAGTAGTGTCTAACCGTGGCGATGGTTGTGCTGCACTGCCATTGGTACTTGAAGAATTGGAAGAGTATGTTGAACTGTCCCGAGCATCACTGCTCAGTCTTGGCCTTTGCAGGTGGGCGTTGATGGGCCCACCTATCGAATGCCGGATTCCTCCACGCATGTTGTTGCTGGTGGTGTTCTCGCTCGGTGGTTGTGCAGCAGCGCCACTCTCGCCGCTCTGTTGCGACTGCGAGCGTTTCGCCGGTGACCAAGACCTTCTCTTGCTCTGGGCGTCGCTACCGTTTGGGGTTCGTGAGTCGGAGGTGGAGTTGGCGATGACGGAACGGAGAAAGCGCTTGGCGTTCTCGCGTGTGCCTGCCAGCTTGACTTTGATCGATGGCTTTCGCCTTTCTTTGAAGGGGTAAGGGACTTGTTGATTGTTGGTCTTTGGGAGGTCTCGCTCGGGGTCAACGGATTTCACGCAGACTCGACCAGGGCCGACTCGTCGAGGTCGGAAGAGCTTCTGTGGTTTGTCGTACTCGTTGTGGTACGTGGCCGGGTCGTAGTAGAGGAGGCCGTAGGTGGAGGATCGATATGATACTGCCATGGTGGGAGCACTGTCAGCAGGCGTTGCAGTGAGGGGGGAGCGGTGCAGGAAGGCGCATGGGCTGGGCAATGGAAGAAGACATGTTCTGCGGCATGAGGGCGAGGCAAGCAATCAAGATCTGGCGCAGGTGTCTCGTGTGCCAGGTTGCAAAAGCATCCATGCGGCTCGCGCCCAAGATCCAAGGCCCGTGAGAGCGGTCACACAGGGCGTCATGGGTCTCGCCAGCGCAAGATGGGCCACGGGCGGTTTGTCCGCCCGAGACAGGGAGGAGCTGTGTTACTTACCAGCGCGGTGGCAGAGAGCGGTATGCGATGCGTATTAAACGATGGAGAATCGGAGCCCAGGGCGGCGGGAAACAGGAATCTAAGATTGATGGCGTTTCATATAGCTCGGACACGCGAATTAATGACAGGCGGCTCCCAGGGACGTGGTGTCGCAAGCCTGCTTCACGCAAAAAGCGGCAGCAGCAGCGCAGAGGGCGGCGGCGATGGGTTGTTTGTTGGACGTGGGCACGTCAGACCAGCGATCCGTGAGTCCGCAGTCCGTGGCTGAGATGGAGCCCAGTCGACCTGTCGCCAATGCTGGTACTGAGCACCCCGGTTTGCGAGCTGGGCACAACCTTGGCCGTGTGCAGAGCCTGATACACGGCGAAACCTCGCCGAGGACGAGGTCGACGATTCGCGGTGGGAGAGCACCGAGTATGTAGCAGCTCGCCGGCGGGCTGCAGTCGATCGGCGGTGGGAATGGAAGAGTTGGCAGCGGAGCGAGCTGGGGACGAGTCGCAGCGAGGGCCGAAGCAGGTTGACAGCGCGCCGAATCAGGCAGATGACAGCACTCAGTCAGTCCCAAACCGTGGGGCGGTCGATGTGGCGTCGGGCGTCGTTGGTGGTGGAGGAAGAGGGGATAGTGTGCGGTGGAGAGAGAAGGGAGAAACGAAAACAAGAGGCGTCTCGTTCAGCTCATCAGACAAACACAGCGACAGCGCCAGTCTGCTGCGAGATGATTATTAGACTACCGGCCGGCCGCTGGCTTCTCACTGACTGCAAGCCCGTCACTCAGTCATTGCGTGGTTCCTGCAGTCCGAGGAAGAGACACGCTGCGTCATGCTTCTGCGCCAGTAGGAAAGCAGCGCAAATGGCTGCCAGCCAAGCTCTTCCGGCCCACCCGCCTGAGGATCTCCAGGCACTGCGGCCTGCCCAGACTTGGGGGAGATGCGCCAGACTCACGGCAGCGTGGGCTGTCGTGTGCTCTGCTGAGGGAGGGAGCGGCGGTGGTGGTGCTGTGGTTGCCGGCGACGAAGCCTGCCGACTCCGCAACCCATGCCATGCTCAGCGATGCCATCCCGCCCGAGACGCACTCGCCGCTCGTGTCAGGCAGTCTGACGACGAGGTGTCAAATACTGCCCGCCAGCCCTTTGCACTGCCTGCCGACGATCCGACTCGACTAATAGACCGCCCTGTCCGTCTGCTTGCCGTGATGCGCGACCAGGATTGTCACCAGATGCGCCGCTTGGCAGACCATCCGCGCCCGTCACGCGATACGATACTCTACGCAGTCTGTACAGCACGAGAGCGCATCTCGAGGATGCCGCGGGCACTGCCATACTGCCACGGCTGCCGAGAGGAATGAACGCTGCGGCCGTCGTAATCCTCTCGTTGTCCTGCCCCCTCACCCTCACCCTCATCCTAGGTGAGATGAGATGTGAGCGTGAGACGGACCGGACAAGACCAACATGGCTGCTCTTCTCATTCCTCGAGATCAGCGAGGTGAGCGGCCCATTCCAACACCCACCTACTGCAAGCCGCACCGCTAGTCGGCGGCCATGACAAACCTCGCGCAGCAGAATGTCAGTCTAACAAGCTTTTCCACCCCACAAGCGGTACCATATCCTTGAGATGGGGGTGAAGATAGCGAGGAATTCACCACTTCGCACGGTGGGTTGATTTGCGGGTATCGAGAAATCGCCTTGCGAATCGCGACCTCTCCGCCATTCCTCCGTCGATAGGATATCCTGGAGGACTTTTGTGATGGTCGGCAAAAATCTCTCACATGCTGCAGGCGAACGCGGCCTTGTGCTGGTATCAGGAATCTTTTCGGAATTGACTGCGTGCGACTTCGGACGATCAACACCAACAATTGCCCACGAAGCGGGTATTTGATCGCCGCAACAGCCAGCCCTACATCCGCACAACGGCGCGAGTGAAGGAAAAATAAGCTCACGGCAATGACGTCGATCTGCCGAACAAACAATTGCCCGAACCGTTATTACGCCAGAAGGCATGTGCGGCTCGAACGGTTGACGACGCGTTCAACCTTCAAAGTGGCCGTTGGGAGAGTCTGGATCGTTCTTCACCACGACAACAATGCCGGTGACCTTCCACGGACTTGTGTCGTGGTGAAGGGACTCTTGCTTTCAATAGCCTGACCCTGTGGCGTCCACCACGAAGCAGCCACGGTCCATCGCTCGATGTTCGAACGCCAAGGACGTCACACACTTGCGCGGCCTAATAAAAAGACAGCAACAATGTCTTGAACGAGCAAGCAAAGAGCTCCAATGGCAAGGACACAACATCACCAATCGTGTGGTGGCCGAATGTCACAGGCACAGCTTCCTAGCAGGAATCGACCAAAACCTGTCTTGGGGTGCAATCCATCCTATGATGCCATCCATTTCCACACAAACGGACGAGTGCGACAGCAGAGAAATGCTCCTTCCTCGCAAGCATCAACGATCGCGACCATCCGCAAGAGAATACGACCACGCACGACGACACCAACGTCGCATCGCATCGCATAATTGTTGGGACCCGATGAGAAAGAGAGCTGTTCATACCACATCGCGATCCGTCGAGCATTGGCTGAATTCATAGATCGAAACGAGAAGATAAAAGAATTGATAGGAGCTTAGCTCTGAATATGGTAAGAGAGCAACATCAGCGACCCAAGACTAACCGTCTAACCAGGACAGCGTCTGCTTGTGCGATCAGCTGCTTGCCAAACGAGATCTCTTACAAAGCCAGAGGTAGGATTTGTGAAGACCAGCAGCAGTTACTGCTTTTGGATTGAGTATGGCTGCAGCACTATGCAAGCAATGTGACATCTTGCAACAACGCATCTTTCGACATCACCATGCTATAAACACGTCGAGACAGGAAGACGATATCAAAGATTTTTGGGAGCAGCGATGCCATCAGCGTAGATGAAAAGGTAGGTAGGAAGGTAGGTATCCCCGACAGATGTTAATGACATGGCACGTCACATTGAAAAGTATCCATACCACAGTCACTCTCTCAGACCTTCTCAACACCAAAGGATGTCGACTAGCGTGTGTACAATCAAACTCATTCCTTGACATATAGATTCCTTTCATCCTCGTTCCATGAAAGTAAGGCCTATGGATGCATGGCCCGTACAGCTCATGTTCAAAATGTCTCGCGCACTAATGAGCGAAAGAGGGAGCCGCCATTCTGTCACTTCCTCAAGCCTTCCCCCTCTTCGCCTTCGCTCTACCAGTAGCAGTCCCCGCCGTCCTAGAAGCAATATCCGCACTATCCTTCACCGTCTTCACACTCTCGATTCGTCTGTCCAGCTGTCCATCCTCATGAAACGACGTCCCCATCTGCTTGCTCAATTTCCTCCGATGGGCCTCAGCTTCGGGAGTATCATACCCCAGCTGCGTACTCGGCGGTAACATCGCCCCCTCCCGCTCAGCACCAAACCCATCGCCAACCGACCCCATCTCAGGAACCTCCGCCTCCACACGCGGAGACGCGGACGCAGCAGAGCCAGAATGGTTCGACGAGATCGTGCTGAGGTTACGGCCTAGCGGACGATGCTTTCGCTTCTGCTGCAGTGGTTGTTGTTCGAGCGAGCTCGGACGAGTAGCGACCTGTCGAGCGAGGATGTTTGCTAAGTCAGACGTCAATTCTTCCTGCTTCTTCGGCTTCGTTTCCCCAGCTTCTTTCATTGGGCTTTGCGGAGGACTCGCGAGGGATTCGTGTGGCGGAGCAGCAGAGGACGGCTTCGCGGTGATTGCCCCTCCCGCGGGTTTGTCATCCTTCAGGTTTGGTTCATCTCTCGACGAACCCCTCGGCTGGGACCTGTTCGGTGAGATTTCTTTCAAGGGTTGTTGCTGTATTGTTTCCAGCACAGGAGCCGACTGGTCATCACATGTAATTGGCTGTTCGTCCTGGTCATCATCTTCCAGTATGAAGGGTCCAGCTCTAGATCTTGCTGGCTCGGAACGTCTGGAAGGCTGAAGTGGTAGCGATGGGGTCGCGTGGCGCTTGCGTGTATTGGATAAGCGCTTGGGCGGTAGGAGATCAGCTGCCCTGCATCCTTGTCAGCGGAAGTCTTCAGTGACTAAACATCTGAGGAACATCAAGGTCATGTGCATGTCACGCTTATGCTCACCTCTTGGTCTGCTCCATAGAACCTCGCATGGGCAGTCTCGACTTCTCTTCACTAGGCTTGACTGATGCGCTCGGCGACGGGTCGGCATATACATCCGCTGCATCAAAGGCGGGTAGGGGGATCTTGTACTTGTCAAAAGGGGCCGTCTTGCGAGTCTTGAGCGAATCCCATAGCCAGTCCGCTGAGACCATCGGAATTCTTCGTTTCCACGCATAGGCCGCCTTGGCCTTCTTGATCTCCGCAGAGTTGCAGACGAGGACTGTGGTTGAAGACCCCAGTGTCGTCTCGTAGGTTGCTCCCATCAAGCGAATGACTTGCGCGGTCTGCCGCCAGTGCATACCCACCTCGTCCGTGTCGAAACCGGTCAACGAGATGGCCAGATTGGCAAAGCCCGAGACAACAGTGTTGGAGAGGGGTGAGCTGAGTAAGTCTTCGCGTGGGTCCAGAAGCCGTTTGTACAGAATGCAGCGTTCGACCCACCACTCAGTTACCACTACAGTTGCTGGTGGTACTCCAGGTAATGCTGTGGGTTGTGCGTGCGGCATCAATAGACATCGAGCCTGGAAACCGACATTTCCTCCAGCCTCTTCCAACTCTTCCGATGAATTGACTACAGTTGCCCCGTTCGGCTCCAGATATCGTTGCAGCGTCCTAGTATGGCTCTCGTCGAACCCATGGATAAGGACATATTGACCAGAGAATATCCCTCCTGATTCTACGGGAGCCATCGGGGTGATGGGTCTCGAACTCGCGGGTCTGTCCTTGGACTGTGGCCGTTCCGCCGTCTTCAAAGCCTGGCTCTCATCATTCCAGGCATCCAGCTCCGTGGCATCGACTTGGACCTCCTGTGCGGATATGCTCTGCCACATGTCTTGACTTTGGGAGTCAAATCGCATGCTTGCGCTTTTCCTCAACTTCCTGCGACTTGCATCTATGCCGCCTGCGGACTCGTCCCTGTCCCGCGTAGGTCTTTCCGATATCGATCTCTTTCGTTTCCGAAACGCATTTCGTCCTTGTTGCTCCAAAGGTAGCTCGGGAGCGTACAGATCTTCTTGCAAAGCCATGCCGCGAGCCAATGAGTCCTCGTACCACTTGACGCTCACCACGGGTATGTGCCATGACTTGGCATGGGTATACTTGGCACCCTCTGGCTTCGCAACAATGAGATGGGTGACTGTCTTTGTCAAATCGCCATGGTATACGCCGCCACTGCTGACAACCCTCTGCTCCATGTCACTCCTCCGGGAAGGGTCTGAGATGCCCGTCAAGCATATCTGCAATCCGAAGAATGTAGGTAGGGTGTATTGTTTCTCAAGTGCGGCCACATCAACATCGATCCCCTCTGTCCATACTTTTCTTACGGCCTCGATGAAGTCTGGCGACAAGACTCGTACTTCTGGGCGTTCCTTCGCGACGTATCGGTATTTCGGCGTGGTGATGCTGGCGACGAGGAGATGTGTAACGTCGGCGGTGAGGTCCAGACTATGGCGCGCTCCCATCTGTCCAGCGACGTCGGCGAGTTTGGTCTTGAGAGAGTATCATCAGTCTAAAGTGCTCTACATGTATCTGGGGAGCTGCGGTACGTACTCGAACATCTTGCGACAGCGACGTACAACATAAGACTACCCCTTTGAGCGGCAACTGGTCGACTGAATGTCCTGTCAGTAGCATATCGCATGAATGTCTGCCCAGTGACTTACCGAGCTCTGTATCCTGCGCCGCCATGTCTGCTCCAAGTCGAAGATGGAGCACGCGATGAAGTCGCGTCAACAAAACGCGGGCGCGGAGCTGGTTCCGCGCCAGTCACATGCGCCGTTTCAGTCATGCACAGACATTTGGCTGAGATTGAGATGAATGACACTGTTTTGATGAATGTTTTGTTGGATTGAAAGACAGCAGAGCTCGTCTCTAGTCCGGCTATCGACAAGCTGCATTGGTATCATCGATGCATGAACTCCCTAGCAGAATGCCCTTTCACCGTACGCCTCCCAATGCATCATCATTCAGGCCTGACCACTATCTGGCCTGAGGCCCTGTTCATGAACTCTTCATAACTCCATCCAGCGATTGCATTCCCGAGCTTCCGACGACCTGCTCACCACCCTTTTGGCTGGGTGCCGTTTGCTGCTCTCCAGATGATGTATTCGCCCCAAAAGCAGCATGCTCGTTGTGCTTCTTGTAGTAAAAGCTTCCCTCCTTCGGCTTCAACTGTTCTGATATGCCCTCAGCCACCGTCTTCAGGATCTTCTGAATGCCAGCCTCGTGATCACCATCTCTGTTCCAAATCTGCACCAGCATGCTGTTAAACCTCACTCCCAAGCTCACTCCACAGATATCGTCACGAAAGGTCGTTCGCCCAGGCTCTTCAACCGCCTCTTGTAGTTGCTCGCCAATCGCCATCATGCAAATCTCCTTCCAGAACTCAGTCGCTTGATGTTTGGGTACCCTAAACGTCCAGCTGCCTCCTCGCGCATTTCTAGGATCCTCCCACACCGGTTTCACGCCCTTGTGGAACAGGTGAACGGAGTCCCGCAGCCTGAGCTGACCGATGTCGAAGTTGTTGAATACGTTCCAAAACTGTTTCACGTCGCTAATCTGGGCAAGAGGTTCGAGCCGGTCTTCGTAGCTGACCTCGTGTGAGGCTCCATTACTGCTAGCGGCAGTCGAGCGGTCCTGGCGATCATGCCCGAAATCCCAGCTGTGGACGAGAGGAGGAACGCGATTCTTCTGGTTCAGTCGTGTGTGCAGGAAGTTGAGCATTTCAGCGCCGCGCGCAGGTGAGGTTGTTGCGGCGGCTTCTTCAGCTGAGGCTCCAGGTAGGCCAGAGACCTGTAGGCGAGGTGGGTTTGCCATAGCGACGGAGTCTTCGAGTGGAATAGGGAGAACGGGAGTGGAGAGGGAAGTAGAAGAGAGGCTGTATGCGCAAGGGAGAATGTTATACGAATTGGACAAGCAAGACAAAGCCGCTCAAGGGATTTGTCTGAGGCGAACCGTTCTCTCACAAAGGCAGAACATGGTCAACTTCCAAGTGGAACGGTGGCCGTGGCTGTGCTCGTACACGAAGTGGATGAGAGGAGAGAGACAATGTCACATTGCATGTCTTCTAGCTGAACAGGTCGACTGTTTCACTGAACGATCGCCGGCTGGGGCTCCAAAGGCGGGCGCGTAGGGATTTGTGGGGCGAATAAACTCCATCAATATTATCAATCAATTAAATCAAATTGATGAGCGCTTTGGTGCGCTTTAAACTTTGGCCTTGGTTGACTTCACCTCGTCTCCTGTCGTGAAGGGCAGTTCTATACCATCCTTCCAACCAACATTCAAGAGGCTGCGTAGCCCGATGCTGTTTCTCGAGGCAGATTTGACTATCTTCAGGTCTCTTCAGAAGTGTTTAGCCGGTCAAGACTCGACCAAAGACATGGCGGCGGGCGAGCGAACCAAGATCACCCAGAAGGCCGGTGTGGAACAACATAGCAGCCAGACCTTATGCTCACTACTGTAAGCAAGTTACACATACTTTACCACAGTAATGTGCGCGAAGTAAGACAAGCAGCCTCATGCCAGACACGTTTCCCGTACGGCCTTCGACAGTCGATACAGCGGAGCCAGCAGCAGGAACTTGTCGGGTTTGGATTTGGAAGTTTGTATAGTAGAATGTCAGAGGAACCTAGGAGGATCTAACCGGCTGCATCTTCGGTATCAATATGCTCTTCAACGCTGTAGAACACTTGATACTCACTATTTAGAATTGAGAAACTCATCCGCCATAAGGTCGAGCGACAACATCGTAGATGAAGCCTTGCGACAATGGAGGAACTTCGAGAAGCACTTGCTATTACGGCCGTAACCTGACCTGCCAAGGTCAGTGAACAGCGTCGGTTTTGCACTAGTCACGGCCAATTTTCTCGCTCCTTTGCTCGATCTCTCGACTGCTGACAATTTCCAAGAAAGAATCACTCAGTGGAGCGACGATCGAAGGAAATAGTATATCTGGTTGTAGACTCACACAATATGATCGCTCATTTGCCTCCTCGACCTCTGGCCAAGGCTTTCCATTACGAATACTGACTATGGTTCTTGGCCGGCTAGTCAAGGGTGGTGAACAGGCAGACTTGGCCAGGTGTCGACAAGGTTCATTTGCTTTCTCAAATCATGAACTTCTTCTCGTTGGCACACTGAGACCACTATTCATACCACCAGCTTCGACATGATGGCGATTCAGAGAGTTTTTCTTGTTGCGCTGCTGGCTGCGAAAGGCGGCACTTTTGCACTCAGAACTCATAGCACAAACCCGACACAGTTGCCAGCCGTGGATGCAAAATATGACGGGCAATGCTTCTATCCACAACCTGCTCTGGACTTCGACCTTGACAGCTACCTTGGCCGCTGGTACCAAGTCGCCGGCACTGTGGCCCCATTCACGGCTGGTTGCAAGTGCATCCGTGCGGACTACTCCCTGAACGTGCGTGACATAGTTTTCATGCTTTTGAAGTTGTGCTGACTGCTCAAAAAAGGCCAACGGGACAGTGGACGTTCTGAACGGCTGCGAGCTTGGCGGGCAAGAAGTCAAGATCCAAGGCACCGCCACCGCCATTCCGTCATCTGCTGGCTACGGCGAAGGAGGAGTACTGAGAGTACAGTTTCCCGGCCAGTCAGCACCAGAGTGTCCGGGACCTAACTATGTCGTTCAATACATCGGCGCAGGCAATGGAAGCGAGGGTTGTGGTGCAGATGCCAGTGGTGATGGAGCATTTGCGATCGTGCAAAGTTCGAACTTCTCCACCCTGTTCTTGCTGAGTAGGCAACAGAACCCTAGTAATACATCCATCGAGGTGAGACGTCCTTCCTTCCTGTCATGATGGATGCAGCTTCTGACTGCTAATAGGCGTGGCTTCAGCGTGCCGGGAGACTCGGCTCGAATCTGACGGAAGTCGTATTGACGGACCAGACTGGATGTCAGTTTACGTAGGGCAAAGTGAGGATGTGCAGTGAATGAGTGCAGTGGCAGCGGTGAAATTGTTGCGAGGACGACGGTTTTCAGCTCCGTTGACAAGCTGCGGGGCCCGAGCCCGGTGAGGGGCGGTGGTGAAATGCGGGGTAATTCCGAAGTGGGCTGATTAGGAAGGACCGAGGCGGGGCCAAAAGTAAATTGAGTTTCGCAACACCCAACTTCAACAGCTGGCCTGCTCGCTGGCAGCCATTGCAACAATTCCACGCCGTACATACAACAATCATGGCGACCGAATTACCGAAAGATGAAGGTACTCTAAAGGTCATCAAAGCAACCAAAGAGACGGAACACTCCCAGATCTTTCGCGTTGGCACCAGAAGATCCATCCTCGCCAGGGTACAAGCAGACGAGATCGTCAAAGAATTGAAAGAGCAATGGCCTGAGCACACATTTGAGATCCATGCCATGAGCACCACTGGCGACAACAACCAGAAGACTGCACTGCACAAGTTCAACGAGAAGGCGTTGTGGACACAGGAGCTCGAGGTCCTGCTGGAGGAAGGACAGCTGGATCTGATTGTGCACTGTTTGAAAGACATGCCAACACAGTTGCCTGCGAACCTGCAGTTGAGCTGCATTACAAAGCGAAGAGATCCGCGGGACGCACTGGTGCTCAAGCCAACGCTCGTTGACAAGGTCAAATCCTTGAAGTATCTGCCGGAGGGCGCGGTTGTGGGCACTTCAAGCCTGAGGCGGACAGCTCAACTGAAGCGATTCTACCCGCAACTGAAGTTCCAGGACGTCAGGGGTAATCTTGGTACTAGGCTGGGTAAGCTGGATGATCCAAACTCGGACTACTCTGCCATTGTCATTGCTGTTGCCGGTCTCGAACGCCTTGGCATGACCAACCGCATCAACTCGTACTTGTCCAAGGACAACGGTGGCATGTTATACGCTGTTGGTCAAGGCGCACTTGCCATTGAGACCAGGAAGGATGACAAGAGGACAACAGATCTTCTGGCCAAGATCAGCTGTGATCGGTCCACCAAGCAGGGGCTGGCGGAACGGCAACTCATGCGGACTTTGGAAGGCGGCTGTTCCGTGCCAATCGGTGTAGAAACTGAGTGGATTCCAAAAAAGCGATTCCACGACACTCATGTCGGTATTGGTGTTAAGCCCGCAGAGGACTACGATCAGGCGACTGGAGCGGCTTTCGGCGGAGACCCAGCGGGCAAAGAGGAGGAGCAAGATCTCACCGACGAACTTGTCATGCGCGCCATTGTTGTCAGTCTAGACGGGAAAGACGCGGCCGAAATCGAGACCAGAAGAAGAATTACCACCAACGAACAGGCAAACGAGCTTGGGTTTGACGCAGCCAAGTTGTTGGTCGAAAAGGGAGCTGATAAGATCTTGGAACAGGTACAACTCAACAGGGGGATCATAAAGGATCAGGGCAATGCATAAACAGAACAAAGCGAGTTTGTGCGTTTCGGATGCTGTTCCTGTTAGTATCTGAAGATAGAAATTATCGCCGGCACCTCGGGAACCAAAGTCGTCTGCTTATTCACCAGACAGGCTACGAATGTCATGACCTACCTGAACCGCTTCAAAGACATCGATTCTAATACTAATTTATCATTCGCATCTGAACCGAGCTTCGGGCTACATATTACCGCGAGGAGGTTGGCTGAAGTTGAAGACCGGGCACCCCCAAAACTTCAACGGCTCCAGACCACAACCCTCCGCGGCTCCACGAGGGGTGTTCGGCTCCATAGCCAACCCATGGACTGTGCTTGCTGTCCATCGACAGGGCGTGCGAATACGTCAAATGTTCCGCTCTGCTGCAGCGGCCATATAACGAGAGGGTCACCATCTCGGTCACTCATCGCTTCGAAGAATCCCCTGGCGACCATTAGCCGCTGCCCTACGAGCACTATCAGATGAAACAACAGACTCTGCACATCGAACTTCCAAAGATCCCTGTTCATGGACAAGCAAGAGCCTTTTTCGGAGGCATACGTCATGTCTTCGACTTTCCCGCAGTCCCTCCGATGCGGGAGCAGGCTATAGTCTGCAAGAACGTCTGCCTCTAGACATGGCTTCGTTTGAGTAGGGTGGCAGAGACATGCAGGTGGTCGAAGGGTTGAATAAGCGACGTCATGCCCGGGAGCAAACCCGACCACGAGTTTTATCGCTGTGAGAGTTTGCAATACAGGATATGAAGAGGACGATTCACGAAGAGCTAACCGATCGCCCACTTCGGTGACAAGACCGAGCTGGTGACGGAGACACATCCGTCCGCCTGAGCAAGCTGCAAAGGACTGAGCAGAGCTCAGCGACTAGGAACATGATGACTGTGGTGTGTACCCTGGGATCTACTCATTACGATAACGCTTGTGAACAGACGTGGTTGTAGGCCTTAAAGTTCGCGCCATGGAACTTTCACATGCATTCCTACGAGGAGCGACCTTGCTTGTCTCGACAGCCCGGATCGGTTAGGTCAAAAGATCTTTACCGATAGGTATACAAGACTTCGTTTTCGCCCCGAAGCTTTCTCAGGTACGAGTCTACGAAGATGGCAGACACAATCGGCACTGATGTTGACTCAAAGAAGCATCCCGCGCAAGTATCGGATCTTGACATTCGCCTTTTCGCAGTTTCCCCTAAGTCCGATTGACATGTCGAGAGTGTCTCACCAACTGATCGATAGTACCTCCCTAGTGCGAGGATCGTGCAGGGTACGAGGATACTAGAGACACGCGTTGGAAAGGGCTGGCATTCACGATCCCTCCATTGACGTAAATGCAGACTACGTGTAAACGACGTCAAAGCAGTCAGTCGGCTAAATATGCGCCTTCATATCCAGGCATTGGGCCTCAATAGCACTACCGCACGATCTCGATTACCTTCTTACTCTCTCATCGACTTCACGATCGACGCGAGACATTGACATGGCTGCGCCAGCAAGCAAGAGTGCTGACCAAATTGTGCACGATCTAGACGGCATGCAGCGTCCGGGTAACAATCAAGGCATTCAACACAAGACTATCCGGCGGCGCTCGTCCATGGCCAAGGCTTCATTGGCCCCCATCAAGACCGACTTGAAAGAGTCCTTAGTCACGGACGATTTGAAAGATGTGAAAATGACGAGGAGGAGGGCAGCAAGAGCTGTAAGTATCATGATGCATTTGAGGGCGCGCATGAGACCACACTAACCATCTCAGTGCGATCAATGTCGCCGGCGTAAATCGCGCTGCGATGGTCAGATGCACTGCAGCGCGTGCAAGGTAGTAGGGTGAGACTCGGTCATAAGCACAACTTGATTTGACTGCCACTGACGGTTGCTACAGGCTTCATTGCTCATATGGTCACACGATCAAGCAAACCAGGGGCCCATCCTATGTTGCTCACCTCGAGAACAAAGTCGACGAGCTGGAAGAGCGCCTTAAAACGAACACTTCCCCAACTGGAAATGGAGCCCTGCCCGCCAGATCTGCCTCACAATCGCCGACGTTTGACTCTTACAGTACTGCTCAATGCAGCCCTGCGATCTCAGATTGGACAGGTGTTCCTTTTACGGCTAAGTCCTCGCGTTCCAAGGAGCAGTGCGGTCTCGTTGGCCAGTTTCAGGGGCTTTCGCAGCAATCCCAGACGGCAGCTTATCTCACGAGCATAACCACGGAGCCACGAGGATTCTTTGGTATTGACATTTTACGCCAACTATGGAACCATTGCAGTGCGACGACTTCGTTGAATTCGGACAAGAGCGGCGACTCTTCACTCAAGCTCGTGCAAGCTCTCGATGCACCGCTTTCGATTGATACTCTACCCGTTCAAGGTGCGCCTCTACTACCCCCGAAGACGCAATTGATTCATTGGATCGGAGTCGCCTTCCAGGAAGTCCTCACTCTATTCCCTTTTGTAGACAGAGCCTCCGTGCAGATGGTCGTTTACCGTCTCTATGGCACAAACACCTTCGGACAAGACGCCAACGACAAAGACGAGTTAGCTCTGCTGTACGCTCTGTTAGCTCTTGGTCAGCGATTCGACACGGCGAAGACTCTCACCGCTGCGGAATTCAGAAGTCAAGGACTGGTATTCTTCGCTGCTGCACGTGGTATGGTCCCACTTCAGAATTGCGACAGGAGTCTTCCAGCTTTGCAGACGGTCCTTTGCCTGTCGCTCTACCTCAAGGCTGGCTCAGCTGTCACTCGCGCTCATGCCTTTGTGAGTGCCGCGGCGAGTGCTGGACTTCGGATTGGGCTACATGAACAGGTACCATGCTTTGCCGAGACTGAGCAGACGATTCGAAGACGAATTTGGTCGACCATTCGCTCGCTGGATGTCATCACCTCGAGCCTCTTGGGGATCCCGCATTTCGTCACCATTGCAACTTACGATGATGACCCTTTCCCTTCCCTGACGAATGGGTATGAAGAGGATCTGGTGATCAGTTCCGCCCACTCTCGCTTGATTACCATCCTGGGTCGAGCGATTGACAAGACTTACTCCAGTAACTCAGCGAAGAAACCAATGGGTCTTGGTTCGTTTGCGGTCCGGGAAGAGAGCATGAACGATGCGTGTAACGAGTTGGACTCTTGGGCGCAGAGTTGTCCACTGCTCGCCACGCCCATTGAGAATATGAGGAAGTAGGCGTCACCATTTCAGTGATTAATGAATTGCAGCTAATCCTCCCTCTCAGACCGCAACTGCTGCTCGCATATTCGCAAGCCTACGTGGAGCTCATCCTGTTCTCACCGTTCGTCCACCACCTCGCAAACTCCCCCGGCGTCAGCAGTGTCATGGAGTACACCTACGCCTACCGGGCCTTCCAAGCCGCAGTGAACGCCGTCAAAATCGCACAAGTCCTGCATAAACGTCTCTGGCTTAACGAAGCACACGGCATAACCTTGGACACCCTTGCCTTCGCCGGCGTGGTCCTCCTGACCGTCGAACAAACCAGCGCCGTGAACCATCTCCTCGTGGAAGCAGTTCAACGCAGCAAGCAAGCAAAAGAGCTCCTCCTGCTCGCATCGTTGCAGAACCCAGCTGCCGGGGAGGTTTGGGGGGTTTTATCAATGTCGGAGACGTTGATGAAGAACGAAGGGTCGCAGAGCTTTTCGACTTCTGCGTGGAAACAGACTGGAACGAATATGGTACTGCGGAGAGAAGCGTTACCGAAGCGACCTGCTACTTTGGTGTCGCAGGATAGTGGTGTCGATGTTGCGAGTCCTGTCGTTGGGTGCGTTAATCCGTCTTCTCTGCTTTCGGAGGACGAGGCGAAGGTGCTTTCGATGCCGATTGGAGTCGATGTCGTGATGGGTTGAATATCGAATGGTGGAGTCATGAACTGGAGACAAGGAAGGACGACCGGGAGTGTATTTGGCGATGGGGTTTGATCAAGGGCGGAGGGCGACAGATGGAAACGAATCTCAGCGCGGCGTTAGTGATGTACATGAGTACACGAATTGACGGTTATGATGGGAATATAGACCGGGCGACTGCCCAAAAGCATTGACGGCGTAGGCTTGCTACAATACTAGGACAGGATATGATACATTTCTGGCTGCTGTATACTGTACAACAGCCTTTCTTCCAGGCCAGCAAATGCTACACTCATACGCCTCGCTAATCCCATGCTTTTCCTCCTTTTAAACGCCTTCGCACATGCACAACGAAGCGAAGAACAAACCCGTCTAAAAGTAAGCAGCCCACCCGGAGAACAGCGTCGCTAAATGCCTCTCATCAGTTGCCTGCTGAATCAATTCATTGACAGTAGCAGCTGTGCTGAGCGTCTTCGACAACTTCTTCTCCACAATCGAAAGCGATCTATCTGCCTCGCCCGCCTCTTGCTCCCGTCTCTTGGAAGAGCCTTGTTGATCCGCCGCAACGCCATTGCGGCCCGTGTCCTGCGCTTCCTGCATGCGCTTGGCTCGGACTGGGGATAATGTCCAGTTGTATAAGGGATCGTATCGAAGCACGTTGAGTAAAGTCATGATGCTGTCTTTGTCGTCACGAACAGCGTCGAGCGTGAATTCGCAACATCGCCGGAACACGCCCTCGGTTCCGGTTGCACCCATGCCGTCCATAACGTCGCGAGTGAGCCGGAATGGAACCATCTCAGGAATAGGGAGAATCCGACCAGCTTCGAAAGCAACGCCAAGATCGATGTGAACGCACTCTCCGGTCTGCTGGTCGAGGAGGATATTGCTGCAGTGTCGATCCCCCAGCCCCAGAATATAGCCGAGTATCGATATGCTGGCGGTAGTGCGCGAGTAGTTGGTACGCTTCTCAAACCACTCGTCGGGGTCATCGAATAGCTCGAAGAAGAAGTGTCGTAGAACAGGGTGGAGGCGATCGCAGACTTTGCGGAACTCCTTGACTCGATGTTCAACCGACCCATCCTTGGCGGCATTGACGACGTCCCTTGCTCTCTGATCGTTGTAATCTTGTGGATGGTATCGCTTGTGAGCCGGCCTCAACCAGTCGTTGAACGGTATTGAGTTTGGTACAAACTCAATGATTCCGCATCCCGTAGTCAGTGGAATCACCTTGTACGTGCGAACCTTCAGATCTCGTTGCCGCGTGGCCTTGTGGTTCCTCAGCATCTTGCTGACCTCCTCAAACACCTGCTCCATGATAGCATCTTGACGTAAATCATCATCACCACTCTTGAAAAGTTGCTTGTATTCTTTGCCGTCTGAAGCGATCGCAGTCAACGTCTTGGGCGCGCTGAGACCATTCATGATGGTCAGCTTCTCCTCCCATTTGACCACAGTCGGGGTATCGCTGTAGTCACCGCTGGGCCGTAAAGGAAGACTGATCGTAGCCGGAGGTAGATCCAACGTTTGAATCTTGCGAGACACTCTGACTGCCGAAGGGTAGTCCTTCAATGGCGCTTTGCCTGATCTCGCATTTGGTGGCACTTCTTCGGCAAGCATCTTATAATACCGATCCGCGGTGAATATGCGATCCATGAGTGGCTTATGCGTAGCGTCTTTCGAGATGTGAGTGAATATAGTTGAAGCAGCCTGGAATCTCGACACAGCAGCGGGGTCAGAACTTGTGGGCTTCTGCTGAGCAGAGAACAAGTGGTGCATGCTGTGGTGAGGATGCTGTACGAAGATGCGGCAAAGAACCTTCTGCAGAGCTGCTTGAAAGGCGGTCGGCTCGTTCTCAACGCGTGACATGAGTTGATTCATCAACAGCACGAGCTTCCAGCTTGGCACAGATGGCAGGTATTTGGATACCACCCCGTTTGCTTCTTGGTCATCTGCATTCTCAAGCCATAGCGCGAAGAAGCGAAGCACACAGATGTCGTACTCGTCAGTTGCCCGAAGCGCATAGAGGTAGTTCTGCAAGCTTTGGTGGATGTAGAATTTGCGCCCAATTGCGAGTCGCTTCTCCTCGGCCTTGTCAATCTCGAGCCATTTCTCGGCTTTGCCCAGTTGCCTACTGAGGTCGGTCCTGTCCTGGCCATTCTTTTTCAAGTTCTTCATGGCAAGTCTGATGGCATCGACTTCTTCCTGCTTGCCCTGCCGCAGCTTGATGATACGATGGAAGTTCTCCACATTGCCTGGGTTTTGATACTCGTTGTCGCAGAACCTGGCGAACTCGTAGAAGACTTTTCCAGCTTCTTTGTCATCCTTTCTGTCTTTGAGGTGGTTGATAGCGGGCTTGAGGTATTTGCCAAGAATGTCTTCTGGCTTCTCCAGCCTTGCTTGCCCAAGTTGATGGCCCAGCTGGGCTAAGAGTCCAGCACGGCCGACGGGTAGGTCTTGAGCCTCCATGTCGGACATATTGAGCGCATCTCGGAGCATCCTTACCGACGAGGACGATTCTTCAGCCTGCCAAAGCACAGAAGCAGTCTCGACCTTTACAGCTGCTTCGACTTTGAGGTTCGTGGCAAGGCACTGGTCTACCATGGCACTCAGGTTGGTCGTCGCTGTGAGAGCTTCTTGTAACTTTGAGTGCTCGCGGCTAAGTTTCGAAAAGTCCAGTAAAGCTCCAACCTCAAAGTTGTAACATTGCTTGGTTGACAAATGCATTGCCTTCTGAAGACTCGGATTGTGCGTCAAGGTGCTGAACAATGTCTGCCGATTTGACAAGACCGCTTTGACGTCGTCAAACCTTGCCATATGCATCCAGTCGAGTCTCTGCTGCATGCTCTGCCATCTCGTTTGGACCTCAGATGGACTGATGCAGTTCAACAGCTCACCAATCTCCGTGATAGAAGCTAAAGTTGCGAGCCATGACCGATCTGGTAATTCGGACTTCTGACCAAGAACGCCGTGTTGAGCATGCTCAATAATGGATTTTTCCACCTTGCGTCGGACTTCGTGCAGATCATTGGCACGACTCAGCTCTTGGAACACGGAAAACAAGAGCGACGCATCGCTTTCATGTGTTTCAGGAGGTGTGATGTCCCATTGCTGCAGCGTCTTCGCGGCGCCTAGGAGCTCAGTCGATGGGCCTGCCGTACTGCCCCACCCGTGATTCAACAGCGCGTACGCGAGGCTGTTGAAATTCAGCGCGGAGAGTGATCGGACCATACCATTGGCATCTCTCTCTGAAATCTGATGCTGCGACTGCATTAGACTGTCCACCTGCGCAGAACGGAACATTAAGCTTCGCAACCCGTCTCGTTCATGGTCCAGCCGATTGAGAATGGAGTCGAGAGAGGCCGGTTGAGGCACACCGTAGAATGAGTCTGGCTCTTCCAGCTGCTGGTATATGGAGAGCAGCAAATCTTCCGATGCTTGCACGGGCTGTAATTGCGATGTTGACACCCGCGTAGACGACCGCTTGCTGGAATGGCTGGTGGGAGCAGAAGATTCCGCAAAAAGCAAGGCTGTAGTAGGCATGCCGCTCTTCGATGAAGCCTCAGCCAGAAGCAAGTAGTCAAGATCCAGCCATCGAAGTCGGTCAGCTTTGGTGGCTTCATTGGGATATGGTCGACTCTTCAGGTACAGGACGAGCTGCAACAAGAAACGTTGCTTGGGCTTGAGTGACGCTTCCGAGCGAGACAGACAGGCAACAATGGATGATGATAGCTCTGTGCGCAGGGTCGGCATCTTGTCGACCTCTTTGAACAACAGTATGTGGACGATGCTTGGCAGGAGGTCGATCGCCAAACCATCGATGCTCTGAATCATGGCAGCCAGCGAAGAGATGATTGGGCTATCAACAGCCCAGTTGCAGACCGTCACGGCCAACCTGGTTGCCCACTGCTCGAGTGTTTCTTCGTCTGTTGTCGCCAGAGCCTTCCGTAAGGCATTACCATCAACGGCGAAACTCGGGAATTGCATCGCGGCCGCAGGCTCATATCCGTAACTACCACTGATGAAGGCTTCTTCGATCTCGGGAGGCAACATCTTCTCGAACTCTCCTGCTTCATTTGCATCTTGGATAGGGGTCTCCAATATCCTGCGCAAAGTGAAGTCCGCCAAGCCAGCTTCAGTCCTATGCTTGGAGTACAAGAGCTCGGTGAGGCGCTCGGCAATGACTGCTTGAGAGTACAAGATCCCTTCGTTGCTGACTCTTGTCAGAATGGTTGCTTGCTCAGATGGTCCAGAACGTGAAAGAGCACGGGCGCTACTTCCGCTAGCTGCGTATGCGCGGCCTAGAGCTTGGACAGCCCATGTGGCGATACCGTCACTCATTCCACCAGATTGCATGACCTCCCACAGCTGCTGGGCATTTCGTACTGCTGCATCGTCATCGCCGAGACAATCGTCAGCTTTAGAAGACGGCTTCTGAAAATCAATGCCGAGAAGACCGATGGCCTCAAGCGAGTCTTTTCGGGAACATGACGGATGGTTGGCTCTCCACTGCTCCAAGAGGAACAACAGAATAATGCTCTCAGGGCTATCTCTGCGTGCATTTCCGGGAAGTTGTACTTGGCTGAGCGCACCTGTGAGGAGAGTGTGTGCACTGTTTTGCTGGCCAGCGGTAGCATCGGACAGAAACCTTACCAGCCACCCCTGAAACTCCATCATCTTCTTGAGAGTCGATGTATGTTGGCTTTCCTGAGTTGTGCGGTCTTGCTTCTTGTTTGAGTGGGCCCGCATCTGGAGAATCAGGAGAATCGATGTGCCCGTCAGGAAGAGTGGTTGCGTTCGCAAGTACTGGCGTCCGTGATGGAAGAGATATTGCAAGATGCCAATGGTGTCGTCGGCACATTCGCTGTCACTCACAAACGGCCGCAGAGAGTGGAGGAGCATCTCAATTGCAAATCCGCTGAAAGCAACGTCTCCCGCCATGCATATGAGGTCTCTCAGCCTTCGAATCATGAGGCAAGCATGTAAGGATCCCAGGGAGGCGTCAATCGCGTCAACCAGCATGCGCACGGCTAAGGTGAACATTGATGCAGTCCAGGGCTCGCTGTGGTTATAATTGATGCGTCTGCACAACCGCTCAATTTCGTCCGGTAAGTACTTGCCCCGAAAGTGAGGCTGCTGGCCGTCCGGCACTTCACGTTTCGAATGGCTGTAGCATTTCATCTCTTGTAGAGCGCTCCAAGCTGCGCTGTATCCTGGACGCTTCTCCATCCAAGTCTCACGGGGATCATCTTGGCGAGTTGTCAGGTAGAAGTGGCCCATGATTGTTGGATAGTGCGGCAACATCAACGAATTGGTCTCTTTTCCCAAGATCTCTCTCAGACACTCTTCGGACTGTCTGTTGGACTTGTCACCTGTTGTTGGTGTCGAAACATCATGACAAATGGCGTACGCGGTGCTTTTGGGCAAGGCTGACTTGACCAGGTCTCTCCGCAGAAGCTTGAGCGCTTTTGACATGACCTCCAAGCCCTCTATCGACTGCCACATGACCAACTGCGCACACACTTCGTTGCAATTGGTCGCGAGAAAATCTCCAAGAGAGCTGTACTGGAATGCTGCGTATGGCACGTCGCCCAGTTTTTCGTTGCTAGCGAGCCAAGTGTACAGGATCTGTGGTGCAAAGACCGAGAACAATTTGCGTGGCGATTTCGAAGGCACCTGAGATGCCAGCACCTTGATACAGCGTGTCGCATAGTCGCGTGATTCTGGTACTTTGGCTGCGCTCTCGAAAAGATGATATACGCATTGCGTGAGCAGCGACGGCCACGCGGCGGCAATCTTGGCAAGAAATAGGAGACGCACTGCGCCCGCTTCCACTAGCAGAACCTCTTTCTGCATGCTCGAGAGAAGATCTTCGAGCAGGTTGGCATGATAGGAGAGAACGTATAGGCCAAAGAGTTCAGGAATGCGGCTGGCCAGGTAGAACTGCATGGCGATACTATCTGTACCGAAGAGTTTGCACAGGCTTGACCTGGCAGACGGCGTGGGCGATTCGTCGTCTTCATCGTGTCCGTAATCGAGGTCGAAGTGACAGAGTTGTAGTAGCAGGGTTGCCAGCCGCTTCTGGACGTTTGGCGAAAGTAGCCCGCTCGGAAGGAATGTCTTCAGGTACCATTCGTAGATGTCCAAACCCAGTCCGTACAAAGACTTCTGACTCTTATCCGTCAAAAGCGAGACCAGACTTGAAGCAATGTCAAGGACGGTGCCGAGAGCTACTTCAGAACGTTTGAAAGCGTACTTGCTAACCAGCTTCATCAACTGCTCTAAAAGCGCTTCGGCGTCGTTGGCGTCTAGATTGAGGCCTAGCTTGGGCCACATCGTGATGATTTGGCGACTCGATAGTATGAAGACCTCCGATTGCGATAAAAGATAATCCAATGCAGTCGATGAAGCCCTCGCGGTGTTGTCGCTCTCATCATCTCTTAGCGCAATCAGACTGTTTGCATAAAGAGCAGTGCAGGATCTCAAGCTTGCTTTGCTGAAGTCTGCTTCGAGATCGTTCATAGGCTCCAATGCGCTGGCGATATTCTGGCTTTCTCTACTGTCTTGAGAGTCAATGGGCTCGTCAAGCTCCATTGCGTCGTCTTCGGCAATAGCCAGCTTCGCGTCTTCCCGGCGCGTGAGTGTGGCTTTTAGCGTTTCACAAATGAATTGCTCACATTGCGAAGGACTAGGAGGGTGACTTTCGGAACAGACTGTAAGCCCGGAGAACATCTTCGAAGTGGTTAAGAGCAGGGCATCTGCACTGGGGTCTTCGCAGCGTGAGGAAGACACATAGTCGCAAATGCCCTCGAAGAACGACCTGGCTTGTGTTTGCAGGTAGTTTTGCCGGCGAGTGTCTCGGTATGATACACATTCCGCAACATAGAGCATGGCAGTGGATGCCTTGCAAAGCATGGAGAACGCATCGGTCGAAGGCTTCTTAGTTTGCGCCTTCCACATCTCGTTGACTCGTGAGATTTCGGCCCCTAGATGGGTCAGAACCAATGCCTCTGTTGTTGTTCGCGGCAGAGTATTCGTCGCAGATGCAGTCGGCTTTTGTAATATGGAGTCGACATTCGCAACCACTTCTTCATCTGGAGCAAGGAGAAGATATGAGAGCATTGGCGAGTCGCGATTGCTATGGATCCACACGCAGGCTGGAGCATCCCAGTGTCGAAGTCCCGGCCACGAGGACTGATGTGTATACTGATTCACGCATGAATAGACGAGCGCTAACACGTCGTGGGCCTCATATGTCAGGCAGGATGCCACGTAAGTTTTGTCGTCAAGCCTGCTGGGAGTGAAGTTTCTTGACAGCCAGTTGACGATGCTATCAGAGGTTGCAGAGGACGTCCCGGGATTAATGTGCTGTGCTGCTTCTAGACATGATCTGAGAAGCCTTGATGAAGCATCTGACATGAGGTTTGGGCCACCAAGGTCGATTGAATGAGTGACCGTTTGCACGAGTTCCGACACCATAGTCTGTTGAACCAGGCGAAGCTCGAGCATCAAATGCAGCGCATGTGATGCTGCTCGACATGCCGACGTGTTGCTCAAAGCTCGAAATGACAGCTGCCAAATCGAAGCCCATTGCCCAGACAGTGAAGCATCTTGCGCAGAGACTTGCGCGGCGCAACAAGCCAGTGCAAGGTAAGCCCAAGACGATACATTTCCCGTGTCTTCGCTGCAACTGGCTGCAAGTGTGCTCGTGAGATGGGACAACTGCTCAGGGGCCAGTGACTTTTGCTGAACCAGAAAACATATCGTCTGGATGGCACAGGTCCTGGATTGAGGCGAGTCTCGCGAGGTTCCATCGATTAGTTGGGAGAGTTCGTCGTCGATTCGTGCGCGCTTTCTCGGTCGAGGCTCGATCGTATCGTCTTCTGGATCCATGTTACTGTCATGACCTGCAGATCCACCACTCTTGTTATTGCTCGTCAGAACATTGTAGATAGACGCTAGCATGAAGACAAGAGTCCAGTCAGCTTCGACAGTCTCATCCGTGCATCGAAGGCTAAATAGAACAGTGGCGACGTCGTTCTCTCTTGGAAGACCCACGTCCAGTCTTAGGTCGTCCATATTCAGCTGTCGTGCATCCTGGCGGCGGGAGTACTCATTTTGGAGAGCACTGGACAATCCAACAAGATCTGCTCGCAGAGTCACAGCTTGCGACGTTCGCATGGCGTGAAAGATGTACGGACGCAACAAAAGTAGCGTGATGAGCATCTCATTCTTGGCGGTCGACTTCGCGGCCCACAAATGGCTTATGAGGCGAACGAGATGGCTAGTAGCTTCCTGTGTAAGGCCAATGCTCTCTGCTCGGGACCATGTCAAGACGTTGTTGACAGCAGCGAAGGCGTTCTGGTGAGACCGTGTTGCGGCTGAGGAGGACTTTAGACTGTCAATGACCGTCCAGAGAATGTCGTGCGCTTTCAATAACAAGGGCACGGCAGGAGCTGCGGTCAATAGCCGCAGGCAAGCAATCATTTCGTCAGAGATGGGCTTCAGCATGGATCGAGAGCCTTGGGACCCTGTGTCACGGTAAGTCGAATGAGAAGATCGATAGCTGAGCCCAGGCGCCATCCCCATGGTAGAAGTGGGTTCAGCTCCATTGGTCGTTGGTGCATCGGCCTCAACTCGCTTGATGCAAGAGATGCAAAAATCGACAGTAGTTGCCCACCGCTGACCAAGAACTTCGACATGCGGTTGGTAGGTCAAGACAGCCCGCAGAGATTTGGCATAGTCCAGAGCCAATGGCTCACAGAAAGCACCGCCATTTTGGTAGAAGATAGTCTCAGTGACATGGTCGACGATCGAGTTGACACTCTTAGAAGTCAAGGCTCTAACACCCGCTTCAATCGACTGCCGCAACGCACTGGCGATTTCGGAGAGGCGTTTTGTGCATGTCGTTCGAGTCACCTGGGTCTTTGCCTTGACCAGCGAGGAGCGCACATCGAGGGCAACTTGGAACAGCGACTGACAGATGCTGAAGAATGAAGCTTCTTTCAATCCACCGACCCTGGAGCTGTTCTGGTTGTGACGGAGGATGTGCTTGAGGTCGGCCAGTCCTTCGGCTCGTTGCTTGGAGTTGCTCGACTGGATGTTCTCTGCAGCGTGTGAGACACGTTCCTCGATACTCATCGTCCATTTTCGCTCACCAAGGGCCTCCGCAAGAGTGATCTGTCCCGCCATGGTCGTGCTCACGCGACGAGGCGGCTGCAGTCAAGTCAAGTCATCAGGGTCAAGGGGGATGGTGTTCGCAGGAGAAGAAAGGGTTGTACTCGTCTGTTCACACCAAGTTCTGGCCGTAACCTGCTAGTCGCGTCACCGGCGTAGCATGGTGGATGGACGCATGTGCTCAAACAGCGCGATGAAGTGAAGTGAAGTGAATCTCGGCTAAAAACATGTCCCACGACTACTTGAGATGCGAACGCGAAACGCGTTATCCAAACTCCGACAAAGTTTCCAGCAAAACACCCCAAGCAACCACTTGACGACGGCATCTTGGAGTCGGCGGCGTTGGAGGGCTGGGACCTTGCGATCGCTTCATCTCGACCACACTCACCACCAACCTTCCCTACGCCATGGACGATATCGACGACCCCCTCACGCGCCTACAGATGCTGCAGCGAGACCTCAGCGCCTTCAACGAGACCCGGCTCGAGAACCTAGATCGATTGGAACTGGAACTCGCTGCTTGCCGCTCAGACTTGCAGCGCCTACTTCATCGGAATCGCAAGTCAGAACAGAGCCGTGCCAAGGTTGCTCCATCTACGACTCCTCCCCCGACCACCTTGACAATCGACAACGTCGACTATGAAGTCAACGAGCTGTTCCGGCAGAGTGCCTTATACGCCGCAGATGTGCTCGATCTGGACGAGCTCGAGGCTGCTCTTCTCTGCATTCGGTCCCAAAGTCTGATCCAAAATACTCAAGACCCCACGGCGCTGGCAATCAAGGCAGTGGTGCTGTTCCACGAGGAGCGGGTTGCTGTTCTGGAATGTGTCCGTATCATCATGCAGGGCAGTGTCGACGGGGAGACGGACGAACAAGTTCAAGATGAGTTTCGAGGTATAGTCAGACAGTCGTTGGTCGGCCAAGGTGGACAAGCCGATGGCTCTGCATACTGGAACAAATGCATGGAAGGCTTGAGCGATATCGAGGCTTTCATCACAAAAGTCGCCACTGAGAAGGACAAGGCCATTATGACTGGGGAAGATCTGTCCGGAATAAAAGGTGAATGGCTCGTGGTCCAGCGCATGCTCCTCACGCGGCAGCACGAGTCCATGGCATCCATTGTGTCGTACTTGATGCGAGGCGGGTGGGTTCAGGCAGAACAATATCGAGGGTTTCTGAGCAGAGCCGCATCAGTGGACATACCTGCAGACATTGCGATCCACTACCTGCCCTCACTCATCAGTGGCTCCGCAACATTCGCATGCGATCATGCGACCACGACCCCCGAAGCCGCCGCCAGCATTTATAACCTCTTCGCCGCAGGCTCTGGACAATTGCAGTGGAGGAACAACGACCTTCAGGCAGCTGCGACCGTATTCTGGCTTGCTGAATACAATGCCGGATTCACTGCTGGTAACGGAGCGTACAACCAAGGCTCGGCCAGCCAGACTCGCGAAGACAACGCCCGAGCAAAGCTCTTCTTCGACGCTTTGAAAGGAAATGCGCTTCGCTACATTCTTGCAACTGCCTCCTTCCTGAAACCCGTCGTATGGCATGATCCAGCTCGAACGGCAATCGTGTATCATCTGGCTCACGATGGCCTTGTTATTCCAGTAGAAGCCCCTCGGCCGTCACCAGATTTTTCAAACATGACCATGCGAGAGTTGCAAGTCTTCGGGGAGGCCATGGTCGCGAACATGTCTGATGCGCTTCGGAAGCTCAAGGTGGAAGAAGATGAAAACAGACGAGCCCTACTCTCTCAATCGACCAACGCTGTCGATCACGAACTCGACCTTGAGCGTTTCATGGTCATTCTGGCTTATGCGTGGCATGACGACGCTGAAGCCGCGAATGAGCTCTGGTGGGCGAATCGCGAGTCAAATTTGTTTGGTTTCCTAAGATTCGTATCGCAGAGACTGTCCACGCCCAGGGTTGCTGCTTTGTGCACGCTGTTGCAATCTATCGCATGCGACGAAAAGACTGCGAATGCTGCGCACCGCTTCCTGCTTGAAGATGCGGCAATGATTGGCGGCAAGGTGCGCAAGACATACGCCATAAGTTGGTCACAAATCTTCAGCGAGCTCGAATTGTACGCTTCTACGTTGAAGGACCGCCCGTCAGCACCGAAGACCAGCCCAGGTCAGGATCTCGAGCTCGACGAGATGGTCCTTGAAGAAGGGGAGACTAGTGTCATGCTCGAGTCGTACCTGGGACTGACAGCACGGATATGTCGCAACAGCCCAGACGCGCGGAACTGGTTGCTAAAAGAACAGACCTTCCACCTCGGCGAGGTCATGTTTCAACTCCTGCGTAGCGCTGACTATGCGCGGATTCGTGCATGCTGTCTGGAGCTTTTGACAGCGTTCCTGACTGACAACTCGATTGAAGTTCGGAATGGCTTGTGGGTGTTGTTTGACAGTTGGGTGTCAAGTGGAGGACTTGATGGCTCCAGTGCAGCAAGACCTCCTGGAAGACGTCAGTACCAAGCCAAGCATTACCTGTCGTCATATGCCGCAGATTCAGAGGCGGGCGCAGCCATGGTTGCCTTTATCAACGCTCTTGCCAGTCCTATGGCCGGCACTGCTGAGCAGTTACTCGATCAACTGCCCTTTCCAGAGGCTCTTGGACGCCCACACCGCCATGAAGGGATCCACTCATATGTCGACTTCGTTATGGACGACGTCCTGGCTCGCAAAATCACGCCCATGCAGCCCGACGAGCCCTTGCTGCATATCCTGCGTTACGAGTGCCTCCACTTTGCCTTTCAATGTTTGTCGACGTTCAACGAGGACATTGTCTTGGTGGCGAACACGACCAACGCGGAGATTGATTCAGCCATGGAGACGAAATCTTTCGTCCGATACGCTTCACTGCATCCATTTGCACGCGTCATGGAATGGCTCTTCGACAAGAAGGTGGCCAGTTCGCTTTTTATGTCCCTGCAGCAAAGCCAAGATGCATTGAATGATGCCGATCCCAACTCTCCGCTCGTACAGTCGACTTTGAAGGCTGCTCAAGTTCTCCTTTTGGCTTGGGATCTGCAGCCTACATATTTCGATCTTGTGCGACCTACCATTGTGTCTCACAATCCGAAGACGCAACCCATCAGCGCAACATGGACCTCAATCGATGAGATCTTCCTTACACACCTTAGCACTGTGATGGACATTGCCCAGCTTACCACATGCGGGCAAGTGGACATTGGTCTTGAATGCATAAAGCTGCTGGAAAAGATCGGCGCTTCTCGCAAGCTATCAGAGACGGCTGGAGGACAATACGGATCAAGGATCATAAGTGTCTTGACGCCTGTCAGTGATTCCTTGACCACACAACTGACGGCGGAATTCACCCTTCTGGAATGGGACCTCGAAAGCAACGATGAGCCACTCAAAGTGGTTCGAGCCCGGGCAGTTCTGAATCTACTAAAGGCGAGTCTGAAGATGTCGGATCGAACGCCTGGCTTGGCACACACTCTGCTTGGCTTCAGATGCCGTGAGCGTGTGGTCGAGGTACCACCAGAAAGCCCTTTCGACAGGTCCGAATCGCTGTTTCATGCGATTGCCGCCTGTGCTGGCAGCTCGCCGACAATCACACCACAGTACGGAAACACTTCGTGGTTACTCGCTCTGAAGCGCGGCTGTCTGGAAGTCATCCTGAAGCTCGCAGTGCATCCACTGACCGCGCGCATCGTTCAGCCGATCCTGCGCTCTATGGACCTACTTGGTGCCGTCTCCCACAACCTGGCGCCGGCATCAGCGAGCCCTTCCTGGGATGGCAAGGTGCTGTCTGACGTCGACCTACTCCGAAGCACTTCGGCTTACTCCCTACGAGACTTCATGAGAGTTCGCGAGTCATTTTTCGAGATTGCGTCGACGGAGCTGCGCACTGCTGCCACGCAATCCGCATACTCAGTGCAAGAGAAAATCGTGAGCATACTGCTTGGGACTATCAAATTGCCGACCGGTGAAGAGGTTTCCACGGCATCCATATTCGAACTTTTTGACTTCTTCGACGCGGAGACGACAAGCCCGTTCGACCTACCGCCTAGCAAATTCTTCGGCGACGACGTCTCTGCCTGCACCAAGGAAGACCCCGAGACAGGAATATCGTTCGACTTGAAGATGGCAAACCTGTTCCTTGTTCTTCGCAAGAAGCAACTCAAGGACAAGGGCATAATCCAGGATGCCACACAAGAGACCGCTGCTGACGACGAGATTGTATCAACATGCAACGCCATGATGAGCCAGAACAGCTTCACGGCCATTCAGAGTGCACGTTTGGCCGCTCTAGAGGCGTGGACAGATCTCGTGTCTATGATCGTCACCACAGGAGGCATGCAACAGGCCGACGTTATTGCGTTGTCACTCCAAGGCCTCTTGGTGACCTTACCAAAGTTTGAAAGATCGCTCTCGGACAATATGGACGCTGCTGCTCTGCTCGCCAAGTTGACATTGAATTTCACGCAAGCAATCATTCCTGCTTCACAAGGATCATCCGATCAGACTGCCAGCGTCGCCATCGAACGCATGCTATCCGCATTTAGGGTGTCTTTGAAGGTCATCACAGACAGCACTACAGATCTGGGCTTGCGAGACGTGGCTTACCGAACTTGTTGCGCCGTCCTGGCATCGATACCCAATGTGCCCACGACAGGTCGAAATTCTCAAGCCGCTAGCGCGAGGCAGCTTTTGCAGCTAGTTCAGAATGCCGGAGAGCGATTGCTGGCAGTGACAACAGAAGACACATTCTCAGGACGTGGCGCCACCTGCGTCTCGGCCCTCCTTTTCTTGGACGGCTTGGTCCTGCTTTTCCAGGGCTTGAAAGCCAACACACAGATGCTGCGAGGGTTGATGAAACTCAATTTCGTTCCAGTGCTCATTGATACTGGCATCGGCAACGTCGCCAGTGCGTTCAAGAGTGATGATGAGACGATCGCCACTATGGCGTTCTACCATACTGCAATGGCTCTACTGCTACGTCTTTGCAACACGGTAGACGGTGCGCAGCTGGTCATCAACTCAGGACTGTTTCCCGCTATCGAAGAGAGCAAGCTATTCAGCACCGATCCCGACATTGGCCTCGACATTGAGAATCCAGCAGCTTTGGAGGAGTTCTACGCTTTCTTGGGCGATGTGGTACGTTTGATGACCGCGACTGTTGTTCAGAAAGGCGCAGGTTTGGCCAAGTCTTTCCTGCAACAACATCACTTCACTGTGCAGGCGATCTTGAAGCAGGCCACAAGGGGTCAGGCATTGGATGCAGCCGAAGAGCTCTGCAGGCTGCTGATGGCGTCAGGCTTCCTCGAGGTGAGTTTGCTGTAGAGTGACTCTGATATGTCTGAACTTGCTGACCACTATCTAGGACGATCAATCATCGTCAGGAGCGACATTCACGAATGGATTCACATGAAAGGTCCAAAATAGCAGACGTGAAGTCGAGCGGAAGCGTCCGCCACCCAAACTTAGCGCCAATCAATCCCTGCCACAACCAATCAGCTGGCGTACCAACCAAAAGCCCAACTCCTCGAAGCGCCGTACAACACTTGTACCGGCCAGCAGGCGTTTCAAGTCGTGCACCCAAGACCAACCATCGCCCCTCCGTCAGCCCTAACAACAGACGCCCAATCTGTGCGAGGCCACAAGGCAGGCCTCAGAATAGCCTCCAACGGCTATCCAAGGCCATCGCACAAGCGCCTGCGAGATTGAACAAGCCCTTCCAAGTGGTCGGTATGGCGTGGCCGGCACGATTGTCTGCCAGAAGATCCATGTATGTGACTGCGTGCAGCACCACGCTTGTAGGCGCTGTGGGCTAAACGCGGGGATGCATGACTGCGTGTGGAAAGGAAAAAGATTTGCGAACGCAATGCAATGTCGAGGCGAGGGTGGTACAGACGTGCAGGGAAGTGTCAGTCGTGTGTGTTGATATAGCGTGAATGGGAAGCTTTTCTACTTGCTCCTCCTCTTCGAGCGGGCTATGAGAGAGCTTGATCATTGACCACATTTTACTTTATACCCAGCTCACTTCCTCTTCTTTCACTGCCTCTCTTCCGAGAAGACCTTTACCATTCTCAGTCACTCCTTCAACGAACGGCCAACAACACACATACAATCCCACAATGGCAGCCCGCCTCCGCATCCCCACGCTCGCGCTGGCCGCCCTCTCCATCGGCCTCAACGTCGCCATCCTAGGCTGCGCCGGCCGCACCCTCAACGTCTTCATGCAAGAACGCTACACGAGCACGTGGTTCATGCCCGTGTGGTCCTCGCACTTCGACACCCGCGAACTCTGGGCGTTGATAGGCACATCCGCCGCAGTCCTCGTGCTCAATCTCATCCTCACGGCGGGGTTGTTCGCTGGATCGGTACGTCTTTCACCCTCTCCATCGTCTATCAAGGTCGAAGAGTCAACACTGATGCGTGTTGGTGAAATAGTTACCAGCCAACCTCCTCATCCTCACCTCCAGCTCCCTGAGCTCCGCCGTCTCCCTCATCGCCATCATCTTCTCCTCCGTGCTGAACAACCAAGCCCCCAACAGCGACACTCTGCAAACGTGGACGTGTCGCTGGCGGGATGTCGCCGACGAAGGCGTGCCGAGGAATTATGATACGCTTTGCCATGAGACTGTACGTTCACTCACCTTTTTCTTCGCCTTCGCCTTCGTCTTCCATCCATGCCACCCCATACCCTTTACTGATATGTCTTCATACTTGCAGCGCTTCGCATACTACACCACCATCCCCTCCCTCATCCTCCAACTCCTCCTGCTCGGCCTCGCGCTCTACACCTTCTTCGTCGCGGGCCGCAAGGCGCGGGGTTTGAGACTCGAGGGGGAGAAGGATCATGAACTCGGGGATGTGAGGCAATTGAGCGTGGAGACGAAGATGGAGAGTCCGAAGAGTGGGACGGACAGTTTGGGGATTGTGGCGGGGGGTGGGAGGGGGAAGTTTTCTTAAGTTGTGTGAGGGGATGGGAGAGGTATGTGGAGGAGGGGGAATGTGTGATTGGGGAGGGATGTGATTGACACGCTCCCTGCATGGAGAAGCGTACGCCGCTATGAAAGTTCGTTGTTGTTTTCGTTGTTCTTGTTTGTTCTTGTAGTGGTATCTCGCTAGGCCATTGTAACCATTATATCTATCCCATGCTCCCAGTCCCCCTCCTCTTCTCTTCCCTTTCCATTCCCTTCTCTTTCCAACAAACAAAACCTTTCCAGCACGACTCTAGGGTATCATATCCATATCTATGAGTATAAAAACGCTCCGCGCAAGACAGACAAAAAAAACATCGAAAAACGACAGTTAGGCATCCAAAACGATCCATATTTCTACTCAACTCTTCGTCCCCGAACTCTTCCTAAACGCCGACAAAAAACTCTTCCGCTTCCCGACCTTCAGCGACTTGGTCGATTTCGTGTCGCTGATTTCCTGGGGACTGCTCATTGGAATCTCAGGGATCTTCGGGACTGCCGTGATCGTCGACCGTCGCTTCGCCGTGTTCGCTGTCGGTTCGTCCTTCTCTTTCGTCGTCATCTCCGTGAGCACTTCCTTGGAGGGTTTCTCGAGAATCGTCGGTTCTGTGCCGAAGGGCTTGAGTTGTAGGGGTGTGCCCATGATCCCGTCGAGATAGCTGTCCCTCGGCCGGGGTTTGTTGTCGTCGACAGGGGGTTGTGGTGATGCGTTTTTACTGTGGCGAGACTTGGTGCTGGATTTTGATGGGTCAATCTTCAGGAACGAAGGCGGGCGGTCTCGTTTCGACGGTGGGACTGAAGATAGTCTCGCGGGTGGGTTTATGGGCGCTGTCGTCAGGCCTTGACTCTTGATCTGATCTTGAATCGAAGTGGTTCCCGCAGAGAAAGTCCTCGGCCTTCGCGGTTTTGTCGCGCTTGGGGGACTCAAATCCTTATCCGAAACACCATTCATTCGCAACCCGTTCGAACTGCTCGACCCAGAATGTCCATGTGATGTTGATGGTCGCGTGTTGTCCACTTCCACCGCAGGCAGCTCGAACACGCCCATTGGCGACAAAATAGCTGTTGGCGCGATAGGTGTAATACTCTTCCTCGCTTCTACTGGAGCCTTATCCGATTTCTCCTTCTCTTTCGACTCCGGTCGTTTCGGCTCCTCTAGCTTGGGTTCCTCCACAGTCGTCTCCATCACCTTAGATTCCACAATCTTCGGCTCAGAGTCCAACTTCGACACACTCTTCTTAAACGAAGGTATGCTCTTCCGTCCGTTCGATATCGCCCTTCGAACAGCTCCCGTATTTTCCCCAGATTGCTGCTTCTCTTGCCGCTCAATCTCGCCCAACATTGTCGTGCCGTTGATCGCAAAGTTCTCCTCTGGGATCGGCTGAAATTTCACGATCCCTCGCTCTGGCGGCACACTCAAGATGTCCGCCATGAAAGATTGTATCAACGCTGCGTTTCGCTTGTTCATCGTCGGGCCCATTTGCGATGGAACGGTCGATATCGAGAGGATATAGCAGGGGTCGAACGTCCCTCCCAATGCGAGGCACGCGCTGTGATCGACTTTGATCATGATCGAAGAATCGGGTCTCGTGTATCGTGCGGCAAGGTGATATGAGAGGTCCGTCACCAGCGTGAATTCGTCTTTGATCTTCTCCAACGTTAGCACTTCCAACGTTTCCGCCCATACTTGCCACAACGTACAATGACATTCGTGCGTAGTTCAGCGATAACAGGCGACTCTCGTTGCACCCTCTCCCGAACATTGCTGTTGACGTTCTCCTTATACTGGAACTGCTCCTCGTAATATTGCGTCCGCTGCTTGGCCGAATTGTTGTAATTCGCAATCATGGTGTTGCGATCTCCAAGATGTTTCTGCAGAAACTCGTCGATATCGTTCTTGCCTATGAGCGACGCGTAGGCGTTCGCAGCGACAAGACTGCCACGATTCCCGTTGAAATTGACCGATTGGAAAGACTGTATCGACTGCGTAGAGTCCCGCTTGCCGTGCGTAGGGACCTGCGGTTTATTATTGTTGCTGTGAAAGGTGGCAGGCGCAGGCGCAGTGGTGCTGAGCTTGTTGTTCATGGGACGCTGAAGGTCAAACGAGTAAGTCGAATGCGAGTCACCAGATCCTTTGGTCGAGTGTGGCATGTCGTTTCAGGAAGGGGACACAAGTGTGGAGCGGGTGTCACCCTTTCGGACCCAGCAGATGACCTTTTCTGACAGTTTCGTCCGGCGCTCGATCACTCTGACAGGGAGCGTCTGCAGGCGACCAGGCCGCGAGAAAAGAACTCGAAAAGAGGCGACGATTAGCGACATGCGGAGCGCACTTCTACAAGTAACGACGCAGCCCTGTCGTGTAAATGATGATGGATGATCGTCGTTGATTGGCTCGTGCTGGCAGTTGCTGGCGTGTTGGGACGCTTCAGGAGGGAGTCGATTGCGTGATAAGAAACGACGAAAGTAAGCAGGCAGATGATCCTGTAATAAAGAACGTGGCGGCGAGGCTCGGCAGCGACGAGAATATGTAACGAGTCGAGTCGCAAAGGTGTGAGGTGCTTCACGGTAGGCTGGGGAGCGGGATGATCCAAGTCAGGGTGTTCATATCAATGCCGGACCATGGATCGAAACCAGCAGGACAATGTTGGACGAGCTGGATCCCTCGGAGCTGGCGCGCGGGTCGATTCGACAGCTTCTATCTTGTGTCGGCGGCGGAGGAGGCACGCTGGATGTCTCTCATTTCTTGGGCCGTTGGGCTATGCCAGTGCAGGCTGTCGGAAGAAGGGTTTTGGAGGCTCGTTTCAGGTTCCAGTCTGAACCAACGACGTGTCACAGTGCGGTGAACATATCCGGCCTTCGGCCCCTCAATGGCATGTTTTGCAGGGATAATCGACGTATCGCCGCGCATCAACTTTCTTGCTTTCGAGAAGTGAGGTGCATTCGCATTGCATTGGGTGGGAAGGGAGCATCCGCGCCGCTGTTTTGTGGATCCAGGGGTCAAGGGAGCCGAGAAGAGCGGGAGGCGTTGTCCTCCACCCACCAACTGCGTGCAAGAATCGGTGGCATGTCATCTTTCTCAAGTCCTATCTTGGGATGCTCGCAGCAGTGTGAAGAGATCGTCTGCGGGGTTAAGAAAGAGCACATAATATCCGCAAGCAAGATACACCTTCTGCCATCCTCAACGGTCACCCCAAAAATCACGGACATCACCACACGCATCGAGCACGAAAGCTGACACCGGACTCTCAAGGGAACAAGAGTCGCGGACTTCACTCTCTTGTCTGACCAAAGACCCGGTTCGCTGTCAACCCAAAGCAACATTCGAACCGGGCTTTCCCACCAGCAAAGACCGAGAGAGATCTTGCAGAACCTGGGTCGCCGTGAGATCTTCATAACAGCGCTTATTCCCTTTTCGGAGCCCAGCCCGTTTAGGAAAGTACACATGGAAAAGGGTTGCGCATCGCGCCAACGACCGTTGCGACTACTTGCGAAGAAGGGGATATGCAGATGGAATGACTGAAAACGGTTTGTAGAGGAAGAACCAGCTGTCACATGTTTGTCCGTCCGTCCACATGGTCTGCTTACCTTCGTGGCGAGCTGGAAGATGCATTATCGATCCATGCGAACACCACCTCCGCTACAGAGGAATGTCGTGAGTGTAGCTGGGAGTCGAGGATGTCATGAACAGAACGACAGAGATACGTGGCGCTGTGTCCGACGACGCTTCCCAGCACCGAGAAATGCCGTGCCTGCCGAATGCTGCGGGAAAGCTTCCGGAGACCAGGAAATTTGAAGCGGACAGCATGTAATGAGCATGCGTCGTCACTTCTCGCTGGTAAGTTGGCCATGTGTTTCGAGTGTCAAGAGAGATGGAGCAACATGTGCAGGGAATTGGGCATGGAAAGCAACGCATCCCGGTCGAGGAGGTGTCGTCCTTGAGAGCTGCCTTGCTCAATATCATGTCAATCTATTTTACAACTGTACTGCTCTTCATGCTCTCCATCCCGTGCTGTACACCCTCAAACGCTGCACCCCAGAGAGAAGACATTGTAGGTATCAGTAAGTACATGCTTTCGAAACGCCATCCTTATGCAAACATCACCATATGCAAGCTGGGGACATTTCCTTCTACCGCCTACCCAGACCCCACTTCGCTATCCTCTCTTGAATATCATTCCATGGGATATCGCGAAGCGTCACATTCTCCTCTTCGCCTTGTTGCAACACCACTGTCGGCGCTCCGGATCCGTTTCCGCGGTTCTTTACTTGGCCGCTGAAAACCTGCTTCGCAACACGCCTGAGATCCTTCATCGTCACGTTTTCGATGTTCGACACCATCTCCTTGACTGGAACACGTCGACCGTGGACCTGAACTTGTCGGCCAAGATCTTCGAGCTCGACCATACGGGATTCCAGGTTCATGAGGAGCGACGAGCGTAGTTGGTTCTTGGCGCGGTTGACTTCGATCTCGGAAAGTCTACCAAGTCCAGTTTCTGTACTCAATAGACTCAACTCACGGGCCATCGTATCGAGCATGCGAGGTACAAACTGGGTTGCGCAGCTTGCTGAAATGCCAAACAAGCCAGAATCGGTATAAGCGTGGTTGAAAGCGACGCAGTTCTCGACCCAGCCGTATTGGTTCAAAACATTAGTGTACAAGCGGCTGTACATCCCTTTTCCAGGTCCACCAGCGGAGAACGACCCTCCTCCTCCCAGAAGTGTTTGCAGAGTCGCCAGAGCGTAGATGTCTGGCGAAGAGATTGGAAGAGATTCGAATGCCAGATGGATGTGTGATACCCGAGGGAGAGCCGGGCTCGGAGGAATGGGCAGAGGAGGTAATGTGAGGAAGCCACCAGTATAATGGGATGGGACGTCGTAGTCGATAGGCTGCTCGAGTGGATGAGGGATGATTTGAGATGGGTCGAGCGGAGAGACGGTGGCCTTTTGCGAAGCAGACGTCGAGAGGTTCTTCAGAAATGGTAATCTTGACATCAGCCTGGAGTCGTTCTGCGGTGGGACTTGAGAAGTTGGATATGGCGGTTGGACTTGTTGCGCGTGTTGCGACTCGGTCGATGAAGTGTAGGAGCTCGCTGGGTCGGTCATATCGCCAAAATATTGTTGTGTGAGCTTGACTGCATCTGCGTGGTCGACTCCCGCGAAAGCGACCACCATCCGCTCTGGTCGAAAGAAGGCCTTTCTATAAGCCTCAACTGTGCGTCGATCTATGACATCCAGTCTTTCTTTGGGGCAGAGTAGTGGGTTGCCCAGTGTGTTGTCCTTGTACGCAGCCATATGTACCAGTTCCGGCAGTATCAGCTCAGGCTTCCCCCAGATTTCGCCAATTTCATAATCTGCCGTCTCCAGTTGTCTCTCCACCTCTTCTTCTGTGATGTTTGGTTCTCTTATCGTTTCTGCCAGCAGCGCCACCGCGTCGGGGACTGCAGAGTTGAAGGTCGCTGATTGATACATTAAGCTTTCTCTTGATGATGCGCACTGGATATTCCCTCCCAGATTCTCCATCGATTCCAGCATCTGGTCTGCGCTTCGCTTCGTTGTGGATTTAAAGGCGAGTCGATCGATGATGTGTGACACTCCGCGAAGGGCTTCATTTTCGTATCGTGAGCCGGCGTCGATGTATACTCCAATACCAGAGAAATGTCCAGGCAGATCCTCAGTCGCTACTCTGATGCCGTTGTTGAGGGTTGTTATCTTGTCGAGCTCTGTCGGATCTCGCTCGGAGGGAGAGTTGGAGACTGATGCATATTGCCGCAGTTTGGTAGGGTTTCGCAGGGCAGTCTTGGCGCCTCGTGAAAGGTGTCGGGGTAGCGACAGCGTCTTGCTCATGACGGGCAGACGCAGCATGTGGGGAGTGGGCGATGGAGAGTTGAAGTTGTGGAAATACTTCTGAAGCACGAGACTCACATTCACGTCGAAGTCAGCTAGCGCGACGGACCGCAATTTAGGGTTCGGGAGACATATCCGACCACCCTCGCCTCTCAAACTTATCAAGTCTCTCGACGACACTGTCCAAATTGTGTGAACAAGATATTGGATTGATCGAAGACAGCCTTATCCAGCAGTCTATATGTGTTGTTGGAATTTCCGAGCCAGTTCGCACCCTCTCCCGGCACAAGCTTGAATGTCCGACGCATATCCGCACGTGGCACAAAAAGCCTGCTGTGACTGATACGCCCATTGCAAAAGCGCGCGGGTCGCATTGGCAACGAACAGTTTGGCTACCTGCTGCGTTCTTCGTTGATGGTCTGAACAATGATGCCAGGTAGAGAGGCTCGGCTGGACGTACAGCTTTGGCAATGATCAATGAGGCGGATCTGCGGCGTCCAAACGAAGGAGGAGTCTTGAAGGGATCATCACGCCGAGCCGCTCAGTCAGCGAGTCTCACCCACCTCCAGTCTCATCCATCGCCATCATCACCACTGACCTCATTCCTCGCCGGTTTGGTTGGCAGTTTCGGCGGCGTTGGTGTAATTTTCCTCGTCCATTCTTGTCGCTCGTCACCAGTGCCGCATGAAGGCCTGACCGTCAATACATTGGCGACTGTTGATTTGTTTGTTGTCTGCATCACTGCACGCCTCAGTACCGTACTGCGCTGGTGCGTGGCGCCCAGAGCTGAAGACAACACACAAGCACAGCGCCGCCATCCGTTGCACCTGTCCTGCCCGCACATCCTGGGTCGTGTATGCGCCTTTCCCGCCAGACATGCTGAATTCCGCCCAGCCCACCCCTTCCTCGCTGTATGCGGCGGCGACTACCAGCACCACCCCGACGTCGCCTAGTCGCCCGAGCAGGCTGCGCGGGCTCTCGTACCTGCGCTCCTACACCCACAACCACCTCCACTCCTCACGCTCCGATCCGCCGACCTTGACCCGGTCGACGTCCTCTCCCGGCGTGGCCAGCCCTACCACTGCTGCGACGCCGACACCCATCGCACAGCAACCACCACAGCAGCCCGTTCCCGAGCGGGGTAGCCAGTCCGCCATTCAGAGCGTCGAAGGCGGTTGGATCCCCAGAAGCGGTCTCATACGAGAAAGCGCGCAGCCGACCACCACTTCCACGCCAGCCTCGCCCGAACCCGTGAGCTCTTCGACGATGATGACCAGGAGTCGCACAGCCAGCAGCTTGCTCGGTCCCACGCCGACTGCCGTGCATCCTGCTCAACGACGACAGCCTGCATTCGATAACACCCCGACCACCGATCCCTTCACCATGCTTGCGCCGTCTGCTCCTGCGAATACCGCGGCGGGACCGAGCAAAGACCAGCTACCCACCATACGCTTCATCCCGCACGTCGAGACCCGCTCTTCGCGACCTTCGTTGCAGTTCACCGCACTATCACGCACCTTGAAGAATACCACGGCGGTCGTTCGCGTGGGCAGGTACAGCGAGCGGGACAACCACACTGGAGATCCAAACACTCTACCGGTAGGCTTCAAGTCCAAGGTGGTGAGCAGAAGACATTGCGAGTTCTGGTGCACGGAAGGACAGTGGTACATCAAAGACGTAAAATCCAGCTCGGGCACGTTCTTGAACCACGTACGGCTCTCAAGTCCTGGTGTGGAGAGTCGGCCATATCCCGTTAACGATGGGGATGTTGTGCAGCTCGGCATCGACTTCAAGGGTGGAGAAGAGCTCATCTTCCGGTGCGTCAAGATACGGGTTGAATGCAATCGTGGCTGGCAGAAGAGTTTGAACTCTTTCAACACCGCCGCCCACAAGAGGTTGTTCAAGAGCGCGCTCAAGACGAAGAACCGAGATTCAGATGCTATGAGTGTCAACAGCTCTGAATGCTCCATCTGCTTGAACCCAGTGGCTCCATGTCAGGCTCTGTTCGTAGCTCCATGCAGCCACGTCTGGCACTACAAGTGCGTTCGCAACCTCATACATGGCCCACAATGGCCGAACTTTGTCTGCCCGAATTGCAGGTTTGTTGCCGATCTGGATGCAGATGTGGAGCAGCCCGAGGATGAGGACTACATGTACGATGAAGAGATGCAGCACTCGACTGAGCAGGTCAACGGCGGTGTCGAGGCTGGTGGTTCCGACGAACAGTCGCCAAGTGAGGGAGACGATCATTCAGACACGCCCCCTCAGACTGGCAATGTCTCGAGAGATGACGAACTGGACGACGAGCTTGCCGAGCTTCTGAATGAAACGTCGCTAGGAACGCCCTCTCCTGGCTTGCCAGACGGAGGCTCATCAGAAGCGGTGGCCTCGAGATCTTCTTCAACCTCGCGGCCGATCAGGATAGCTCAACCTGCATCCACGACACGCACACCAAGCGACCAGCTAGGCGCGAGGTCTATGACGCCAACCTCACATGCTCAGTTCGCTTTAGCTGTAGGACCCATGGCTGAAGGGCCTACCACACCACGCAACGACGCCGGTCCATTCATACTCGACGACTCCTCACGGCGTGGCAATCGAGGAGATAGCAGTATAGTCACACAAGCCGTACCTGAGGTGAGCGAGCCAGGATCGATGGAGGATCAACAATCGAGAAGTACGACATGATATGACATCTTAGCACCGCGCTCGCGACAGCATAAGGGACTGGGAGGTAAAGAGCCCACAGCGTTGGAGGCTCGTAATGTTTGATGATGCGATCTGGGTACAGCGTTATGGGTTCGAAAAGGGTTCGAAAGGAAAGGGAATGGAAGCTATGTGTTTTTGAGGGTTCTGCGTTTTAGCGAGCATTTGTGGGAATTTTTTGTATGCAAAGGTTTTCTGTTGCATCAGAAAGGCATTGTTGATTTCTTCCATCAACCCCTGACTTCCTCTCTTCGAAACGAAGGCGCGAGGACTTGTCGCTGGCTCGTTCGGTCCTTATCAACGCCTAATGTGATCACCTACGAAGCATGATCCGGTGTTGCACTATACGCTCAAGCCTCGCTATCCTTCTCCTCGCCTGCCGCCTTGATATTGGCTTCCTCCGCCCCCTCCTTGGCGCCACCCTCGAATCTGGACTCTCCCTCCTCTCCTGACTTCGCACCCTTCTTCGATTCGATCTGCGTCCCTCCTACCGGCTCGAGCGCTCCCCGTGGCAGCGAGCCTCCATCGTCCCCCTTCCGGACAACCGTGCCATCTCCCCCCAACACTTCCTCCGTCTCCTCCCACTCAGACGCCTCGCCACCCCCAGTCCCGCCCAGATCCTGCGCCAGCTTCCCACGAACGAAACTCTCAAACCTCCCGAGCCGGTCACGCGTCCGCTCATCAGACCTCTCGCCGCTAATTTCGTCCTCCACCGCGTCTCCCGACGTCTGTGCTTGAGCTTGAGCGATATTGCGATCGACGACGGCCGCGAAGCTCGAGAAAGGGATGCCCGTTGTCTCGAGCATGAGGCCGTTGATGGCGGCTTCGAGCTTGCTTTCGGTCTTGGTGAAGTCGTCGTGGGCGTCCTGGATTTCGCTTGGGGTGGTGTCGGGGGAGGATGAGGAACGGAGTCGTGTGTATTCGGGGTGGTCGAGGTGGAGGCGCTTGGTGAGGTAGAGGAGGCGGAGGCGGGTGGATTCTTTCATTGGGAGGTCGGGGGAGGACATTGTTGTTGATGGTGTGTGGTGGTGAAGTTGGTTGAGGGTGGTTGGTGGTTGGTGTTTGGCGTTTGGTGTCTGTTGTGGGGAAGCGACTAGATATGGCAAGGAGTTGAGAAGTGAAGCGGCGTCGGCCGTCACATGCAAAACTTGGGACGTGGATGGCACGTGCACGCTCGTGGAGTGAACAGGACCGCTCATCACTTCTCTCGAACGAAAAGGCAGCTCGTAGAAATATCGATTCGCTATTTTCGCCCAGCGTATCCTCCCTATCCGCCAAAAACAATCACCCCCTTCTTCACCCTTCCCTCATAAGCCTCCACCGCCCGGTCCAACCCCACCAACCCCAAACTCCCCTCCTCCGGCGCCCTCAACTTCCCCTCTTCCAACAGCGGACCCAGCTCCCTCAGCATGCTGCCCAGAACCCCCTGCTCCAAACCCGCACTATTACACCCCACCAAATTCACCTGCCGTCGATACAACGACAGAATATCCACGCCCAACTCTGTACTCGCCCCACCCCTCGGCGCCGTGATGAAGGCCATCCGGCCGTTGAAAGCGAGGGTTTCGAAAGCGGCTTTCGTGAGGGCAAAGTCTCCGACCGTGTCGACGACGACATCAGGACCCTTACCGTTGGTGAGGGTTCTGGCGGTTTGGAGGGTTGGGTCGACGGTGGAGTTGACGTCCGTGCCGTGCCGGCCTACGCTGATCGTCTTGCAGCCTTTCGCCTGAGCGATCTGCATCACGAAAGAGCCCACCGCGCCTGTGGCTCCGAGGACCATGATGGTGTCGGATTGAGTGACGTTCGCGCGTTCGAGGGTGAGAGATGCTGTTGTTAGGGGCGTTCCTAGACTTGCTGCTTGAGCGAAGGATAGGTTCTTTGATTTCTCCGCTACGGCATCCGCGGGAAGTACGGCGTACTCGGCATTCGCGCCGTCGATGGTGAAGCTGAAGGAGTGGCCAGATGTGCCGAAGACGGGTTGGTCTTTCCAGGAAGGGGGGCCTTCGACCACGACGCCGGCGAAGTCTTTGCCGAGAGTTCGGGGGAAGGTAGTGTGTGGGAAGCCGCCTTTGGAGTTGAGAATGTCGGCTGGTTGGACGGCAGAGGCACGGATCTTGATCAGAAGTTCATTGGGGCCTGGTTTGGGGATGGGGACTTCTTCGATGCTGAGGGTAGGCGGCGAGGAGCCTTGTCTGGTTGCGCGGAGGGCTTTCATTTTGCTATGATTGTCAGACACTTCTAGTGTTGTGGAGTCGAGTCGAAGCTTTGTTCAATCTTTAATTACTCAAAAGATAGGAACATCGTGAAGATATACCCACCCTCTCAGCCTCGTCATGTGAGACTTTGGTAAGTGGCTTACCAAACTTTTACATACGCCAGCGCCAGGCCTGCATGCAGGTACACGGCCGTGTCATTCGGCGCAGAATAATTCCGCTCATGGACCTGAGAGATGCTGTTCTGCAACGGGGCTTGTCATAATCTGCCTGGTTTTACTGTTTGATGACAGACTTCGCGTATACCTGGTGCGGCTTGGTCGCTGGCGGCTGGAGCGGACAAGGCGGATGCTGTAAAGCTGACGATACCGCCGTGATAGCCTGAGGTCCGCCTTGCATGCTGGATCATAATCGTTGACAGCTTTGATGGGGCCGTTGGCTTGATTGAACATGAGTTGAAAACATTCCGTTCATACGATCCGAAGCCCCAACCACAGCCTGCCTTGGCCCAACATCCACCGAATAACTTCCCCCTGTCCTAATCCTCCAGAGCCTTCAATTCAGCAACCTCCCTCCAATCGTCCCCTCTCGCCCTCTCAACCACAATTACACTGTCCACATTCCCCTTCCCAAGTCCCACCTTGCTGTCGTGAACATGCGGGCATCCAGGCAGATCCTCTGGAAACCTCACTTCTCCATCGAGGTCTTTGACTCGCAACTTCAAGATCCAGAGTTTGTCGAAGTTGCCGAAGAAGAGGTTGGCGGTGATGGGAGTCTGTTGGGCTGTTGACAGATGGATGAAGCCATCTTTGGCGTCCAGGGCGGTGGTGGGGAGGGTTTCCGGCAAGGGTGTTGGAGGCGCCGTCTCGAGGATTTTGTAGTAGTGGGTGTGGTTTGGCATCGTTATTGACGTGTTGTCGTACTGAGGTGGTGTTTCTGAAGGTGAGTAGGATCGGAGAGCGAAGAAGTTGCAGGTGCAGGGAAAGTGCCACACATTTGCTTGGTGAAGCTATGCAAGCACGACATCAGGAGAAAGAGACGCGGTGTTTCTTACCACATTTACACAAACAAGTCTTCCTCCCATCCACGACATGTCGTCGCTGGAGTCCCACGTCGCATTCCTCTCACCCCTAATGGAAACTGTCCCCATGCTCGCCCTTTCTCCCTTCCACCACACAAGATTCCTCAACCCCTCGCCTTTAGATCACACATAGCACCAGCCATCCTCTCACACTCCAGCAACGTCGCCTCCTTGTTGTACTCCCAGTCGTCCGGCGTCCGCTTGATCCTGTGGCAGACCAGCAAAAGGAAGCCCCTGCGCAACCTCGCCTCAACCACCACGCAACAGAAGCGAACCGCTTTTCTCACGCTGTCCAGGACCTCCACGCCGTAATCGACCCCGGTATCAGCCCAACACCCCGGTAGGCGCTTATACACCTCGTCCATGTCCATCTCTGCATTCTTATCGAAGAAATCGCAAAGAAGAACGTCCAGCTCCGCCTCCGGAGATGGCTTGCCAACGGATGCTATGTTGATGACCGCCGCCCTAACGATGCTTTGCCATTCTGTGGCTCGCACCTGTCTGTTCTTAGTCTTCGTCCTGAAAGCAGGAAAGTAGAAGCAGTTCTTCGAGGAGATCTTGTACGCCTCGCAGAGCCCGTCTCGTTGGTCGACAAGGGCGAATAGATCCGCGTTGACGACGTTCTCCTTGATGAGGGTCGCCACCCGCAGAACCTTGGTGTCCTTTGGGAGATAGTAGAGGTTGGGAGGTGTTGCGGCTTTGGCGTTGACCTTGTACTCGGGTAACTGGACGGAATCTGCGCACAACCCGACCAGAAGCATCGAGATCTGTCCCTTGGCAGTATCTGGTGGTGTCTTTTCTTGCTCCGTCAAGGAAATACCGGGTCGCTTTTCGTCGGGCAGATCCTCCTGGCCTAGGGTCTTCTGTATGTACTTTTCAATCGTCGTGGCAGAGACTCCTTTGCGGACCGTGATCTGCTGGTGGTCGCTGGCATCTAGCTTGGGTTTGATGAGGGCATGGGCGCCTACGGTGATCGCGAGCTCGGTATCGTCGACGTCGGCATACTCGGTATGGTTTGCGCCAGCCATAGCGATTCGGTATTTCGGCGTGTGGCGAGGAGGAGTTCGCGGAAGGTGTACCAAAAGGTTTGTTGTAGTAAGTAGTTGCCGTGGTTGTAAGTGTGTGGGTCAAATAGACAGCATTGCCATCACTATTGTTCAGCATGTGGAAGGCTTAGACGTCAGACTGCACCTTGCTCATGGCTTCACTTTACCTCGCTTCAGAAGTAAATGGGTTGCGATAGAGGCTTCACATGTGCAGACATCAATGAAGGGCCTTTCTTCCCTAAAGTTCAAGGATCCTTACGAGGTCGATACTTGACTAACTCAGCAACTCCTTAATATCCTCAAGACGTTGCATCTTCTTCTCTTCGTCACTCATCATGCCAAGGGAGCTTGCACTAAATCGCCAGTCAGTAAAACCCGCACTCAACAAATTCGACACTTCACTTACATGAACTTCTTCCTCTCCTGCACCTTCAACATCTTCTCCTCAATGCTTCCCTCAACAATGAATCTCGTGACGGTGACCTCTTCAGCCTGACCCATTCGATGCACACGATCGATCGCTTGGGCTTCCACGGCAAAGCTCCACCATGGATCCATCATGAAGACTCGCTTCGCGCAAGTTAGGTTCAGACCGACGCCTCCTGCTCTCAAGGAGAGAAGCAGGATTGTGAACTTGCTGCGATTTGCAAATTCACTAAGAACCTTCGCTCGATCCTTTTGAGACATGCTGCCGTCGAAGCGAAGCCACGAGATGCCGGCGCCTTCGAGTGCTGGCGCGAGAAGGTCCAGGAAGGAGGTGAACTGGCTGAAGACGACGGCCTTGAGAGCTGGCTCCGACTTGCGCAGACGCTTCAGCTGCGACATCAAAGTGTTGATCTTGGCCGACGACAACTGATTGACCCTGCGTAGAGAGATCCTCGCCTTTGGCTTTAGTGTTCTGGTCTGTGTGCTGGAGTATAGGTCGTCTTCGTCGTGGTCAACTGCCGCGTTGAGAAAGTCGCTCTCGTCAGGCTCGTCATCGTCGTGCTTGATGACTTCAAAGACATCTCGTGCGCTGATGGGCTCACGGCAGTTGAAGCATCTAGGAAGCTCGCCCTTGGATGTCTGATGCTCAATGTAGTCGAGCAGACACTTCTTGCAGGCAGAGTGCCAGCAACCAGTGACTGCTTGCTCTTCCATGGGCTCTTCGCTGCAAATCGGACATTCCATCTCAGACTCGTCTTGGATCTGTTTGAGTACATGAGATCCATACTTGCTCGCATCCTGCTCGCCTTCGTCAGCTTCGAATCGTTCAATGAGTGCTCCAAGGTCCATGTCATCGGCAAGACCTGCTGCAATATCTGCAGCAGCAGCGGCGTCTTCTTCCTCGGCGACAATGTTCTTGTTCCTAGTCAGGATCGGATGACAGCAGCTCTGTCTGAGGCGCAAGATCTGAGCAAAGATGGTAGTGTAGCTCTTCATCACCGTTCCAGCTTCCATATTGGCATTGAAAGTTTTCTTCGCTCGCAGGTAGATATGCTGATAGACGTCTTGTTCCGGCTCGGATAATTTGATTTTCTCGACGCTGATAGTCTTCGGCGGCAATGGTACCAGGGCTTCGCCGTCAGGGGTCTTCATGTCTTTTGTCCGACGCATGACCAGAGGCTCGAGCACAGTTTGCACCACGTCCAGTGCACGCACGAAGTCTCCCTTTTCGAACGGCGTCGTGATGAATGTTTTCCAGAAGCTGAAGTTGTTCCATGGCTCAACTCTGAGGAATCGCACCAGACTGAAGAGATCCTCAAGTCTGTTGACAATGGGCGTACCCGTCAACACCCAGCGGTGCGTTGCAGCAAGTTCATAGCATGCTTTTGCGGTCTTCGATTGCCGATTCTTGATCATATGCGCTTCGTCAAGGATGATCCGCCAGTATTCGACTCCAAAGAGACCTCCCGAGGAAGCACGATTGCCACCCAGGGCACTCGCTACAGAGTTGAACTCAGAGAGAACGACACCGTAACTGGTAATGATCACATTCGGCGCCGATGCTATGTTAGAGCCGCAACAGATCGTCTGCAAGTTGACTCCCTTCTCATTGCCATAGTAGACCAGCACTTTCAGCGTACCAGGTTTCGATGCCTTTTCGGCTTCGCTTGCCCATTGCGCCAAAAGTGACATTGGTGCAACAACAAGCGTCGTTGCGGGTGCTTGCTTGACTTTGCCGGAAGTGAGAGGTTGTCGAGCAAGGCTACTAACAGCATCAGCTTCTGCGCCAGTGTCGTTCAAAACGCTTTCGTGTTCTGGTGACCGATGCGAATGGATCAGAGAAAGCATTTCTATTGTTTTCCCAAGACCCATCTCATCAGCAAGCAGACCTCCCAGACAAGTCTGTTCTTGCACGGGGAAGTCCAGGCTCAACTCGCCGCTGTATGGGTTCACGTAGAAGCAGTCTTGTCCTTCGACGCTGGGAAGGTCATGGTCCTCGGCGTCCTTCTTTGGCCAGCTATACTCTTCCCACAACGGATGCATACTCTGCTGCTTGTGCCCGTCCTTCTCACGGGTCTCCTTGTTGAGCATCCAATGTAGAGCCTGTTTTTGATACTTTCGGAGATCCATTACAAAAGACGATGGTGGCTGTGCCTCGGGTGTGTTGAAGTCGAATGATTGAGCCTTTTTGTACAATGAATCAAGTTGGTCTTGCTCCAGCTCTTCTCCTTCTTCATTCTCCTCTGAAGGCGGGCTGGAGCCTTCATTCGTCTTGTCCTGGCTGGGTTTGCGATTCGTTTCGTCTTGTTGGTCCATCTGTTCAGCGACCTCTGCCGCCTGCAGGATACCCTCTCTCTTGTGCTTCGCGGTGAGTTCATTCAATGTAGACGGCTGGAGGTTGATCTCTTGAAACAGCTTTACCAGTCCTATCTGGCGAAGCCGAAGATCTCTCTCCTCCGTCGTCTCTTTGGCCTCAAAGAACCCTGTCTGTCTGTTGTTGTCTTGCGGTCTCATAAGATTGCCGGCCTCAAATATGGGACGTAAAAGGAAACAGCGGAGCTGAAGGTAGATGGTTTCGTTGGTTCGTATCCTGTCCGGAGCATAAATGCAGTGTCCTTCAAAATGGGCCACATTTTGGTCTATCAAAGCGCCAATCCACAATGCAGACTCTTTCTCAAGGCGGCCCAACTCTGCGCCATCTTTGCTAGTGAACCGCACGATCACGTCCTGCGTCTTCCTCATAGGTAATCTGCCTCTGCCGCTTTTGGATGATGATTGTGGTGCCTTTTGCCTCTCTCGCTGGATGTTGACAATGTCACCGGGTTTCAAGATGCCAGTACCACTTCTCGTAGTCCAGCCTGCCACGCCCAAAGCACCGATGTACCTCGTCTCAGGCATTGATTGGAGGTTCGGGCGCTGTTTCTGGGTTGAACCTGCCGACTTTGACATCGCGGCTTCCTCTCCATCCTCAGACTTGAGATCTAGTCGTTGTTGCTTTTTATCAACCGGAGGACTTTGTTTCTTTACAGGAGATGCGACTTTGGCCTTCCACGAGCCATCGAAGTACGCGTTGATTGCCTGCTCCAAGTTGTTCCCATGTGCTCTTTGCAGACTCCGAATGGCGTCTTCCGGCACCTCTGCACCGACGACACTTATAAAAGTTTCAGCATCAAAAACATTCTCCTTGTTGGCAGTGCTGTCCAAGCCACCGGCGGGTGTCGCAGACTCTGGCACACCGTCGATTTCGTCGGGAAGGCTGGGTTCGGATTTGAGGGAAGGTTCGTTTTGTACGGCATCTTCAGCAAAGAACCGACGCTTCTTGTGCGGCCGTTCGTCGATGTCCATACTGGTGGAGCGTGGACGGGTTGATGGTGGTCGTCCAAGAAATGGTTGACGACGCGAGGCGGAGACGCGCCGGAGATTGATGAGATCACACGCGCTTTCTTCGCATCATCCTTGCCAACGTCTGCCCTTCTGCGTCTGCAGCCCATCAACTTCGATCATTTGGTCATCAATACAATGGACGGCCGTGTGCGATAACATTCACTTTAACCAAATCACATGCGTGGAAGATGGCCACGAGGACTGGCATGCGGAATGCCACTCGAAGTCTTGCCATTGGGAGGCAAACTCGGCTTTTCAGGGCACCTCAAAGAAGATACGCCACCTCTGATATCGATCAACCAGCGACGGCCGTATCGTCATCTGAAGAGATCTCGAAAGCGAGAGACTACTGTCTAGGCCTCCTGAGAAAATACGACACGCCCTCATCCTTGCTATTGCCTTATATTCCCAGCCACGCCCGAGATGCCTATGTTGCGCTTCGAGCGTTCAATATCGATGTTGCTCGCACAGCAGACACGACATCGACTCCCACCATTGGCATGATGCGCCTTCAATTTCAGAGAGATACCATATCGAAGTCGCTCGCTGGATCGCCACCCAAACAGCCAGTTGCCCTTCTACTCGCGCAGGCTGCCGAAGATCTTCAGCATCGAAGTGCTGGCCGGTCTAAATTCAGCAAGTCTTGGTTCAATCGAATTATCGACACCAGGGAGAAATACTTGTCAAATCCGCCTTATCCCAACATTGCTGCTCTCGAGAGCTACGCAGAAAACACTTACAGCACATTGCTGTATCTGACTCTGCAGGCGTTGCCCATGGCGAGCTTGACCGCAGACCATGTCGCTTCGCACATTGGCAAAGCCATTGGGATCTCTGCTGTTCTTCGAGGCCTGCCCTTGATCGCATTCCCTAATGCACCAAACACTCATAGCAACCAGGGAGGCCATCTTGCTAGTGATGTCGGGGCTACACGCCACGGTGCAGTCATGCTTCCTGTGGATGTAATGATCGAAGCGGGTGTACGAGAAGAAGACGTCCTGCGAAATGGTTCCAACGCACACGGGCTTCGAGATGCTGTCTTTACAGTGGCCACACGAGCGAACGATCATCTCATCACCGCAAGGCAGATGCTGGACAACATCAGAGCCGGACAGGATGTTGACCATGAGTTTGAGCATCAGGATGAAGAGGAGCATGTTCATCTACCGTCCATCGGCAAAGGCGAGACCCAAGCGCAGGAAGTAGAGCGCGCCTTTGGAGTCTTCATGCCTGCAGTCGCGACCCAGCTATGGCTCGACAAGCTGCAAAAGTACGATTTTGACGTCTTTCAACCGAAGCTGAGAATGACGGACTGGAAACTGCCCTTCAAGGCTTACTGGGCTTATAGCCGCCGGAAAGTGTGAACAACGCTGGCGGAACATAGAGCCGTCGACGATGGCTCGTTGTCTTCGCCCTAGCCTCGTCGTTCTGTCCAAAGTGGAACGCATGGCGTTGTCGGTCATCCCCCCATTCTCAGAGCGACCAAGCTTTGGGCTGGACTCTGGATTGCTTAGACAGCGTGTGAGCGCTGGGGATGGAGGTTCCACTATGAAAAACCAGGGAGGGTACTTATTCAAACTCTGGATGCTAGTAGTCTGGTACCTCTCCTAGCTTGAAGACGGGACCCTGGATTCAGAAACTCAATTTACGGGCCCGAAGTCAGTCTTTCACAGCAACACCTGGAGAGCCCTTCGTACCTTCACGACTGCTCAGAAGCAAGATACTGCCCTTCAGCGAAAGATGTATACATGAGCAACACGTTCTGAATGGAAAACAAATGGCATGGTATAGCACGCACGATGCGCATTGCTATAGACCATAGACTGCTTGCCGTCGCGTGATCAGTATGGCGAGTCGTCAAAGAATCTTGGCAAGCGAATCGATGGCTTCCCAATCACTGTTACCTACACCCACCAGTACACACTGGTAAGCCGGTCAGCATGATTCTGCTGCAGCATATTCGAAGTCACAGCCTCTAGCTTTTCGCACACGCGCACGACATTTTCGCCAGCTGCGGACCACAGAAAAAGCACCTGCCGTGCGCTCTCTTCGACTTTTCTCTTTCTTCTTCGTCTCTCTGATCCAGTGCGTTGACTGACGGTCTTCCACGAGATGGCAGCCATGGAAAATCTCAAGCGCACTGTCGTCGGCGTGCGGAACGTGTGCAAGGACGAGGAGTTCCTTCAACTGACCAGGGAGAACAAGAAGGTTGCCTATCTGATGTGCGCCGTCCGTAACCTGGAGGCGTTCGCCGAAGGAGCTGCCTACGAGATCGTCAGAGAGCGCATTAAGGAGATCGAAGAAGCCACCGAGAACAGAGTCGCCAGGAAGTTCGAGAAGGAGCGTACCGAAGAGACCAAGCGCTACAACGACCTCCTGGCTCGCTACAACAGCATGCTCGCCCATAAGAAGTGCGTCGAAGAAGCCAACAAGAACCAAGTCACCAGAGACTTCGAGCAGCTCCGCGTCGTAGACTCCATGCGCTACGTGGAGCTCGACACTCGCCACAACGACCTGACTACTAGCTACAACGGCCTTGTCAGCGCCTACAAGTGGGCCAACTACCGCTCCGAGGAGCGCCGCGACGCCATCGAAGTTCTGAACGATCAAGTCAAGAAGCAAGCGCACATCATCGAGCAGCGCGACTTGTCGATCAGCCAGCAATGCTCTACTCTGCACGCTCTCGATCAACAAATCGTCGAGTGGCAGGCTTGGGCTTACGAGCGTGGCTGGCGTCCAACTGCCTCTCAGTATCGATCTCGCACCACGCTAGCTACTCCACCAGGCCTCAACATCCCCGTCCCACCAAATGTTCCTCGCCCCTTCAGCCCAACCATCAGACGCCCACAGAACGAGGCCGTGAAGGAGGAAGCCCCAGCCACCGCCGCCAAGACCCCCGTCGACGAAGCCACCTGCGTCGACACCGCCGCCAAAAACAAGGACCTCGCCAGCGGTGTCGACCTCAAGGCCTCCTCCGTCTCCAACGCCACCGAACCTGCCACCGACCTCATCTCCACCCCCCGCTTCGACAACGCCGCAGAGGCCCGCGCCGCCGGGTACGTCCTCCTCAGGTCCAACAACTCCAACAACGAGGATGACAAGGAGGACGACACCGAAGACGACACCACCTCCCTCCCCGTCCTCATCGCCGACGACTCCACCTCCATCGCCTCCTTCTCCCTCGCCACCGAGCGCAACGTCGATGACGACGACGATGAGGCGTGGACCTTCACCCCGGGCGACCCCGACGAGGCTCAGGCTCAGGCGCACGCTGAGGACGAGGACGACGATTATGTCTTCTAGACTAGACGGAAAGGAAATGAGTACGGTTCTAATCTGTCCATGCTATCTATCCACACCGTCGCCCTTTGACGCTACGCTCACGGGACCTCACGGACTCGGGGCTAGAGTTGCGGGGATTAGACGGCGGTGGAGGAGGATATCGCGTGTTCAGTGGCGTTATATTATGTATCTTACATGTACTGTTCGGAGAGCTCTTTAGCGATCCAAAGAAAATAATCCAAACGCTCTGTGGGAATGCTTGATTTGTCTTCCTCGTGGAGATGATCTTGCTTCGACCTGGGGTCTATTAAGGACACAAAGTTCTGTCTTACATCTACGTCGTCGTCGCTCTGGTGATGTCCTGTCTGACCGTACCACCATATCGTCGCTCGCTTGGTCGCTATCATGCATCGAGCGATGCCTGTCCTACCCCATGATCCGCTCTACCAACGCCTTGCATGAACAAACAATCTATCCCCTCGCACCATGTAGTATGCACATCTAAAGCAATACTGAAGCATTTCCCCCATCCCTTCCACCTGCCTTCGTCTTCCCCAAATGCAACCTCTCCACAAACTACTGCGAAGTGATGATATCGGGCGTACCAGACTCGACTGCCTCTTCTGTCAGCGCAACGCCACCTTCAACCTCCACTTCGCTTCCTAGACTACTGCTGCTGGGCCTACCGCGCAGGCCGACTTTGCGGTCGTACGCATCGAACTCACCGCAGACTGACTTGGCCTTGCCCGACTTTCCTTGCTTTTGCGGCGTGACACTGAGCAGATCGTCCGAAGGCAGGAGCGGGGCGAGGTTGGAGGCCGTTGGCGTGGGCAGGCTGAGCGAGGATGCGGTTGATGAGGTGCCGATGGGCGTGTTGGTCAAGCTGCCTGTCATGTGACGCAGCTGGCTGTGTGAGTTCTCTGGGGTAAGTCGGTCTATGTCCATCTCTTGAAAGTAGCCGTGGTTCATAGCACGTCTGCCATCATCGAAGCCAACGTCGTAGGCGCAACCTGAATGACGGCTCCAGACTGGGCATTGACCGGGACCTGGGCAGGGATAGAGCTCAGAGCTGTCAAGTCGCTCAGATGGATGCTCGCTGTCTGACCAGTCGACTGATATGTCATCGTCGACCTCACTGGTGCTCTGCGTGACGATGTCCATACTTGGCTGTGGTCGAGCAATGTTTGGCAGTGGCAAGGGCCGCGGCACTGCATGCTGGCCGATCTTCGAGATGATGCGTGCGTCTGCGACTCGTAGGCCTTGACACTCCTGTGGTGGAGCTGAAGGTCCTTCACCGTTGAAAGCTGATTCGAAGCTAATGTACATCCGGTCGAGAAAGAAAGGGCGGCAAGCATGACACACTTGGAACGTGCAATTGTACTTGAATCTTGGCGTACTCTCGCCATCACCCTTCACTGGTGTCGTGGCATGGCTGTCATGTGGTGTGTTGGCTGGGGTGCCCGCGGGACTCATCGGTAGCGCGGTGCTGTTTCTGCAGTTCTCTGCGGGTGCAGTTGATCCGACGGAGGTGATGATGTTGTGAGGTGATGAAGTCGCAGAGACAGAGCCTGATCCCTCCTTCAGTCGAACTTCTTGCTCGTTGATGGTGCGAATGACCTTCTCGCGCTGCTTGATAAGCTTTTCGACTTGGTCAATGTCGTAGTCGCCAGCGCGGATGCCTTTGATCACACTCGGGCTCATGTGCAAGTACTCGGCCACACGAGCTCGTGCATCGAAGTAGTTGCTATCGTCAGGAACGGTGACGGGCACAGCATCAACATCCGGCAGTGGGTCGTACTGGCCTGGTAGCCGATCTTGCTGGCAGGCGTACACCCAACCGACTTCAGGAATGCGGCCACACATGTTGCATGTGAGATCGCCATGGACTCGATTCATGTAGATGTGGGTGCATTGCGGCCGGCGTGACATGGCGTGTCTCGTCGTCTTCTGTGGTGTGGTTGTGGTGGAAGGTGCGGGCAGGACCTGGAGTGAAGTCAGCATTGATCAATCAATTCCCAGTAAAATGCCATGCAAGCGAGACATACCTGTTGAATGGCGGACATCAAAGAGGCCAGACCTGCGGAGTTTGTTCGTGGTGTGGATTGCCAGAAAGGGTCCGCGGCGGGGCGTGGAGTTTTGTCGTGGGCGGCGAAGTGCTGCATCGAAGCGGCGGCCACAGCCATCTTCACGTCGGGCGAGACAGCGCTGGAGGGTCGTGAAAGAATGAGTGAATGTCCGCACTCACTTCCTGGCGGGGTTCCGTATCAATGGGTTGGGGGAGAGTTGCTCGGCGGGAGCGTGTCGTGCGTGACCAGAAACCCTCACTTGTGTCTCAGGAGAGTGAAAGAGGAAGGGAACTGTCTGGTAGGAGCAAGAGCAGCGCCCGAGGCCGTCGCTCATGCCGTCTCGGCCATCCCATACAAAGAAGCAGCGCAGGCAGGCACGATGGAAAAAAAAAACTTTGGTAGACTTACATACAGCTTGGGGTACATACGTCTGCTGTGGTGGAGCTCATGTTTGTGCTACTCTCCCGTCCTTTCACCACATTCCAGCCCTGACCCATTTCACGTGGCAACGAAGCTCAATATCATTACCCATCCAGCTCCTCATTGTTGAGTTGTTCCATAGCCCACCACACTCGACCGTCGCTGCCTCAATCACTCCCACACACCAAGGTTCATCACGGCTGCTTGTGGGCGAATGGGTGAAGATAGCGCGTCCCGGCGCTGCGGTCTGCCGTCCCACCGCGGACGGAGAGGGTGTGCTGCTTCGACAAGCGAGCGACATCTCTCTGCCCTCAATGCTTCGACTCTCAGCGAGTCCATGCCCAGCAGCGAATTTGATCATGCTCTGCACAATGGAGGAGAAACGAAGAGATGCAGGTGAGGTCGGAAAATAAACCTTGTCTGTTCATCAAACCGGCAGGGTCAGTGGCCGAGCCAATCGCAGCGGCCCCAGCCATCTATCGGCAACCGCCGCGAGCTTGTTGCCAGCGTTGTTGTGAGGGCCCGTCGCCGAGATGCGTCTCCTCCTCCACGAACGACTACTCTCCTGCTCGCTGTGCAACGATCTCCTACCTTTCTCCCTTCTCGAATACATCCGTCCGTGAGTTTAGCGCCAGCAAAACGTGTCTGGACCGCTCAATCATCCTGCCCGGCCAAAGGACACGCCCAGTCGCGTGAGCCCCTCGCGAGCCCATCAACAACCATGTCGCAAGTCAAGTTCGAACAGAAGGAGACCGTCCGCACCTCCAGCGGCGGCCGGGGAGGCCCACCACCTCCTAAGGAAGATCTGGCACACGAGATTGGCAATGCCCTGACCAAGGGCGCTGGTCCCAATGGATATCTTGCTGTAAGCTGGGGTGGGACCGGACAAGTCGAGCAGGTCTAATAGTTACATCGTAGTGGTACCTCAAGAAGCTGCAAGAAGACCCCCTCCGAACCAAGATGATCACGTCAGGTACTCTCGCTGGTCTGCAAGAGTTTCTGGCCTCATGGATCGCAAAGGACCGAAGCAAGCACGGTCACTACTTCACCAGTCGCGTCCCCAAGATGGCCATCTACGGAGCTTTCGTCAGCGCACCTTTGGGACATGTCATGATCTCCATTCTCCAGAGACTCTTCGCCGGGCGAACGAGTCTACGTGCCAAGATCATGCAGATCATTGTGTCCAACTTGATCGTACGTTGGACTGGACATCACAGCGGAAACAACGTTCACTAATCTTCAATGCACAGATCTCCCCCATCCAGAACGCAGTCTACCTCACATCAATGGCAGTCATCGCCGGCGCCCGAACATTCCACCAGATCCGTGCGACCGTTCGCGCTGGTTTCATGCCAGTGATGAAGGTATCGTGGATCACCTCCCCAATCGCACTCGCATTCGCCCAAGCTTTCCTTCCCAACGAGGTCTGGGTACCATTCTTCAACTTCGTCGGATTCGTCATTGGCACCTACATCAACGCACACACCAAGAAGAAGAGGCTGCAAGCTCTGCGACGGAAGTACCAGGACGGACGGACAACGGATGGAAGGAGCGACTACGATCGTCGACCGGGACAGGGAGGGTACTAGACGGTGAAGAAGGCGGCTATTGTGCGTTCCATAGAGTCGGCTTGGACATGAGCACGACCTTGGACAAAAGATTGAAAATACGGATACGAGTGTAATGGCAGTCGGCACGACTCCTCTTGTTTGCGGGCTGAAATGGCGGTATGTAGTTGTTGAGAGAATGCAATGACATGTTGACACTGTAGGTCATTTGATCAGACGTGACGGCACGACACCTGCCACCGCTCCGGATACAACCCCAGTCGAGTTGTATCATTGGCTTTCAACTGACTGGTCGTCTGTCGTTTTCGTTTTGGCCCTTGAATGTTTGCTGTCGATGGCGACACAGTACGACATCGCCCGGTAACGTTATTGAGTGGCGTTCGCTTTGCTCGCCACGACTTCATGCCCCTTCCGCAGCCCTGCACGTGAAGAAGCACGGCGCCATTGGCGAGAACGCGGCTTGCTGTTGTTTAGATGCAGTCGACTATCAAGCCCGTGCGCGCTCACCGACGGCTACAGTGTGACCTACGTTCTTCCCAGCGTCGCCTCGACACACCATGACACCGACATTTGTTGATCGATCACAGTGTGTCTCAACATCTGGAGAACAGCCGCGAATACCCGTACATGTCGAAGTGAAGATTGGGTCGCACAGGCTTCGATTATCCCGCTTGGTCGAGTGGCTTGACACCACGACAGGTCCTGACGATCCTCCCGTCTTCAACACGGCAAGGTGCACTGCCTTGACGGCACGACGTCTGTGATCCAGCATCTTCAGACAAGTATTCGCCGTGGAGTCGTTGAACGGATGGCAGGCATCTTACGATGCTGCTTGCTACGCTCACCGCAATCACAGGCCTCACCGCAAACATGGTTCTAAATGACACGTGCGGCTCCATGTTTGACCTTCAGGATCCGTTTCGAGCTCTTTGCATCAATCCTTTTGTCACTGCTAAGGTCTTCAGTCTTGGTGGTGCTCGAGTTGGAAGTCTTGGTTCTTCACACCCCATATGGCTTGGCGGAGCTACAGCACGCCTCTCATCCCCTTCTGTCCCCCTCTTGCAGCACAACCTGTGTGCAATCCTATGCTCTTCCGCACCTACCCCGACTGGCGCCAGAGCTTCTACCATGGCGGCCGTCACGGTGGCGGCTGGAGTTCAGACAAGAGCATCACCGCCCTCCACGACCAGAAACTCGAGCAACTTGGAGACTTAGGCTGGTCCCTCGACTACGCCACCGCTTGGTGCTACAGACATCTCGTGGGTCGTCAGCCAGAGGTATCAGACGCCATCGATACGATACGGGAGTTGTGCGATGTCGTCACTCCAGACACGCCGTTCGAGATCTTCGATCATCTGGATACGGCTCTGTTCGGCAGCAAGCTCAGGACTATGGTCTATCTGCGCTGGAAACCGCACGCAAGCTGTAGTACAGGCACGACTTCTGGTCCGAACGTTGCTGGCGCGCCTCGCATTACGATCGAACTCAACAGTACCGCCTTCGATGGGTTCGATGCAGACATTGACGATTTGCTGGAAGCGCTCATACATCAGATGATCCATGCCTTCTTCTTGGTTTGCTGCGGCGTGCAGAAGACGGGCGACAAACAAGATGGTCGACTCATGGATGGTGTGCACTTCGGTGTCATACTCCTGACTATCAAAGACATCTGCAAGCAATGCGTCGACGGCCCTCTGAGATTGGTATTCCACGCTTCAAAACGAAAAGCCCTCGAAGGACCAATACCATCCATGGACAGCGTCTGGCCATACGCCTGGGACACCATGCGAGGCGGCGACAGCGCTGCCCTCCAGCCATACATCCTGACTAGTGGAGTCGGTCCTGGTCCCGCTGACAGTCAGACTCACTGCCTTCACGACAACCGCCACGTCACATTCCGCGAGATCCAGAGCTGGCAGGTCCAAGTGTACGCCCGCGCTCTGGACGCAGACATGGAGTCCAAGGGCGAGAAAGTGTGGGACTTCGACGAGAAGCACAAGCTTGTCGAGCATGACCGCCGCTTCATCACCAAGCCTTCGTCCACATACATAGAGCTCATCTGGGATGAGAAGCGTGTCATGGCGAATCGCGAGAAGGCGCTCGCTTTCAAGAGTCAGAAGGATACGATTGAAAAGGGATCGAAGTATGAGCTCACCATTCCAGACTGTGAAGAGACCATCTTCAAGTGCGTCTACGACTTCATCAATCGAAAAGCCTACGCCCGCGAAGAAGGCGAAGAGGAGATGGCAAGGTCCCGCAACTTGGGACGTCGTCAGCTCGCGCCCGCCCTGGCGGGCTACCTCCGCCCTCACGTCCGCTCTGCCACCATCGACAAACCGAGCATCACGCTACACATCCGCGTCTTCAAAACCGCACAGAAACTCAAGTTCGACGAGCTGCAGAGGTACGCTGTCCTCCGTCTCTACGAGCTGGAAACCACCGACGACGAACCCATCGAACCCCTCCGCATGATCTACCTCTCCAGCAGCGGCGAAAGCGAAGGACCCATCGACTCGGACCTGCAGAAATGGTCACGTAGATTCCTCTACAGAACCGACGAGCACAAGCTAGAGTACTACCCCCTCGGATCCAGCTGGTGCAACAACGGCGTCGGCATCAGTAATCTCGTCAAGATCATTCAGTTGCATAACGATGGGTTCCAGGACCTCTACAGCAAATCCCGCTCCTTCAGGGAGGATGTCAAAGCCGCGGTGACCAAGATCCTCTCCGGACAGTCGTCCGAGGGAATGTGGGATTCCTCGTTGACGCCGCTGCGAGGTATGTCGTCGCTGTCGACCGACTCGCTCATCTCCTCGCCAATGCTGGGTGGGCGACTAGCCGGCGGCATGGGTCTCGGAGCCAGGCCACTCCTGCCTTCACCACTCTCGAACCGGGTCACCGAGCGCGTGACGGATACAATCGACGACCAAAACGCTCTCCTCCCCGGCGTCGGTATGGGCATGGGCATGGGAATGGGTCTCAACAACATCGGCCGAGGCAACGGACTCCTCGGATTACCTCCACTACGACGAGCTTCAGCCGATATCCTCGGTGGGGATGTGAGTATCTCCAATACCAACAAACCAAAAACAGGGCATCCGTTGACGAATTTCACAGCTCCTCGGCGTCCCACGCATGGCACCCATCTTCGACCACCTCCCTGCTCTCTAAAAAGCCAAGCGCTCTTTTCAACACATTCGCATCCCCTCCTCGCAGCATAGGCATAGCATTTTTCGGCTTTTCTTCGTGTCCCGATGAGGACGGCGGCATTCTTGCATAGTTGTAGATAGGCATGGAAGACAAAAATGGGGACCTGAAAGAGTTGGGGGATAGAAAGGGAAGGATTTAGGGTAAAGGGGGGATAAAAAGGCATAGCATGATGGGAAGATGATGGGAGGGTAATGGAGATATGAGAGAGAGGATAGGTACATCTGCCTGATTTACATCCCGGCTCTTTCAAGCTCCTTTTCGCAATCACCCTCGACATCACTCTCGACATTACTCCCCACCCATCATCGCTTTAGTCCGTTACTTCCGCTTTTGCATTCGCATTTCCTCTCACACTTGATACCTACACTCACATTCCCCCACCACTTTTGCCTTCACTTCCTCTCCTCGCAACATGCCACATACCTTCTCCTTTCCCACACTCCAACTCTTACAACAATTCAAAGAACAAAAGCCCCATCGGAAGTGGATACGATTATATACACATTATCTCATCTCCCTCGATCCGACGTATCTCTCCTCCCAAGGCCCCATGCAAACCCACATGCAAGTCCCGAGCCAAGACCGTACCACGCATCTCATCTCGGAAATCATATACGACTCCTTCCAGCCCTTCACAGCCTTTCACCAATCCACACATGCACTAGAGCCCAACAGGGAAGCTTTTACGACGGACGAAAAACACACATGCAGATGCGATGCGATGTCCGATGCGATGCGCGATTTTATAATAGACTCCACACGTGTCGAGCCTTTTAGTGAGTTCTAGGGCCTTGGTATTTTCTTACTTCATCAACAAACTTCGGACAACAAGTGAGTCTAAAACGACCTCACCTCCCCTTCCCTCATACTTTTCTTTGTCATCGTTGCTGTATCTTACTCATTTCATAAACTATGGCACTATCTCATAACAGTTCATCAGACATCTACACGCCAACCTCGCCCTTCCGTCCCACTTCCTCGTCGCTGCTGGGACCTTCTTCGTGGACGTCGGCTTCGACGATGGGACCCGTGTAGAATTTCCGGCCGTGGATGAACCAGTAGAGCGTGGCGAAGATGAGGATGCCGCCGAGGTAGGCGATGGCGTAGTTCATCTATGAATGAACAAGTCAGCACAGTTCCCCTTTCAACAGGTTTTGGGTCGATGAAGAGTCAAACTTACATTCGACGCCGTCACCGGCCGAATCGTCGGCAGGATGAAGATGATGGACACGAACAACGTCCAGATACAAGCCCACGCACTCACGATCGGCCCAAACACCGGTCCCAAGTTCCACGGTCCGGGCTCGAACTTCCCGAAGACGAGTCGGCAGAAGATGGGGATGCAGTAGCTCCAGTCCAACGCAATGGCGGTCACGTTAAAAACACCAAGGATGGCGGCGTACGAGCCCAAGCCGATGAGGTTAATGGCGATGCACCAGAAGACGGAAATCCACACGGCGAGGATGGGCGTTCCGGTAATGGGGAGGATCTTGGTCCAGAGGGAGGGGAAGGGGAGGAGGCGATCGCGGGAGAAGGCGAAGACGGTGCGGGCGAGGGATTGCATGGCGGTGAAGGTGACGAACTTGAGGATGATGAAGGCGCACAGGGTGAAGACGATTCCGCCGGCTTTGCCAAGAACGTTGTAGAAGATTTGGGCGACAGGCTGTTCGATTTCCGAGGCGAGGATTTTGTCTGGGTCGCCCATGACGAAGCAGAGGACGATGTTGAAGAGGAAGCCTGCCACATAGGTGAAGAGCATGGCCATGGAGATGGCCCATGGGGCTTTGATCTCTGGGTTGCGGATTTCTTCGGTGATATGGGCGGTCGCATCGTAGTCGGTCATGGTCCAGGAAACGCTGAGGAAGCCGAAGAGGAAGGACCAGCCGTCCGGGGTCCAGCCGGAGACGTTGTGGATGTCGGTGAAGACGTACTTGGCGCTGTGCTTTGGGGTGCCGTTAGATGGCTGGGCCATTGCGAGGAGGGCGACGGCGCAGGAGACGAGCACCAGGACATGGAAGATGACATATGACTTGGTCATTTTTTCCATCCAGTATGTCGAGAGGGAGTTGACGAGGCCGGTGATGACTGTGAGACCCGCCATGACACCTACGTTCTGGCCGACGGTGGGAGTGTAGGTAAAGTCGGTGGCGATTGAGACGGCCGCAAGAAGAAGGGCAGCAGCACCCCATTCTGATGATGCGATACCAGCGATTTGGCCAAGGACGTTCAACCAGCCGTCGACCCACGACACTGGAGCGACCCATCTCTCAGGGATAAGGCGAGAGATGGTATAGTAAAGACCACCGCAGGTAGGATACGCGGAGACAAGCTCTGATACAGCGCACTACCAAGCCTTCAGCAGGACCATTCAAAGTCTGATACGATGGAAAACTTACCGCAATACACATACACCCGGCCCCAGAAATCAACCAACACCACACCGCGGACGCACTCCCGCCGGCCTCGAGAGGATATACAAACGTCGTCGCAATCGTCGAGAACAGCCCACTGATGCTGACCGCGAAGGAGAACGTCGATAGGTACCCGAATTCACGCTTGAACACGGGCTTGTAACCAAACTCGGCGGCGAGCGCTTTGTCGGCGTCGTTCAGTTCTTCCAGGTTTACGGTTCGTACGCCGTCGGGGCCCTGGATTTCTACGACGCTGGATTTGCGTCGGTCGGGAAAGGCCGACATTGTTGCTTGTTGGGCTTGAATGGGGTATTTCGTGGAATTCTGGCCGGTGGTGGTTGTTGGTGCTTTGGGAGTTGAATTGAGGCTGCTTTTGGGTCTCGAGGAAGCTGCTTCTGGGTGCGGTCGCTCCTGCCCGTGTCACAACGAAAGTCGCGCTGGGCAATTCTTTCCGGGCTCGATGCCGGCGGAGGCTGCTGGCTCACGGTACACCACAGCCAGCCAGGATCCTCACGTTCGGTCAAGAGCACAAAGGCGCGCTGGATGAGTTGTTGATGGAGGTAAGACGTTCTTGCTTGAGTGAGTATCTGAAGAACGAAGCGGATACAGCGAAGATCCTAGATGATGATTGGAAGCTGCAGCCGGAAGCTGGATTCACAGCAGGAAAACGTCAGCAGCGTGCAACAGTCAACAGAATGAGAAGCAAGTCGCGGACGACGACGAAGAAGAAAGAGAGAAAAACTCATCCACGTCGTTTACGTATGCACACAGATAAGTCGCAGTCCCCTCCGCGCCGGTCACCCGGGTACGGGTACATCGTCCACAGGCAAAAACGACCGAACCGACCCTTCTTCGAACGACGATATCGACTGCAGCAAGAGAACCACACCAAAGGCGAAGAGGAACAGTAGCGTCGCCCTCGCGTGGGACCTCATTGGCGATAAGCTCCATTGGCGAAAGCATGGCACGCAGCTCCTAACGCAAACCCTCTTAGCGTGGCCGAGCGGGTTCAGCCCAGTTGTGATTCTGGACTCCTTCTCGCTTGCGACTGCTGGAAAGTCGATGCGCTGCCGATGGGGGGTTTGGATGGTGGGTGGTCGCGTGCTCTCTCTCTCGCGTGTGTGCAGGTGGTCAGCTCATGGGGGTGCTGGGCTGGTGGGGCTTTTGTGAGGCTGTACGAGGGGGCTGGGACGGCCGGCTTCGCATTCTTCATGAGATTTGGGTTGCTGGCAAATGAGTGGTTGTTCTGAAGACTGTGAGCGTACAGATCTTTGCAAGGCCGTTCATTCGTCAACATCTACCACCAGACCACGCTCAACCACCTTCATAGTACTCCCTCGCAAAACCTCTCGAAGATGGCCGATCAGTGGTCGTGATCTTCAGAGTCTCGACAGACAGATACTCATCAGAACCCCCTCCATACCCAGAATCATGCGTAACAGGTCTAGGTCGCTTGCTGCTACCACGAACAACACCATTCGCCTGGTCTAGCTTATACAAATAATCCCCAGGAGCAATCCTAGCCTCCAGACACGACGTCCAATGTTGCATGCCATAATCGGGCACGTCGATATGCGGAATAACGTATTCTGGAATCCGGACGACTGGTTTGCCGTTTCGATCATATTTGACCCATTCGTGACCGCGGCCGTTTGATTTTCGGTGTCTGCTCCATCGATCCGATGGCATACTGCGAGGCTCGTAGTCGCGGTTTTTGATGCGATGGTAGACACATGGGTGGATCATCTCGTCGAAGTAGGTGTAGTCGAGACTGTACGTTTTGCCGTTGACTTTCTCCGTGGCGTAATACTGGCCAGGTTGGCGGACGTAGTCCCATCGTTGAGTGGCTATTTCTGATGCTAGATGCCAACCCAGCTTCTGCGTATCGATCAATTTGCCGTCGGACCAGTCGATGCGCCGTTCATTGGCTTCTTGAGGTGTTCGTGGCGCTGGGCTCTTGGAGTCGTTAGGCCTGATGTTGGTGGCGAGACGATTTAGGATCGGATACTCCAGTGCTCGCTTGTTGATTTGCAAGAGGTTTTCCTTAGTCAACTGGTCGATCATCCAGGCCAGCGCAATTTCGTCCACGCTGTTGCGGTCGTCTTGCGCTCTGCTCATGCCGCCGACACAGCCATGATAACCTGGAAACCTAGCTTACTGTCAGTGACAGCACCATCGCAGGTAATGGAGATCGTTACATACCAACATTGCCGAAGTTTGACGCCAGCTTTGATACATTCTTGATCCAGATAGAACATAGTAGGTGGAAAGTTGCCTCGCGACTCGTCCAAGGCTAGAGCATGGAACGCGTGGCGAATCTCTGTGATATGTCAGCTCACTGGCACACTGGAAGATTATCCGATGCTGCAGGGAACTCTGTACTTACTAGGATGCAGCCTGCTCTGATGAAAGGAGACATCCTCCCCAGGCTGGCGTACATAGCCTGACATGCCGATACTTCCCACCGTGTCGAAGACGCCAACAACCTTCACCTCGACGTGATAGTGTGCCCATTCTCTAATCCACTCATATCGGGTCCACCTCTCGCGGCAATCACTGTCGAACCCTAGCTCACCAGGTCTCACGTATTCCTGAGCCCACCTCATATGCTTGAAGTCCTTTTCGGTCTTGCGATCTCGACGCTTGTAGGCGTTGAAAATCTCGGCAAAGTAGTTAATCATGCCTGGGTTCAGCAGGCCTATCTGACAGATAAAGCTGGCTAGAGCACGAGCCGTGTATGAACCTGCATGGTGACAGTGAGTTCGCAGCCTGGGGATATAATGCGCGAGGCTTACCTCTTGAGAAGCCGAAAATGAATATCTCGTCCCCAGGACCATAATTGTTGACAAGATAGTTGTACTGCTCACATACTTTCTCGGTGAGGCCATCACCCAAGGCTCCCACGGCGTCTCGTCAGTAAAAGTTGGGTATCGACGAGAGCAGTCAGTCTACCTTGCAAATCTCTGTTCAAAGGCGTGAGCCAGCCAGTTCCAACGCCAGATTGATAATTGACCAGCTGTGTAATTGGCTGCTTGTTCTCATCCAAACCAGTGTTGGCGATAATTCGGCAAAGTCGAGTGATGTTGGTCGCATAGTTCTCTTTGCCCTTGTCTGAAGAGCAGAATGTCCCATCACAGCAAGCCACGAGTCGTTTTCTGAGGGTGCTCGATGCTCTCACATAGCTGCATGGAACACACTGTCGTCCCTCGTAGTTTGTAGTTCTTGATGCCGGATCGCTCGAGCCATAAGTGCTGGTGCTGGTGGTCATGGCTGCTAGAAGATGGTGAGCAGGTCAGCAGATCTAGGCGTTTTCCACTCTTTCTTCTGTCGAGCCCGAAAAACGCTGTGTGGGGAGGCCTGGAAGATAGCTGCGATGTATATGGCTCTCTCGCAGTGAGACATTGGATGCGCCGCACTGCGAGCGGGATGCCAATGCCTTGGAACCAGATGTTTACCACGGGAAAGGCTACAGAACCTACCGTGAGTGGTTACCAGCTGTTGATGGCTGCATGGAGGGCGGTCCAGACGATTTATCACACGAGCGCCCGATATGCACGTCAGTGTCTTTAGCTTTCGAGAGAAGCTTGATCAAAGCTGAATGAGTAGGGACACTGCTGAGTATCGCACTCATTTCGAGGCTGTACTGATCTCGCCGTACTGCAGAAACCCATGCTGCCGCCGCGTTTACTCGTCTGTTCTATTGACCGGATGGCCGCATAGACAAAGGGAAGTCTGGGTCCCCAGGGAAGCGATGCGAGATGCATTGCGGTGCTGATCAGTTTTTTAGAGTCAGGATCATGTACTTCAGATTGTGGCATTTTGGATGCTAGCTGGACCGCGCAGTGGCTGCCTGGTATCAGCCCTATGACTTTCTCCTGCATCGCATGTAGAAACGGCCAATTATTATGCTGATGGTAATGGAGGACGTTGGTTCCAAGGTTGTCGTTGGAGTGCTGAAATCGGAACGAATGAGCGGTGACCCGCCGCTTGCCTGTGATTGGAGGACATGGCGAGCTGGTCTGAGCTTTTGACGCCAGCAACGAGCTTCCAACCAAGACGCGACCACTCCTGTCTTTCAGCCTACCATCCAACTGTGCAACCAGACCCGAGACGAGTTGGTCTCTGTGACACGGGAATTCCTTGTCCTTACCAACTGCGACTGTATGTTTTCCACGCGATACATCCACTCAGATGTATCTCCGGACCACACAGTACTACGCCATCGAGATCTCGGGCCTTGCGAATACAGAAGCAGAGACAGACGACGATGAAGTGCTCCAGCTGTCAAGTAAAGCATCGTTCGCAGATGATTCAGAAACACGAAGGGCTATCTCACAGCTCGCTCCGCCCGACCTTTTCTTTATCGTTTTCGACCAACAGGAGTCACGCTCCTCTCGGTGTTCCGGTCAAAGTGGAACGTCCTATACCGTAATGGAAGTGCCATATCTCCGACTTTTCACAAGCGACTGCGCTGCTAATTGCACTCCAAGCAGCTCAGATGGCTTGGAAGTAATGGGGATGAATGTTCCACTTTGACCGGAACAAGAAGGTCACTCCGTACAATTAGCCCACATTCGGGCCTCCTGACCTACCTCTACCCCTCAAAGGAACGCATCGAACTGCCGTCTCTCTGCCTTTTCGCAAGAGACAGCGCTGCTAATTGCACTCCAAGCTGCTTAGAGGGCTTAGGAGTAATAGGGATAGATGTTCCACTTTGAGCAGAACACGAGCGCACCCATTAGTAAGCTCCACATGTGCTCGGAACTCCGGGTACGCATGCGTTTCTCCCCTTACTCAGCCTTCTTTCTTTTCAGCGGACTGGTGCTCTTTACACTCGGAGTTGCACGATCCATATGGAAATCATCAGTACAACAAGTTCTCAACGACATTTATGGCAGATGACGGCACGCAATTGGACGCGAGCAACAGCATCCGTTGCCATCAGTGCTCAAGGGGCTTTCTTCACAGTAAGGACACCCACCACCAGCGATGAGGTCCCGTATCAACAGTCGCTGAACATGCAGTAGAGTCTTCCTTGATCAGACACGTGAAACGATGTTCGCAGCCTATCAAGAGCCCAGGAAGGCGGAAAGCCTGCAGGCAATGTGCTCGGTCCAAGCTGAGGTGCGATCTAAGCAGGCCTCGTTGTGGCTCCTGTCAAGATCGTTCCATATCTTGCGAGTTTTTGGGTCTGTCGCGATCGATAAGTTCGAGGGCGATTGATTCCGCTAGCTCATCATCTACCTCAACGACCACCGACCAGTCTTTCGTCCATTCTATTCAATCGTTTGCGACACAACGACAGCGCGAGCTCACCAGCTCTATTCCTGCTACGATCGGGTGCGGCAGCGAGACTACACACGTTGTGCATCTTACGATTCGAATTCTCAGATCTTGGGCTCGGCAAGTAGCGATCTATAGACTCGAGCAGTTGCCCCCGATGATCCATTCTGTGCAGCTCGAGCATGGCACGCCGTGGCCTTTGAGAAACTGCTGTCTATTAGCAGCGATGTGGGCGGATTCCGGGGACGAGGGAGGCGAACTGGTGTCCGATTGCGTGTTGCGGGAGATTGAGAGACTACTGACAGAAGTGAGCATACCGCAATTTTGGTGATTAATACTTAACTAACTACAGTGCTTCACAGTTTGCAAGTTACGAAAAGCATATGTTATTGGCGGCTGCACAATCTCTGCTCTTCCTGCTAACCATAGCGCTGTTTGGCCTCGATCCCAGCCTTGCCCTTCCTCCATTTCAGGCTGTGAAGCTGATCACGAGTGTTTGGGAGGTGAAAACGCAGCTTGCCGCAACGAATCTATGTCTAGCAGAGGAACAGAACAATCGTGTGCCTTCGTGGTCGGAATGGTCGATAGTGTCGGCGAAGCGACGAACATTGCTTGCATTGAATCAACTCGAATGGGCATGGTCGCTACTTCACGGGTACCCCGAGCTCTCATGCCTAGAACTTGGTCCACTCCCTGCGCCGTCCGCCAAACACATCTGGCAGGCGCCCAACGAGCGAGTATGGGAGCAGCTTTATCGTCGTTGGCTCCCGGGTTGGGAGGACGGACTCTTCGTGCTATCGGAGCTATTTATCGACCGTCCTCGGGAGCCTCTTAGCCAACGAGCGGAGAGGTGGTTGGCTGAAAGCGATGAGTTTGGCATTATGCTGATGGCGCAAGGTATGTACTCTCGTTCTGCGTCGATGCCAGCCTTGTTAATTACATTGCAGTGGGTGTTGCCTCGACACGGAGTTCCGTGCACAGCACGCATGGCGAGACCTGACCATCTTTCGAGGGCTCACTACATGACAGTGCCGTATAAATACAGGCTCACTTAGCTACTTCCTGGCGCCTCATTTCATCTCCAGTCTTTCGAACGAGTTTCAGCAACATGGCGCTGGCAATGATCTATGGTGCGACTGGGTACACTGGAAGCCTTGCGAGTGAACGGGCCAAAGTAGCTGGCGTCGACATAATTCTGGCCGGTAGACAATCGACCAAGCTCGAAGCCCTAGCTGCGAATCTGCAGCTCCCTTGGCGTGCCTTCGGTCTTGATGATCCTCTCACCATCCAGACAAGCTTGAGAGATGTCTCCGTGGTCTTGAACTGTGCAGGGCCATTTGCCGACACCGCTATGCCTCTTGCGGAAGCATGCATAGAGAAGGGTATACATTATCTGGACGTGTCTGCTGAGCTGAGCACTTACCTTGCGATTGAAGAACTGGACCAGAAAGCAGTCAGTGCCCACGTGACGCTACTGCCAGGGAGTGGCGGTATTGTGGCAATGCTGGGTTGCTTGGCTAGCAAGGCTGCGGCTCGCATTGACGACAGTGTCAGTATCGACATCGCAGTGCATGTTTCAGGAACTCTCTCGAATGGCTCAGTCGCTAGCGCCAACAGTGCCGTCATCGTCGATTGCATGAGGCTTTCCGAGGGGAGGCTGGTGAAACAAGATGCAGACGAGACGATGAGTTTCGATTTTGGCGACGGTCGTGGGCCAACCTCATGCCTTCCAGTTACGCTGCCGGACTTGTTCACAATATGGAAGACGACTGGCGTCGCAAACATCAGGACGTACGTCAATGTATCTGGCGACTCGTTTCTGGCGGGAGAGAAAGATTCGGGGGCTCTTGGTCCACCAGAGGAGGAAAGGGAGAGGAATCCCTACCACGCTGCCGTGATTGTCCATGGCTCAAAGGGCGAGGAAGTCCATGGCGAGCTGCATACCATCAATGGCTATACATTCACCGCACTGGCTTCTATAGAAGCGGTCCGACTTGTCTTGGCTGGAAAGGTGCTTCCAGGACTTCAGACTCCTGCCACAGCTTTTGGCGCCGATTTCGTCGACCGCATCGATCATACCCATGTTCGATTAACAAGAGTTGCGAATGAGCCCTGTGTTGGCAATGCCTAACTGTAGCTAAGGCGAGAGACTACTGTAGCGAGTATTTACGAGTACCCTCGGTATTTTGCTTAAAGTAGAATATCTATCCCCGTAATTCCTAAACGCTCTAAGTAGCTTAGAGTATGATTAGTAGCGCTGTCTCTTACGAAAAGGTAGAGAGATAGCAGTTCGACAGTTCTACTTTGACCGGACTGAGGAGGGTAGTCGCTACCGTGTCGTCTCTCAATAGTAGAAGGATCTTAGCACAGCTTGAGGGTACGAGAACTTGAGACAGGGTTCCACTTAAGGCCTAGCGTATCTTCTGAGCGGTCTGAGACGATCCCACTTGCCCCTGTCTTCGTTTCTTGCAACGTCACTTCTATCTTGTCTTCCATCGCCAGAATCTAACAATGGATGCTGGCTCCTGCAAGCATATTAGATCACGCTTCATATTATGGATGAGTACCAGCAGCTAAGTAAGCTCCACGGAAGTTCGATCCGAGCTCGGCAAGAGCTGGATACTCCTCTTATCTGCCCTCAATGAGATAATACGAGGATCTCAACCATACTTCTAACGTTGATAGTAGTAGACAAACGGCCAGTCTACTGTTATAACTCGTGTATAAGATGCCTCACAAAGAAGAGACTAGCGTTTCCATCAAGGAACTCCATCCAACCTTTGCCGCTGAAGTAAGAGGAGTTGACTTTAGTAAAGAGATACCTGATGATGTATTTCAAGAGGTACAGGAAGCCATTACGAAGGTATGATCTTCTATTTTGCCGTATAAGTACGCTCGCTGACGCCGGCATGGCTCAGTATGGTGTAGTTCGCTTCCCTGAAACTGGCCTCGATGATGCAGGTCACGTCGCCTTCGCTGCGAGGTTTGGAGAGCTTGACGATGTTAGTCCTTACAATAAGCAAGGCAAGAAACACCGATTGCCCTTTGAGGAGCTGTTTGATGTGAGCAATCTGTTGGAGGATGGCTCGATTGCCCCTTTGGATAGCCACAGAGCTGCTATGAACAAGGTCAGTCATCACTCATTCACGGCGACCGAGCTAAGATCATGCTTCAGGGCAATAGTCTATTCCATGTCGATAGCTCTTTTAACCCCAGACGTGGCGGATACAGCATTCTCAAAGCCCATGAATTGCCGCCCGCGGGCACTGGCGGTGCAACTGAGTATGCCGACACGAGAGCTGCTTATGACGACCTCCCCGAAGACCTCAAGAAGGAGCTTCTTGATAACGACTACGTTGCCTGCCATTCTCTTTTCCATTCACGGAAGACGGCGTCACCAGAGGCATTACCAGGCTTGAATCCAGAAGACCACTTCATGTCGCGCCACAAGCTAATTCAACGCCACGAGGCCAGCGGGCGGATGAATCTGTATATCGCTTCTCATGTTCACCACATCGAAGGAATGGACCGCGACAAATCTCGACAGCTCGTTGAAAGACTGTACACACATGCTTGTCAACCGAAGTATGTTGTCAGTATTCCGTGGGAGAATGCAGGCGATATGATCTTGTGGGACAACACTTGTGTTATGCATCGAGCAACTGGAGGCTCGTTTGAAGGCAAGTACAAAAGAGGTGAGTTATTTGGCATGTACTGTGATGGATGAAATTGGTCAGCTCAACTATTGCCGCAGATATGCGTCGAGCAACTGTGCATGATATGAGTAGCCAGGCCTGGGGCTCGAATGAGAAGAATAGTGAAAGGATGGGCTATCCTTGAATGTCTTCCGAGGCCTTCTTTGGCCGCGTTGAAACGACCAAAGGTAGGATACCCTACTGCCACGCTTCATGCAATGTAGATAACACCGATCTTTACTGACTTCGTGACTATAGCTTTATTCGCAATGACATTTTCTATATTTTCAGAAGAATCTTTCGTTCCCCGTTGATAAGTCTTCCTACTTTGCCAAATATCGAATCGCTTTCTTGTCTCGAAGACTTCGCTTTTTATCATGCCAAAATCTAGACAGCGTCCACATCCAGAATCTGATCAGGCCACTGATGGATCAGCACGTGAAAGGTCGACTGATGACCCTGGGACCAACGCATATCAACCTCAGTCACGAGACACGAGGCCCAAGTCATCGCTTCTTGGGCGAATCTCGAACTTCCTCACTTCAATACCCAAGAAAAACGATACAAAGATCAAAGCTGCCCCCGAACGTACCTGGAAAGCGTTCCAAACAACCAACGTAGGCCTTCACTTGACACAGGATCCTCACCCTGAGACGAACGCCAACCACCGTAAGCTACCAGAGGAGCACCGCGCTGCTCACGAAGAAGCCAGAAAGATGGCGTTGATCCAACAACACCACTTCAATGAACCGCCGCGCGAGCTCCTCGGGCCCGTCCCACGCAATCGCCTCGACTCGAATGGCCGTATGGCCCCCGACGCCATTCAGCACATTTCAGAGTTCCGACTGAACATGGACCTGAACTTCCTCGCACCCGTCGAACGAGACGTCCTCCACCTCATGCGTCGAACACGCCGTTCCTCTCACTTCCGCCCGTTGCTCAACCCTTCCGAGGAGATCCTGCTCGTGCACGCGGACGACACTGCCGCGATTCGGCAGATTCAAGATGCTATACGTCCGTTGCCGGAGAAGGAGAAGTACACTCTTGCGGGAGATTTGCATAAGTTCTTGTCGGCGGAGAAGAACTATATGCTGAAGCTGTTGCTGTTCAGTCCGAAGATCCGCGTGACGACTAATGCACGGGGTCAGGGGCTTGGGATGGAGGAAGCTGGACTGCCTGAGGAGAGGCCGAAGAATGCTGTGGGTTTCAAGGAGAGTGTGGGAAGTCTCGGCAGTAACGTACGATCCGGAAGTAGGAAGTCTGAGGACACGGCGACGCAAGTGAGTAACGTCTCCTGAGCAGTGTGATTGAGTGGTCACTGACATGACCACCAGGCAAGCTCCAAAATCAATCGAACGCAGACTTTCGAGATTACCGTCGAACCAAGACCAAGTCTCCGTGGCGGAGGCGACGAGGACAACAAGAGAGTGCGAAGCTGCAGCTCGTACGCAAGCTTCATTCGCGGCTCACAGCACGACCGATTGAAGGACGAAGACCGGGTGCCAAAAGCTATGTGGTGGCTAGCCGGAGGCCGTGGATCGTCCAAGGACAAGCAACCGACAGCGGGAGAGATGAGGAAGCGGAGGAGAGCTGAGGTCGAGAACAGAGAGCAGGTGGGTTTCTGGGGAACAGTTTTGGGCAGGAGAGCCACCAAGGCCAAACGAGTCCGAACGGAGGTGGAAGAGTACAAGCCTGCTGACGATGGGCAGGGGACGACTGCGCCTCCGGTCGACGGAGAAGGGGACGATACTGTAGCCTCTGGAGCTCTGCCCGCTACTGATAACGACAAACCTTTGCCACCAAGGCCTGCGTCTAGCGCCTCTGTCAACAACCACGCCGAGTCGCCCCTCGATGGAGGTGATGGTTCTAAATCTCCAGCTCGCAGCATTAGGAGCAGCATATCGAACCGTGAGCAGCCCTCAGCACCTCCTATCACTGACGGGGACCCTGCAGCTGACGATGGAGCCAACAGGGAGATTGAGCCACCGACTGAGGCTGCTGTGGAGCAAGGCAAGTGAGGTAGTAGCCTCGGGGACGTGTTCCGGCAAGAAGTCGAAGTTGAAAATCAGCTTGTTTGAATCATTCTCGAACATGGCTGGAGCGACTTGATCATGCACTCTCAGTCGAACAACATATGGACAGCCTCATAGACTGAAAAGCGAATGGCTTTGTGAGCAGTGTTACCACGGAGATATCATAGGGTTGTATGATAAGTCTTGCAGTGTCTCAGACAAAGCCTTGCCAGACTTCGATTCACTTCAACTTCACCTTATTTCACGTCCTACGACACACGACACGGTCGCTGCCTACTTGTAGCGTGGTCCTTGGGCCTTTGAGCTTTTTTCCTGCAACAGTTTCTACCTACTTTCTCCAACTTACTGAATCCAATTCTGCAGCCCAGACATACATCAGGTCAGTACTCGCACTGGTAACGACTGAGAAAGACTTCTAACGTGGAGTATAGATACACATTCATCTAATCACTACTCATCAACACCAAGACACACTCCAACATGACGTCGAACAACAACAAGGCCAACAAGTCGGTCCATTTTGAGGAGTCGATGACCAAGAAGGCACAACCACTCCAGGCTGTTGAGTCGAAGAAGTCGACGGGCAAGGAGAAGCAACCACACCAAGCCAAGCCAAACAACTCGACCCATCAGCCCCTGAAATCGGACAGCGCCAACGAGCGCAAGACATCACCAACCGTCCCCGACCATTGCAGTTGCTTCCACACTACGGGCTTTATCATTGGCAATGATATCTGCGTCGAAGCCAGCCATGTCCTCCTCGACACCGGGGCAACGTCGTCGTTCATTAACCTGGAAGCCACTCGCCAAGCCAAGCTCACCGTCCGCTCCTTGCCACCAAAGGTTTTCGACACGGCAGGCGGCAGAGTCATCTTCAACAAATGCGCTGAGGCCCCTCTCTGTATCGCCGGCGTAAAGCACACGCTCCTGGCATGCATTGACGAGGACAAGGCTACACCCAACCGTCGCAACATCCTACTCGGCATGCCAGGTCTCGTCAAGTTCGGTATCGTAGTCCGTCCGCATACCCTCGCCGACCCTGAGGTGGGGGCAACCATCAAGTCGGACGTACCAGGCCAGGGTCGTAAGATCTACTACCTCCAGAGAGATGACCCCATGATCAAGCCGACCCTATGACCCCATGACTCGCAGACCGGATTGCAGCGGGCGATGCGGCGCGGGCAGACGGCGGTGGAGCGCAAAGCTCACAAGGAGGCCATGCGAAAGAAGGCGGCGTCGGAGAAGTTGGCGTTGGAGAAGGCGGCGTTGGAGAAGGCGCAGCAGAAGTTGCGGGAGACGGAGGCGCACGTAGCAGCTCAGTGAGGGATGTGTGGCCCACGGCGGACGGAGAGTGTTAGGGAGACGGTTGAGTAGTTACAGGTTCGGGAGACAGATGATCGGAAGAGGGAACAGGCCCGGAAGGCGAAGAAGCAGTGGTTTCGAGTGATGTCTCGCTGATTTCCTGCAACTTCTGCTGCCAGCTGCTGCATGGGAGGCGCAGTGCCATATGCGCGGAAGGAGATGCTGTTTCCATCTGCGAGAAAGATTTGATAGGGTGGATGTCCTGCCAAAGATAACTTTGCGTGCAAGATACCATCGTAGCTGGCTTCACTTCACTTCACTTCACAAAGGACTTCATACTGCCAAGCCTCACTTCGACCTCACTTCAACTTCACATGATTGCACTTCACGCACGAGCCAGTGGCTGCCTAGTCAGTTGGCAAGCTGCTTCTTTTCCGCTCTTGTCATCACAACGATCGTCCCCTGCATCTTTCGTTCGAGCCATCAAAGCATCACGACGGTCGAAGGTAAGTTGAGATATCTTCAAGCACAATGATTGACCGAGAGGAGTTTCTAACGTTGAGTGAAAGGACAGAGAGTACCATGGCGCACATCATCAAGACAGAGCCAGACACCTGCGACGTGGACGTGGACATGAACGGCTGTCCAGAGATCAAGACGGAGCCATCATTCGGCGGCTATGACGAGCACACCTACCCAGCCGACGAGATCAAGCCAGATGCCTCTGCCATGGGTCATTACTCCAAGAGCAAGGTCACTCCAAACGATCATCTCAAGACACCGACCTCGATCCCAGCCGACCTGAACGGCACTTGCTTCCACCTGACCGGCTTCATCGTCTGCAAGGACCGCTGCATCAAAGTCCAACGCATGCTCATCGACTCCGGCGCATCCTCATCCTTCATCACCGCCGCTGCCGTCAACGCCACCGGACTCGCCGTATTCAAGTGCGAGCCCAAGAGCTTCTCGACTTGCAATGGCTACACGCAGCGCGACAAATTCGTCATCTTCGACCTGTGCATCGCAGGTGTGCGCAAGACCATCAGCGCGTACGTCGACGAGGGCGCCTACGTCCATAAGGATGAGATCATCATCGGCGCCGAAGCAACGACGAAGTTTAGTATGCATTGCAACACCAACTTCGGCAAGAAGCACGAGACACGTTGGTCAATCAAGGCCGATGTCAAGAGCCGCCCTCGAACGCGGTACGTTCTGCAGAAGGCCTCTCGCCCCAGCGGATCTCCGTTGCACACGTATAGTCTCAAGGATGGTCTGGACGTCGCCATGTCCCCGGGCGAGACGAGCAAGCAGCGTGATGCGCGTGACAAGTGGGAGCGCAAGCTGGCAGCCAGCAAGAAGGCGGAGGCGAAGTACTGGGAGGCTCGGCGCAAGAAAATCTGAAAGATGACCCGCTGGTAGCGATGTGGGAGGCGGGTGCAATACTCTGACGAATGATGGAAATGCAAGTGCTCGAGACTGGTGCAGGATCGTCGATGTGGTGTACATTGCACACTAAGCTCCAGGCGAGACTTTTGGTGCGATTGTATAGTAGCTGGCAAAGAGCTGGGTATCCAAATGGAAGACGAAAATGCGATGCAACGCTTGCTCCTGGTCCCCTTATATGCATCCTTCATGATTCCTCTGTACTCTCCACATATCCCAACTTCTCCCCGACCTTAACCTTCTTTCCTCTTTCGATACACCACCTAAAGCCACCCTTCCTTTCTGTACCGTCACCCCTGAAACCCTCGTCAAAGGAAGGCCTAAGACCCTTGGGCGCCTCAAAGACCATGACGATGGTACTGCCCAATTGAAATCCTCCCATCTCTTCTCCTCTTTTAAGTGGATGGCCTCCCAGTACGGGCGAAGCTGAGGTGTATGTCGCCTCGGCGTATCCTGAATATGGCTCGCCTCGCTCTGCTGCCTCTTCGGCCGCCTTATCCGCGAGTGTGTCCGTGAGCAGACTGTTTGTACGCAATTCGCGATCGAAGTTGATGACGATCGAGCCGACGTTGGTGGCGCCAACAGGAGTGTAGCTGAAGAAGCCATATTTCCATCGACCCAAGAGACAAACTCGTTCATTGAGAGTGAAGAGGCCAGGCAGGTTCTTCACGAGGAAAGGGCTAACGCTGTACAGCTCTCCAGCGAAATGCCGTCTGCTCTCGACAACCCAAGAGACAGGAGAGTGGAAGCGGTGGTAGTCGCCTGGTGCCAGATAGATGACACAGTAGTAGAGAGCAGTAGGCACCTCCTTAGCTGGTGGATAATACCAGGGTCGTGGCGCATTTGGCGACTCGGCAAGATCTCTCGAGACTTCCTGCTCCGAGGATGATGATGATTTGGTCGACTGATCAGATAGAGGCACAGTTGTTGAGCCTCCTTCTCGAACACTAGGGTCGGCGTTCTCTGGATCTCGGATTTTCCACCAACTACGACCTTTGCGGCCAGGAGCAGAACCAGAGAAGAGGTTGGGAAGCGTGTAGGAGATGCCATTCACACGCGCGAACTCTTCATCAGCGCGAATTGTCTCTGAGTCTCCCTCTCTCCCTCTTGCATCCGACGGGTGTGGAGAATCCTTCAGGCCTGCGACATTGCTGTTCGGCGCCGATCCAGCTGAAGGCGTGGTTCCAAGGAGCGCATCAACGCTGTAAGTCACCCCCTTGACCTGCTCAACCTCGCCATGTTCGATTACTCCAAATTGTACCACCTTTCCGTCTGCAGGGGAAAGAAGCGCGTCCGGGTTTGGATCCAGCGGTCTGACGCCAGGCTTAAGGGTTCGGTAGAAGAATTCGGACAGATTTCGAAACTTGTGTAGGTCCGGCTCATCGATCTCATCAAAGTTGACCCCAAAGACGTATCCATATAGTTTGAACCCCGGTATCCGAAAGTAATATGGGATGTCAATGCTGTTAAACCAGCCCCACCATCTTGACACGGCCTTAAGTGGTATCGTGCTCATGATCTGAACCGACCATGGCCCGCTAGGTCGTATTCGCGGTCTCTTCTTGGGCTGGCCTAGGTCTCCCCAGTCAAACTCATCGTCTTCTTCGCCTTTGGTCTGCCTCCATTCTTCCTCCTCCCTGCGTCTTTCCCGTTCTTGAATGCGGTAGAACTGGAAAACCCCCAAGAACGCAATGCCCAGTCCGATGGGGATCGGCTTCCATATTACAGGAGTGGCGGCAAGGGCATCTCGTAACCGAGAGCTGAAGGAGGACTTACGGTGCTGGCCCTGTTGCTTGTAGGAGGTCCGGCTTGAGGAGAAGAGTCGAGATCGGTGATTTTTGAAGACAGCGTGCTGCCGGAACACGAGCCGGGCGTGTTTAGAGAAGGTAGGTGGCATGGCTGCTGGGAGCGCGCACTGTCAGCTCATGGTATGGCCTTCATGAAGTCAGTGTGAGTATGTGAATGAAGACGCCTTAGCGGGCAGAAGGAAAGCGAAAGTGCAGACGAGACGATGGAATGACGTCCTGGTCGTCGAGCCGATAATGCAGGGATCGGCAGCACCCTGGAGCTTCACGTGCAGCGTCGCAGCTACGCGCCCGCCCACGCGACCACCACCGTCTCCACCCCTGCTGCACCGCCCTCTCCATTCACTTCCTCCTCTCAGCAAAGTACGCTTGCTGACCCGATTAAGAAGTTGTAGAGACAGCCGGCGTCGCGGTCAAGGTTCTGTCGCCATCTGGCTCGTGGCACGCCAAGTCAAAGTCTATTTGGGGAATCCCTGCTTGGGAGTGTTTACGCCCACTCATTGGTCGACCGCCAACAACATTCTATCCGCACTATTGCTCACATCTCGAGGCTGTAATGCTCCTGTGCACCGGCTGACGTGCGAGTCCGACCACGCTTCCACTTCTCGGCCCACGACCGAGGCCGGCATCCCATCGCAGACCCGCCGACGACGAGCTGAGGGCTGGCCCGGAGACTCAGCACACACAGGGCAGCTGCTGTACCTGCAGCACACTCCAAACAGCTCTCCAATAGGGCCCCTGAGAGTGAGACCAGCACACCGCCTCCAAGACTCGCTGCCATGGACATCGATCCTCCCCAGGCCAGCGGGGGCGGCGACAAGATCGACGACGCTTCCATGCACACCATCACCGCATCCTCCCTCCAGAACCAAAACCCCTCCTACGACGGCCGCCCGCAGACTTCATACTCAGACACCGGCTTCTCGAGAAGTTATTCCCAGTCAGCAGACAATACCCCCGACCAGTTACAGAACGGCAATGGTCTCAGTAGACCGCCGTCAACGCAGAGCCAGGGACAGTATGACCAGAATGGCCAGCGGCAACAGGCACAGAAGAATGCGTCGGTGGTGATCAAGGTGGGAATGGTGGGCGATGCGCAAATCGGCAAGACGAGTCTAATGGTCAAATACGTCGAGGGTAGCTGGGACGAAGATTACATCCAGACATTGGGTAAGCGCTGGCAGGTTGGTGATGTCAAGTTGGGGCAGTCAGACTAACCTCTGTCCCAGGTGTCAACTTCATGGAGAAGACCATCAGCATTCGCAACACCGAAATCACCTTCTCGATCTGGGATCTGGGCGGTCAGCGCGAATTCGTGAACATGCTGCCTCTGGTCTGCAACGATGCAGTCGCCATCCTCTTCATGTTCGATCTTACCCGGAAATCCACCCTCAACAGCATCAAAGAATGGTACCGTCAAGGACGTGGCTTCAACAAGACAGCCATTCCATTCCTAGTCGGCACCAAATACGACCACTTCGTCAACTTCCCACGAGAAGAGCAAGAGGAGATCTCGACGCAGGCTAAGCGCTTTGCCAAGGCTATGAAGGCTAGCCTGATCTTCTCCAGCACCAGTCACAGCATCAATGTGCAGAAGGTTCGTCGTCGGCCCTGCCATTCTGCCGGCCTCATGAAGTTCTTTGCTGACGTACCGCTCTAGATCTTCAAGATCGTTCTATCGAAAGCATTCGACCTGCGATGCACGATACCCGAGATCGAGAACGTCGGCGAGCCGCTTCTCCTCTACCAAGCCGTCTGAAGAAGCGACGACTGATTCAATATCCGCCTGATCGGGTATATCTCGGGAGCATGCACCTTGACGGAAGCAGCTCCCACAACACACACCGCACCACTGGATACCACACGCTCGAGAGAAAGTCGAATGAAACTCGTCTCTTGAAAGCGAACCTTTTGAAAATGAGAACCATGCCTGTACGCTGGAGATGAGAACCATGCATCACAAGGAACACTGTTTTTCTACTTTTTTGGCCCCCGCAATCGATCGGTGTTTTCTGGAGCAGTATACCATAACTTTTGGGACAATTGGGGATGGGAACTGCATTCTGGGGGACAACAGCACTTTTTGTGTGGGGGGGGGGGGGGGGGGGGGGGGGGGGGGGGGGGGGGGGGGGGGGGGGGGGGGGGGGGGGGGGGGGGGGGGGGGGGTCTCCTTACGCTAGTCAGAGTATAAGTAATTTCTTATGTGTGTCGCCGCCACAAGAAGACTCGAAAATGAGCAAGATGAACTGAGAATGGAAGGATAAAGATTTCCTCGCTTGAACGCTTCATTTGAAATTCGTGATGAGACATGACGATTCTAATCCTCATGCGTGACCGTCGTATCCAGCACTTCCACCCTCGCCCTGCCCTTGGTATGCGTGCTCACAAAGTCGCTGAGTGTCTTGAAACTTCCTGGCTCGACGAATCCCACGCACTCCCATTCCTCGCCCGCGACATCTTGGTTCTCGACTTGCTCGACGAAGCCTAGGATCTTGTCTTTGACAGTTCCAGTAGTGGGTTCCTCGCTTTCTGACTTGGCTGGCGTCTTTACCGTCTGCTTCAGGACGCCGTTGGGACAGGTTATGCGTAGCCTCATCCTCGCCCGTGCAACGGGAATAGGTTGATGTGCGATGAGTGCCTTCATGGCGTCGAGGGCTTGGGATTTGGCGTTCTTCGAGGTTGTCACTCCAGTCCATTTGGGTTTTGGTTTCTCAGCAGGGTTATCGCCTCCTTCTGCCTGCCCGTTCGTTCTTGAGGGGGTATTTGAGCCTGAGTCTATCGCGGCGGCGGGAGTCTGATCTCTGCTCTTGCTCCTGTCATTGGCTTCCGCCTTCGCCTTGCCAGCACTCCGTCCAGCGTGTCCTCCTTGACTGCTTAGTTGATCCAGTGCCTTCTCAATCATACCCGTCGTATACACCCTCTTCGTCTTCGGATCCACCAACCTCCCCGCAACAATATCAATAACCTCCTTATGCACCCGATCCAACTCCTGCGATCGCTCCTTCTCGCCTACTTGAATTTCGCCCTTTGTCAAAATCTCCATCACCACTTCGTCTCGTGTCATGCCAGGGAACGCTTTCTTCAGCTCCTCGTTCGGTGCGACTTGGCCTTTGGAGACGTTGAGGAAGACGTTGGGGATTTGGAGCACATTGTCGAAGTCGGTTTCGTTGCCGGCGCGGAAGGATGTGACGGTGTTTTTGTAGCATGCGACTTCGAATCTTTTCTTGCCTTTCTTTAGGCGGACCAGACTGACGTTGGTGAGTTTGATTTGGTTTGAGGGTTGGTTGATCTGTTGCGCCGGCATCTTTGCGGCTGTGGGTTGTTTGTTTGTTGTTGAGTTGTTTTTATTTGTAGTAGGTAAGGTAAGAATTTCGACCTGCACTTCACTCACGAAGACTGCATATGACGCACCCCACGTTGGAAAGCGTGGCGAGGGGCGCGATAAGACGGCAGGCCGCACCTAACAATATCTTAACCTACATGACCTAGGCAGGTGCTCGATTGACCCTTAATCCTTGTTATTAGATAGACCTCACTTTACTTCTCGCTTTACTTAAACCTCTCTTTTACTAAAAATAATACTATTTAAACGCCTATTATCGCTCTAGTATAACTTTATACGCTACTACCTTCGTACTCGCTTTAAACTACTCGTACTACTCGTAATCTAAAGACAACAGCGATAATAGCGAGTATAGCGACTTAAATACGGTATATACTCGCCTAAAGT